CTCCCACTCATCCTCCCCCCTCCCCTCCTCTCCCTCCTTTCATTCACTCAAGCACTCATCCAAGCGAGCCACATGCAACCAACAGAACAAGCATACCAAAAAAGACAGGAGAAAAAAAGAAAATCCGTACGTACCGGTCCGGGTTATGGTCCATGGTCATCATGCCGCCCTCCTCGACGACGCGGTGGTTCTGCGGCAGGTCCTTCTTGGCAAACTGCGTCTCGTTGCTCGTCTCGCCCAGCCTCTTGCCCATCAGCTTGTTCATCCACTCCCCGGTTTTTGCGTTGCCGCCACCGCTGGAGCCGGTGTTGGTTATGCCGGGGACGACGAGAGGCATCTTTGTAAAATTTTTGGGAAGTTGTGATACGGGGTAGATAGGTGGTGAGGTAGGTCGATAAGGTAGGTAGGGTCAAAGATCAAGGATCTGTGTGAGGTGAGGGTGAGGGTGAGTGTGTGTGTGCGTGTGTGGGAAGTCTGTCCTCTCAATGGTATACGAGGTACTTGAGAGGGATCGATCTCGCTACTGTCACGGTGGGATAAATTCCAGTTCAGGTATACCAGAAGAAAAAAAGAAAAAGACGAAAGGAAAGAGGAAATGGGAGACTGATAAGAGAGGGCCTTTTTGTACAAAACTTGTTCCGTTTGATTGATTGATGCCTGGTCCTGTCCCTCTCATGCCTGATGATATACAGTTTTGCGGCCCAGACTGGAGAGGCACAGAGGGAACAGCCATGACGTCGTTTAACCGAGACTAAGCAGCCTTTGGTGCAAACTCCTTCCTGCGTCATTGACAATTGAACAAGCCCTGAGGTCAAAATTTGTTGTACGAGGTACAATCAATTGCAGAACACTTTTCTCGAGCGAAGAATTATTTTGTTATTTTTTGAGGCCCCTTTCCACCCTCTCCCTACACGAAGAGGCAAACGTGGCTGGTCAAGTTAGCAGCCCTTATCCATGACTTATCCAGATTTGCCCCCTTCCCGGCCCTCCGTGGAGGCCCGTTTGATGTCAGGATCCATGGTGCCATGCTCGTCAAAAGGGATAAAAGTACATTTGCTTTGGAATTCCTTCTCCAACAGCCAGCCATCAAGTTTGAAACAAGAATGTTGATCTAAAAGCACACACATCAGGACCGAGATGAGTTTGATCCTGATAACAGACACACGCATAAGAGGGAAGAATCCACCTTTCTTTCCACAGGTTGCTCTCGTTTAAACGTGAAGATATCGGCATCCTCGGCTGCAACTTTTTTGGCACCAGAGAGATTAAATGTAGTCTCTGGCCGCCTTCTGCAATTCGATCATCCTCCACCCTCTCGTCTCGGGATTGTTGACTTCTTCTGGTATCCTCGTCACGCCAATGGCATACGTAACCAACTGAACTTTATCTTCCATTCCTGCTGCCAATTCATTCGTCTTTGCATTCCGGTAGACGTGGACTTCTTGTGTCCGACAAGTGATGATGAAGACAGGAATATCGCCAGGTTCCAGTAGTCGAGCATTCAAAATATCGACATGCCTGATGTCCAGAATTCGTCCATCCGACTTCAAGCCAGCTTTGGTGTATTGTTCCATGAGAGCCGAGTAGACCTGGAATTGTGCAGCCGAGAGCCACAGTTTCAAAGTTTCGACGTCGCCCTTAACGTATGCGTCGAGCACTTCTGGCAAGATGTATTCCCGCATGTCACGCAGGAAAGGTTCCAACTGGAAAGACGGGTCCATTTCGCGGAATTTCTTGATGACCATAGCCGTCTCATTCTCCGCAAAAAAACCAGCAACACGGTCGGAGATGGAGCGCGCCGTCGATATTAAAGGGTTCTCGGACTCTTCGTACGTAGTTTTCATGTTGAAGAGACTCTGCATTAATTTGGAATTCTCCTTGAAATTGGACCATGACTCTCGCCATGCCGAGTCTTTGTGAACTGTAATGTTGGTTCCGGCACTGCAATATTCGTCAGAGTAAGTCTCACTAAATTTTACCCTGGTGTACTTACTTTGGATCTTCAACCATGGGTTCATGGTTTTTGTGAGGCGATTGGGCTTCTTTCAATCTTCGGGCTTCTTCCCTTTTGCGTCGCTCTTCTTTCTCTATCCAACCACCATATCTGGAGCTGCTTCCATCATCAACTGCTTCCGAAACATCCTTGAACGCCTTGGTTTCGCGAATTGGCCGGGTGGCTTTTTCAATTCCCCGACCGGTAGCGTTAACTCCTTTTCGCACACCCTGCACGACAGGCGTTTCCCAGGCCCAAGCTGCGCCTTGTCCGATGGCACTGGCTGTGCTCTTCAAGACTTGCGACGTGCCCTTGGAAGCGGCCTCGGATGCCTCTCGCGCCCTTCTTACAGCATCGGACTCGGTAAACTGTTGGACGGACCCCGAGAGTTGTTTTGTAGACTCATTCCACTCTTTGGACGCCTTGAATTCCGTTCGAAGCGTGTCGACAAAAACTTGCCACGGAGTTTTGTCGCCATGGGGTGGTGGTGGAGGAGGAGATTCTTTTCCTTCCTTTCCTTCTTTTTCTTCCTTTTCGGATTTTTCTTCCTTCTGGTCCTTTTCCTCCTTGCCCTCACTTGTTTCTTTGTCTGGTTGGCCGTCCCGTGGCGGATCCCGAACTTCTTGTTTAGGGTCTTCCTTAGGCTGGGTTTGTTGGAATCGAGCTCCGGACGTGTGCAGTGATCGAAGGAGAGTTTGGCTCGAGAGAGTGAGTCGGGGGGAGAATGGCGTCAGGTGTAATGAGGAATTGAAAGATTTTGAGGGTTCGTCCGACAAGAGTAATCTTCTGTACACTGCTGTCCTTCCATACTGCGCCGACGCTCGGAGCGTGGAAAATTGACTGGTGGCTGTCACATAATGACGGACACCATGGACAGGTGCGCGACGCAATACAGTCATACTACGGAGCGGATATCTGCAACCAGGAATAAAGAAACGAGCAGAGCACTGAAAGAAAATACTTCAGCAAGCTCGTTCATGGTCAGTTGATGCATCTTTGAAGACGGCGGAGGAAATTCGAATTTCGGTTCCGGCTAAGCTTCCTGTTCCGTTTCTCTGTAAATCCAATTCTATCTTTCTCGACACACGACCTGCACAATGCTGAGCCATTAGTCTACCGGCAACGACAAAACATCACAGCCCGGGCAAAAATGGCGCATCCAAGGCCTCCTTTACTTTTGTCCATGTGTAGATCGTGCAGGAACACCTACCTCACACAGTCACGACGCACCATTTCGGACTCGAGTCCAAGCTCCTCCAGAGAGCCAGAGCGGCAGCCCAGCAGACTCTCTGAGCGCCTTGGGATCAAGGTCAACGAGGAAACCCCAGCAAAGGAGACGGATGCTTTGAGCCAGTTCCACGAGCTCCTGCGTGGAAGCTCAAACAGCAACGCATCGTCGCAAACCACAAACAATTCGATGCGCTCCATCTTCCAAAGAGACCTCCGGAATGTCGCACAATCTGCACAAGCGGAATCCGCAGCACGACCTTCTGTCAGGAGCTCGTACACGGACGAGCCTTATCACATCAACGTCTACGCCCACCGACACAACACCCACATCACATTCACGGAACCCAACCGCAACCCGATCTTGTCCTTCTCGTGCGGCAACCTGGGACTGCGCAACGCGCAAAAGGCATCCTACGATGCAAGTTTCCAGCTCGCAGCTTACACGTTTCGCAAAATGGCAGAGAAACAGTGGAAGCTGGGAGGCAGCAAAAGTAACAAACATAACAACAACCCGTGGTGTACGCTATCGAGCATAAAGAAACCCGCGTACAGTGGCTCCCCGGGTGCAGGAATTGAAGTCATCTTCCGAGGATATGGGCCAGGTAGAGAGGCCTTCCAGAAAGCACTGCTGGGAACGGAAGGCAGAATGATTAAGCCTCTGATCGCGAAGGTGACGGACGGGACGAGGTTGAAGTTTGGTGGCACCAGGAGTCCCCAGGTCAGGAGATTGGGTTGAGCCAGAGGAAGATGTATTTATTGTACGACTATGGATGGTTGCATAGAGGAAAATATCGATGGGCTCTGCTCCCGAATACAGACTCGCAGGCAGAATATCTATCAGACTCTATCTGGAACTGATCACCAAGAGTGCACCTCGCTGTTCGTTCCCTAAGTATATTCAATATCCACCTGGTGAACTCGAGAAGTAGTCACCGGCACTAACCGGACTCAACCTCGCCGGCGACGGACTCGAGCTCCCCTCCGAGTTCTGATCCGTATTCTTATTTCTCGAACGCGGTATTTGCAACGCCCCTGTGCTAGATACTGTGCGATGGGGCTCCAAAAGCGCCGGCTTGTCCCTGAAGCCGACCCCGACGATGACCCTCCGCAACGCATCGCCCCTCGGATCGATCCCCATCATGAACCGGGCCAGTTCGGCGCACAGCTCAAAGTCGCCCTTTTGCCGGGCCAGAGTCATGAGGCGGATTACGTAGCCTTCGAATTTGCGGGCGTCATAGGACTCGGACTCGTCGTTGCCCTCTTCCAGACCCTGGAGGACGATGAGGTAGCCACCGGCGGTTTTGAGGTCCTCGAGCTCGAGGGCTTGCTCGAACAGGGCCAGTGGGGGCGGGAGGTGCGCGAAGAGCGTGCGCCACGACGATAGCTCTGTCTTGCGGATGCATTGTACTACGGTCGATAGGTATGTTGTTGGTGGGAGGACTAGTTGGAGAAACGAGAGGACAGCTGGCAATGGCCCTTGTGCGCCATCGTCATCTTTGTCTTTGAGTTTGGGTTCGCGGTCAACTTCATCATCGAGGACGTTGTGGAGCAGTATTTCCAGGGCATGTGGAAAGTATGAGAGGTTCTGATACTGGTTCGCCAGGCCGAATGCGGCGGCGGTGTCGTTTGCTTCACACAGTTGGTGGCGGAGTATATAGGGGAGGAAAAGCTGTGTGCGGATGCTGGAGCGAAATTGGGCGAAGTTGACGTCTCGCCGCTGGAGAAGCTCGGATTCAATACCCAGCACAACACCCTTAGTGAGGAGGATGGATAAAGGGTAGAAGTCGATTGACATAGATAGTACTGGTGATGTCTGGAGCTCTCCCGCACCATGGTGGAACAGATCCCGCACATCTGGCCAGAGACGAAGTTCTTCACCGCTGAATGTCCAGAGAGAGTCTCGCAATGAGTAATTTTGCTGGCTTCGCATTGTGAACGCCGAGCCAGCTGATGGTGTGGGTGGCGCTGATTCATCTGGACCAGTGCTGAAGTTGAAATATATCTGATCGCGCATGAGTATGTAGTACTCGACATGCTGAGCAATGACTCGCATATCGTATTTAAGCTCGTCCCTTTCGTTACGAGACGCTTGCAACAGGACCAACTTGTCGTCAACAAGAAATAGGACAGACGCAAACTCTACGTCTCTTGAGGGATCTCCGTTTCGAAGCTGGGAATCTGGAACGACCCAGCTGACGGAACGAACTCGGCTGGGTGCGCGCACAATGCCATGAAAGGCGATTTGGCCCACTTGCACAAGCTGCGCTCCTCGGTCGGTGATGTTAAGGATATAGTGGTAGAGGATGTTCTCGTAGGTATAGACCAATAGCGAGTCTTCACCTGAAGGGCCCACAAACACGATGGGCATGGAAAATGCTTCGTTATGCAAAGGGAAACGGCCCAGTTCGAGTTCCCGCGAGTACAGGCGCAAATCATACCCATTAGTGTTCTCGGTTGCGACGGCAAGGACATGGTTGAACCAGCACATCCCTCCACGGACTGCAAACGAACTCTCTACCGACAAGTCAGAGAAGGTCTTCCATCTCCCACTCTGGAGACTATAGTGGGCCAGACCTCGACGGCCGGCGATTGCAACATATCTCCCGTCTTGGGACACCACACACGACTTGATAGGCCACTGATTGTGTAGATAAACATGCGGGTATTCGGCGTGATGCCAAAGGGATGCCTCATTCGATATAGAAGTCAAGTCGGGGAGTTCATGGCCACGATAGACTGTCACTTCTGTTGGGGTTTGGAGAAGAGCACGAACGAGATTGGCGCAGGAGAAGCAGCCCATAGCAGCGCTTCGCGACATTTCTAACTTCCAGAGTCGATTATCAGACGGGGCGATGAGGAGGATTTCGCCGCCAGCACCGATCCAAGTCGCCCGTTGGACAGCGAGGAGCCATTTCTCGGAATTGGATTCGGCGTGTGCCAGGTTTTGGTGGAAGGTTGATGCGCCTTCCTTTCCAAACACCGACCACGTACACCAACCCTGTTTGTAGCCAACAAAGAGACAGTAGCCGTCGGGGGACCATATCAGACATGTAATAGGGCCTCTGGAAGATGGCGAGGTAGAAGGCCTGAAAGTGTGAGACAACGGAATATTGCCGGCGTAGTCTTTTGCAGAATAGCAAATGATTTCCCCTGTCGACGTAGCAATGGCGATTAGTGAGAACCGGGCATTGATACTTGCAAATGTCGCCCCCGAGGATGACTCGGGTTTATGAAAGCAATATCCGTCAAACAATCTGGTTGAAGGGGTCGTAGATCCCCTTGAGGATGGGATGGAGTCATCGGAAGAGGGTGCTCGCGTCAACTGGGGTTTGATCCGTTGTACTGCATATGCGTGGCCGTCCTGCGATAACCAGACTGAAAGGTTCATGGCTCGGTCATGGATCATGGTTGATATGCTTGACTTTTCTGTAATCCAGTCCATCCTATTCAGCAGTTGTGCTACCGCATTGGAGCCATCCTTCTGGAGGTCCCATCTGATACATTGCACTGCAGCAGGCTTGGTCGTTGCCACAATGATCTCCGAATCGAGGGCGTTGATTGAGTTGATCCCAGCATCGATCTTAATGGCTCTTCGGAAGCGCAGGAGAACCTCTGGAACTCCAATGGTCTCATCCGTCCCAAAACTCCGCATGATATTTTGCCGTTTCGCCTGGCTATACCCATACTGTTGTTGCAGGACCCGGGCAGTCTGATCACTCTCTACAGAGTATAACATCAAATAGCTTCCCTCTGTGCGAATGACCAAGGTGGTTCCATCTGGTTTGAACGCGAGGCCGAGATTTTTGCCATAAGTTTCTAACGACTTTGATGATCGCGAGAGCGAGGCCAGGACAACCACAGGACGCGTTGACCAAAGATCTAATCGAACGGGGCTGATTGTCGCAAAGACGTGGTCATGTCGGGCAGCTTGAAGATCGATTATAGCATTGGTGTCATCGTCGGTGGAATCACTCTTCTCTGCCTCCCCGTCTTCATGGTGGGCTTCTGTTTCTTTCGGTTGGTGGCCAGTTACAGTGCCAGGTCCATGGTATGCGAAGATTTGCGGCACGCTGCATGGCCAATACATAATTCGACAGATCAAAAGCCACCCACATATCTGTTGACTGCCATCTTTTTCGCGCTGCCACCTCAATTGACCCGATTACCTAGTACTTGACAGAGTTCAAAGGTGTCGTCAAGATGAATTGGTAGAGTCGGGCCGATCAGATGCCAAGAATATTATATATGCACTAAACCTAGATTGGATGAGCCCCTGTCAGGCAGACACTGGTCAGGAGTAATCACGTGAGTATGCAGGCTCTCGGTCACGTGTCAGACCCCAAAGACATTGTTTCTCAGGATTGACACGATTGCCCTGTCGCTGTTGACCTCAGATCATCACTCGGTAACATATCTTCGCTACGGTTCCTCAGAAATGAAGCATGTAAGGGCACTGTTCATGTGCGATCCTCTGGGGACCTTACAGCCAAGCCGCTTCCGCAGGATATCAGCCAAGGCAGAAACGGTAGTCAGCCACTAGATATACGAGGCGACTGGGTGTCAACCTTGCCGCGTGACTCTAGCACATCAAGGCCGAAGCCATAGTCATCGCCGCAGCATGAGATAACGACAGATAACTGAGCTCGAGAAGCCCAAAAAATTTGGTTCCGCACGGCTGGGACTGCAGGGCAATGAAGGTGAGTCTCGCATTGGTGGTACGAGGTTCTACGCTCCAGACCAACGGTGATAACAACCATCAATCCTCGCCTCTGTCTCCCCGTAAATCTCTATCACACTTCACACAATCAAGAGTCTCAGTCTGGCTGTCTCACCATCTCAGCCCGGTTGTTTCTGTGAGGCAAGATGGTTCTCGATCCTATTACTGCACTTAGCCTTGCGGGCAACGTCCTCCAGTTTGTCGACTTCGGTTCTCGAGTCCTGTGCACATTTCGTGCCATCAAGGCTAACGGCGGCCTACCTGAAATGGAAACACTTGAAACCTTTACGACGGATGTTTTGGACTTGACTGCGCGATTGCAGCAATATCCGCCCAGCAACAGCAATCAGGATGCAACTAGTTGGGAGATTGGCATTCTGAAAGCGAATGAACGATGTCAACGTGCCGCTAAGATCCTGGTGGACGCGGTTGAGAAGATAAAGAAACTCCACACCGAGCGTTTTGGGGCTATTCGGCAGGCGTTTTCTTCGGTGGTCAAAGGGAGGGAAATCAGTGCTCTTGCGCGAGATCTCGAAACGGCGAAAACCGAACTCACTCTCCATCTTGTTGCATATCTGAGGTAAGAATCGAGATTTGCGAGTGGCACGGCCGTGATTAATGATAACATTTGCTCCAGCGCCCAACATGACACCGACCTTGAAGAGTTGCTTCGTGCGAGCAAAACTGCCGAAGCCGCTCTGTTGAAGGCGGCAAGGAGCGACCATGAGGATATCAGCTACCAACTAGACAGGCTGAAAGCAGTTATTAAAGAAGAAAATTCGGCCACTCAGAAGGCCATAGGCGACTGGCAGTCATCTTTTGGCTGTGAATTGGCTGTGAAGTTAACGGGGATCGCTGAGAACACCAGGCAGCAGGTGACAGAGGAAGCTCAGAATAGGATGCTGATCAGCTTGTACTTTGTGCAGTGGGGAGACAGGGAGGCCATGATATCTGAAGCTCACAAATCAACCTTTGCATGGATATTTGGTGAAGAGTTTGTGTCTTCATTGAAGGAAACAATATTCACAGATTGGCTGGAAAATGACCAGCCCAAACAGGGCTTGTTCTACATTAGAGGCAAGCCTGGGGCGGGGAAGTCATGTCTTATGCGCTATTTGACCAGGCATTCTCAACTGACGACTTCCTTGCGAAAATGGGCTGGCTCGAGGAGACTACTTTTGGCAAGCTGCTTCTTCTGGAGGGCCGGGACACCACTCCAGAAATCTCTGACGGGGATGCTTAGAGTCCTCTTGTACCAGCTTCTCAAGCAGGAACCGTCGCTTATGCGGATCGCACACCCAGAGCGCTGGCATACCTACTACTATGGACAAGCGGATTTGGACGACTGGTCGGAACAAGAGCTCACAGCTTCTATTGCCCGTCTTTTCAGTCTGGCTTCTGGCTCTTTTCGGTTTGTGATCTTAGTCGATGGCCTGGACGAATATGAAGGTACGGAATCACAGCGGCAAAACCTGGTCAATATGTTCGTCCGCATCGCTTCGGAGCATGACAATGTAAAGATATGCGTCTCAAGTCGGCCGTGGCCTGTTTTCCAGGAAGGACTCAAACGGTTTTCGAGCCTCAATCTCGAAGATTTGACCAGAAAGGATGTTGCCACTTATGTGCGAGATCATTTCGAGGAGGATGTGCATTTTAGGGAGTTACGTGCCATCAAACCTACGCAATGCGACGATCTCCAATCCCAGATCGTGGACAAGGCACAGGGCGTTTTCCTCTGGGTCATCCTCGTTGTCCGAGATATGCTACAGCGTCTGCAAAACGGGGCAACAATCACAAAACTTTTCCAAAGACTCGACATGCTCCCTGCCGAGTTGGATCACTTCTTCATGCAAATTGTCCAATCGATTGTTGCATCGGAGCGCGCTGATGCGGGAAAGATTTTTCAGATCGTGACAGCGCTACCAAAGGCGCACAGGACAGTGCTAGCCTTGTCGTTTACAGAGGAAGAGCACGTTGACTTTGCATTGCATCTCGAAGCCGATGATCTGGTGGAGCAAGCGATTCATCAGCGCATATCCTCAACAAAGCGACGACTTAACAGCAGATGCAAGGGCCTCCTCGAAATAGGAGCGGAGATTAAGCGAGCAAGATGGGTTGACTGGCAAGTTGAATTCCTACACCGTACTGTCTACGATTTCTTCTGTCAGAGCGAACTTTTGCGCACCCGACTCAGCGCATACACCAGTGGCAGCGTAGATGTGTCGCGGTACATGTGTAATGCGTCACTTGTGGAGTTTCTTGCTTTGGCAGATACAGACAGCCTCCGAGCGATGCACACGGAGGCTGGCGAAGACGGTATTGCCACCGCAGTAACCTTCCTCCAATATTCCTCGCAGAACGACCGTGAATCTGGTTCCGTGCCATTCAGCCTTTTGACGGTCTTTCGACAACGGCTGATTGCAAAATGGGATCCTTGGGGTTTGCGGGATTGCGCGAGAGTAGTCATGTTCCAGAAAATGTTCAGTCAATGGCGCTCTGTCCATCCGCTCACGCACTGGCAAGGGGACAGAGGGTCTTTCTTGGGGTTGGCAGCCCAATTCGGCTTGACTCGCTTCCTACGCGCACAGTTAGACGCAAGCTTTGTGGGGAACTTGGACAGGCTGCTCGATCTCGCGCTGGAGCCTGTTCTCATATTCCAGCAGGAGAGGGTAACGCCTTCATCTGAAATTGTGGCTCTATTGCTCGAACGCGCCCGGAAGCCTCTGACCGATTTCTACGGCCGCGCATCTCAGGTCAGGTTGGAAGACAAGGCGGCAAAGATGATCAGCCTCTTGGCTCGGTACAGCAAGCAATTTCCAGACGGAAAAATGGACGAGGCCTGGGCAGACGTGGTCGCTTTGCTCATTGATTACGGTCTGTTCCGTGTGCCACCGGTTTTTGGCAGGGAAGTCCAGAGTAAGACGTTAGAATTCCTCGGGACGGAAGCCAGAGAGTGCTTGAGGGCTAACTTTGAGCCTGCCCAAGTGGAGAGACTGGAGGATCTGATATTTAGGAAAGAATACGAGTTTGTCAACACCATAGATGTACCACCGAGATAGATCAAATGATGGATAGTATTCAGCCTTGGAAGTGCTCATTCTTTCTTATCTGACACGGGAGATTCAGCGAGATCAAAGGCTGATGAGGCTCGCCTGATTATTGGATTAATAACACGAAGATCCCCTTGCAGAGGATTGGGAAAGACTATTCCTGGTCATTTGCGCGGCCGCTTAAATGCCTGAATCGGGCAATGGCACGGCGAAGCGAGGGATCGCCCAATCACATTAAAATGGGGCAATATCGCCACTCTGAGCACATACGAGCAGCACGAGCAGGTGTCTTTCAAAGCAAGGGAACAAAGGCCATCTATCCCTTATCACATTCATCTTATGCTGGATAGCATTGACCGCTGTATTTATAATAATCCCCGTGTGCACCTTGCCATTGCCCTTAAAGGGATTCAGCTCGGACGAATATTATGCCTTTTCGACCAGGTACAAAAGCCCAGCAACGACGGGACGCTGGCGAAGATGCTCAACCAGACACAACCTGCTCGAACCTTCGACGCGGTCAAACCTCGCCGAGCCCGACCTTACACAGTCTTTCGTTCCTTATCCTGCTTTCCTCCGAAACCTCACTCGAATAAGCGCCCATTCCAAGCACTGTCCTGAGCGAAGGGTGAACGTTCCTCGCGATGTCGGCCAAAGTATCAAAAACAGTCTTGATCACGGGTGGTAACGGCGCCCTGGGCTCACAGATCGCCTTTGCGATTGCAAAAGCACATCCGGATGTGTTTTTCATCCTTACCGCACGCAGGGACAATGATGTCCAGGCCCAGAAGATCTCGACCCAGCTCCACAATCAGGGCGTGACGGCCTTCGAATTCCTCACTCTCGATCTCGGACGCTTCGCATCGGTCAAGACCTTCGCAGCCAAAGTCACTGAAAAGGTGCGGTCAGGAAACATCCCGCCAATTGCTGTTCAGGTCAACTCTGCGGCATATTCGTCGTACATAGTGGATGAGAAGACGCAGGACGGGTTTGATCCTGTATACCAGACGAATGTGCTGTCATCGTTTCTTTTGACGACGTTGTTGCTGAAGGGGGCCTTTCAGATGGAAAAGGGCAAGCCTCGGGGGAAGGTCATCAACATCACCAGTGAGACCGTCACATTGGGCAAAGCCGACTTCTTTGACACCTGGGGACCTACCGAGAAGAACCCTATCGGCTCGCACTTGTCGATCATGCAAGGGTTGACCAGATACGGCAGCAGTAAATTGATTGGAGACATTGCCATGTACACCTTGAAGGAGAAGATGTTGAAGGTAAGACGACCTGTTCGCAGTCTTGAAGCCCATATGTATGCACGGCTGACATTTGACTTATGACTTAGGCTGGAGTCAACTCCGTGAACATCTTTTCATTGGACCCTGGAGGGATGAATTCCAACAGTAATCTATCGCGAGGATCTATGCCGACCGCCTTGCAAGTCAGTGCAACGATCCTGTCATTCCTGGGACCTATTGTTCGCTGTTTCCAGAAAAGCCTTATAAACCATCCCCGCGTGCCAGCCGCGGCCGTTGCCCAAGCAGCGTTCGATGCCTCAACCGAAGGCGGAGCAAAGGAAGTCTATTACGTACTGGATGACGAGATTGGACCGAAACGCATAAGCAAGGCCATGGAGGAGCACAAAGACAAGGTCCTCGAGCAGGTGTTGAGGGACACCGGGATGACACTTGAGCAACTCCTTGTCTGGCCTGAAAAATAGCTGGGGCATAACTACATTGATAGGTTGCATTAGGAGGTTCAGTGGAGGTACCGAAAGTTTCAAAGGTGTAAGGAGTCTGTAATATTTACCCTAGCGTGCCTATTCTCTCCAGTTAGGCTATAATAAGGACGAGATGAGGTAATAATAGCACCGCTAGACCTACTAAAAACGGTTAGTGCACCATCCGAGTTTGAGGTAGAGGTAATTAATTAATGGCGCCCTCCCTTATCTTCAAATGAAGTAGAGTGTCCTAGTTTCCCCTTCCAGCCATCCAACCGACCAACCAAGAGTCTCAACTCTCAACGTCCTTGCAGTCAACGCCCACCAGACCCAGCCATCACACTCCGCTCGGCATGGCGGGATGCTGGACCTGTCGTCTGCGGAGGAAGAAATGCGACGCGCAGAGGCCCACCTGCAATGTTTGCCGCCTGCTGTTAATCCCCTGTTATGGATATGGGCCCAAACCCGGGTGGAAGGACGGCGGACCACGAGAGAAAGAGATGGTGGCAGAGATTCGCAGCGGAGTCAAGGCAACAACGGACAGTCTTCGCCGCGCACGCGCCCTCCATGCCCTACGTCAAAAACACCCTCTGACGGCAACGGATGGCACGCCCAAGCTGCTAGCATGTCTTGAAGGCGTGACACCAACGTGGCGTCCGACGCACTCGGATGAGCAACTCCTGGACGAGTATTTCGACCATGTTTTCCCCCTTCAGTTTCCCTTTTATGTGGCTTCTCTTCCTGAAAGGGGCCACGGCTGGCTCCGTTCCCTGATGGTGAGATGCGAACCCCTGTGCTATGCAGCACTTGCCCTGGCCCTCGTCTATCGCGATCCGAGCTCGCACCGCACCGACGCCATCCGTGGGCGGCCGCGCGAAAACGAACAGCAACGGCTCTATGGTCTAGCCGTAACTGGCTTGCGGCAACACATTGACCGCTTAAGCGAGAAAAGTGTCCAAGAAGGCCTGCGGGATGGGATTGAAGTGTTCGCTTGCGTCGTCTATTTGATCATGCTCGAAGTAAGTTTCGTCGGGGGCGGTGCAGCCGCCATATCCAGAGCCCACAGTTCTTTTCTAATGCCAAGTTTTCTCTAGAACTCGAGGGGCCGACTTGATGCGTGGCAGAAGCACATGATTGCATCTCCAGGCATGTTTCCCTATCTGCAAGCTTATTGCGTGGCTTTCCCATACTACCGTCTTTCTGCTTTATATGACGAAGACAAGCAGATCGAAGCAGCAATCAGTCAGGCAAGCTCCACTGACTCCTCCCTTGCCCTTGTGGATCATGTTGCCGTAGAATTCTTCAGTGCTGTTTTCCTCTGGTTCGATACCTTGGCCACCGTCTCGACAGGCTGCAAACCTCAATTTGCCGACATCTGCGCAGCCGCTTTTGGCGCCTCAGACAGCAAGGTGCGACTACGGAATATCATGGGTTGCGAGAACTGGGTGATGATCATCATTCGGGACATCGCAGTGCTCGATGGATATAGGAGGGGAGGACAGGACGGACAACTTCGGAGAGGCGAGGACGTTTGCCAGAAATATATTGAGCTCAAGGAGCGTCTACGATTGGGTCTCGCTGAACCCTGGGAGAGCTACCTTTCACTTTTGGCAAAGGGACCCAAAGACAGAGCAGCAGAGACTTGGCTGGTCCAGGCTACTCCCATCGTCACCCATGTCTTCGCCTGTGCGGCCCTGGTTTACCTGACCGTCGTTCTGTCTGGCCCTGATCCCTATCTTCCTGAGATTCGGGACGCCGTTTCAAGATCGCTGAAGATATTCAGTGTCCTACCCGATGTTCGGATACTGCATGCCATGCTCTGGCCTTTTTGTGTTACCGGATGCATGGCACTTAAAGACCAAGAGTCTTCGTTTGAGGAGTTGGCGGTGAAGGCTAGCGCGTTGACTCAAGGGCCTGGTATTTGGTTGAGGGCTCTTCAGGTGATGAAGACATGTTGGCAGATCCGGAGTGAGGGGAGCCAGGATCACCCTTCCGCCGATTGGTATACTGCCATGTCGACATTAGGCTCCCGAGTGCTTCTTATATGAGGGTTATCGTCATCGTGTCTGGTGGAATGGAATTAGACAGCTGCAAGCTCGAGAATGAATGCAAACATCGACGAGATCCAATTGTATATGACAAAATATTGGCTTTTCATCCTTGAATGTCCTACACAGTTTCAGTGGTTGTTGCCTCGAAAAGCGTAAACCTAACATTCGGAAAGGGCGGGTCATGGGGCGTTATTGAGTTTTGTATCCCAAGCCACCTGCACCGGAGGCGGGGAATTTGAACTTGACATTTTTCATGTCTGCGTCAACGTCACCTACAGAATCATCCTTCTACACAAATGAAATCGCCACCACCAGAACCTCACAATGGCGCAGAACATCAGCTGCTCTTGATCCTCTTCACAGTCATTCCATCAATTGCCCAATGTTTACCTCATTTCCCACTCAAGGACTCCGTTCGTTGGGAAACGGTCAGAACTCTGTTGCCACATCGGCTACAGGGAGGGCTTGCGACTCCTGCCGAAGGTTGAAAATCAAGGTACATAACTCAGGACTCTACATTGGACATCGTTCTGAAGATGGCGTCGATTAGTGTCGAAACGCAAAGTCTCAGACAACCGAGTCTTGCAGTCAGTGTCTGAGGGCGGGTCTGAAATGCACCTACGAAGAGAAGCCTGCAAAACGTGGCCGGCGGCGACGAGGGTAAGCATGAAAGCGAGTGAGCACCGTACGTCTCTGACGGTCCGCACACAGACACGCCCACGAGAGCACCCTTCCCTACTCTGGAAGTCTGATTAGGTTGAACTCTCCACCCTCTCGAACATCTGAACTCTCGCCTACGGCACCATCTGGAAACCTTACAGAGCACGAGTTCGAGTTTGACGGTCTCGCCCAGGGTATCGCACCTGATGGAGACTGTGAGAGATTTGACGCTGATGGTCAAAACTACCCGTTTGAGTCTCAGATATTTGAGTCTGGCACGATTGCTATTAACGACGACCCATGTATGATACCAGATCTGTTACCCCCAGAGGATGAACTATCCAGGGGCGACGACATCTGGAACGCTATCGACGAGTTTTTTGACACATTGCATGTTGTGTTCCCTATCCTGTCATATGCAAGCCTTGCTTCACGTTTGATCATTGACCCCGCATGGCGTGCTATTCCGGAATTTCGCACGCTACTCCTATCCATTCGGGTAGTGAACGCAGCAGGCCAATTTCGCATGGCTCCATCAGATACGGCACATATTTCCGAGCTCATTACCCAAGTTGAGAAGTCACGCTTGGAATACGACTTTGCCGACCCTCCAACTCTCGATAGTGTGGTTATTTCTTTGTTTCTATTCACCGCCTATAATGTCCTCGAAAAACACAACCGCGCATTCCTGTACCTGGACGAGGCGCTGTCTCTCCTGGAGGTGGTAGGCGTTGCCGACGAAGAAGAGCGGCACCGAAAGGCACAAATTGAGCAGGTGCTCTTTAACACAGAAGCAGCGACCATGGCAATCTATGCGAACCAAGGTAGACGGCGGCGGGCTCGCAGACCACGGGAAGTTGTGGATATACCACTGAGGGCATCCCATACCCTTGGCGCCCTTGATGAATCCGACAGGGTTGCTCTGCACCTGTTGAGACGCCTTACTGAAATACATCTCGCCGAGAATGCAGAAGCGTTTGACGAAATCGACATTGACTCCGAGGCTGACATGGCAACGCTGTTCGGGGCAGTTTTTAAACGCCATCGGTACTCCCGTATACAAGCTGCAGACGTGGTGGTCACGCGGCAATGGCAACTTTCAACAAAGCTCGTCGCCAATCTCAAAATGGGCACCGGCATCTCCCCGAGATTACAGAAATCGGTCGAGGCCCTGGGTCTTGCAGCCATGTCTTGGATTTGCTTACTGGGAGAAGGCGAACTACGAATCGTGGGGCTCGGGAAACTGTCTAGCCTTGCGCAGAACATCCGCGTCCTGGCAGGGAGAGGCCAGTGTCAATACATCCTAGGTGGCCTCGCGGGCGCTGTCATCAAGGAGGATCATGAGAAGATCTTTGCGCCTCAACTCGCAGGGGTGGTCATGCCTCTGATTTCGAAAGTACCTGCATCGCTCAATGTCAGGCCGCCCTACGAATATCAGAGCCTGGGGCCTCAGGCACGGACAGCGACACAAGTTGAGCCTATGAGTGGTCGCGTCTTCGAGACCAATAGCATTTCATGGGATTCTTTGACACCGAGTGATGCTGAGCAGACTTATGATGGCAATTCACTAGACCCTATCGATCGATTTATTGACCTCTCTTGACGAAACCCAAACACTACAAGACCGCCTCCATTTTATCATAAATCAAGGGCCTTCTCAGGCAAAAGCTGTCATGAACACGTCCCTCTGATCTTCAACCCACTTCCTTGTCACATCAGCACTCAGCGGAAAAGTGAAGCCATGAGGTACACCAGGGAGAATCTCTTCAGTGACGCTTGTGCCAAATGAGCGAAGCAGCTGTGCATACGCGAGGCCTAGAGGCATCAAATAATCGCAGGCTGCAACTGTAACGTGTGTTGGGGGGTGTTGTGAGATGTCTTTGACCATCAGAGGAGATGCAAGAGGATCGTATATGTCGGTGGCGTTGCCGAGATAAAGTTCTTGAAAAAGAAACGATCAGTAGGTTATCTTCTCACTGACTCGGCATGCTACGTGGAAAACATACCATATACTTTCTCGAATTCCTTGACCACCAGCTCCGGGGCCAACGGTACGTCCGCCACTGCTTGCTCGTTGTGGCTTTTTCCAAAGGGGCGTTGCTTGTTGAATGTTTCCAGCGCCTTCAGGTGTCCAGTCGCAGGAACCACAAGGCTCGCCAACCGCAGATTTGGATATCCCGTCTCTGAACGCTCCCGGGTATGTTTGATGCTAACAGCCGCCGCAAGATTTCCACCTGCCGAGGCACCCCATATACCCATGCGCGAGGTGTCGAGGTGGTATTGGTCGGCGTGTCGGATTGCCTGGTAATTTGCATTAGCCTTCAGTTCGTTTTTGCTTTCTGGCAAGCCAAGGACATACCCATGCAATGGCTTCACAACAGTCATCTAGAGCGGCTGGGAATGGGTGCTCGGGGGCAAGCCTATAATCAACGCCGAGAATGACAGCGTCGAGCTCAGACGCGAAGAATGTCGCAATGGCTAGTGTTACAGTCAGTCTAGAACCGTGAAAATCCAACGTCGGGCTCATGGTGGCGACTCACGATCGTCGCCCTCAGGTTTCCCATGGATCCAGCCACCACCGTGGAGCATGAATATAGCAGGTCTCAGCTTCTGCTTGGGAGCATTGTCTCCGAGCTCGGGCTCGTATACTCGTATTCTGAATTTGTTCTGGCTTCCATCTGAGCACTGCACGGATACATCGGATATGTCGACCTTGGCTTCAGGTTGTCGGCGTTGGAGCTTGCATTTGGCTCTATGTTCGGCAAGAGGTCCTTTCAAGAGAACATTGTCGATCCAATTGCGCATAGCCTCGACGTCGGTACCTGCTGGGGATGTTGTCCAATCGACCGGCAGCTTTGCCAGTTCCTAGGCTCGAGTCAGCATTTTGTTTGCTCGAGGACTGTTGGTCCAGGGCCTCTCACCTGTAAGAAATTGAAGTCTGGGACTTGTAGTTTGTTCACGGGATTCAGCTCCATCCCGTGAAGCCTGCAGAGCAGTTCCAGCTCCGGTGAGATTTCAGCATCCCCGACGGGGGTAGAAGGCGGCTGGGCCTCAGCTATCCCTGCAACTGAATTTGCGGCCATGGTTCGATCGGATCTTTGAGAAGAAGCCAGCCCAGCAGGGAAAAGTCAGTTCTTTTCATCTCGCGTGTCCCTCATGGCCAGGGCGAGGCCTGGGGTGGCGGTCTTCGGAGGGTTCCAAAAGATAAATGTGTTTGATCCATTTGGGGAAATTCCGTTTCTGGACAAATTCCCCAAGTGGCTTAGTGAGGGACACATTTGTCAACGCCACCGCGTTGGCGAGGCTGCGCACAGTTTTCAAAGGTTCTTGTTCCATTCATCCATTGGACATTTCCACAGACCCGTGCGTTTGCCCGCTCACTGCACGTCATATAATTCCCCATGGGGAAGAAGTCGACAGTCATCTCTGGTCTTGGATTCTCTGGCTTCTCTTAGACGGTCCCCCTGACCACATGGATTTCCCCATGGGAAAGGAGTGGATAGTCGTGTCGCCTCCCAGACCTTTGCTACTCATGACCGAGGACAACTGACAATCACGCTACATAACAAACAGAATCCCACTTGCACTGCTCAACGGATCTTCCATATTCTACTGCACCACCACCAACCAACACCACCTCCACCATCATCACCGACTACTTTGGTTTCTCCAACAATGGGTTTGTTAGCAGCCAAAAACGAAACCACCATGCACGAGGAGCGTGTCTCAGATGCCACTCAGGATGCGACCGTGGTTGATCGCAACATCCATCACCCCACAGGCTGGTGGAACTGGAGAATCGTCCTGTCTAGTGAGTCTTTGCTCTCGCACAGCCCAAGACTCGACGTGGCCAGCGGAACTTAGCTAACCTGGCGTGTCTAGTGATAATCGTGGGATTGTCGATGGGCCTTTACGGCTATGACAATAGCTTCGTCAGCCCGCTGATGAGCTTGCCTTTGATGATTGAGAGATATCAGGGTTACGGGGTGGCTTTTACAGTATGGGATTGCCATGGACGCTTGTGATCTTTCATAGAAGGGTTCGCAATGTCACTAACGAGTGTATCAACTATAGGCTCACAATCTCGATGTGCTTGTCACAGTTCCCCTCGTCGGCGCCGCCATCGGTACCTTTCTCGCCACTCCCGCAATGAAGTACTTTGGCCGCAAGAAGACTTTTATCGGCGCCTACTTCCTGCTCTGTACGCCCGGCTCGTTTCTACAGCTCTTTTCCCCCAATATCAGCAGCATGACGGTGGGAAGATTCTGGAATTGTGAGTGACGACGAATCTACCAACGGTGTTGAAAGGGTCTAATTGATATCTCAGATCTGGGGATCAGTGTTCTGACAACCACGGCTCCACTTTACCTGTCGGAACTTGTCCCTGCCCATGTACGCGGCAGAGCGGTTGGTTTTTGCGTAGCGGGAGTGGGCGCCGTGGCTATTATCGCGACGACTATCGTGTGGGCGACTCAAAGGATTAACGACGAGAGGCAGTACAAGATCCCTTTGGCTGTCCAGGCCGCCTGCCCCGTGGCTTTTGGCTTCCTGACCTTTCTCTGCCCCGAGTCGCCGCTCTGGTATCTCCAACACGGCAAGCTGGAAGAGGCCCGACGCGTGCTTATGTCTATTCGCAACCAACAGACAGACATTGTCGATGCAGAAATATCCATGTACCGCATCACTCTCGAAGAACAAGCCGAGATGCGGAAACAGATCAGGTTCTGGGACATTTTGAATCGCGCCAACCTCAAGCGAACCCTCACGGCGGGTGCTTTGATCAGCGCAAGCCAGGTGGGAGGGCAGATCCTGGTCGGGACCTATTCGACCGTCATCCTCGTGCAGAGCGGCGTGGGAAACCCGTTCCAGATGACCGTCGTCATCGCGTGCCTACAGTTTCTGGGGACCATCGTCGGCCCGACCTTGGTGGACAGGGCCGGGCGCCGACCCGTGGCCCTTGTCGGCTTTTCCCTCCTCTTCGTGCTCAACATGGCCGCTGGGGGTCTCGCAGCCGCCGGACTGACGACGAACAGCCAGAGACTGGGCCTTGCCTCTGTCTTTATCATCTTTGGCTTTGTCAATGCCGTCTCGTTCCAATCTTTGTATGCCACACTTCTCTCTCCCCCTCCCCCTCCCCCCTCAAACTCTTTTTTTTCAGTAGACCCAATGCTGACATTCTCGCGACTCACCAAGGGCCTATGTTCTCCCCACCGAAATCGCCACGCCCACCCTGCGCGAGCCCACCATGACTTGGGCCATGTTCTGGTCGTACGTGACGGCCATCATCACGACGTTTGCCATTCCGCAGATCACGGCCGCCGACGCCGGCAACCTGGGCGCCAAAGCCGCCTTCATCTTCGCCGGCTGCGTCTTGATCACCACAATCTGGGCCTACTTTTACATTCCCGAGACGAGGGCCCGCACCGTCGTCGAGGTCGACGAGATGTACGCCCTCAACTTGCCCATGCGGAAGTGGAGACATTACCAGTGCCAGACTGTCCAGCTCACCGCCGAGATTGTCGAGCACAAGAGTGCGGGTGGGGACCACTCTGCTGAAGCGGGCGCTGCGGTCTAGAATGGGCGGAGATCATGAGTGTGATGTGGATCACATGTTCCAAGGGAAGAATGTTGTGTGTGTTTCGATCCATGTCGAGTTAGTTGTCGGCGTGAAAAGCTGGGGGGTTCAATGCAAACAGAATGGCATTTCAAGTGGTTAGGGTGAGTGACGTATCTCAAGACTTTGCCAGGTGGTTCCAAGTAGATGTATATAGCCCTACGAGGATCTATCTGTCTGGTTGAATTCAACCCTGTTGCCCACTACTCTCCATCTGTCTGTCTGTCACGGTAATGCCCCTAATCCCTTACCTCACCCTCGTCAAATAGACGGAATCTCTTGACTTTCACCTTCACTATCCACGCGTCCTAGATCTCTAGAGTGCCATCACGTCCCAATGGTTATTGTTCAGCTGCCAGTCTCGGTACGAGGACGCCCGGCTCTGTGTCTGTATTTATATGCTCGCGCCACGATCTCTCCACGCCTCTATCCGCCACCGCGGCCCCCATTTCCGGAGCACAACTGCGAGTGGCACGCACACGACGCCCAAGACGAGGGCAAACACTGTAAAACACCAGCCCGCTCCAACGGCGTCGATCAGTTTCTCCACCGCAGCGATGCCACCGGTGCTCAGGAGGCAGCGGATCAGGCTGTAGCTCGCTTGGACGGTGACGCTGCGGTTGGGGTTCAGATCGGTCAGTAGCGTGCCGCAGATTGTGAAGATGGAGACCTGGGACGCGCCGCTGAGGAAGGTCATGAGGAGTGGCACTGCCAGCGGCACGTCCGGGTGGGCTTGAGCGTGGGCGTGGACGTGGACTTGGTGGTGTAAGGACCAGCCGTAGCCCAGGGTCGCGGCGCAGCTGATCCCGAATAGCGGGAATATCGATTTCAGTCGGGCCTGTTCGATAGGGAAATCACCCACAAGGTTGAGGTCGATTGGGGATTTGTTCTTGTTTGGAATAGCGGGGATGTGGTCCTTGGTTGTTGCTGTTGTTGTTGTCCGACGGTAGTCCCTGTCTAGAACTCTGCCGGTGAGGAGGGCAGCGAGGATTCACCCAACCCCTAGGGGCAGGTATGTCAGTCCGCCTTGCAGGTAGTTGAGCCCATGTATGCGGATCACCAGCGTGGAGAGCGACGTGGCGATGTACCCGTATACAGTATACTGCATTCCCCCAATGCGTATGACAAGGAAGGAAGCTCGGTCCAAGAGCAGTTTCAAGCAGTGAAGCGGGTTCGGCATGTTGATGCGTGGTCTCCGTCGCTGTTGTCGTCGCGGGGATGCAGCGTCATGGACCTCCTCCTGTTGTTCGACATTTCCGAGGATGTTGACGAGTGGCCGGTACATCCAGTGTGGTGTTTGCCCACTACCGTCGCCGACAAGTTTCCTGCATGTTTCCGGGACGACGAGGAGCAGGATAATCAAGTTACATCCCGACAGGATTGACAGGAACCAGAAGACCCAGCGCCACGAAAGGGTCTCGGTGAGGATACCTCCCAGGACCGGGCCGATGCTTGGTGCTGAGTTTGTGCTGTTCTCATCAATGAGTAACCATGTCTTCCTTTCCGTGAGTAGAGTATGAATTTTCAGAACATACAAGCCCTGTAGAATTCCCACATAGGACCCTCTCTCTGCGGGAGGAGCGATATCAGCTATAAAGCCGTAGGCGATGGCGATCGTGCCTCTAGATGTGTCAGTCAAATTGCTGCTGTGGACCTATGAGACTCTCTCTACCTTACTTGACGCGCCTGCGCTCTGTAGACACCGCAGAGCTATCAAAGCCGCATAGTCGTTCTGCAGAGCAAGGCCCAAGTTGGCAGCGAAATAGACGAGGAATGCCACGAGGCAGATTGGTCTTCTGCCGACCTGGTCGGCCATGTCGCCGAGCACGCTAGGTGCCACGCCAGAGACGATCTGGTACGAAGTGATGGAGAGGTTGATGGCCTCAATCGACACAGACATGGACTGGGCGATTGCGGTTATCGCTGGATAGTAGATGAAGGACGACAGGCCGGAGTACATGGCAGACAGTGAGGCCAGCCATGAGATGCAAAGCTTTTGTCGACGTGAAAAGGTCGAGTATGTCGATATCGCGACTTGGCTGGTAGGGTTGGGCTCAATTGTGTTCATTGTCGGTCCGCTGCTGAGATGTGCTTTTCGTATGACCGCAGTGAGTCAGACAGGCACATTTGCTGGGTATCTAGATCGATGAGAGTCAATCGCCGCTGGCATTGACTTGACAAAATTTGGTGGATGGTCGCGGTTGACCGTCATAAATCAATCTCAGAGCGTGTGCATGGACTTTTGTCACTGGTGGTCACCAAACTAGAAGCATGAGGGTTCGCCCTGCCAACGCAGTCTGTTACACAGGCAATCCTGTTGCCGATCTCAGTCAGGCTGGAGGTAGCTTTCATCATGGTGTAACGTACCACATGCCCTGGCTCTCGCTCAGGTATCTCTGCCAATGCCATGGAAGTGACTCGCCATGCGAGGAATGCTGGAATGGAATTCGCGAGTCTTGGGTTGACAATCTCGTGCCGCTAGCAATGCCTGGGGCAAACGCTTGGTCATGTTTGTGGAGGTGGCATATTTTCGTTCATTTTGTTGACTGTTTCGAGAGGAAGGGGGTTAAAAGGAATGCTGATAGATACTTGCCCCTCGAAGCAGAGTGGATGATACCATGTGGGACCAACCTGTTGATTGTCTACCTCATCACGCCAATCAAACCATAAGTACGAGGGATAGAAGGCGCGATTGCTGTGTGACAGGCACCGCTTACATAACCTCCTGGGTGCCTGCGTCCTATCGTCATCTGCGATAATGCATACAAGGCAGGCTACTAATTACTGACAATCCCCAAAACACCTCGGTTCATTATGTATGTAAATGCGTTCCTCTGAAGCTCATTCCGTCGTCAAGGACAAGGCTTCTCAAATCTAATCTCCGGCTAACATCAAATTCCTCAAGCACAACGGGACTCAAGGTTGTCGCGGTAGGCTCCAACCATGTGTCGAATCCACCATGGTACTTCTCGGTCAAATACCTCATGCTGTCCTTCGCACTGGATATACATACAGTCATTTAGTGTCATGCCAGGTGCTTTGGGTGGAAGGTGCAAAGAAAAGAACTTACTATCCTCGAAATCTATCGGTGTTGGGAAACAAGGCTGAGATCAGAAGATCATACCTCCTGTCTCAGGAAAGGCAAATCAGAAAACTCGGTTAGCCAATCGTGTAAGATGTGAAAGAGCTGGGGAAGGGGGACTCACATGGCGTACAACAGATTCCTATCATCCCAGTCGTTGACGGGAAAGTCCATGCCCATCTTCTTTTGGTACTCTTTTATAAAAGGCCTGCCCATGCGGTAGCGTGGTGCCCTCCAACTGCCTAAATCTGCTTCATGGTGACCCCACATCGCACAGGAATCAAACAGAACAACTTTGTCCGTATCTGCATCCGGCATACAGTTCCCAGGCCAGAGATCGGTGTGAATCAAGCACGGCGTGACCTTACGAGCACCCGTTTCAAGCGGTCGAAGGAGTCGTGGGACGACCAAGTCCAGCGTCTTCCTCTTGAGCTCTTCGAACTCGTCGTCGTGCTTGTTCTGAGCGAGTAACTCGATCTCCATCATGCTCGTCAGGACGTTGGTGAAATGTTTCTCCCAGGTATCTTCCCATCCGGCCTTGTTCGGGATATTGGCGAGATGAGTAACGACATGAAACCCGAATTTGCCGTCTGGTGATTTGCCCGAGCTTTCGCGGTGAAGCTGGACAACAACGTCGACGAACTGTGCGGGATCTGGAACCTCGTCAACCATTTCGCGGAACTCAGAGAGGTAATAATACATGTCTGGGTCGTTTCGGTATGCACCCCAGGCAATTGGCTTAGGGACGTTGGCGGGTAGATACGTGTGGAGGAACTTTTCAGACTCGTACGTCCCCAGCATCATGCGCCTGCCCAAGCTGTTACGTTGATTCTGGACACATCCAGGTTAGTAGAGCATCTTACAACACAACGTGACATATGATGACCCGATTTGACCATTCATACCTTCTTAAAGAACTTGGTCTTCTGTCCATCCCGTTGATAGGTCTCGATGCACAGAGTCTGCACCCATGCACTCGCGCCCGAAGGGTTTATTGAGACCACTTCTGTGCCTTCTGGCAAATCTAGATATTGCGAAAGCTCCCAAAAATTAGTGATAAATTCTCTCAAGATTCGATAATTGCCGAGTGAAAAAGAAGAGGTGGGACACTTTTTTTTTTAGCACATACCTTTGAGTACATTAGGGACGAGCTCTTTCTCTGGTGCATGAGCTTCAATTGCGAGTCCCTTGATCAAGTCAACTGGTGGCCAGACTTCTCCCCCGTTGGACATCTTGGTTTGGCTCAACCAACGGGTGTTTGAGATGGATTGGGATCAACTGGTTTCAAATGAAGTTTGGAGAAGGAAAATACAAGAAAGAAGTTAGGAATGCCAGGAGTCCCTTAGAGAGCCACGGAGCCCGAAGGGTTACTCAAGCACACCCCCTCCATTCCAACCTGGCGTCACCTCAACTTGTCGCCTGCAAGTCTGTGTAACATGCCTTGAGCGAATGATTTTGAACTGCACCGTTGTGGGGAGCAGCCCGGATTGAGAAGTGAGGACGTTGAGTTCCCTAGCCTTTGGTACCTGGTGAGTGTAGTGAGAGTCCTGAGTAATGTAGGTGGGTAGCCAGGCATCTCATGCAGAGAGCCAGTCACGTGCCGGTTTCAGATCCCTTTCCTTACTGACCTCTCCCACAAACAGCCGCAGAGTCTGACATATCCAGGTGGTGTGGTTTATACGGCGTTGCAGGCCACAATGGCAAATAAGACGGTGGCTGATTGCCCCAATGGTCTGGCCGCATATCACCGCAAGCTTGCAGAGTGTCTCATACAGAGCCTTTGCCACCAAAGATTCAACTTCATATCCTGGACCACTGCTTGTCACTCTCAAATTTAATCCAAGACCAGAGGTTGCCTTGCTTGCAGCTGCATTTGATGATGGGGATTTGGTCGTGTTTGATCCTTATACTCAGATCACACGTGCGAGCATTCGGGAGTCAGTTGCAAAGATGCAGGGAAGCAACGATGCCGGAAGAATAACCCTGTTTGCGTTCGAAACACTCCAGCGCCTTTATTGCGTGGATTCATATGAGATGGCTGTTAGGAACTTCGCTTTCGGCAGCAATAGTGAGAGTCTTCTGGAAGTGAGGGGTGATCACTGCAAGATATGGCAGCCTCCGATCCTATCGCAAAATGTCGCCTCGAATGATATGACTAGCAGTTTGATTGACGAGGATCGGTCTGTTACAGCTCCTGTGGTGGCTCTGGAACGTCTATGATGAAAACAACAAGATCACTGAAGTTTTTACCCCATACAATGGAGATCTGGTCTTCTGCGGACACGAGGATGGCCTCAACACCGTACATTCTGTGGACACCGGAGAAGTTATGGCAGAGATATCGGGTCATCCAAAACATGTCGCAATTTGTCTTCTCAATGCAACATTCACAGGTACCTTTCTTGCGAGCGCTGACATATCTGGCAGACTCCTTGTGCACAAAATAGCTCGTCAAGGGCAGTTTGACCAGTTTGATGAAGGGCACTTTTCTAGTGTTGTCAGTCAGATACTTCTTGATGGCCAAGGGAGCAGGATTCTCCTCAGTCTGGAAGGCAGAGACGAGGTGCGCAAAGTCCCAGGCATGGAGATCCTGGCGATCGTCACAAGAGAAAACAATGATTATCAGCGAAGCAAGCAGTAGTATGGTTGTATGGATACCCAGCCAAGCCAACCCCTTCCTTTCTGACGAGCTCCCTATCAGCCCACGAGCAAACACCCCGCACTTCGGGTTCGCAGCCAATAGAATGGCAGCTGAGTCGAGCTCTTTCGCCTGCTGAGTCACTGTGCCATATCCTCATCCGGGGCTGGGAGCTGAGCTGTTGGCACGGTTGACTGGATCTCTTCGTATCTCAGGGTCTCGTGTCTCGTGGGATGGAGGGGGGTTTACTTTGTCACTTTCAACAACTTTCTCCTGCTTGTCCCTCTCCAGAAGGTAGTTTCACACATGTGCAAGTAGATTTGTATATATTCTCATCACTCCCCTTGACGTGTACGAAAAAGGACCATGAGATTGTGCCGCTGAAAGACCGCTCCCAAGCCTTTCACAAAAAAAAAGAACACCATCCTTCCCTTCAAAAATGCCCATCATCGACAAAGACGTCCCCCAAACCATCTCGATCCCTTCAGCTACGCTGCGCAAATTCTCGGGATCTCGAGTCGACCCGTACACCCGCTACGTCGCCTACCGGCTCTTCAGAGACCTGAACATCTCGGTCCAGGGCCAGCGGAACATCAACAATGCGCTCAGCAACCTCCCCGTCCACGTCTCGGTCGCGCCGGGCGAGAAGTTGTCCTTTGGTTGGGGTCTGTCCAATGTCATTCGTGACCAGGCTGTGCATGAGGGTTCCTACGAGCACCTGGCCATGATGATCGCGTTGGGAGAGAGTTTCCATGAACCCTACGGGGCCAGAGTCCTCATGGCCATGGCCGATGCCGCTGCCGGCCCCGACGACATGACGCCCCATTTCAGTCAGTGGCAGGCTGCACTGCACGGGTGCAACGGCATATTCGCCACGTCGGATTTCGGGCTACTGGTCGAGGATTATCTTCAGATCGACCCTTATCCCATCGTCTATCCTATGGAGGGGGTCAAGAGAATTGATGATGTCTTCCCACCAAGCATGATCGCTGAAGCGTTACGGGCGTTGATGCGCGTCACAAAGGGAGAAGCAAAGCATGTCACGCTCATCGGCAGTGGCATCATATCGTGGTTCGCAGCTATCGCCGAGTGGCTGTGCGATCTGCGAATCGTCGTCTATCAAAAGGACGGGAAAGAACTCCGCGTCACGCACCCAGACCAAGAGCCCCAACTCACCCTGGTGTTTGTACCGGAAGCTGGCATCAAAGCATCCTTCGACCCGTGGAAACCTTCAGGACCTGCTGTCGAAGAAATGTCGCTGATCGATCGGACATACTCTGCCACTCTCCACACCACGAGATTTGGAGGCCGGGTTGCGTGGCAGTCTCTGCTTCCTCGAGTATTCGGCAAGAGCTTCCACCATCTCGATCATGACAACTCCAAAGCCTTTGGGACAATGATTGGGAGCGCGGCGCGCATGTTCGAGGGTCTGGCGCACGGCAAGGGACACGAGGATCACGGGCAGTTGGTGTCGGTCCAAAATCAGAGCAATACCGCGTCATACGGCGCCGGTCTCATCGAAACCATCACCAATTGGCTCCCCGAGCTGCGCAGATTTCAAGGTCGCATGGAACGGTCGTTGAAATTGTCACATGAGGATGCCTCAGCCTCGTATGTGGAGAACTTGACCAAGATCAGAAAGGCCTGCCACTGTGGAATCTGCACGTCCAAGGATGAGGTGGACAAGGACAAGGAGGGCCATCCCCCCGATCACGGCTACTGTCTGGCAGTGTTGGTTGAGACGGTGATCTCGCTGGGGTTGGCTCTGGCCCGGATGGCCGTGTCGGCGCGACTGTTTCCCACCAGATCCGGTATCTACAGCTTCTATCAGAGTCAGGTGGCCCGGAGAATGGAGGCTCGAGGCCTGCACTGGACGATGCATTTCAAACTTGTCTATGGGAACGTGTGGAACGCCCCTGATGCCGTGCGACTTCAGAACTCGTTGCAAATATTTGCCGGGTCGAGACCCCAAGGGCACCTTCCGGAGAACTTGGTCGCGCTGTCACATGAGGGATGTTGCGCATATTTCATGGATTTGGAAAAGAGAATGAAGTCGTCGTCAGATTGCCCCCAGGTCAAATTGATCCGCGTGGTGCCCGGGGGAATCAACGTTGGCGAGAAGGTCTTTGACAGGGCGTGCCTGGGGCCTATCGAAGATGCTGACCCAGATGATCCCTGGGAGGCCATCATTTATGAGCATCTTCCCGAGCCTCTCTTCTGCAAATGAGGCTTAGGCGACAAGCGAGACCCGTTTTGGGAAGGTCTCAGCTACCCGGAATAGATGCAAGAGTACTGGGTCACGGGATGCGATTTGGTTGTTGAGCGGGTGAATCGTGCTCAACAACCAACATTTGGACTTGACGGATCAAAGGAAATATTGTGTTGTTCTTTTCTTTTTCCCGACTGTCAGATTTGTGGGCAAACGACTAGAGAGGCGACGCCATCATCGATCGAGGAAATCTCGGGATCTTTAAAGCGGTGGGGAGTAGAGCGGCGCCAGGGGGCGAGGGCTAAGTTTGACGTGTGGTACTTGTAGCTCTGGCTGACTGGTGCCAGGCGAGAGACACGGAGATGCTTCGGGGGAGATTTTTGAGAGTTGAGGTCAAGTGGTTCGATTGAATTGGCGTGTCTCGTAGTTGTGTCTTGGATGATGTGACTGTAATTTTACAGTCTCTTGGAGGTGGATATCTGCAGCATACCGAGTACGACCAAATGTCAGTGACAAGACAGAGTACATGACAATGCGAGTCTTTGAGCTCCTTGGTCTGCCACGTTGCTTGCTTGGTGCTTGGCTAGAAACGCAGCGAGCAGAAACGCAGACAAGCCCAAACAGGACAAACAGATCAAACAGGGCATCCCGCCAATCCGCCTCATATCCGGACGAGTCCGAGGCGGGGAGCTCATGAGCCTAACAGTGCCTAGTACAAGCCTAGCATCGCCTGGCGAGCCAAACAAAAGACCCAACGACCCAATGACGAAACCTGCGTCTCTTATTATCTCCTTGACTTCCTACTAGGTATTGTAAGTTATTACCAATTAGTTAGTCGCTGGTCTTCCTCCCGGACCAAGCTATCATCAACCACAAGCTCCAGAACCTCCCCTTTCGAACCTCACGAGACTGCCTTGTTTTGTCGTGGTCGTGGTCGTCGTTGTCGCCCCTTTGTTGTCATCCAGATAAAATCCCGCGAAGATAGACGAGCAAAGTCCGTTACTTCATTGGGACCTGGACGTCTTGCCTCTTCGCTCTCCTTATTTACTGTCTTGACGAATCTCCCCTCCATCAATTTGAAGCTCCCCCGGTTTCTTGTCTCCAGTCTCCAGTTTATTCCTCCATCGTTCCCTTTTTTTTTCTCACACACACCTTTCTCTTTTTGTGTGGCTCCTTGTATACACTTCCCTTCGTTGGTCTAGCTACAAGGCTTTCATTGGGTCTTCCTTTCCGATTCCACAATGGCCGCCTCAGCTCTCCTGAAGAGTAGATGCAGAAGAGCGAGCTATCTAAATGTGCGTACACCTCCAGTGTTGCTTGCGTTGAGCTTGAGCAGCAACTCCCAGCCATAAGCTCTTAGAACCCTTTTGCATTTCCCCTCTCGTTGAAGATGATGCGGGCCTCGAAGCTATACCTAGCCTGACTTCTGTGGGTAAATCTGGCTGACGACAAATGACAGAAATTGACCAAGGCTGAAGATCTCATTGATCTATTCCCTCACGGTTCATATATCGGTTGGTCGGGCTTTACAGGCGTGGGATACCCCAAGTACGCTTTCTCATCACGTCACCTACATCATCTCCTACCTATCTCACTCCGCCATGGTAACCTGGTGCTAATCACGTTGGTGGTAAAACAGAAAGGTGCCAACCGCTCTCGCCGACCACGTCGAGAAGAATGGCCTCCAAGGCAAGCTCAAGTACAACCTCTTTGTGGGAGCCTCGTCCGGGGCAGAGACCGAGAACCGATGGGCTCGACTCAACATGATTGAACGCCGCGCCCCGCATCAGGTCGGCAAGGAGATCGCCAAAGGCATCAACAACGGCAACATCAAATTCTTCGACAAGCATCTCAGCATGTTCCCGGTCGACTTGATGTACGGCTTCTACACTAAGCACAAGGCCAACAACCGCCTGGACGTGGCCATCGTCGAAGCTTCGGCCATTACAGAGGACGGCGGCATCATTCCTGGTGCCAGTGTTGGGGCGTCTCCGGAAATCATCCAGATGGCGGACAAGGTAGGAGCACAGCTGATGACCAGTATCGTGCTGGGTGAAGACGACTGATCACTTCCTTATCAGATCATCATCGAACTCAATACCTCCGTACCTAGCTTTGAAGGTCTACACGACATTACAATGACAGACCTCCCGCCACGAAGAAAGGCATGTTATCACTCCCTGTGCCTGGATCTCCAAGACTGACTGGTCTCGTTTACAGCCATACCTGATCATGGCCCCAGAGGACCGCATTGGAACACCACACATCCCTGTCGACCCCGAGCGCGTGGTGGCTCTCGTTGAATCCGATTATCCCGATCAAACAACCGAGAATGCTCCCGAGGACGCAACCTCTGCGGCCATCGCGCGCAATCTGATCGAATTCTTGGAACATGAGGTCAAACATGGCCGGTTGCCACCGAACCTGCTGCCTCTGCAATCTGGCATTGGTAACATTGCAAACGCTGTGATTGGCGGTCTGGCTGTAAGCACATACAACCCCCAATCACAAGTAGACAGCCTCCACAGTCACATCCGCTGACCTCTTCACCAGAAAGGAGGAGCCAACTTTAAGAATCTGAAGGTGTGGACGGAAGTGTTGCAGGATTCCTTCCTCGACCTCTTTGACAGTGGCAATTTGGACTTTGCCACTGCGACGTCCATTCGTTTCTCTCCCGGAGGATTCCAACGCTTTTATGATGGCGTAAGTGTCACCCACGTAGATTTACATCTTTTGCACATCAGGGGCTAAGAATGCGTCAACAGTGGGAGAACTATCACTCCAAACTCATCCTCCGATCTCAGCAAGTATCAAACTCGCCTGAAATCATCCGCCGGCTCGGTGTGATCGGCATGAACACCCCCGTCGAGGTCGACATCTATGCTCACGCCAACAGCACCTGCGTCCTGGGCTCGCGGATGCTCAACGGGTTGGGTGGTTCAGCCGACTTCCTCCGTTCTGCCAAATACTCCATCATGCACACTCCCAGTACACGACCTTCCAAGACCGATCCCCACGGTGTGAGCTGCATCGTGCCAATGTGCACGCACGTCGACCAGACGGAGCACGACCTGGATGTTGTCGTGACTGAAATCGTGAGTGTCTATCCCAGACTCTACTTCTATCTGGACTTGTAAAGCTAACAATGGTAAAAAAAAAACAGGGCCTAGCGGACGTGCGAGGAATGAGTCCACGAGAAAGAGCGCGCGAGATCATCAAGCAGTGCGCCCACCCGGAGTACCGCCCCATCCTGCAGGATTACTTTGACAAAGCCGAGTTCGAGTGCTTGAGGAAGGGCATGGGCCACGAGCCGCACCTCCTCTTCAACACTTTCGACATGCACAAGAACCTGGTGGAGAACGGGACCATGAAGATCAACGGCTGGAAATAGATAAGACGATCATGACACGGGCGGCGCCTGTCTCTGGAAAAAAGGAGATGGCACCAGTCCGTCCCAAGGCCTCAAGGCCGGAATTTGGAGGGGTTTTGACGAAAAGACGAAAGTCATTCGTGGGGGTGGCCGTGAAGCCGGGAGAATACTGACGTCGGATGTGGGATGTTTTGTACCAAGAGCCATATACTAACGAGAAGGAGTTTTCATAATCGACGTTCTTTGAAGAGAGAGAGAGAGAGAGAGAGTGTGTGTGTGTGTGTGCCCTGGCCAATGCGCACGAAATACTCCGTTACAGCTCTCAATGTCATGATCCTGATCCTGATCCGGAGACATCCTCTTTCGTCACATCCGTCGACACTGTAATCCCAAATCTGCCTTCGAGGAACCCTTTTGACATGCCATGACATTTCGCCGATTGAGCCTGGCGTAGAAAAGAAGGCTGGCCATCTATCCCGCTTGACTACCGCACCATCACCGCTCGCGGCTTATGGTTTTGAGCCCAGCCCGTGATGGCGCGGCGGGACGGGATCTAGCGACAAGTCCACCCTGCCAGCAGCCAGCGCGATCCTAGATTAGTAGGGACGGAGTACGCGGGACCGAATCCACCCGTGGCCTCCCTCATCCATGCACTCGTGGCCGGCGGTTACTATTCATTAGTGTTTCTTTCCTGTTGTCACACCGGGAAGAAAAGCTTATCGTGTATGTCTGTATGTCTCCTAGGTGCCCGGGCATTGCACCCGCGGGTGCTCTACCACTCGTGCGACTTCGACGACTCGTGTGGGAAGATCTCTCGACGCATGTTGAATTCAGATTCAGGCTCGAAAAGCGATGCAGAGGAAGCACGGTGGACTCCTTCCCGCAGTAATAGGTATCGGACAGAAACTCTTTTTGTTTTTGGTTTTCTTTTTTGTTTCACATAATTCGATGACAATCACGGATTTTCACTTTCCGCCGGCTCGTTTCGTGGAGGTTTTCGGCCATAGACTACTGCACTGATGTCCCCTCAGCCGTTTTGAGATATGGGATGAAAAGAGATGGTTCACGTACCTGTAAAAGTAAAACCCCTGCTTCGATTTGGCGATCATATCGTTTCGTACTTGGGCCAAAAAGACCTCGACCTCTTCGGGCGACCAGCCCAGACACCTGGTGAACAGGGCTAAACTGATGCTCTGTAACCCTTGATACAGGGCGACCAGCTGCGCCGAGCCGCCTTGCTTCAGTTTTTTATCTTTCGGCCACGTCCCGAGCGGCAGCTTGAACGGGCGGACCACGACGTCGACAAAGCCGGCGTTGCGCATCTCGACGCCAATGTTGTCCAGGTCGGGAGCAAGGGACCGGCCCATCCGCTCGATGCCGTCCCTCATGTACTTGCACCAAAGCGCCAGAGGGTCTTCCTCGGGGATGTCTCTGATATCGTTGCCCAGTCGAATTTGCACTTCTTGAGACTCGAAATACCCGCCGGGGGAGAGGTGTCTGATAAACAAGCGTTAGAAAAAGGGGAGAGAGGGGATCACAGACCCAACAAAAGGGGTGGGCCAAACCGAAAGATTTGTTGGGTATATTTCGCGAGGTTCTGGATGCTCCCCGAGATCATCAGTCTCGAGAATATCAGAGAAAAGTGATCCTCGGGCCAGGTCCACGTGTCTTCGACGTCGTCAATTTCGAATTTGACGTTCGGAGGCACCCAGCCGGGTTGCATTGGACTGAGATCGACGCCAAAGACTTCGGCGTTGGGATTCTCGTCGGCGACCTGGATGGCCCATATGCCCGTTCCACAGCCCAGATCGAGAATTCTCCCGGGGTTCTCGACGGGAGACAAGAAATGTCGTCCCAATGTCGTGATGATGGCGTGGTGTTGCATGTCCATTCGCTCCTGTTCGATCTCGTCTTCGGGCATAAAGTATTTGCCGTCTTTGTAGACATGGTATCGCCGGCCGTTTTCATACCGACCTTGAAAGATAGACGAGCGTACGGACTGGGTCAAAGTCGACATGTCGTCCCCCAGGGCAGAGTCAACGTCCTGCTCATCCTGGTGAAAGTATCAGCATAATCTCGCATAATATTCATGGGATTGGAGGCAACGACTCGTACCGCTTCAACATGGTCGTTGTCTGCACCAATCTGCTGCTCGTCGGCCATGGTGAATGGCCGGTGGAGGGAATACGGGGGTGGGTTTGTGTAACCCTTGTGAGGTGGAACAATAGGCAGTCTACTTGCTCCCCGCTCGAGACCAGACACGAGATAGTCGTCATGCAGATCAAACACATGACCAAAACTGGCAGACCTGGTGTGGACGCTGAGGTGCTCGTTACGGGCGAGCCAAGCCGGGCGTACGCGGGCCTCTCCGAGTGTCTACGGAGTTGTTCGGGGGAGTCGCACCCGATGCATTAGTGACTGATGACTAGTGACGGGCTTGTCAATTCAAAAGACCGATAATAATATTCGTCGTCTGGTCGTCCTAGTCTTCTTGGTGAGTTGTCACCGCTGTTGTACCTGTCGGTGGCTGTCCCGCGTACATGAGTGACAAGTAGGTGCCTATCTTATCATTTCCCCAGACAATCTGAAGCAGCTAGTACTCGCTATGTAGGGAGATCTCACCTGTCATGCCACGCCAAAGCGTCATTTCACTTAGCGACCTGGCCATGCACCGAGGCCAATGTATTTCCAATTCTCGTTGAGGGGTCGAATCCCTTTCCTCGAACCTCGTTGATTTGAAACTCTACGAGATTATCCGCTCCATCCCACGTCTGCCTTATTCCAACCCCCATTCAGATGGCGTTGGACATCTGGCTGACTAGATTCTTCTTGTTCCTTGTCATTTTCTACGCGTACAGCTCGATCCGCTCTTATCGGCGGCTGAGGAGGTTCAACGGACCTTGGTCGGCAGCATGGTCCAACATCTGGTACTTACGCGCCTCACTTAGCGGCAGAGCACATATAGCTCTGTCCGAGGTATGCACCAAGTATGGCAGTATTGCACGGATAGGTCCAAACACGCTCGTCACCTGCGACGAGGAGCTCTTCCGAAAAATCAACTCGATACGCTCGGGTTATGTCAAGTCGGACTACTACAAGGCATTTCGCTTCGACGCCGACCGGGAGAATGTCCTCAGCACCACCGAACCCGAGGCTCTGTCTTACATGAGAAAGAGAGTGACGGCTGGTTATTCCGGCAAGGAGAATGCACACCTCGAGTCAGACATGGATCGTGCTCTGTGGAAATTGGTCAAGCTGTGGAAGGACAAATATATCGCCCGTAGCTCCAATCCTCGACGGATGGATCTGGCCAGGATGATGCAGTATCTCACTCTCGACATCATTTCGACACTATCCCTCGGAGAGCCTCTGGGGTTTCTGGACAAAGACGAAGATCTCTACGAATACATCAAAACCATGACAGACAATTTCCCGGCCATGACATTCATGTCGGCGGTCCCCATCCTCAGCAGGCTCATGCGTATCCCCTCAGTTCAGCGGACTCTCGCACCGTCGGTGAAAGATCGCATCGGAATGGGCCGATTAAAGGCGGTCGTGAGAGAGAAGATATCTCGACGGTTTTCCGAGGGCAAAAACGAAGGCAGAGAGGACATGGTCCTGAGCTTCGTCAAGCACGGTCTGTCGCAGGGGGAAATCGAAGACGAATCCATGCTGCAGATCATGGCGGGATCCGATACGACGGCCACCATCCTTCGCATCGCCTTGATCTACATAATCTCCAACCCGCGCATCTATCGAGCGCTCCAGCGTGAGTGTGATGCCGCCAACGTGCCCGAGAACGAGATCATCACCAACGAACGTGCATCACAACTACCCTATCTCATAGCAGTCATCCAAGAAGCACTTCGCTATCACCCTGCCGCTTCAGGACATGGCCCACGAGTCGTGCCTCCACAAGGCGACACCCACGACGGAATGTACATCCCCCCAGGAACGGTCATCACCGTCTGCACCTGGAAGCTCCACCGCCTCAACTTCGATGCGTACGGGGAAGACGCCGACATCTTTCGACCGGAGAGATGGCTCGAAGCGAGTCCCGAGCGACTCGCGAGGATGGAAAAGGCCCACGACCTGGTCTTTGGGTACGGGTCGTTCCGGTGTCTGGGCGAGAGGATCGCACGCATAGAGCTGCACAAGGTCCTGTTCGAGCTGGTGAGGCGCTTTGATTTCGAACTCGTCAATCCCATGCACCCTCTCGACAATAATGTCAACTATGGCATTTTCCTGCAAAGTGGTCTGTGGGTCCAGGTCCGAGAACGCAAGCTCTGAGGCACTTGGACATGTTTGAGATTGGCGGTCTCATTTGTTGCTAGGTGTCTGGACTCTACCACTGACTTTTCTTGGTCGAAAGCGGGTATCTATCTTTGCGTTTGGACCACTGCGAGCGCCAAATGTCTCTGTGATATATAACGTAATGGGTCTAGTATGTGCCAGGCTGTGGACATACTTTTTCACACTTAAGGAGAGACCTTAATTATCATCAGAAAGTTCCTTGTATAGCCCTAACCTGGGCTACTAAGTTGTGGACCACAATGATGTGAACGTATTCCAGTGTTTGCGTTAGACAGGGTAACAGCCCTGCGCAGCCTCGTCGCGTGGCTTGCGTTGGTGGGCAGAGAGCTTCATGTAATGCGTCTCCTGTTGCATGTGGTTGTGTGTGTTTTACTTGGGGAAAGCCCCACGAATAGAAAAGTTGGTCCGTACTTGGACAAATCTCAGATTCGTAGCCAATGTCCAGATCAATTCAGCCTAAATTCTTCAGCCCTTGGCAGCCTTTCGACCCAAGTCCCTCCCTTTTGGCCCTTTTGGCCCTTTCAACGCGATGCGACGCCTTTGCTCCTCCTCGGCCTTGTTTCCGCCCTTCTCCTTTCCCCGCGGCGCCACTGGCCGAACATGTCCGACATCATGCGCGCCTTCTGACTCTGCTATGTCGAACTCTGCAGAACCGCGAGGCTATTCCTTTCAAAGTGCGTCTCTCTGAAGATCCTTCCATGTCCCAAGGACACACTTTGGTCGCGGTCCCGCCAACAATGTAACCAACGTCACCTCTCGCCAATCCCTCTGTGCCAAAAAGATTACGCCTGGATTTTCTTTCCGGTCGGTGTGCCGCGTCGAAGAGAAGGAAAAAGAAGTGTCACTATGTACCGAGAGTACTGGGTCCCACTATCAATGTCGCAGCAGCAAGTCAAAAGGCCCCTTGGTCTCGATGTCGCGATAACACAGCCGCCACTCGGTCTTCACGACGCACCATGCATATGCTACCAAGAGCCTCCCTGCTGTTGAAACATGATCACATGTCCAGCTCCGGTGATGCGGAGCTGGGTATGTGGGACAATCAGAGAGACCGCTTGCTTCAGTCTTACCACCCCAGCGTCCGGGGGCCCAACATTGCTGCAAGACCAGCCAGGGACAGGCAATCCAAGACCAACAACTGGATTAGGAGACGAACCCACCCCCGCGTGGAGGGTCGATCATCCATGAAGACCCAATCACAACGGTGTCGGCGTTTGATATTTCTGTTAACGGTATCCCGAAGTGGAGCTGGAGATTTCATTGACCATGATCCGTCGTGATCATAGCCTATTGGAAAAATTCTGCCATTTAGCAGATACGTTTTTCGCCGTCCTCTGTACCGAATGATGGAATCGCACAGGGCGTCTTTCGGCCGATCAGTGGGCGATCAGCGCTCAGGATGTGGCGTAATAGGAGCATATAAAACCGTGGGTTCCTGACTCAGGGAGACCGCTCGTCGCTGGCGGCTCTTTCGCGTGACTATCTTTCTGCCGAATCCATCGAACGCTGAAGACAACGACCTTGTTGAATGTGAGGTGTCACAATGGGTCGCAAATACCTAGGAGGCTCGGGGACCGCCCTGACTGTCTGGATCTCGCTGGCTGCATCGACTGTCCTCATCTTCTATGGCTATGATCAGGTACGCTCTTGGTTCTTCTGGCTTCCCTTTTCGCTAATGGTATCTTTCTATTGTCCAGGGCGTGTTTGGCAACGTGTAAGTGATTCCATGTTATGGCTCAACGTCCGCCAGAAACTCATCTATAGGTAGCCTTGTGGGAGAGGATTTCCTCCAGACGATGGGTAATCCAAGCGCAACTGTCCAGGGAACGCTCACGTCTGTTTATAATCTCGGCTGCTTCGGGGGCGCGCTGTCGACGTTGTATACAGGAGATAAGCTCGGTCGCCCACGCACCATTATGCTTGGGAGCTCCGTCATCGCCATAGGCGCAATCATCCAGTCGGCTTGCTATTCAAGGGGGCAAATGTATGCTGGCAGGGTGATCGCCGGGCTTGGAACAGGCATGAACACTGCCACTGCTGGGGTCTGGCAATCGGAGACCAGTAAGATGCATAGCCGTGGCAAGCTCGTCATCATCCAGATGGCCAATTGTATCACTGGCTTTTGCTTGTCAAACTGGCTCACCCTTGGATTCTCGTTCGCCAAAAGTTCAGTTGCCTGGCGATTTCCTCTGGCCTTTCAATGCTGTGAGTTCCCCAATTCTGTCCGCCAAGTGCTCGTTTGCGGTGATTTGCTGGCAACTAACCCGAGGAACAGTCTTCACTTTGTTGATATGGTTGATGTGCCCTTTCCTGCCGGATTCTCCCCGTCTCTTGATGCGCAAAGGCAAGCATCAAGAAGCACTAGAAGTGCTCGCCGCCCTCGAAGGACATGGAGCTACGGTCGACTCGTCGTCGGTGCGTACACAGTACAATATCATCAAAGATGTCCTGGAAAAAGAACACGCCCAGACCTACACCTGGTGGCAGCTTCTCACCGGTCGAGGACCTTCAGGAGTCGTCCGTAGGATGATCCTGGGCGCCTGGATGCAGGCATCTAATCAGATATCAGGTATCAATGTCACGAGTTACTTTCAAACGTCAGTCTCTTGTTGTTTGTCCTGGTAGAATGCTGATCGGCGACAGATATATCTTCATCCACGCCATCAACCTCAATGAACTTTTGTAGGTTCAACATGACTCAATTTCGTACCAAGTACTGACAATAGGGGGCAGAGCTCGAATCCTTGCGGCCGCCGGGTCCGTCGACTACCTCATCTTCAGCTTCCTGGCGTGGTTTGTCATTGAGCGGTACGGACGTCGTCGAGTCATGATGTGTTCGGCGTTCGCCTGTTCCATGTGCTGGATGATCATCAGCATTGCCCTGGGCTTGTCTGAGAACGGTAAAGGAGACACGTACAAGCTCGGTGCCCTCGCCACGACCTTTTTCTTCGTCTTCTTTGCCTCGTTTGGAATGGGCGTGCTCGGTGTCCCGGTGAGTCTCCAGTTCCCGACGACATTTATCCACTCGATTTCCCCCAACTCTTGTCTGTATCACTCCTCATCATGCTCACTCTCCACATGGATATCCACTCGTGGGAGGACTACTAACGTCTGACGATAATCATAGTGGCTCTACCCTACCGAAATCAACCATATCTCTTTCCGCGCCAAAGGGGCTTCGCTGGCAATGTCGACGAACTGGATCATGAACTACGTAAGTTGACCCGGCCTCGTGTCTGATACAAGCAAGGCATATTCGCTTTCGAGAAATGCCATGTCCCACTTTCCACCAATTGCCTGAACCCCTGGCAATCGGACACTAACTTTTTGTTGCAGATGGTCGCGCAAGTCACGCCCCCGGGCATCGCCAACCTGGGCTACAAGTTCTGGATCATCTGGGCCGTGCTCTGCTTCTCCTTCATCCCCATCACCTACTTCTTCTACCCGGAGACGGCGAACCGCACCCTCGAGGACATTGACCGCTACTTTGCCGAGCACCGCAACATCTTTGTCTTCCGCGACAAGGTCGCCACGCAACTGCAGAGGCCCGAGATGTGGGCGCGCATCGACGAGGAAGTCGCGCGCAGGGCCGAGGAGGAGAAGATCCGCAACGGCGAGCAGGGCGATGACGAAGGCGTGGATGTGGAGAAGCGGGATCAGGAGGTCGTGTATATCGAGAAGTAGCAGTGAGCTGCCAAGCTCCTTGGGAGCGTTGTAATTGGGGTTGGGAAGAAAGAAACGAGGTCGATAGATAGGGAGGGAGACGGAGAAAAAAGGAAAGAAAGCGCAAGGCTGAGGTGGAGAGGGACCCCAGGGACAACGAGTGACGACATCACATGCACGGAATAGAATGAGAGTGCCCTTCAGACCTAAACAATCAAGATATGAAATACACATATACCTAGCGGACTCCTGGAGCGAAATCCCAACTTACACTCAGTACTTGTAGGCAGGCGGGGGGAACCCAAGACAATGCGAGATACCATCTTGCTATTCAAGTGAACCCTCTTCACAGTCTGTATCTACCTGAAGGACATAGAGTCCCCTTCAGCTCCATCCTTTGTACCCGGTCAATGAGTCCCCGAAGGCTCGATCCGATCAGGGAGGGTGGTGCTGCGCGCCACAAACACGCACCTGTGCAGTGCGAGGATAGTAAACGGAAGAAAACATTCGTGTCCCATTTCAGGATCTGGGGGGACAATCATCCACCTATTGGGCAGAGCGTGCTCTCTCGACGCCACTATTGATTCAACTACCGATGTCCGCCGAGTGGCTATGCACACTGGCACATCAGATACTTCACACGTGATCTCCGAGTACGGCATTGTCGCAGTTACCCGCCGAAGGGCGACTGGCGGCATCTTCCGCAGGATGAGATTGACATGAGTCACATCACGAGATCTGCACTATTCGCGCAAGTTGGTGTTGGTCGACTCCAGAAGACGAGAAGTACCGCATATACACGCGCGACACGTCTCCCGTGAAGCCAGTATCTTTTCCTTCGCCCTTGCCCTTGCCCTTGGAAGTAGGAAGGCGAGGATCCGACGAACCAGATGCTTCTCCCGTGGAACCAGTAGCGTCGGACTTGCCTGTCTGATGGCATTCGGCCTGAATGGCAGTCTAGCCTCGACGAATGGTGCAGTAGATCCCTTCTTGACCGAGTCACCTTCGCCTGTCTTCACCAGCTTTTCATTCCAACTTTCAATATCTTGTCCGCCATGTTGAAAATCAGCGGGTGGTATTCTTCTTGGAGGACTTCGCGTACACTATTGGAAGACTAGCAACCTGGACGAACAGAAAGGGAGCTGTTCGACGAGCCTTCCGATGCGTTTCCCTTTGCAAATGTTTCCAGCTCTTGACATGGGCAGGAGGAAGGTCGGGATCAAGGGGCTCGACAGTATAGAGGGCAAGCCGTTGAAGCAATCACCACTCTTGAGTTTTGATACAGTAGATTCTAGAACCAGACAGTGTAATAATGCCCTCAGCCTAAGGGGGCCCCGTTGTTGAACGATTTAATCGCAGCGTGCGTCGTCGCACGCCACTCCATGGCAAACCACAGAGTTTTGGGGACGCAACAATCGACAGTGAAATGTCCACGATCGTGACAGAGCAGGTGGCTTTGGATGGAAATAAAAGGTCGAGGAATCAGAGCGGAAGAGGGATCGAGGCTATGGACCGCTGTGAGTGACGAGTTCGAACGGGACTCACAGTCTTGTATCGTTGAACAGGGGAACCATTGGAGGCTACGCGCCGACCATGGCGCGGGAATGTGAAACAAAAACAGACTTCTTATCGTCTCTTTGCGGGACCAAAGTATGCAAACCAAGAACGGCGGGGCATTGGAGGGAGAGTGGAGCTGAGAAGTATGGCCACCGGACGAGGTAATACAAGGATCGATGCGACTATGCGGTAGGGAGGAGGGTCAGGTTGCGTATGCGTACGACCGAGCACAAGAAAATCAGGCTGGAAGAGGTCAGCAAAAGAGACAGCGAGTGAGGGAGAATGGTAGATGAGTTGAGAGGGTGAGGATGAATGGTAATGGTCCGGATGCATGGCGGAACGAGCAGGATGCAGGAAGCACGCGTGAAGGAACAGCGGGATGTCGAAAAGGTCGAGAAGGAGTGCCGGTAATGATATCCTTGCAGTACATGTCATCATGGGGCGAATGCAATATGAGCAACGCAGAAATGCAGGTGACAAAAGGAGCATGGGCGAGTGGACTGAAGAATTGGCTGACCAGCGAATTGTTGCTTTACTTTCCGCAGCGCAGCTTCAACTCGAACCCGAACCCCGCCCGATGACTGCAACACTTGCTCGTCTTGACTTGCGTACGGTTGTGTTCATCAGATTCCAAGGTGTATAGCTGACTAGTTTTGGACCAAGAGGGTTTCAGTCATATGGTTGATTAACACGCTGCGATACTTTGTAAAGAGAAGGGTATCATAAAGGCAGGAAGAAGTGGACATGTTGGAGGATGGAGGAAAAGAAGAGCTCGAGCAGAGAGAGGAAAAGAGTGAGAAAAAGTGAGAAAATGGAGCGGCTCGAGAGGAAATGGGTCCCGCTCCAAGGTGGCTTGTTGTACCAGGCCAAAAACACTAAACAAAATCATAGCAGCCCTTGATTCGTGCCTAGCCATCCTCGTGACGCGTTCTCCGTTACGAGGGTGAGAGAAACGAAGTTTGAGCAAGCGCAGCGAGCGACAAGAGCTGCATGCAACGAGGACACACCAGGAGATAGGCAACAAGACAACAAACTGGGTTGAGCTCGACGGACCCCGGACTAGGCCTGCTGGGCCTAAGTAAAGCGCTGGACTTGGTTGATCCGCGGGCTAGGTAGGCGTCATTCCCACACAGTACAAGGGCCTTTGGGGGGCACCCAAGACCCTTTTACCCTTTCACCACGGGGGAGGCTCACCAGGATGAAGAAACGACTGCCCAGTTAAAAAGCTGCAGAGGACGTGCTCCTTAGTGCCACTTCGTCCACTTGTACTAGTTGGCACTCTCGCAACGGGAGTGGTCCATGTCCCCTGTGGACCTCAGCGTTTTGCTCCCATGCTATTCCCAGCCTAGCCCGAGCCCATTATTATTCGCCCTGCCAGTGGCCTGAGTTCCAAGCTGCGAAGGGGGGGGTCATTGCTTGTGACCTTGCGCCTGGGACTGGCTCACTGGGAGTTTGGCTTTGGGGGTCCAGGGTTAGGTGGGTGCCATTTTCTGCCTGAGTAGCAGTCCGCAGAAGTCGGCCGGTCTCTAATTCACCCTGTTGCTGGCTGCGCATTTGCGTCTCGCAGTCCCTCCATGTACCCGTCCATCCATCTTTCTCGCCATCATTTTGTCTCCCTCCTTTGTCATTCAGCAATTTCTTCCCTCGTCAAACACATCCTCGACAGTCCTATGCCATCGACCTGCGATTCTCATCTCCTGGATCCTTTTCACCTCTCCTTACTCTTTGTCTTGTGCATCTTCGATAAATCCGTCGACTGTTACCGCCAGCCATCCACCTCCGTCTTGTGAATCACCACATCTTCCACCTCGACCTTTCTCCAGTCCGCCATCCTCGATAGACTCGAATCTCTCTCTAGAACTCGTCTGAGGTCATTGGCACCTTCATCTGACCATTTCCGACTGTTCGCGATACCCCTTTCTCTTCTGCGCTCGTGTGGCCTCCTTGGTGACCAAGTGGTCCACCTCGTCTAGCGACTGTCCTTGGACGGAAACAGACCTCAAAACGCATCAGAATCGCAACAGGCGCCATACTCGTCATTCTCTCGCTTGCGCGATACCCACAGGTCGGCTTTGGGCTTCTCTTCCTTACGTGGGAATCACCCCGTTCTAGCGATGCGCAACATGCGACATACCTTTTCATAACCGAAGCAAGACAATAACAAGAACCAAATCCGACCGATGAGGAGGAGCTCTGTCAGATTATGACAGAGTCCTCCCTTCTCACCACGAATCCCACACCCCCCCACTACCCGGTCACCGCCGCTCCCTCTCTGGCCTCTCCCTTACCCAATGGCTCTCCTTCAGACACCAATTTACAAGACGAGGAGGAATACACCATCAAATGCATTTGCATCTACGCAGATGATGATGGAAATACCGTATACTGCCCCAAATGCGATACGTGGCAGCACATTGAGTGCTACTACCACGGCAAAAAGGTGCCGGAAGAGCATTTTTGCGCAGAATGTTTCCCTCGAGATATTGACGCAAAGAAGGCCACTGAGCGACAACGGAGGCATCGAGAGGCACTCGATGGCGGTGACCGGAAGGTCAAGCGACCAACGTCCAAAAGTCAACGAAAGAAACACAAGGAGACGAGTGCGACGGCCGAACAGGTAAATGGCTGGCACCACGAACGCCATGAATCTGTCGCTAGTGCAAGAGATGGACCCCCCGCGAAGAAACCAAAAACAAGCCACCGGACATCAGGTTCTGTCATCTCAACAAACGGCGAAACCCGAAAACGCGCTACTTCCACAGCTCAGTCATACCCTAGCCCTTCCAAATCACCTCAAGATCTCTTCCGTTTCCCTGCCATACCCACGTACACCACCGACTTCCTTGAACTATACGAACGGGACGAAGGAAACACAAATGCTCGTGATAACGAGCAGACAATACAGGCCACCAATACACTCTTTGCGTGGCGGACTGACCCGTCTCTGGTGGTCAGCAGTCCCGGGCAACAACCAACATCGAAATCTCCCTTCGTGCGAGCAACTCATCCCCTGGATCAAAGCACCTGGCCGGAAGTCTCGGTGGAAACCATCCAGAAGAAAGATGTTGACTACGAAGGTAGATGTCCCACATGGCGCTTTTTGCGCGTCCAATCTTCCGTGAAGAAGGACGAAATCGTTGGCGAAGTTCGTGGCCAAGTCGGTATGCTGGAAGAATACTGCCAGCAAAAGTCTTCGTCAAACCGGTGGCAGGAGTTGAGGCACCCAGATCCCTTTGTCTTTTTCCACCCCCATATGGATATCTACATTGACAGTCGAAAGTCCGGAACTCGCTTTCGGTATCTGCGACGATCCTGTCGGCCCAATGTGACCTTGAAGACGTTCGTTTCCGATAATGAGACGAGACATTGCTTTGTTGCCAGCAAGGATATTCCGGCGGGTGCCGAACTCACCACCATGTGGTTTCTCGATTCGGCAATGTTTGCCGCCGATGATTCTGAACAGGCCCAAAACCGACGCCTCGACTGGGTCAGCCGTGTCCTCGCGAACTTTGGAGACTGTGCCTGCGACGCCGGTCAAGCATGTTTACTCGCGCCGTTCGATCGAAGATATCCGGCTAAGCCGGTAGAGAGTGGGCCAAAGGCCAAGGGGAGCAGGAAAAAGAAAAGTAAGATGAACCATGCCATCTCGCCCTTCAGTACTGGACATGCCACCAACAGTCGCGCAGGAAGCGAACCCAAGGTGCTCGACGAAGAAGACCAGTTTGACCGCCGGTCAACCTCCGAGTCTTCTCGCAGCGGCATGCTGAGTAGAGACATTACTCCAGTCAATGTCGCAGCTCTTGACGCCGACCCGGTTCTCGGAAACGGCCTGACTGCTCGAGAACTGCGCAAAATACAAATGGCAGAGAAGGCATTTGCGCAGAGGGAACAAGAAAAGAAGGATCAAAGTGGACAAGGCCAGCAACGGAAAAAGAAGCGCACAAGCGGTGGTGCCAACCCAAACACTCCAAATGCGAATGCCTCGAAGCACCTCGGGCATCAACTCGCTTCACAATCCAACACCCTCAGCAACCATCCTCTCAAATTCAGTGACACCGCCTTCGGATCGCCTCCGCCACCCCGAGGGTCCGCTGGTCGAGGTAAATCTATGGATGCACCTGCTAGGGCGGACGTGAGGATACAGCGACCTGTGTATGCTGATGCTGCAGTGCAAACGGAGCCGGAGGAGTCCGAGATGCCCATGCTCCCCTCAGCCAAAAGGAGAAAATTCTGCACGCCCACACAACGATTACTTCGAAAACTTTTGGCGGAGCGGGTTAAACATGGACAACAGTGGCCTGTTCAAGGTTTGCCTGTGTCAGTCTCGAGTCAGAAGACACCTGAGCGTATCCCCAAGATCGAAGATGTGGAAATGAAAGACGCCACCGAAAGTGTGGAGCCCCACAGCGCCGTGGAGACCGAGCGGGAGAGTCAGTCTCCTCCAGGAAGCATCAGCCCTATCAACGTCGGGGCCACAACATATCCTCTTCCGTCACAAGCGGCACACACGTTCAACACCTTTAGATCTTCTCCTGCTCCAAAACTGCACTTGTCAACGCTGCCACCCGTACCGGCCTTTCCGGGTTCTGCAACTTCCGCGTCGTCGTCTTCCGCCACGGTGACAACTCCCGGATTAACGACCACCGCGACAGCACAGTCGCCTCTCCCATTCAACTCAGCATCTTCTGGCTCATACCTTCCTGCCGTCAATACTGTTGTCACGCCCAACCCCACGCGGAAGAAGCTCAGCCTGGGAGACTACATGAGCCGTCGCCTGGCGTCTACCCCATCGGCTGAGAAGTCCCAGACCCAGGCAATTCTGGGCACGGGCGAGATGGAGCCATCAAAAGCGCTGGCAGAAGCGGGACAAGACTCTCCCGGGACCATGGACTCAGGGCTCGCGAGTGCACAAGCAGTTGAATCACCTGCTCGACCGACACCCCCTCCCGCGGGTGTTTCAAGTGTTCCAATCAAGGATGTTCCCATGAAGGAGACAGAAGAACCGCCATACAGCCCGTATGACTCCTTGACAACAAGGCCAATGGCAGCTTCCCCTCCCCACAAGACGACGAATGGTGTGCCAGCATCAAACGACACGATCGGCATACCGAAGATGCCGAACGTCCTGGCCCAGTTGGCGCAAATCCACGATTCGAGGGGTGTGCGATAAGTGTATGATAACGGGTCGGCCCTGGCGTTGATTGAGCAACATTCTTCTTTGTCACGAAACGAATAGAAGAGCTTATTGGACCTTTCGCGAGGCTTGGACATGCAGTGATGATGACACAGCTTATACCAGAAAAAGACGGGCGAACGGGATCGATGGGTATCGGGGGCAAAAGGGGGACAGTAAAAATTCGGGAAACTGGGAGGGAGGGAATATGTGTGGCGTTTATCAACACAATGTGGGCTGGTCATGTCTGTTCACCACGGATGGCGAATTGCGATAGTGAAGGATGCGCGGCGCGATGGTTGAATGAGGTCCAGGCAGTCCTGCGCACCTCAATTCTTTTTCATTCTTTTCTCTTTTGCCCTGTATATATATATATGAGCTGGCTGAGCCGTGGTTGCCTCGCCGTATGTGCCATTGTGGCTATTAAAGATGAGCGGCAGTTTGTTCTGTCGTCGTGTTGAGAGAAATAGTTGATACCAATATTGCCCGATGCAGGGAGCTGAAGCAAGTGTTGATTCCATGCGGGCAATTCTACATGTGGTTTTGTGGCTCTCGATCTATACCGAGTAGTCGGTATATTATACCCAGGTATATATATATACTCGGTATACTTGGTGTATATTTTATTATTATATGTATATAAACGTAGCCACCCCTCTTCTCCCCCTCCTCGCCCTGGCCCTCCTCCCACCCCTGCACATATTATTATTATTTGCCATGCCATCCCACCAGTTCCCACATGTGCCCTCCCTCTCCACTCAACAAGCATTTCCAGGCTCCATTGGGCGTTTCCTCGCTCACATCTGCCTCTGATGCTTCTAGTGCCTCGACCTTGACAGCTCCATCAATCAGGTTGCGCTACTCAGGCAAGAAAGGGTCCCGGTCGCCCCGGTCACTCTCCCCCCACTGAGGCCCATGACCCTGCAGCCTCAACAAACGCTTCCAGAGATCTACAGAAAATGACATAGCCATCGTGACACCCTTGACCTCGTAGCTTCGAGGGGTAGATTTCTTATGTATCATTCATTCATTGATCGGCTTTGCTGAATTGGGTATATCCCACCCCCTCGCCTTCTACTACTTCAACTTTTTTTCTTCTATCGGCCTTGAAGTACAGTAGTCTTTTTGTTTTTTTGATTCTCATTGCTCTTACACTTCTCTCCTCTTTTACTCTTTTACCCCATTTCTGTTTCTCAGTTCTTCGGGTCCACGTCATGGCTTCATCAGGCTCCTTACCTTTCCGTCCGGGGCCCAACACTGGGATTCGAACACCCACGCGACAAGGCTCGGTGGACGCGAGGAACGAGGTCCACGTCCAAATGAACCATTACATTGGCATCGATGTCGGTACGGGCAGTGCCAGAGCGTGTATCATCAACGAGACTGGCGACATTGTCGGTCTGTCGTCAGAAAACATTGGCCTCTGGCAGCCTCAAACAGGATACTATGTAAGGAATCCCATCTCTCCATGGTCCCCAGTCTCCAGTGTCCCCCTTTTTTGTTTGGCTCCTCGTGTCAGTATTCTCTAACAACCCAACCCCGCCACGCTGGGGAGAGGGAGAGAGCAGGAACAATCCACGACAGACATCTGGCGCTGTATCTGCCTGTCAGTACACCGGGCCATGACGCAGAACAACATCGACCCTCACTCGATCCGAGGCATCGGGTTCGACGCGACGTGTTCGCTGGCCGTCTTCACGCACGACACGGACGAGCCCGTCTCGGTGACGGGCCCAAACTTTGACTCGACGCAAAACGACCACAACGTCGTGCTGTGGCTGGACCACCGACCCGTCGAGGAGACCAAGAAGATCAACGCCACCAAGCACAACCTGCTCCGCTACGTCGGCGGCACCATGTCCATCGAAATGGAAATCCCCAAGGTCCTGTGGCTCAAGAACAACATGCCCAAGGAGCTGTTCGACCGGTGCAAATTCTACGATCTGACCGACGCCCTCGAGCACATCGCCACGGGCAACGAGAAGCGGAGTTTCTGCTCCGTCGTCTGCAAGCAGGGGTACGTGCCTGTCGGCGTCGACGGCAGCGTCAAGGGGTGGCAGGAGGATTTTCTCAAGGAGATTGGCCTGGAGGATCTGGCCGAGGACAATTTCAAGAGAATGGGCGGTGTCAACGGGGTGGTGAGCCTGTTTCTTTACAAACCAAATCCCCAAGAGAGAGAAAAAAGCACACGATATTATTTTATTCGTTCTGTCTATTTTTCTTCCGGGGGGGGAGGAGGGAGGGAACAAGAGGGTTACACGAGATCACTCTCAAAGCACAAAAAAAAAAAGGCCCTCCTCCCCTCCCTCTTTGCTCTCGTTATATCTCTGTCACAGGTCATATTGAACTCGAGGACTGACACTCTGAAATGCAGAACGGCGAATACCTCTCGGCGGGTGAACTAGCCGGCCATCTCTGTCCGCGCGCCGCTGCAGACCTGGGCTTGCCCGCCGGTATCGCCGTGGGCAGCGGCGTCATTGACGCCTACGCAGGCTGGATCGGCACGGTGGGCGCCAAGGTGCAACTGTCGGCGGACCACCTCTCCCAGGAGGCGCCCGCGAACGACCAGTCCCAGGCGTTTACGCGGCTGGCGGCCGTCGCGGGGACGTCGACGTGCCACCTCGTCATGAGCAAGGACCCGGTCTTCGTGCCGGGCGTGTGGGGACCGTACCGCGACGCGGTGATGCCCAACTTCTGGATGGCCGAGGGCGGGCAGTCGGCGACGGGGGAGCTGTTGAAACACGTGCTGGAGACGCACCCGGCGTACAACCAGGCGTTGGCGCGCGCCGAGTCGACCAACAGCAACGTCTACGACTTTCTGAACCAGCACCTCGAGGACATGAGGGAGAAGACGGCCGCGCCCAGCGTGAGCCACCTGGGCCGCCACTTCTTCTTCTACGGCGACCTGTTCGGCAACCGGTCGCCCATCGCCGACCCGACCATGTCCGGCTCCGTCGTCGGCCTGTCGAGCGACAAGTCCCTCGACGGGCTGGCCCTGTACTACTACGGCACCATGGAGTTCATCGCCCTGCAGACGTGGCAGATCATCTCGACCATGAACGCGGCGGGCCACCGCATCTCGTCCATCTTCATGTCCGGCAGCCAGTGCCAGAACGAGATCCTGATGGCCCTGGTCGCCACGGCCTGCGACATGCCCGTCCTGATCCCGCGCTACGTCCACGCCGCCGTCTGCCACGGCGCCGCCATGCTGGGCGCGAAAGCCGCCAGCGCCGACGCGAACGGCAACACCGAGGACCTGTGGAGCATCATGGACCGCATGAGCAAGCCCGGCAAGGTCGTCCGGCCCGTCGAGGATAAGCGCGTCAAGGCCCTCTTGGACGTAAAGTACAAGGTCTTTTTGGAGCAGTGTGAGAGGCAGAGGGAGTTTAGAAGGATGGTCGATGAAGTTACGAGTGCTTCTTGAAACAAGAGAGAAAAAGGAAGAAGAAGGAAAGGAGAAAAAGAAGAAGAAGAAAAAAAGGGGTTTAGTATATTGTGTCAAACACACGGATATTGGTCGTGTTGTTTGAAAAGGATCGTGCCCAATTGAGCCTCTTTTGACGAGTGGCTGGCTCATCCAATTAGGAAGGAGAGCAGATCAGAGACCGGAGGAGAGAGGAGATTCGAGAGCTGGTCAACTCCCAGCACGAAGTAAGAAGTTTGTAAATATCGTGGCTATGAGGCTCATAAGGCAGTCATGGGTCCATCGCGGATGTGATCACATCCCAAGCTTATACACGCTTATGCTCTCTACTGCTCTTCTCGGTGCTTGTGCTGTTGCAGTCAATGGGTCACCTCTCCAGCAGGAGGCGATTGATCATGTCCTTCCTAGTCCCTTGGATTTGTTTTCAACTCATTAGACGTGCCTTGTAACCCCCGAGTGAAAGGGGGGCACGGCAAAAGCCCACAAGTTTTCGGCATCTCGCGTCGAGATCAGCCAATCTTATAGGCTCATCGTGGACTCCTCGAGACGGTAGTTGTCACACACGGCACAGCGCAGCACGGCGGTCGCTTAACGAAGAGTCGAGCCAACTCTGATTGGCCAGCCTTTTCTGGCCAGTGACTGTTGTCGTAGCAGGACGGCTGTCCGGTACTCGCTGGGACACGGTACCACAAATTGAGGTGTGGTTGTCACTCTCGGCGTTCGAAGGATGTCTTGATTATCCTGATTATCTTTTGGCAGGGTAATCGTGGTGCTTCAGCATGTGGAGTTGCTGGTCCCGAAAACCATCACCACTTCGATTAATGCGGAGAAGAAATCCTAAGTTCAGGGTCCCACCGTCTCAAGGTTCAGTGGTCCCATCGTTTGATATACTCCCGTAGTCAGGGGTATGTTCGTTATGCGTCTGGGGTTTATCAGCAAACACTCAGCAAACGCTCGCGTTGAGAAGGAAACGCACCTCGCCAGAGGGTTGGCCTGCTTCATGGACGGCATCAGCGGCGACAACAGTGTCGTCATCGTCAGGATGTGGTTTCAAAAAGTTCTTCATCAGACCCAACATGTCGTATTTGCAAAGAGGGCAATCGTGGTGGCCACGTTCGACCCACAGGCTCAGACAGTTGGCGTGGTAGACGTGGCCACATCGGAGTTCGCGGATGAGATCGGTTTCTTCCAGCGATTCCAAACAGATGGCAGTGCTGCGGATGTCAGTCAATGAAGAGAAGAAGAGGGCGGAGGTAAACATATCAACTGAGACTTGAGGATATGGTTGCAAAGGTCTGAACGTGTTCCTCTGACTTCTCGGCTCTCCAGTGGAGCAGGGATTGAGCCGGAGCGACCTGGTCGAGTTTCTTCAACCTCTTCCGATGCTGCGAGGCTACCGACGTAGGGGGCAGGCTCGAATCCTCGACCCGCCAGCCCGCCTCTGTAATGTCTGATTCGGTATCTGAATTATCGTCCCCGTGACTGAACCTATCGAAGAGAGCACGACTTTGTGTCTCTGCGTCAGCTCGAGTCTTGACGGTATATTGGGGTTCGATGCCGCTCACCACATCATCAACAGTATCAACACAAACCAAAGCATCCATGTTATTTGTATAAACACCGCAATACTGTGGATATCCGGATTGTCTCTATTATAGGGCGGTTGCTGATCGGCAGGTATTCCAGGGTATGGACCGACCGAGCCATTGGATTGAAGGGGGTTCTCGACATTCTGAGGCCAAGTGTCGGCCTCGGTGAGGAATTGCTGTCTGGGGATGTACATGGAGTTGTGATTTTTTTATCAGAAGGGAAATGTGTGTTTCGCCGAAAAACGTCAAGGATAAAATGTTATTCGCTTATCCAGTCAATTTCTGGGGATTGCACGCAGGAAACAGAACGCAATGACGCTGTACGAGTACAAGTACATTGAAGAAATATGATGATGAGACAGTCGTCCGAGGAAGAAGAATCAGCATGGTCGCGGAAAGAAACTGTGTGATGGAGAGAGAAACACGAGGATTCCGAGAAATGAGGTTTTGGGCAAACTGAAGCCTCAGTCACACAACAGTCTTGCGATGGAGACTTGCTTGACTGCGCCCATGTGATGCGCGTTAGTGACTTGGCCCCGTGGCATGGCGTCCAAATGGTTACCGAGTCCAAATGCATCTGGTGGTTTCTAGGCGGCTTCCCTTACAGATCGATGACGACAACAGGCAGTGGGCAAATGCGCATGGATGGGCATGGTTGGTTAAGGGAGTGGTGTGATATCTCTGGTCCTCCTGCAAGGCACCGTACTTGTACAGGCTTGACAGGTAAGAGTCTTGCCATTTCCTGGGCACTTCGGCGCTACCCCGGAGACCTTCGGGGTCACAAGGGTAGAGCCAATGACCTCCAGCAAACCCAAAGAGCCCCCATTAGGTTGTCCTTAGCGGGATCTTCCGGAAGAGCCACCCATCTCCGGATGCTCCGAACAGGCTGTGCAGGCCCCACGACGAAATCGACTCGGGACATCGGTGCAACGTTGATCCTTTCCGATCACCTCCCCACTACCAGATCCCCTCTTTGGTACTTTGGGTGGACGACATGATGGTCAACTTGTCCTTGATGATTTGGACGTAGTAATTGTACTTATGAGAAAGACTGATGTTTATACTTGTACAGCGTTGTCGATTTCCATATCCTTCCTGGCTAATTGACGTCGACTTTGTAAATTAACCCCAAAATATGATAGATATATGCCTTAACCCCCCCTTTTTAGTTGAACGAGCGGATTCTCATGGCTGCCTCTGCCAACCTCACCGACTCCATCTCTTGTCCCTTCAGGACACTGATTAATAGATTCTCGCCGTTGCTGCCGACCGCATGTACCACCACATTCTCGCCGTATCCGCAGTCCTTCTCCGTCGGTCCGGCTTCGTCGTACTCTGCAAACGACTCCTTTGTCACGCCGTCCTCGGGCGCCAGCAGGACTGTGCTGGCGAACTTCCGAGCATCCTCGTACTTTTTAAATGAGCCTTCGACGATCGTTTCCCGGGCTTTGCCACTGTCGTCCTCGTCGTACAGGACGATGGTCTGAACCACGTGGTACACATCGCCGTGCACTTTATGGTCCTCGGGGTTGCTCTCGAAACCCTGGGTGTTTTGCGTGGTGGCCACGCTCACGCGGAAGATGGTGCCGTCGCTCGCCTTGGCAAAGACACACAGGCCGGTTTTTCTCTTGATGTGGTGGGTTTCAAAGTCTTGCTCGTTGGTGTCGTATTCGGTGAACCATTCTCGCTCGTAGCCCGCCTCGAAGAGAGTCCGGTGGGCGGCGGCCTTTGCGGCCGGCAGGTCTGTATAGGAGCCGCAGATGCGCAGTTTCTCGACCGCGAGGTTGGGATCTTTGGAGATGTTGGAGATGCTGAAAACGACGTGATAGAGGTTCTCGAGGTCTTTGCTGGCCATGGTTTCTTTTGGTATCGTCTTGTCCCTCAAAAATGGATTGATATCTTCTTGTTATGTTTTATTTTGGTCTTCTGTTCGGAGCTACCAGAGTCACGACGGTGGTGCCGGTGCGGCGTCAAACATCATATATTCAACTTCGAGCTCTCACCTTCCCTCAACCGAACAGACACGCCATTGCTCGAAGCTACCAAACCATCGTGGCGTGATGCTCATTACTTGCAAAAGCGGTAGCTTTCGGCTCATGAGATTACCTAATGGGACCTCCCCCCGAGATTTTTGAGTGGTTTGGGCATGACTGCGGACGAGTCTCATCTCAAGGTTTCTCAACGACAAGGTTCTAGCCAGTACCCGGACACGGACAAGCGGAATACAAGTAACAGAGGGCGAGAGATCCAGCCAGAACCATAGGCAATACGGGACTGGCACCTTCGGGGGGGGAGGGGGATTGCCTAAACAAACTTTCTGATCGAATGACCAGTTTAGTTTATCCACCAGCAAGGGAAGAAAGAAAAATCCCCTCAACAAATCAGCCTCTAGGGAAGAAAAAATTGGCGCGGCTTTTCTTACGAACCCGAGTTACGAGTCACTACTGTAATGAGGGCACGAGGGATGACCTCTGACAATCATGGTGTGACAGGATATTCCAGAAAGCCGCAGTCGATGCGCACAGACCACATTTGCATTGTGCAGGGTCTCTGGCTGTCTGGCTCTGTGACTGCCTCTCCACACTTTCGTCGCTCATGCAGCTCGATCACTTACTTGACACACCAAGTGGCACCAGAACGACCTCCTACCAAGCCTCGAGAACTCTGGGGACGCTGCCAACGGGCTTGGCTCGGGACTCTCAGGTTTGAAGCTAAGATGACATGACGCAAAGGAGCTAATGGAGCTCAGAAGGAGCTGTTTCTTCAAGAAGACCCCGCAACAAACACGAACAGCTTAGCTAGCCAGTAGCCCAGCGAAAAAAAAAAAAGATTTCTGTAGAGACTTCTGTGTTGTGTGAATCGTATTCCATTGAAAACATTGTACGATTACAGACGCTACCCCAGGTAAATGATAATTGTAGCATCGGGGAACTTGTGTAACTCCCACGGGTCTGATTCGACCGACCAGACCAGACTTGACCAGATTGACTGGACTTTCGTTCTTCTAAAGCAATTGACCCATTATCGCTTTTCCCCAAACCCTCAAAAAGGCTCCTTGATCAAAAAAACGCCCGGGTTCATGGTTGGATGGTTGGATGGCAGTTGTGGTAGTTGGTGGGGGTCTATTCACAACTTTTGATCTGCCGCCTTTTTGATTGCGGCGGCCTCCATTTCGTTGAGGTGGCTCTCGACCTCGTCTAGGTGTTTCCGCTGGGCCAGGAGCTTTTCTCTCATTTTCCGAATGCTGTGAAAAGTCAAGAGTCAGTCTTTTTGATCTGGAATGCAAAAGGGTAGTGGGGAACAACTCACTTTTCTATCTCGTGTTGCTTGAAGTACATGTTCTCCAAGACTTGTTCGCGGCGATTGAATGAGTCACTGTAGAAATTCCAGTGTTAGCACAGGGGAATGTGGGAATCGAGGCAGTGGTTGGTACGTACCTCGCGGCAACGCCTCCGGCGCGTATTGATCCAGTGTCGCCTTCACTCCAGTTTGGCCGTACCGTGACGAATGATTGGCAAAACTGAGGAGTTCGGATTCTGGTCATGCAGCTTCTTGGAATCGTTGTTCGAAGCATTTTTGGTGGTTGGTTGGTTGTGTTGTAGTTGATTGTATGTCTGTGTGTGTGATGAGGTGGAAAAAAGGAGAATACCAATCTCTATATTGCTGATTGGAGTTTCTTTATGATGTCTTGTAAAGATGTCTTGTAAAGATGTCTTGTAATGTCTGATAGGGTAAAAACAGTAAACGAGCTGGAACAGACTGCAGGCTTGGGGGATCTCATATAAATATGTCTTGGAAGTTGTCAGGGTTCCCATTGTAGCTCCTTGTGCTAGACTTGGGCATGCATAGGCTGGCAGCTGGCTGGGTTGCGTTGGCTGTTGAGGCATAAATTGAGTGGCATGACCAGGTTGCAGATCTCAATTGAGACCCGAGAAACAGTGCTACCGTAGATACCAGTAGGAGGGGGCCACCGACGCCTAGCTAAGGGCCCACGGGCCTTCAATGCAGCGGTTTAGGCACCTACTAAGCCTAATGAGCCTCTTCTCCCAACAACGCGACACCCGTGGTTGGGGCGATTAGCTCCCAAGTGGGAACGTGCAAAGCGGTTCGAGATCTTCGGAGAGGTTTTTAGGGGCGGAGCCCCCCTATCGGTACACGTACCTCGCCGAAGATCCCAAGTGCACACTGCACACCTGCACAGGCGCCGAGGTGCCCAGCCTGTGCCAGGTGCCTAGAGCCCAGTGCCCAGAAGCCTGGAAGTCCAGGAATCCAAAACCTCCGGGTTCCAGGTCCCACACAACTTGGTGGTATCGCACGTTACCAGCCATTGGGGGGAAATTAGCTGGCCCTCTGCCTCTGCTGCCGAGACACGCATGGCTATGCATACAACATCACACCACGATATCTCTGAAACTTTCTCACGCAACTCACCTAACGGAGAAGTGTCACTGCCAATGACTGACTGTGTTGATCCTTCATCTCCCGATCGCATGATTGTGTATTCTGTGCAAAACTCCCCATGATCATGAGGTGAGGCTTCTCGATGCTTCAGGCACAGACCATCAGATATTGGCACAGACCATGGGCTTCTTCTTCGACGGGCACATGACATGCGTATGTCTTGGGAGTGAGAGGCGAGGGTTGTATCGCACAAGACATATACACGAGACTGCCTGTCATCCTGAGAGGATGAAGGAGAGAATGCAATGTCAAAGCCAAACTACATCCTGAAATCACACAAAACGTGACCAAAGTCGATATATCCGCATACAAACAACCAAAAATGGCCGCTGGATGGTACTACCTCCCCTCGGATATCATTCCATACCCAACAACAAACATCTCCCATACGTACCCAGAACCGGGCCATCACCTGCACCACATCCCCGTGCCGTACGTGGCACACAAGGTGCTCACCAAGTTCCATGACAAGGACGAAGACATCCATCAACCAAAGACCGACGTGCGCGAGACCCAGGGCAACTTCTACCTGGAAATCGAGTTGCCGGGTGTCAAGGACCACTCGGAACTTCGTCTGCGCTGGACGACGAACCGTACGCTGCTGCTGACCAGTAAGACTCATCGGTCCGAGATCCCAGAAGAGGAGTCGGTAGAGGAGCCTGGTCAACCAAAGCCAGAGGCTGCTGCTCCCGCTCCAGCTCCCACCGAGACTGCTGCCCCTGCTCCTGCAGCACCACCGACGACAACGATACCACCGGCTCCAGTGGCAACGCAGGACCCCAAAACTACTGGCACAGACCAAACGCCCAAGAAATTCGCCCCTCACTTGACCCTGTCCGAGCGGCAGATCGGCGAGATGGTGCGGGCCTTCAACTTCCCCGTCGACGTCGACCGTGACAACACCCACGCCAAGCTGGACGCCGGCTTGCTGAGGATTGTGGTGCCCAAGGTTACCGAGCACGGCGAGGCCAAGCACATCCACGTGCCCATCCACCTGCCATCGTTCGCTTCCAGCGTCTGACTTACAAGTCCGTGTGAGAGGAGCGACCAGGGCCACCCACGACAACGACGACGGTGTCGCCGCCCCAGCGAGATTGTCGAGGTGATTCCCGAGCTGGACTGGCGGATCGCATCCGTCCTGTGCTGTGAGTATGGACAGTACTACAATGACACGGACGACGGGTCCGGCGCTGCTGACCAAAGGAGGAATACGAGACTGTAATAATCAACTCCCGTTGGAATTCCCTTTATTCCCTATCCGTCAAGGACCGAAGGAAGATTGAGAAAGAGAGAGCAAGAGTAATTATAGCAAGGACAAGGACAAGGACAAGGAGAATTTTGTCTGGGTCTGTATCTGCATCTGTGTATCATTAATGTTAATATCAACATTTGCAACGTGATACCCCAACCGAATCGGGTAATCGGGTATTTGCCTTTGTTTCCTATTTGGGAAGTCCTCCTTTTTTGACAGGAGTCGGGAAATGGAAGATACCAAGATACCTAGGTACCTTAGTACATAGGTGTATATTATGTGTAACTGTAAAAATCCTTCCAAGCGAGGTTCTTTCTTGCAGTGTGATGCCTATTTCATCGAGACATCTCTCTCATTCCTACTTCTTCTGTCTTGGTTGCATCCCAGCCGAATACGAACAGTCGCGCCGTCTGGCTGTGCACAATGCCCATACATACATACGAGTAGACCACCACTGGCTCACGATTAACTTAACAATTCTCCTCTCCTTTTCGTTTCCACGCCCTTCTCTCCCTCTTGTACCTTGCTTGTCTCGCTAGTTGCTTCTGAATTGAATTTCAACTTCCATCTCGTAGTAAGTACGCAGTAAGTAGAGAGCAGACGAGATACTTATGAACGTTGAGTATTTTTTAAGTATATATTTATTTCATTTCATATTTCGTATTTCATATTTCATCAACACGTGAGTAGACGTCAATGTTTAAAACACCCTTCCCTTTTCCTGGTGGTGTACAAATGTATAACCCGAACAAAACATCCCCACACATTGCCCATCCCATCAATCGCCCCCCTGTGACCTTTCCATAACTTCCCCTCAAATCCGGCTTCAGTCGTGCTGTTTAGGCCTTGAAGTCCGTGAAAAAGAGAAGAGAAAACAAAAAATATGTGAAACCGTCGAATATGCTCCTATATACACACCGAGCCGCTGGGGGAGCTGGGGCGCTTCAGGAAAGGTACATCGTGCTGGTGTTGGTGGTGATGGAAATGATGACAAAGGCGGGGCGAGGACATCACAGAGGACTGATATAGAGTCCTTTGGAGAGGGGCCATGATCACTCGTAGAATTCATCAGCCCAAATGTCCTCCTCAATGACGTCCTCTTCCTCGTTCTGCTCGACCCACTCGTGCTGTGCGATGGTCTCGTTCTCGGGCCACCAGCTCATGGGCTCTGACTCTTGCGAGGACCGCCGTCTGTGGACGTCTGGGTGGTGGGGGTGCTTCTCATGCTCGTGGTGGACTTTGACGGGGCTGACTTCAACGAAGCTAGGTCTCCGCTCACACCGTTCGGCGGCTTTGGTCATCGACTCGGCCGAGGTCGCCGACTGGTCCATAACCGGTGGAAAGGTCGCCTTTGCGTAGGGCTTCTCCATAGCCGGCGTGGACGGGGGCGGTGTGGTACCCGTGTTAAATGTCTCCGAGGGCCTGACTTTGGCCTTTTTCGCCATGGGCCGTGCAGCCTTGTCGGTGACGGGTTCCAATGGCAAAAACTCGGTCGATAGCGACGGGGCTAGGTAGAGGAAGTCGCTGTAGTCGGCTTCATTGTAATTGGGCACGTAGCCAGTGGTGGTGCCGACGTTGGCCGACGTCGGTGCCTTTTCCGTGTGTTCTGTGGGAAGATTCTGTATAGGCGTCACAGGTCAGCCATAGCACTACCAAAATGGGACGAGGGAGGTTCCCATTGGATCTCCATAGAAAAAAAAGGAGTTTCTTCGGGGGATCACTTATAGAGGGGATGGTAGACCTACCGATGCTGTGTGGGACATCATCTTGAGACTATTGGATTTGATGAGCTTTGGTTTGTTGATGTTGGTGTTGGTATTGTTGGAGGGATGCAGTAGACAAGTGAGTTGACTGTGATCTGGTCTTTCTTTCCTGGGATCAAACGAGTTCCTTGGGCCATTTTTATGTTCGGAATCTTCCTCTATGGCCCGATATGTCTCTGTAGTATCCAAAAGGGGTGGGATTGAGTAATTGGCGAGAATGATACACCTCAGCCCAGAAACTAACTGCAAGTTGCTCAGACACGTCAGGGTACAGAGGGTGCTCAGGTTACTTGGCTACCGGAAACCGCCGTATACGGGAGTCAGTGGTGGTGGTGGAGGGAGGTTGCAGGGTGGTGGGTAGTGGTGCGCAGTTGGTGGTTCGGCGATTGTCGCGTGGTGGTGTGATGGACTGACTGAGTGACTGAGTGACTGACTGAGGGACTGACACTGCGGACATTCTAGGCTCTTCGCGTGGCATTTTAGGCTTTGGTCTTGGCATTTCCTTTTTCCTCTCACGCGCGCTTGAAAATGCCGCGTGGCCCATGGCAGCTTCCATTGGTTGATAGGGCCAAATGGATGACTAAGAGGTAAAGTATTCGGTACTTGTGTATCAAATTCCTCATGCACTGACCGGTATCACCACCCATCACCCGACTTTTACTTCTCACCTCACACTCTACCTTCCACTTGTTATCTGTTCTATCTTGCAGCTGCATGATGAAATGGCCCCTTCTCGACACTCGGTTGACTCGTCTTTTCGTGACTTCCATCATGTACTGTAAAATGCCATTACTCCTTCTCCCATCCATTGCGCCATATCGTGCACGGATCAGACGGCCAATTCTTTCCTGAAACTCCCCCCCCAATACCCCGGATTTGCACCTTCGTCCCACCCGGTTTCACTCTCGCATCCATCTCCGCGCTTTGTTCCCATCATCTGATGCTTAAACCTCAAGTCTCTCTTGGTTCCGGTATGGCAGCCTATCGGAATCCCGCTGATGGTGTGAGTCTGACCCCCGCCCTCTGCGTGGCCAAACGTCCACTCTACTACATTCATGGAAAAGCCCATTCGGAAGCCTAGGTCGTCCGACGGCGAGCGCTCGGCCGTCAAGTGATGCTGTTTCTTTTGGCGGGGGGGCTGTGCCTGGTTCACCCAATCGTCATACGCATCCCGTGTCCATTTCGTCTCGTGAAGTGGATGTGTATTCGTTCCCCTCAACATCCGTGGTCGTCCAGCTACTTCTCTAGCGGCAAATCCGACCCGGCAAAAATGTCTCTCTCCAATCATGTTTGCTAATGACCCCATACGTGCTTGGTATAAAGACATTAACCCAGCCGCTGGGGTTGACGACTGGAGTACGCGAAGAAGATACCATGCAATAACCCCAGATACACCAGAAATGGTTGAGATTCCAGTTATAGTGACTCCTCCAGACTGCAACCCTCTCACAAACAGTCCAGATAACGAAGAACAGGCCCCTCACTTACACCAAGAGCCTGATTTTTCACCCGCCATTCACGAGGTGAAACAAATAACCACCTCGACAGTACTCAGGCCTGTAAACGCCACCGACACCATGGTGTCAGAAGGCACTCAGACCGAATCACCAAAGCAAACCCCGGGACAAGAGGTTTCGCCTGCAAGGGCGTTTAGTCCCGGCTATCCATTGAGCCCAGTCCGCTCTCACTCCGAGTCCTCGGGGCCCAAACCTCACTTTCCACCTTGGAGGGAACTCCGCCACCACATATACAACCCCCATCCCACTCATCCAGGAGCATTGTACAACGAAGGCAAAGTCGAGGGTCACCTCTCCCCTCCCTCGCCCCCTCCCAAGTGCCCCATGACGCCCCAGGCCGATCTATACGACGGCCAGTCGCCCTCCAACTTTGGCATGCAGTTTGACCGGCCCACCATACCACATTGGAGAAGGAACATCAAGCCAGCCACGTGTGCTCAGAACTATGAGGACCACAAGCACCGCATGCTGATGGAGTGGCTGAATAGGAGGAACTCCGTGTGAGCCCTCTCTGTATACATACACTTCCACAGGAGTGGGCATCCTCCTACTGAGGGGAATTGTCCCACGCTTATTCGAATTCGAGAGTGGATATTGCGATTCAATTTTTTGTCTTGGGCAAACTGCTATGCTCTGCTATGCACGAGAGTATGTCGACAGCAGTATACCACGCTGTCGGGCGTCTTTTATACGGGAACACCAGCATACACCGTACCAAACCGCACCGCACCGCTCACACTGGCAGGACGCCCCAACCAGCGACCTGGCAACCATGCCCCCCTTTTCTCTTGCTATCGGTATCACCACCACCTTTTTTCGGAGTGGGAACATCACAGTTACGGTTATTAGGGAGGGAACACCATTCATTGTGCTACTTGACATGCATGGCGGCTTTTTGGTCTTTGGATGAAGGAGGGAGATTATCAAACCATTCGTGTTTTATTCGAGATTGAAACCTTCAAGCAGCATTTTTAGCATCGGCATTTGACAATTGTTGTTGACATTGGCAGCGACTTTGCATCGGGATGGGCAAAAAGTTACCATAGGTCCATAATTCTGGTTGGAAGGCATTCCCTGCTTAGTGTTATCTTATCTTTTCCCCTCTTTGCTCACCGTATCGGCTGGCTTGAGGAAGGGTCTGTTGGTGGTTGGTCAGTCGGTCAGTCAGTCAGTCAGTCAGTCTGTCTGTCAGCCGACGGATGGTATGGTTGGATGTATTATCTATCACGTTCAAGGTTGGAACTCACTACATTGTAGTGACCACTGTACAATATCATCAATGATCTTTCATGACACATATAGATTTCGTCCCATATGTAATCAGATATATATATCTACAGCCAACTATTTCTCACACACGTCCCATGCTATGTCACGCCATACAATGCCCCATACTCTCGAGATTCACGAGATCCACGACGGAGTTATGGTCTGAATGTGGTTCGCCCCCCTTTACTCTACCACTAGCCCCGACTTCTTTCATCTCTTTTTTCCGGACTTCCACCACCCTCCTCCTCTTCCACCTCGCCCTTAAAACTGCGCTCCACTCAGAAAATAGCAACTCCGTTGACCGGACTGGCCACACCACCGGGGACGTAGCAGGGGACACTGGCGACGAAGAAGCTCCAGCGGCGCTGACGGGCGCACTCCTTGCTGAGGGCCTCGAGGTCGAGCAGCTCGCCAATGTGACACCCCCAGCCGGCGAGGAGGACCTCGTGCATGCTCCAGTCGTAGGGGGTGGGCCAGCGCTCGAAGCTGGGGTGGTCGGACGCGACGGCGGAGAAGTGCTCCCAGATCCAGCGGAGGACCTCGTCGGACTGCTCGACACCCCCTAAACCGGGGGGCGACATGGAGGTCAGGCGCTGGATCTCGGCCTGGCCCTCGGGCGTGCTGACCATCTCGTAGTAGGACTGGAAGAAGCCCGAGCGGACGATCAGGATGTCGCCGAAGCGCGGCGTCGTGTTGTCCTGCCACTTGAGCGTCTCGAGCAGCCACTCGAACTTGATGGCCGAGGTGTGGAACTGCTTGAACGAGTCACCCACGACCTCCCGCCCGGGCCCTTCGTCCATCCACCGCCGGAAGTCGACGAGGATGCCGCGGCCCATGACGCCGCCGTGCTCCACGGCGTTGTGAATCCCCAGGACATTCGGGTTTTTGGCGCCCTTGGCCGACGCACCCGCGATGTCCTCGACCGTGGTGTCGTTGTAGAAGCGGCCCGCCTTCTGGTATCCAAAGTGGCGCAGGCCGTCCCACTGGGTCGAGCTCTGCGTGTTGAACGACCACGTGTCGTCGTGCACCACGCGCGGCTTCTTCAGGTACACGTCCTTGACAAAGACCTGCCGGCCGAACAGCGGCTTCTGGCCCTGGAAGTCGAGCGGCGCGTCCAGCGGCACCCGCGTCCCGTTCTTGATCTCCGACGCCGCCGCCGCCGCCACCGTCTCGGGCGTCTGCCGGTTCAGGAAGCCCAGCTCGTCCGTCTCGCCGTACGCGCCCCACGCGTTGAGCCGCGCCGCCGCGTCGGCTTTGTTGAGTGGGAGCGACGAAAAGGGGACGGGGGGGCCGGCCGTCGACATGATTTTCGTTTTGCTGTCGCCGACGCACACTTTACCTTTGGGAGTTCTAGGTCTGGTTATATAGAAAGTTAGGGGGGGTGATTTGTCTTTCGAGGATCTTTATTCTCGAGGTGCCAAAAGTACTGCTGCTGCTGCTGCCGCCGTCGCTGATAGAGGTAGTGGAAGTGGTAGTGGTTGGACTGTGCTGGTCACCGAATTGGGGTTTCTAGGAAATACCGAGGACAAAAGGTACAAGACTCTTGTGAACCAGAAGAACTTTGTTCTGCTTGGACAACTACAACTGAGACTTGACACAAACGACCTTCAATGAGAATAATGGTGATTCTGAGAAAATCAAACAGAAAACCCCTCCCCAATCCACCTGGTGACCACCCCCTCTCGTTCCCCCCCTCGGATGGCCCGTCTTACTCTGTACCTGGCCGTTGCCTTACGACATCGAGGTATACCTCGTGTAATAGTGCGTACCTAGGCATGTACCCGAACAATCCCAAGGGATTCCAGAATTAATTTGGAGAAACGATCAACCCCAAAACGGCCAGCGCCCGATAAACCCGCCTTTGTGTTTGCTGAAGCTCGGCATAGCAGCCGGCTGGAGGAGAGAGGGAGAAATGTGAGGAGTATCAGTGCCAGCACCGGCAACCGGCAAGCTCTTGAATCCACTTCTGATGTCGACAAGCGGGGTCAGATCTCAACAGTCTTCGCGAAATATTAGCCATATATCACATGCTGCTCACATCACTACTGATAGTGCCAACAGTATATCTCCAGCCAGCTCTCCTTCTTGGCTGAGAAGCTGCATGAAGGTCCCCGAACTTATGAACCTATCGCGGTGGGTCGCGAGGAACTGAGACAGAATTCTTCGGAGTATATGCGGGCTTTTGGCAGACGTGGGACGGTTGGGGGTACTGTTGTACACATATTCGGTGACCTCGCAGATGGCAGTAATGCTTTCCTCGTCCAGTGGTTCTTGGGTCAGTTTCCGGTATATCATCATCAAGGCAGATTGCAACAATGCTCTGACCTCATAGACGTCCGCGAAGACTGCCAGTCTGGCTGTGTCGAGTAGATTAGCAGTCGCCAGACGTGGGAAGGGGATCATGTTCTCCATAACTTCTAGGATGTCTTTCACGCGAGTGGGTATGTTGAAATGGAAGTCTTGAAGCTCATCCAGGTGTCCAGGGAGACTGAGCTGTAGTTTTTCTGCACCACCTTCTGCAAGTCGCGCGCTGTAGGAGGAGAAAACTTTCAAGTTTTCCAGGCAGTCCCTGCAAAACAGCCCCTGTACGTATTCACCCTTGCTCGAACAACCAGATACTATGCAGTGAGCTTGCCACCTTAGGCTCCGAAATACGTCCTGGTTGCATTCGCCACATTGGGGGAATGTGAGGGAGAATCTCAGCTCCGATGTTCTGCAACAGCTCTTGCAACTGAACTTCTTATGCTCTCTCGCCAGTAGAAGTTCGATAAGCCTGCTTGTTGACGTTCGTTTTGTCGATGGAATGTGCGTGCTTGTTTCGTTGCCTGGCGTGTCGTTCGACGAGAGGTAGGCGTACGCAAGGAAATGCTCGAAGGTCCCTGGATCGACTTCTGGAAGCTCTGCGTATCTTTCGTCACCCTCTTTGAACGGCCCTTCTACGAGTTGGCGAAATACTCTTGAATGTGAAGAAACAATATCTGCATGGACAACGAAAGGTTTCTTCGAGGGTCCGACGTAATAAGTGAAGACATTCTCATTGAATCTATTGCAGTCATTTTGATTGCGGTCTTCCTCGCGAAACGATTGCGCATTCATTTTCGAGGAATCGTAATTGCAGTCATTGAGAATCGTGGGCGCAGGCAGAAAGTGCGGCGATATCGTGGCATCGTTGGAGGGACGTGTAACGTGATTCGAGCCTTTCTATGAATCTTTACCGACATTCGCACGGCTGCCAATCAATGGATCTTCGAATGCAGTTAGACATCATCGCCAAGTTGGGGGCATATGAAGGAAGGCAACTTTGGAAGAGGCGTTTTCGGTCTTATCAAGGACTCGACAGGGCGATGAACGCGAGGCGCTGCTCACTTCCGTAAATATATACCTCGTTAAACCTTTGAGGTCCGTGTGTTTGTCCATCGGTTAATGCTTGGATTGGAGACTCGAAGTGGTTGGTTAGTTGGCTGACTCGGGCTTTGATCCGCCGACGTACACACATTGCTGAGGGAAACCTGACTCATGCCTGGCTTGCTGGGAAAAGGAGGAGCATCTACTCGTAGGTAGAGAAGGGGTGATTCAGGAACAGAAAGAGATAGAAGTGCGTGAGATCAAAGAGGAAAAGGGAAGGCATCGCATCCTCTGCTATCTACCGTGTCATCGACTGTCCGTCCATCCATCCACACATCCCTCCTCCCTCCATGCCCACCAAGACAGCGTTGAGCCTTGATCGTTGGAAGATGCTGAGACCCCAATAAGAATTTGTGCATCCATAAAAGTACAATACAAAACCAACTTGCCCATCAATGAACCCAGCAAACCCAATAAACCCATCCGCATCAACCCTGTGCTTGCAAGACCTGACCTGAGCCTCTCCAACCAGACCAACTCATTCGCTCTGTGGCGAAAAAAACACATTCTCATGCATCTCACTTGACCCTCTCAACCACCACTGGGTCTGAATTATTACTGTTGATACACAGCACAGAATCCTCATACTGCTGTCCGAAAGATCCCCCAAGCAATTTTTATCAGAGGTTTTGTGTTTGGCCCCCGATGAGAAACTGTATACCATAAGACTTTTTGCCCAAGGCATGTTGGAGTAGACTGAAAGCTTTGTGAATGGCCTCAGCTGCTAAGCAGCCCCAGCATGCTGCCAGAGCCAATTCCACCCTAAAATCACGCCGCATGCCCATTGACCCCATTGACCAAAGGAACGGGAACACCTGCAATGACGCTGAATTGACCACCTGCACCAGCCCAGACCAATTTCTTGTCTCTGACGGCCGTGTTGTCAATCAGAGTGGCCAGTTCCACGTCGTCTGAAGTGCCCTGTCCCGTCTGGTAGGTGGTACTGAAACCCCATGAGTACGCCTTGCCATACTTGTCAATGGCGATGCAGTGATCAGAACCAGCCGCGGCCATGAGAGCCTCAATCTTGGGAATTTGGGTGGGAACAACCAAAATTCGTGGGTGGCCAGCTGAATCGCGCACAACATCATCTTCCGGAAGTTCCTTGAGATTCAGCCCCGACTGATTACCGTCAATTCGTCCCCAGACCAGCAGTTCGCGTTTGTCCGTGACAGCGACAGTGTGGTGGGACCCTCCCTGAATACAAGTCACTTTGCCAAACTTGCCGCGAAGCGTCTCAACAACAATAGGCATGTGCACGTCGTTCCCTTTGGTGTTGCCACTCTCGTCGAATTCTTTGGGAATGCCCGTCTGCCCAAAGTTGTTCAAACCCCAAGAATAGACGTCGCCATTCGCCTTCACGGCAAACGAATTGTACGCTCCTGCCCCGACGTACTCGATTTTCTTGAGTGTACCGATGGCCGTCGGAATCAGACTGTTCGTCGCTCTCCGCTCCAATATCCGGCGACCTAATTGGTTCTGTTGCCCTGAGCCCCAGCAATAGACAGCGCCATTGCTCTGCAAGGCAAGGACGTGATTGGCACCAGCTGCAAGCTGGGTAATCTTGCTGAGCCCTTTGATCAGCTTCGGCCGGAGCTGTATCAGTGTGGTGGGATCAAAGCCAAAAATGCCTTCATTCGAGCGAAATGTGCCCCATCCGTACACATCTCCCTGAGTTGTGAGAGCAAAAGTGGCACTGTCAGTACAGGCGACTTGGCTGAAGACGACGTCTTCAGGAATATCCGACAGGTCCACTTCCCCCGGGGTAGATTCCTTTGGGTTCACGGCTGTTTCCGAACCGCTATCCGAGTCGGAATCACTGGCATCCTCGTCATCAATATCGCGAAGACCACCATCCCAAGCAGTGTCTCGACCCAGTGCGCCCTGGTCATTGACACCCCAGGTCAGGATCTTGTTGTCGTGGGTCAAAGCCGCAGTGTGCATACCGCCAACTGACAGCGCCACCACTCCCACATTGTCCGGGCTGAGGTTGGGATTGTATCGCGGTCTCTTCACTTCCGTCTGACCTTTGGCACTCCCAAGACCAAGTTCTCCAGAAGAGCCTTCTCCAAACACATATACATTGAGTTTTTCAGTAGGAGGCTGGTTGATCTCTGCCTTGGTTATCTTGGGCTTTTTGGTTCCAGTCGGTTTGGCTGAAGGAGCAGCTTTTGTCTTGGGTAGTGTGGGTTCGTCATCAGGAAGCAGTCGCACTCTCTTGGAATCCTTGGTCTGATCTTCATCTTCGACCTCCGGCTCCGCCTTCCGCTTGCTTGTCTTTTTTACAGGAGCGTCTGAGACTATTAAAACAGCTTCAGGGGATTTCTTCGCGCGGGCGGTGGTTCTCTTGCTCGCGGTAGAATGTTGGGGTTTCGCCTTCTTCTTGGGAAGTGGCGCTAACTCAGTTGTTACTTTCCTCGGGTAGGATAGCTTGCGGGCTCGAGTGCCAGACATGTTTAATCTCGTCGGTGACGCGACGCAGGGGACTCGGATGGTCAGACGAATACAAAGAGAGACGGTGAGTTGCTCGGTACAAACTGATGGAATGACGAGGGGTGCTCGCAAGAGAAGAGACCTCCAAGCAAAGAAAAGAGCCCTGGAAGAAAAGGGAGTGATTACGGTCAAAAGTACGAGGTAGTCTGAGGGTAATTCGGTTGAGACGAGTAGGTGTGTGCTGGTACCCAGAAAAAAAGTTGTTAGCGCATCAATTGTTATGGTTGCCAATTGGACGTGACACGAGCGCAGCCGCACAGCCCGAAATTCCGCGTGACTAAGCAACACGAGTGCCTCGAGTCCCGCCCAACATCTCCTGACTCTGCAATGGATTCACTACTTGTACAGTCACGATGAATGCAGAGTGAAAATGGTTAATGCATTATTTGTGAGCGGTTATCTCACGTTCGCACACAGAACATGTTCCTACAAGTAATGGCGAAGGAATCTTCTGCGAGCCACCCTTACAGCCCCGTAGATATGCCCTCCAGCCAGATAATATGATACAATTTGGAGCCAGCTTCGGTTGTCTTCGACCGTGGAATCAATCTGACCTCCTGCTTGCTCAGCTGTTGTTCCTTCCTTCAAACACCGTCACGCAGCAGACAATGTCGTCTTCTTGCGGGGACAAGTATCTTGGTGACCATGCCTTCTCCATTTAGACAACAGGCTTCAATTCTCGGTTGCCTTTGGCGCGGGGATTCGGCGCGTTCTCGTTTTCCTGGATGTAGAATCGTCGGAGCAACATGATGGCTTCTTTTCTGAATATCCCTCCATAGCTTGGATAGCCCTCCTCCAGACCTTTATCAGAATGAACCGGCAGCACACTCCCGTTCCCTCCAAATCGATCATTGCCACACCCAAAGTAGACACAGCGAATGCCGTACTGCCTCAGGGCTGAAGCGCACATGATGCATGGTTCAACCGTCACGTAGAGATCCGTCTCCTTGAGTTTTCGGGCTGGCATCTTGGAGAGAAATTGTGCAATGGCGAGGAATTCGGCGTGGCGAGTGCCGTTGAGAGATCGGTTGGTGTCATTCATGCCTCGAGCAACGACTTCGCCCTCATGAACCAGAACACACGCAACAGGAGTTTCGCCTCCGCGGAGTGCTTCTTCGGCAACATCGATGGCTTGACGCATGAATCCCTGGTGGAGCTCGAGGTTTTTGAGAACTTCAGCATCAAGTCTGTCCTTGTCACTTTTGGCCTCGGGCTTGCTGTTGCTGGTTGTCATCTCGTCAGAGTCTGAGAGATCTAGGAGGCCCGTGTCAGTGAAAGGGTAAAAGTCAGAGCCTCCAGGCCCGGAGAGGTCCTGGAGGAGGTCCATGGCGACTACATCTTGACTCACTGGAGAGCACACAGGAGAAGAATCTGTAAATGTCGTGGTGGATTTCTACTGCCTCGCGCCACCTCGTATTCGGGCTAGTTGCCCTTTACAACAAAGGCGGCGATGGGTGCGGGTTGGTGATGGCCAGGACTAAGCGTGGAGTGAACTGAAGAGCTGAATGTTTGTAGGGAAGATACAAGTTGTTTGCCGTCACCATCATAAAGTTTTTTTTTCTTTCGGTGCGTTGTGACTGCCAAAGATGACCTTTCGCAGTTTCCTGCTGGTGCTGCTGGCCGTTTGTACCTGGACTGTCCTGGCTGCGAGCGATGCCGCAGCCTCTCAACTACCCAAGTCGGTCACTTTGTCGTACGAATTGATCGGATCTCCCTCCGTCAAACCGCTTGTTACTATCTTTTATGATCCGAAGACTTCTAAGCACGCTTTGTCTTCATGGACACCTCCTTCTCTCGAGTCACTCCAATCGACCACCCCCGAACCTACCTCGTCGAAGCTGCTTCGGATTGTTTTGCCCAATGGCAGTTCTACTGTAACAACCCTTGACACATTCGGCAAGGATGTCCACCAGAAAATCGATCTCTGGATATCTCCAGACGACGGATCAGTTTTCTCTGCCTCGGTCTCAGCCCTTTCACCACCCCCGTTGACCGCGGAAGAAGAACGGTACCAGAAGAAAGTTGAAAGAGCTAAGGCTAAGGGAAGGCCCATACCACCTCCGCCTCCGGTGCCAAACACGAAGAAAGCAAGAGAAGAAGCAGCCAAAGCAGCAGCTCTTCATGAGCCCATCAAAGTCAGCCTTATCACCTACGGTGCCGGCCCCTCACCTGACCTCGCAACTCGGAAACCACCTCAGGTCGATGCTGAAGGCAGAGAGGTTGTGCAGGAAGAACAACAAGAGAAGAGCTTTTTCCAGAAGTACTGGTGGGTGTTTTTGATCGCTACTATGCTTATGATGGGTGGCGGTGGAGGAGGAGGAGATAAATAAAACCCCGAAGTCAATATCTTCGACTTCTGCAATCATGGATCTCTGACTTCGAATACCGACGAATGTCCAACAATCTCTTGTTGTTCACTAACCAGGAGTACTACAAGACCAATCCGAACGCCCCAAACCGGCATCTTGGTAATGGACAAGAGGCCAAATCAGCTATGTCAACTTATGATCGTCCGCCAGTGCTGTACACCGAAAGACATGCCTATACCAATTGTTCCAGACTCACCAGGCAAACCCATTCGCCAGTCAACCTTCCGATCAGAAATACACCGTATGCATTCAATGGACTTCAAAATCTGTCGTCGCAGCTAATGCAGAATATCGTCTGGAAGCTCGCAATACACCCGCCTACCTCTTCCCCAGACACTGAGATCCCAAACTTGTAAGCCTCTGTCAGTCAGGACGATCAATTCATTCTCGGCAACCCTCCTCCGTTGACTCCTTCTGCGCCGCGGCTCCGATTCCCCTGAGTGAGACAACTCTGGAGCGGTCGACACACCACGTTCCTGGTCTGTTTTTTGCGGGGGCTCGTCTCTTCTCCCTCCAGCTGAAGCTTCCGTTACCTCAATTTCCTTGCCTTTGGCTTGGTCTACCTCTGCTGAATCTGCAGCTTTCGGCTCAGGGGGTTCAAGGACTATCGTGCTTGTGATGCTGGGGTAGTCGGGAGGACGAGCAATATGTTTGATCTGTCCGATCAACTTGGACTGCGAGAATGGTGCTGGGGGTATTTCATGCGAGACAGCTATCATTGCCTCCTGAATCTGGGTAGACGTGTGCTCTGAGCAGGTGGGAGTCTGCAAATCTGATATCGGTGATGATTGGTCGTGGTACTGTGGTAATCCAGAGGGTTGCGGCCGATCGTGTGGACGAAAACTTCCTATAGCTACTGACGTTCCCGAATTGTCGGATCTCTCACCTTCTGCAATCTCCTGCTGTGGAGTCAGCGAGGCCGTGTTGTTCATTGCTACATTCTCATTATCGTTCTCCTTTCCTTTTTCCTTTTCCTTTTCTACACCTCCCATCTCATTCGCTAATCCCTGTGCATCTTGGCCTGTTGTGTATACGTCTCCCACATCGCTGGCCGCCTCTTCGTCGACCCGGTGTGGCTTTCCCAACGACCAGCACATCTTTCGTACCACGGCTCCACCGTCCATCTTCAACACGAGCGGTCGGAGCTCAATGGTGCGTTCAAGAGGCCAGCGGCTCTTCACGTGCGGGTAGAAGCTCAGTAAGTCCGCGAGCGAGAGCGAGGTGGATGTGCTAGAGGCGACGGATCCGGGTGCCTTTGGTGGGATTGTCGGAGCCGAAGACGCCGGAATAGGTTCTTCAGTAGCGGGTGGTGGCTCTGCAGGTTCATCGTCGTGGTTGTTGTCGTCACTTTGAGGGTTGGGATTGTGGTCGCCAACGGCCACGTTCTCTCCTGTATTCAAGACGTTTGAGTCGGTGTCCTCGTGTTCACTTTCGCTGCTGCTCTCGCTGCTGCTGGTGCCCGTGCTGACGGCGTCGTCGCTATCGCTGTCCTCGTCCCACGCCTCCTCGCACAGCGCCCGCGGGTCCAAGGCATACACCAGCACGCGATCCCACTGTGCGACGGCAATGCGCTCCCCTCTGGGCGATATGTTTATGGTGTCCAGCCCTGTCAGCGTGGTGCGTTGGGGAGCCCACCCCCACAGTCTGGCGGCGACGCGCAGGTCTGTGCCGTGCAAGGTATCGGCGTCCGTGTCGTCGGCGTCCGTGTCCAAGCCGGGCTCATCAGCGTCGGCCTCGGAGTTGTTGTCCGTGTCATCGTTATTATCGTTGTCATCGTCGTCGTCGTCGTCATGGTCTTCTTCTACTCCGTTGCCGTCCGAGGCCATGATGACGTCCGGGTGGGGATTATCGTGGGGCTGGACGTGGACGACGTTTGAGTGTCGTCTCCTCCGGGACTGGCGCGGCGGGCGGGGCAGAGCGGGCAGGTCGTCGTTGAACCTCGAGTGGGAGCAGAGATCGTAGAGGACGCGCTCGCGGATCTGCACGATGGTGAGGACCTGCGGGCCCGTCTCGGTGACGAGACCACCGCACCTGTGAATGTGGACTGTCGGGAGCTTGGCCGTGCCCACGCAGAGGATGTGGCTGACGCACTCGACGTCGGGCGGCGCGACGAGGTCCGAATCCGCCGTCGTCGGTGGCGGGAACGTGGTCGTCTCGTGGGTGCTGAAGAACGGTAAACCCAGCGAAAAGTGGTTGCCGTCGATGGCCGTGTGGGTGGCCCGCCGGACGCGTCTGCGCAGCATCTTGAACGCGTCGCCGGGCGGCGGATAGCTTACGGGGGACACGATGGGGCTGAAGACGCGGGTGCGGACGGGTTCGTTGGCCAGCAGCGTCGTGAACGGCACCGTCGACCCGGGCGCGTAGAGGGACAGGCGGCGGCCGTCTTTGAAAAATGCAATGGCGCGCGGTCGCAGGGGGAAATGCAACAGGCGGAGATCCTGCCCGCTGTCGTGGCGGCTGCTGCGGTTGAACTTTTCGCGCACCGAGGTGACCGTGTAGGTGATGCCGCCACTGTCAGTGTCGTCGTCCGCGGTCTCCCGGGCAAGGTCGACCCGCTCGCCGGACCTGGACGGATAGATGGGGCTGGGCCGGTCATAGGGGTAGAGAACCCAGACGCTGTATTCGCCCGGCTCGTAGCGCGGGAGGTGGTCGGCCGTGTAGAAACAGACCGTGGCATCTGACGTGGGGGTCAACGTATCTGGGAGATCCCACAGAATGGCGCACTGGAGCCGGTTGTTGACCGCCAGGTGGACGGGGACCAGAACATTGTCGTTGATCGACTTGTGGGTGGGTATAGGGAAGAAGACGGGTCGATCACTCCGGAACATGTCATAATGGAGGAGATGGTAATGCGCACGAGAGGAGGAAGACGAGGCTTTGGATTGGTTTCTTTCCCGCAATGAGGCAGTCCGATCAGACCGAGTACACCGGTGCTTGGCTGTGTGGCTGTCGAGAGTCTCTTTCACGGATGCCTTGACCGTCGTCGGCTCGGGATGGGACGTGTCGTTGGCGGGATCCTCTTTCGGTGGCGTCCAAGCGTACAACACACTGATGTAATGGCTCTTCTGGACGGCTTGGATGATTTTCGCACTCCCATCCGCGTACGGCGACTCGATGCTCTCACCGGGTAACTCGTTGTGCCAGTTCAATCGGATTCGGAGGCTGTTCTTCACGACCAGACACACGTTATTTCCCCACTCACTCTCGACGCCGAGGCAGGATGCGCGCGCATCGATGGTCCCCAACGTATGTTTGGGAAGGTCCCAGCTCCGACAATCCGCCGTGAAATTGACTCCATAGAGATGTGAAGTGGCGCGTTGACGGAAGATGAGGAAGAGCTCACTGGTCGGGATCGACCGGTTCTCCAACCCTAGCTTCAGGCCGGGGACGTGGCGGAGATGGTAGAGGATGACTTCCCGACTTTGCGACGCCAGTGAGAAGAATCTCAGGTTGACGTGAATCAGCTGGAAGAAGGTCGGGGTGGTGCTGAAATAGAATATCTGCTGCAGGATTTCCGAAGGCACGGAACCGAGGGTTGCCCTCGCCTTGTGCCGCGAGATGAGTGGTTGGTCTGGCATCCTTGCTGGGCCTTTCCCCTTCGCTCACATCGCGTTTGGTAGGAAGATGATAGGTATATAGGCGGATTGAATCTCTCTAGGTCAATGTAGATCGACGGCTTGTCCTCAACTACGTCTGCTGCATTACATGAAGCGCTTTGTAACCGCCGCTTTGAAGTCTTGACTCTTGAAAGATCAAACAGAAACTGTCTTGGAGTTTACACCGCCCTCGGGAGCCAAGAATGTTTGTGCAGACGTAGGGTCAGATGGAGCGACGGCTCTCTGAGGACCTGAGAGAGACGGTTGCGAAGAAGTTTACAGGGTCAGACGACAAGAGTTGAAGAGGAAGATCACCCACGTCTGGACCCAACTCGAACTGGCACGACTGCCAGTGATGGAATAGAGTCTGGGGGTGATTGATGCCTAAAATTGAATGGCATCATCTGATTGGTTCCTGGAGGTTTAGGTTCGCTAGACTCACGCTGGTGCCATAATTGTACTTACGAGCATCCACAGGCAAGGCTACGAGGCTGACGACCACGCCAACACATCCCCAGCCTCAGCACATGCATACTTTCGCTGAGGATTGCAGAGACGTTCTTCCCATTCCTGAGAGTCCCTGGATTGCGGCGCATTGCACTGTGCATAAGCAGTAAGAACTCCCTTTCGCATATCTGTTGATGTAGTAGTGGTAAGAGCTTGTGCCAATCGTTGAAATTGTCTGCTGGTGGAGTATCTCTCTGCGCAGGTCTATGAGGCTCACGGGAAGGGTTTCGATGTACACATGTTCTCTTGACGACAACTTGAAGGTGTATGGACAAAAAGATCGACCTGGCAATCACAGAAATGTAGCCCCTATTTTTGTCTAGCCTCGCCAAGACAGCCGATTTAAGGGGGGATCATCCATAGCATACCTCTACAACCTCTCGACACTTGTCCTGACAATGAACCCAGCTCATGAACAGCTAGTCAACGGTAAGAGAACATTGTCGCTCGATGCTTCAACGTCCAGACTGACCAAGTGTGTTCTCTGCCTGTTTGTGTTACCAGCCAACAGTAGAAATTCTCTTGTTCAAACCTTGTTCTCAACATCATCTCTCTGTACAGCTGGACCTCTGGTCATATCCACAACGACATCACCAAGAAATCGGCACAAAGGCCGCTGCAGAAAATTATATCTCGTATGTCTGTCACATCCGCGGCGGACAGAGTTGAGCCCGAAGAACCAAAAAGAAGGCGGCGGGAGTCTCTTCCGCTGGCCGGGGAGTTACCGGGAATTTCGGCAGCTCGAGTTCAGATACCACATATGGACCGCTTATGAGGTTCGCGAGGAGCACACCTCAAACGGGAGGAGAGAACAGTCACACAGTGTGGGTAGTCGGGAAAAGAAAGACCGGGTCTGTGTTCTCTCACGGCCCAAGAAGTATTGCCGCGTCTGTAACACAATGTCAATTTAACAAAACGTCAATATATATATCAATCCGCGCACCTCTTCTATCAACCACCGATATCACGTGTGAACAAATTCCACTGACGGGCCAGTCACCACACACCATACCTCATCGCCTCCACAGGGCCGAACCCTCGATCAAGGCGCGGGAAAGAAGGATGGGTTCGATGGGCGCTGACCTCCCCCAAACTGCCCCAGCGGCCGTTCTGACCGGCGCATATGGCGAGCCGTACACGATCAAAGACGTCCCGATCCCCGTGCCGCGTCCTCATGACGCCCTCGTGGAGCTGGAGTACAGCGGCGTGTGTCACGGGGACGTCTACGCCCGGGACGGAGGTGGTCCTGCGCCCAAAGACCCCGTGCGACCGCTGACGGGCGGCCACGAGGGCGTTGGGAGAATAGTCGCCATGGGCACGGAGGGTCTGGACGGGTTCAAGGTCGGCGACGTCGTGGGCATCGCCTGGAGGAGCAGTGTCTGCGGGACGTGTCAGGCTTGCCAGGCCGGGTCAGAGAATCACTGTTTCAACCAGAAGATCACGGGGGCGCACGTCGACGGGACCTTTCAACGTATGTGATTTTCTCCTGGCTTGAGTTCAAGTTTCTCCCGCTACAAGTGTGAACTGACGCTTTAAACTCAACTCACGTCCTTCTTGGTTAGGATACATCTCCTTTCCGACCTCCCAGCTCGTGCCCGTCCCGTCTGGCGTCTCGTTACCCAGTGTCTGCCCGATCCTGTGCGCCGGAGTCACCGCCTACGCGGCGCTGCGGCGCATGGACCCCCAACCGGGCAAATGGTGCGTCGTGGTCGGCGGGGCCGGCGGCCTGGGCCACCTGGCCATCCAGTACGCGCGGGCCATGGGGCTGAAGGTGCTGGCCATCGACGGCGGCGCGCCCGAGAAGCAGCGGTTCTGCGCCAAGATGGGCGCCGACGTCTTTGTCGATTTCACGGCGCCGGGGCTCGTCGAGACGATTGTCGACAGGACGGGCGGCGGGGCGGATTACATTCTCGTGCTGAGTCCGCATCAGTCGTCGTACGAGTACGTTTTCCCGTCCTTTTTCTCTGCTAGCATTTTGCCAGTGTTATATCTTACACATTACACATCACGAAACTCTCCATTTTCGTGGCAAGGAAAAGGAGACAGTTCCCAGCTGACGTGTGTGATCCAGTGCCGCGGGAGGATACGCCAGGTTCGGCGCACAGATCATGGCCATTGGGATCGGGAATCTGCAGTAAGTTCCGAGATTCAACCTCCCCCCCCCCTCCCTGGGTTTCGTTCCGTATCTCTAACCCCGGGGCAAATTAAAAAGCATGTCCCTCCGCCCCCTTCTGAAAAAGGACCTGCTCGTCCGCTCCAACCAGACGGGCACAAAGGCCGACATGAAAGAGGCCCTGGCGCTGTTCGCGGCCGGCAAGGTCGTGCCGGAGCTCGAGGTCGTGGAGTTGGGCGACATTAACGGCGCGTTGGACAGGATCAAGCGCGGGGACGTCATGGGGAAGTTGGTGGCGGATTTGAGGGGTCCTACCAAGGAGAGGTAGAAGGAGGGATAATGGGAGAGATGGGTAGGTAGATGGACAGGGAGAGGGGGGGAGAAGGAGAAAAGTCGGCAAAGATTTATAGACTTGAGGATTCGATGTAGCCGATGAGTCTAGACTCTATCGACCCCTACCTAGGTGTCCTTGTGTGGAACAGACAAGTTTTCATCCACACCCTCCATCCCTATCTTCTCTTCCATCATCCACCTCCCTCGTCATCTCCACCTCTACTTCTACCTCCCCCAAGCCTATCGAATCCCATCCACTTGCTGCCCCGAATGCCACGTCCCCACAGCCATGGCCGTCGGGTCGGCGTTGTACTTCATAAAGATGGTTTTGAGCTCGGTGTAGGTGTTGAGGCCGTGCAGGGACAGCTCCTTGCCCATGCCGGACTGCTTCCAGCCGCCGATGGGCATGTCGACGGCGCGCACGGGCACGGAGCAGTTGATGCCGACGGCGCCGGCCTCGAGCGCCTTGGCCACGCGGACGGCGCGGTCAAAGTTTTGCGTGTACACGGATGCTGTGGACGATTGGGGCACAAGAGGGGCCGCGGGGTCAGTTATACATTCTGTATACTGTGTATCTTTGGCTTTGTGGAGATGTATAGCGCAGGGACGGGGAGCGAGGACAGGAGAGGAAAGGAAAGGAAGAAGTAATTCACGTCGGAATGGAGAGAAAGGGATACTCACAAAACAACCCAAAGTCGGTACAGTTGGCCTCGGCAAGCACCTCCTTCTCGTCCTTGAAGGTATTCAAAATCACCACGGGCCCAAAGATCTCCTCGGTGTAGGCAGCCGAGTCGAGCGGGACGTTTTTCAAAATGGTCGGCTCGATAAAGGCGCCCGTCGTGCCGTGTCGCTTGCCGCCGCACACCAGCGTGCCGTCTTTACTCCCTTGGTCGACCAGCCGCTGGATGTGGGCCAGCTGCTTCTGGTCGACCTGCGGGCCTTGGAACGTGCTCGGGTCGGCCGGGTCGCCCAGGGTGACTTTGGCCATCAGCTTCTTGACCATGTCGATGTACGCGTCGGCGATGGACTCCTGCACTAGCACGCGGCTGTTGGCCTGGCAGTGCTGGCCGCTGTTGTGGTTGATGCTGTAGTGCGTGTACCGCGCCGCGGCCTCGAGGTCGGCATCCTCAAAAATGATGGCGGGCGACTTCCCACCCAGCTCCAGCGAGACGTTCTTGAGGTTCGAGTCGGCCGCCATCTTGAGGATCTTGCGGCCCGTGGCCACGGATCCCGTGAACGAGATCTTGCGGATCTTCCTGTGCAGGCCGATGGCCGAGCCCGTCGGGTCGCCAAACCCGCTGACCACGTTGACCACGCCCGGCGGAAACCCGGCCTCCTTGATCAGCGCGGCCAGTTTGATGGAGCTCAGCGGTGCCTTTTCCGACGATTTGAGTACGACCGTGTTGCCGCAGATCAGGGCTGGGGCGACCTTGAAGGCGAACATGATCATCGGGACCTACATTGACTCTCAGCAACTTGACGAACGCTGGAACAACAGTGGTGATGGCCACCGAGGACAAACGAACTCACATTCCATGGAATAATCAGACCGACCACACCATAAGGCTGCCGCACACTGACGTTGAGAAAGTTTGGGGAGGAGAGACTCGATTCTCCCAGTATATGGTATCCGCTGCCGGCAAAATAGTTGAAGACGCCCACACAAGCCGGGATGTCCATTTTCTTGAGCAATTCAACGGGCCTTTGGGGGAGTAATGTAAGTTAGTTATCCTGACTGCACTCGCGAAGAACCCCCAAGCTTAAACCTGTCAAAGCTGGAAGGAGACGGTGCTGCTTACTTGCCCATGCACATCGAGTCCAACTCGGCCAGCTGGGGGGCGTCTCTCTGCACGAGCTGGGCAAACTTGAACATGTAGGCTGCCCGCTCATGGGCGGCAATGCTGCTCCACTGGGGAAATGCAGCCTCGGCGGCGTCGACTGCGAGATCGACGTCCTCCTTTGTGGCTTCATGGACATGACATATCTCTTGGTCGTTGTAGGGATTGTAGACTTTGAATGTCTTTCCCTGCTTGCCTTGGACGAACTAATCCATCAAGTCAGAGTAGTTGTTCGAGAAGTAAAACCACCTGGAAGACATACTTCGTTGTTGATGAATAGTCTCGTCTCTATGGCGTCTGAGGTCATCTTGGAGATTCTTGACCGGGATTGATAGTGTCTGATATCTTCCACAGTACAAGACAAATTTCGCCGTATATCAGGTCAGAATGCACACAAGCCAATCCTCGATGACAAGGGTCCTTTGGCGATGAAGAACTGAAGTCTAGCCGCCGCCAATAACTGTATGACCAGTTTCCCGGGTCGTTCTTTCGGATACGCCATGTTGGTTTCTGGGTCGGGGATGAGATCCCGAGAGACCCCCGGTTACGGTGTCGGGTTTGCCAAGGCGGAGGAAAGGGGGAGAACGAGGCTGAGGATTGTTTTCTGTGTACGAGAGAGATACTGATACCTAACGAGTTGGGCGAGGTCGATATACCATGGACAGCAAACACAGTGAGTAGTCTCACAACTCTTCATTTTCAGCATGCCTGGGGTGCTCGGAATTGGACGATATTCATGTGACGACGACGAAACACGAAACAGAGACCAAGAGTCCCCGGAGAACAAGCAGTACCGAGATACCTACCGAGTACGAGTGTGACGGGATTTCGCCTGTCAGAAGATTCTCTTGATGGAAGCCACGGTACCAGCCACGCCAGGTAACCTTGAGGAACAATGAACCGCGTCACTCTTTCCTCGCCACAACCCGTACGAGTCAGACGCCCGATGAGGTAGAGGCGATGAAAACCCCGTAACTCGGATCAAGCTCAATACGAACGAATCACTCGCACGAGAACCGAGTATTATGATAAAATGTCTATTCCACGTGGCCAACAACACGAATGACACGATGCGACACGATCCAACGCCACACGACGCGAGATGACACGGCACAACCCGACCTTTCAGGTTCTTGATTACTTACTTACTACTCGGTACTCAGTCCTAGCAGCCTCTTCTTGCCCTCTTCAAAACCAACTCCAAATAATTCCAGGGTCCAAGACTGACAGAATCCGGACAATAACAATCAAGGAACCCCCCCCTCCCCCCCCCAAAGCCCCCCTACCAGAAAAGAAAGGAGAACGGCCCCCAAAGGGACAGGCAGGGGTAAGGGTCCTCGGTACATACAAGTAGATCAGAGATCAGAGATCGAACCCTATGTACTACTACTAGGTACTCGGTACACTAAGTGCTGGTGGGATGACTAAGGAAGAGATATTTTTAAACAAAGGGTTTCCACCTTGGCATTTGCCTTTGCCTCTGCATTGCCACGTGATGGGGGCCAAGGCACCAGCACCCGTGCCAGCGGGCGTCAGATCACATGGCCACATGGGCAGGCCGCACGGGTCGAGCATGGTCAATAGGTCAAAGAATGGTCAATAGTAAGGGTGGTCGGCGGTCAAGACTTCTCTAGAAGTACGCGGTCAACAGTACCAAGGAGTAAGTATGAGGAACAAGAACACCAAGTACAACTACGAGACGAGACGAGACGTGAGAGAGAGGGTGATGGAAGCTGTGCACTTTACGCAGTGTACCTCGTACCTCACTCTCCAGCACGAGGGGATGAATAGATGGATACACGGACACAAAAAAAGCAATAACTTTTATTGTTCATGTATCTATCCCACCCATTCACAGACAAGACCTAGTGCGATACTTGATGATTACCGAGTAATTTGGCGATGCTTGACGAAAGACAATATGGACCAAGTCCCCAGAATTGACTCTACCCTCTCTCCCGCGTACCCCGAGAAACATGTGTATATATACTCAGTGCAATTGATGTCGGTGTTGATGTTATTGATATTCAAAACGAGCGTGGATGTCAATGTCAATGTCCATGTCAATGTGAATATCGTTGTCTTGTCGTCAAGAACCTCCTCAGAGATGTGTTAACCACTCCCATGTAGTTATATATTCCACCCTTGTCCACCCTTTCCTCCTTGCCTGCCGCCTCCGTATCTCCCAAATCGAGGTGTGTCAATCTATATATGTAGTAATTTCCTCCTTCCTCCCCTTTCCATCCATGCCAAAACATGCGCTTGCTTGCTTGATCGATGATGATTCCGAAAAAATAAACAAGAGAAAATAGTAACAATAACAATAGTCGTGAATACACGGTGTAGCTGGATCGAAAGAATAAATGGTGGGGGTATCCGGTTCTTTATAGCGAGCGAGGAGAAAAAGACCCTCACCCGTTCAACTTTTTGGGGCGAGCGGCGCTCTCTCCCTCTCCTGTTGTCACTTTCAAATCACCCCCCGGCGAAATGGCGGGGCGAGATCAATAACTCTGGCTTTGCGTCGAGTTGCGGAGCTTCTCCTTGGAATCGCCCTGCCTCCACCGCCGTCCACTAACCAACTCCCAAATGGCCAGGGCGGCCACGGTCAATCCGAGGATGAACAGCGGGATAAGGTTCCATCTCCACCCTCTCATCAGACGAAGGTGGTTGCGGATGTCGCGACGGTCGCTGGCGTGCGCGAGGGGCAGGGCGAGCACGGCCACGAACCAGTTTTCCGGCGTCCAGTCGTCCAGCGGGTACATGCTGGGCTCAGCGTTGGCCGCGGCGACTGTGAGATTGATGGTTTGGTCGTCGGTCTGGTTGGTGACCACAAAGGTATAGATCAGTGCCGACAGAGTGAGAAGGGCCGAGAGCACCGTCATGACGACCCAAAAGACGAAGATGCCAGAGTGGTTGATGGCTTGTGTCTGGAGTGAGAGGTTAGCAAGTTTCTATCTATCTGAGAGAAATACAAAATCGTACCCTTCTGGCTCGTCGCTTCTCGTACCAAATGGTGAGCAACCCCAAAAAGCCAACCAGCACAATGGCAGTTCCCGCAGCGCCGTTGCTTGCATGTCCTTGATTGACGAGCAGACCCTTGGGCTTGCCGTGGAGGTCGAAGCTGCCATTGGGGGCGTCGATGGTGAAAAACTTGCCAGCCCGGTCGTGCAAAAACCCAACCATCGATCCAACAAACCCGACCTCGATGACCCCGTCGATCATCAAGGCCGCCATGGCAACGTACAGCGGCGTATAGTTCGACATGGTGGTGGTGGTGCGGTGTTTGGACGACGACAGCCTTGACTTGGGACGAAAGAAAAATCAATTAGAAGAAAAACAAGGGCTGGTGTGACGGGTCTTAGAGGGAGGGGGGATAAGATTATAGTATATTAAAATGCCTGACCTCAGCACAAAGGATTGCGGAATGACCAACAACAGCCAACGGGAGGGCACGCGTGGTGTATGTAATGGATATATGTGTGTGGCAAAACCCCAGGCCGGGAGTACAGGCTGGAGGGAAGCGGCGCTTTATAATAACAAAGACGCTATTTGGGCATCATCAAAAGCCAAGGGCACCAAGGGTAATGGCATTTGGGTTTTTTTCAGCCCTATGTTGCATCAACGAGCAATTTGCTTCCCACCTGCAAAACTTACCCGGTCTGGAGTAGTGGCTGAGGGAGTTGCTGTGTCGGCCCTGTCCCTTGCAATAATAAGCCAAGCAAGACGCATGGGGACTGCCAGCCTCTTCTTCGTATTCTCCCAAGGCCCGGGGACTCGACCTCCTCTCGGACATCTAGCACAATGATTGGAGGCCCAAGTCGTGGGTGGTCCTGTCGTTACGTGCTGGATACTCCGGATACAACTGCATGTGGAAGGTGGCTGCCTCCAGCTGGACCAGCTGGGTAGGCAAGCAGGCTGGGCTACCCCTGGTGTTGTTATTTTCGAGGAATGACGAGTCACCAAGGCGGGATGATCATGCTTCTTTTCCTGTTGTTCCTCTCTCTCCCTCGGGGAAGGAGAGGCAAGGCACAAGGAACATTATTGTCAGGCCAGCCAGGACCAGCAAAATCTCGATCTCTTAGCTGTCTTGGCTGCTTATCCAAAGGGCCAACAGCGCCCGACGTGTCCGTCTCATTCTGGCTGCTCGTGTGGAACACCTGGCAGAAAGCCACATGTCTTGGGTTCCTGTCGGTCGGACAAGCGCTCGTCGAGTTATATCGTGACAAGGCGGCCGCATTCACAGTGGCTGACTGCGATATCTTGTATTGATCATGGCAGGACATCCCGCTGGGGTTTGCGCCAGCTTGCTGCTTCAGACCAAGATTTGGGCAACGGTTGCCTACCAAAGCCAGCGGGAAAGTGGTTTGAATAGTAGTGCTGACAGTCATGGCTAGCACCGAACAAGCAATGACCAAGGCGAAATCCAGTCCAGCGTGGCGTCCTGTGGGTGCCCTGTATCCAATAAGACCCGACTCCGCTGCTGGATGATCAGCGTGGCTGTGGGTTCAGCAAGCCACCGAGCCACACAGCTTGGTAACTCGTACCAGTAACCGAGCCCTAAAAAACGACCGCAGTCCAAAGGGGCGAATGGCGGAGCAGCAACATGCTCCCCTTTTTTGACTCGCGGTGCCTCGTGGGACCTGAAAGACATGCCATTTTTGGGAGATTACCACTTGCTGAGTCGAGATTTGGAAGGATTTGCTTGGTTCCTTTGTCCGTGAGCATTTTGGTCTCGGTGTCTCCTTTTGACAGTACCTAGTAGGAAGTGTCCACGGTCCCCATTCGGACGATGACGAGCTCGCCGACTTGCCGAGAGACTTTGGTGAGAGACTGGCGAAGAATCTAGAAGTCAGCATGGTCATTGTTTTTTCTTGAGATGGTGCCTGGCAACGACGAAGGGAATGCCCCTCCCTCCCTCTCCGTCCAAAAAAAGATGAAACAGAGAGGATCATAATTACAAAATGCCTGGATCTGGATCTGGATCTGGGTCAGGACGATCGGATCATGTCCACAAACTGCTGCCCTCGTGGTTACCACCAAATTTTCTGCAGAAAATCCTTCCAGCTGTTTCGAGCAAACGGCAAATGTGGATGGATGGATGGTTCATGGATGATATCGGCAATCGCAGTGGCCATTGCCATAAACTGCTGCTATTCTTCCAAAACATGTTGCATGGTTGCTAGTTGCTGGTTACATGGTGCATCCGATCACAGCCGCTTCCTTCTTCATCCCTTCCATCTTCCCGCTGGTGCTGCCGAATCTGTCTGTACAAGTACTTATCCCATAATCTCATATCGGTATGTATGATCAGCTCAAAAATAAACAACCAAGTCTACTTGTGTATTTCCCCCCTCCATGGGGGAAAAAAAGCGAAGGTAATCAATCAACCCAAACTCGCTCCCTCGTCGTTTTCATGGTCATTGTTGAGTCGATTCGTGGCGGCATTAATCATATCCCGAAACCGGATATGCCAGTGTATATAATATTATTCTTCTTCCCAACACCAGCCTCGCTATGCAATGCCCTGTCATGGGCCCAAACACACAAATGTTTAAAAAGCCCCCTTTGGAGGCACCCCCTGCTATGCTTCCCAAGGCCATGCACTGCTGGTTTGGAAATCCTTGGGTGAAAAAGCCGCTCATGCTTGCCAACAATGGCAAATATGCATTTCATTTCCCATGCTCGGCGTTCCATCATCATATCTCCCATGGCTTTTGTATATTTTTATCCCCCTAAAAAATCTTACCCGTGATAACTCCTCCTTGGGTCTGATAATCCCGGTCGCTTCTGCTGCTGCTGCTGCTCCGATTCCTGCATCACCAGCCATTGTAATATGCTCTCGTAACACAAGACAAACTGCCGTAAATTCTGAACCATGCTCAGTCGCTGATGTCGAAAGTCATCCACCGTCTTCGCCACCAAGTCAACATCGTCCCGGTTCACCCAATCGCCCGTGTCAACATCCATTTTATCCCCCCCAGCCTCGTGACAGAGCCGCTGTCTCTTCAACATGTCAATGACAGAGTCAATCGTGCAGAAGGTGCCCGTTCGCCCACAACCTGCACTGCAATGCACCAAGATCGGCCGTTGCCCTTCGGGTGCCGCATCGTCTGGTCCCACGATATTGGAGGGAGTCCCAGCTCCCCGGACAAATTTGTTGACCTGTTCGACCAGTCCAAGCAGCTCCAGAGGGCTGGCGGGCGCTCCGAAATCAGGCCAATCCGCATAGTGAATCTGCGTGATCTCACGCATTGGCTGAAAGGGAAACGCCGAATGACTTAGTGAGAAATGGCGAACCATGGCCGTCGGGACTTTAGTCGGCGGCGATTTGCATTCGTCTCGACCTCTCTCCCCGGGGACATTAGCCGTCGTGGATCTTCTGGGCGCCATCGAAGGCCTGGCGGTGGGTGCAAGTTTATGGGCAAATTTCTTGGTTTCCAAGCTCACTTGACGCTCCGAAAGCTGCTTCAATTTGAGTGGACCATACTCGCCGGGTTTCCAGTAGACATGACTCTTGACCTGTCCTCCTTCTGCCTCGGCCGTCAGCATGACAATCACGCGGACATCCTGTTCCCATACAACGCGCCAGAAATCATTGAACGTGGCCGGAATAGGCGCTTGAGTCGCAATATACCGTCGGTTGGAGAACTCGGCCTTGACGTGGCTCGCATTGATGTAGTCACAGCAACCGCTGGGAACATTCTGCAACCGGACTCGCGTGTGGTCAAAGGGAAAGATATTGTTGTATCGGTTCTTGGAGCCCTTTTCGATCCCAGCCACCTGGATTCTTTGTGGCTTTTCGCTCCGTGGAGTGCCATATGACACATTGGCTGTCAGAGCTTCTTGCATGCGTTGCTGTTCCGACTTCTCGATGTTGAGAAACCGGTCCGACACCAGCTTCCCATCGTCTGATGTTGAAGCAGCCCTCTTTAACCACGCGGGCATATGTCGTTCCGTCTCGGAGGTCATGTTGGAAGGCTTTTTGATCGGCATCTGCCCAACTCCGTCCAGCAAGTCCATGTTCTGGCGAATATTTCCGAAGAACGGATTGGCGGCCGATTTTTCAGAAGGCATCGCACAGCCTCCGGCCACCGGGAGGGCATCCTTTCCCGGGGCCGAGCTGGACAGTGGTTGTGTAGATGCCCCATTCCCCGATTGAACAGGACCATTATCCACCAGTTCCGGAGCCAGTTTCTGGAACTTCAAAAACCCGCCCTTAACCACCAGCCCGGTACCAGACCAGCCTTCTGACGTAAATTTCTTGAGCACGTTTAACGGAGTAACGGCCTCCTTCGCCAAGGAGGAATTCGCATCATAGACTATGATAAATGCACATTTCGGCCAGCGCGCAAATGTCTCTTGGTCTCGAGTCGATGAGAACGTCTCGGCGAGTCTTTGAACGTTATAAGCGGGCCGCTTCAGGAGTGTCGTGGGGATACACAAGTTTAGAGCTCCTTTTATCCTCGCCGTGGCATACTGTTGATATACTCTTAGGTCCAGCACCAAACAATCCGCCGAGCGGTTTTGGAGGATCTCGGCTATTTGGGACGGGGAAACGATGGGAGGAGCGTCTTTTTCTCCCGCCGACGGTAGCGTGTCGGAGCGATGAGCAGCATGGGTGGCCGCCTTGAGAGGAGGTGTACGGATCCTATTATCAGGCAAGGACAGTCGCGCGTGTTGGTGGTCGGCGACGGTATGCTGGGAATTGAGGGGACCTGGGGATTGTCGTCGTGGAATGTCAAAGAAGGAGACATCTTCCATCTGACTGCCCTGCTGCTGCACGGCTGACCCTCCATTGGATGACTTGGAGTTTCTGTCTATCAACGGCCGTGTTGTGTGCGGGGAGGAGGGGGTGTCAACACGGGAAGCAGTACTCGTCGAGTTGTTCCTGGACTGAGAAGGTCTGAATGCCGTGTTCAAAGCAAACCTGTGGTTATGTTCCGACTGTCTTCTAAAGGCTTCAAATTCTGGATTCGATTCAACCGGGATATGACGGGGAGTCGGGGCGTTGTTCGGAGCAGCCGAGTTGGGGTAGGTCCAGTTTTGACGAGCATGTGCGCCCGGGTTGGAGTCAGGCGGTATTGTATCATCGCTGCCCACGACGAATCCAAAGTAACTGGGACTCGGGCTCTTGACATCTTTGGGTGGTTGCGCGGATCGAGCGGTGTTTGGGGAGAGGAGAGGTGGCATGGATTGACCGACCGAGGCGGCCGCAGGTTGGGTACGTGGGGTGGTCGAGGGGCGGGAGGAGCGAGAGTGCGAGTGTGAGTGCGAGTGCGAGTGCGACTTGGAATGTGAATGCGATTGCGAGTGAGAGTGAGAATGGGAAGAAGATTTGAGAGAGGCCGTCGCGGTGGCGGACATGGTGACGTTGGCCAATTGGCCTGAGGTACCGGGTGAAGTCGAAGGGATGTGGTGGATGGTCATCAAGTTTGGTGGCCAACAAGGGTCGTGGTATTAAGTCAATGGAAAAAGCCCTCCACAAGATGAGGAGGGGTAGGCAAGGTTGAAAAGGACCCCCGAAGAGCTGGAAAGGTTTCGAAGGGACAAGAGAAAGGTGTTGAGGCGCTGCGTCCTGAGGGTGTGGATTTTAGTGGGTAGAGGATGGTCAGGCGCAGGCAGGAAGGGTACGGGAGTAGGTGTGGTGGATGTGTAAGTGTGTGTGTACAAGTACAAGCAGATCTGCCCCCAAAGATCTACGTCATTGTGATCTGGAATGTGCACGCGACAAGGCGGACAGTAAGGTGGAATTTTGGAAACATTGTGTTTTTAGTAGGCAAACAAAGAGATATATTGTTGTTTTTCTCAGTTGAGTGAGTTGAGGAAATGAATCACTAATTCAACGGCAACTTTTTTTTAGGGTTGGTTGAGTGGTGAGATATGAAGGGGTGAGAGAATCGGCCGGTTAAAGGGGGGTTGGAAGAAAATGGGGAGTAGTGTTCGCCTATGAAGATATCGTCAGGGGGAGCAGCAGTACTTCTACCAAAACGCTCGCCTAAGGGGGGGAACACAAGCAATAGCGGCAGTGAGTCTAGGCATTAAAGGGAGCCCCAAGGGTCGTTTTGTCGGATGGAAATTGGCGCAGGGAAACAATGACGTCGGTGGGAGGAGTAACGACAACGGGTGGTTATGGGTGGTGGCCCTTTTGCCCTGGCACCTGGTAGGAGGGGGGCACTTGAGGGGGGAATCCCCCGATGGGCTGAGACCCTGAGTCCCTGCAGCCAAGATTCCAAGCCCATGAACTTGGGTGTACCGAGTAGTGGTACAAGCAGTGGTCTATGCTTTTCGCCCAGCCCAGGCCTCAGCATCAGGTTAACTCGTAATGTGGACATTTCTTAATTCCGAGGCACCAAGACCAAAAGCTCTGTGAAATAGCCATGGGCACTTTATCGATACAGGGTCGATACAGGGTCACCGTGTGTTTCCGAGAGCTACCTAGTAACCTAGTCAAAAACAAGGGTCGTTTGGGGGGTAAAAAAGGGAAAATACAAGGGTTGACGCAAGATGAACCCTGACTGACTGACTCGCAACGTCCTGCAACGGGCCACCCGTCACAAAGGATTAATGATGATGGATGGCAAACGGTCTGGAACCCTCCAGCACAACATTGTTGTCACTTGGAAAGGGGGGTTGCTTACTTGTCCATGCTCCAAAGTGGGAGAAAGGTGTACAGTAGTCCAAGGGCACTCGAGCATCATTGGACCAGAGATTTGGATCAACCTCCGAAGATGGAGTGTGTGGATAAGTCAATGTGCGATGGAAGGGAAGGGGACCCTTGTTGGAGAGAGAGAGAAGAGCGATGGAGGAAGTGGCACGTTGATTGGAAATCAAATCACCAAGACCGCCGCATCTTTGCACTTCCGTGCCAACCATGGCTCAATACCTCCAAGTACCTAGGTACCAATTACTAAGTTGAATAACAATAATAATATTAAGTGGTTTGTCCTGTTAAACTCGGCTTGCCTTGGCCGTGAAGAAACTATCAATTCTTTCTTTCTCTCATTACTCACAGGGCTGACTGACTGACCATCCCATCCGCCCGCCCCACGTCATACCTTCAGACTTCAGCCAAGCCACCACGAGGGAGCATCACTTTGTAGATTGTTATCTTCCTCAGTGACTCTTTTCTTACATACTCTACAAGTACAAGAATCCGTACACGTTGGATTCGAGTGGCATGATCCACAAGAGTTGACTGACTTACTCTTCTGTTCTCAACCATGACTCGTCAGGAAGGAAACACCCTCTGCATGACTCTCACTTCACGCGTACTTGGAGACAATATCCAGGTCCCTGGGTCGCATGCACCGCCCAGAAAATCCCCTAGTGATTCGAGCCGGTGAAATCTAAAACGTAAACTATAATGAAAAGGCTGCCCTGTATCTGGTCTTCTTATGTCCCCCGCCCGGCGGATCGGCCGATGCCCGGTCGAACAAAAATGAAAGGGTGTCTGCCTTATGACACCAACAGGTGCACATGTTGCGCCTTTGGACAAGTTCTAACAAGTACAGACACTACCTTACATTCTTTCTACAAGTCCGGAATAGACAGCTTATACTCGGTTCAGGGTCCAGACCCTGTCAAAAGTGGCCTTCCCCAATCCGCTATCTAGACCGAGCTTGGCCGAGCAACCCCGGACATCCAAAAGGAGGAATATCCAGCTCGACACGGTTTGGTCGTTGTATAACAGGATCGGCCACTGCCGAAGATGAGGCTGTTTGTCCTCGTGGCCCCAAAGCAATACCTGCAACCGAAAAGTAATGTGTACAGATGCCGTCATTTCTCATTCCTCTCCACTGTCTGGTCTCACCTGCAGGCAGCCCGTGCGCCTGAGGTGGCCAGAAGCTTCTCGCCCATCTCGGCCTGCATCTAAGCGAGCCTTCTTCAGGTGACTCGGGTTGTCATGGTATTGGTTCGGATCAAGTCCAACTGCCTCTTTCCCTTTTGAGAATGCACTGGGAACCGAGCTCCTTCGCTGACGGTGGGTTGTGTGCATACTTGGTACAGTATTGAAACTGTAAATGTTGTATTCTCGTTCTCGAACACGTTTCGTGGCACCAGAGCTCCATGGGGAAATTCGTACTTTGCAGCCTAAGCCCACGGGGATGCTCTTCCGTTCAACGCACTGCCGCCTCTTTGCGATGCGACCATGCACTGCCTGAACCTTCGCTCACCGCCAGTTCGGTTGCTTCGCCCTCGGTTCAAGTATCCATCGCGTATCGTGTCCATTCCGATACATAACTCGGACAAGATGCGAGTTCTAGCTGTTTTACTTTGAGCATGTGCTGCTTCGCTGGCGGGGTCTTGAAGCATGGTTCCAGAGTTTTGGAACTTTGCATCGCGCATGTTCGCAGAGAAGAGATAAAATAATTGCGCGAAAATGGCCAAAGAATGATGGAGTGACAAGACGAGGTGCAGCATGTGCCTCCCTTCGCTGCGACTATGTCCCTATCGCAATCTCCCATCCGGTTCGTCCTTCCACCGCTCCACCCGTTTCTGCTCCCAATTATCCAAGTCTTTGGCCATGAGCCTGTAGTATTCATCCCGCTCGTTCAGCTCGCCCTTGAGAAGCTTCCGTCGTCGTGGATTGTACGTGAGGCCGCCCTCGCCCGCAGCGCCCCCTTTCAAGCCCAGTTCCATCCTCTCGTGGTCTGAGACCTGTCTGTTCTTGCGGTCGTGCTTCTCGTACCGCAAGGCGGTGGCTGGGGTGAGGAGGAACGAGGCCGCGACCACGATGGAGATGAAAGGCAGACCAAAGTACAGGAACGGATTGCGTTCCTGCTTGCGATTATACCACGCTGCAATCCGCGAGGGGAGGTCCCGAGCTGCCGCACTGCTGCCGCTGGCGCGGAAGGGCTTCGATTGGAAAACAGGCATGCTGGCTGGCGAGACGGACAAGACACCGCAGAAGGTAGGCGTGATGGGGAATTATAACGCCTGTGGTTTCGATCCTGGCTCATTCGATGAAGAGCTTTTATGACTGGTTGTCTGCAAAAACAACGACCAACGAGGGAGAGAATGGCTATGACGGTGCTGGGTGCCAGCTATCCATGATGTTTGGATGCCTTAATGAGTGGAAGATAAAATTACAAGTCGCATGCTCCAAGCTTCCATCACGAGACTCATTGGCTGCGCATCCAGAAACATGACCTCAACGCCAAGGATTATCTAAACTACTCGCCGCCCTACGCCACCAATCAACGATCAAACATTTGGAGCCTCGTTCTTGCCTACCACGAGCTAACGAGGCTGCCAGGTGCCAGAGTGATGTGATTTTTCAATGTTGACGATTTCCGTGACGACTAAGCAGTGTACGATTGCCTAGTCCTTTTTGCGAATAGGAAAGTATAAGACATTGATTGGGCTGAAGGGCTAATCATCTTACAGAGTTACGCGATGCACCACTCTTGCTCGTCCCTCCTGCCAAACTTGGTGTCAATGGCAAGATCCCACTGGGCATGCTCAGCATCTTGATTCAATTTCTCCTTCGTCAGTTCGAAGTCCGGCGGCCGATAGCTGCTCGTGGTTCGGACGACGAGAACAAGACACAAGTACGTTCCTTGGACCACATTACCCTCGTCACTGCAAGCCGTCAGCAGCGCTCCCCTGACCGGCGCAGCAGCGTCCGAGAAGTGGTCCTCGAGCACGAGAGACAACCGCGAAGACGGTCCGGGCTTCACGACATCCCATGACTGTTCGGGCAGAACTACAGATCCTTCAAAGTATGCTTCGAAATGGGGTCGGGAATACTCTGCCATACACCAATAAGTCGCATGGCCGTTTTCCGCTGTAAAACAAAACTCTGGGGACAAAGCATTGGCGAGTGGCTGAAATGTGAACCCGGGGAACTCGACAACGAGGCCGCGTTTACTGATGCGGACCGGTCCTCGAACACGTTGCGTGGGAAAAGGCTCATCCAGGTCCGAATCGCGGTCGAGCTCATGGCTTCCTGGGTCGAAGCCATCGACGTTGACTATTCTTGCGAGCTCCGTTCCCGCGACAAAGTTCAGAAACGACCGTGGTGCCCAGTAATATCCCTTTCGGTTCATCCTGGGTAGGGTCGTGAAAATGATCCGTGCCGAAAGAACGTCCTCCACAACCGACAAGAAGGCAGTCCACCTGTTTTCACAGGTATTCTCTTTGAGCACGTCTTCCACTCCCACATCCAGCAACGTCGCAAAGCAGATTGCTTCATCGGAGGCTTTGCTGGTGTCCCTACCGTGGATTTGCGTCAGTACATGCAGGAATAACTCTGCTTTGCTGTGATGCAAAATGGATCTGGGTCCAATGTTGGAGGGGAGGACATTCATGGAAAGAATGGTCGACGGGCACGCCGCAAATTTGGCCGCAAAGTCCCATGGTTCCGATGGGGTATTGTTCTCGCCGTCCAATGCCGCGGGAACGCGGTCGACCACGTCAGTCGAGTCGGCGTCAAGAAGTTCGTCTGATAGTAGAACAAGCGACCGCATCGGTTCGTTCAAGTCATCAAGCAGAACAACCTCATTGTGGGACGTCTGTACAAAGACCTGGTCATTCAACGCTCCTTCTTGCAGAGTCCACAATCTTCCACACCAAGGGGACACGCAGACCCGGGCCATTAGCTCTTCGACAGGACAATACCGGCTCTGTGCATTCAACTCGGCATCCTTGACCAAGACCGCCGAGGCTGCTGCGAAAACATTGCGCATGTCCAGGATTGTTTTTTCTCTCATTTCCGTGTTGTTGACGGGCACACAGAGAGTGTCGATCCAGAAATAAAGCCGCTCCAGGCGTGCAGTCTTGCGGATCCGCGAGCCGGTTGGGAAGACATTGCCAAAGTACTCTGGATTTGTGAAGATCATATATTGCAGTTGCGCTCTGAGAGCTCGTAACTGACAAAGGGGCAAAGTATTTGCGCTGGGATTTCCCAGCCCATCGGACCATCTGTGGCAACGTCAGCCTCTCTGCATGTTCTTAGTTCTACAAAGGTCAACAGACTTACACGTGGGAGATGGCAACATATGGGGTGGCCCCCGTGTACGCAACGACGTCGAGGTCCAAAGAATCGTCCCATTTCCCATTCCGCGCGGCGGTTGGACAGCGGACCGAGATAATGGGGATGCTTCCCTGCTCTATTATGGCGACGAGTTTCTCGCTCGACGGGCCCACGTGCCCGCCGCATCTGCAGCTCATGCGCTTCGTGATGGTTTTCGGGACGCGAAAGTGCATAAAGGACGGCTCTACAGGACAATGCACCGTGACATATTGGTCTTCCAGGACATTATGCGCGATACACCGTCGGTTCGAACAACGAGAGTGATCCTTCTGGACGGTCGGCGGACCCAACATCTTGAAGTAATACATGGTCAAGACATTCCTATGGCGCCTCCAGAGATTGGAAACTTGCCCTACGCACCAGCCTTCGCTCACCATCAACGACGAGAGCCAAGGGCAGGTAGGGACTAGCAGGCTACTCGGAGGGTCATAGATGACCGTGTGGAAGTACTGGATCGTAGCCAGCAAGACGACAATGGAGAGCTCGACTTCTCCAGGCAGACAGTTGCGCAGGTAAGTGGCTTGAGCGTCATTGCCAGTGGTTCTTAGTCTCTGGTTAAAGGCCTCAAGCAGGCCCGAGACGAGTGTGAAATTGTACCTGATGTCTCGCTCGTGGTCTGCCTTTGCGGAGGGTGAGGCATACTTTTCCTTGTCATACCATTGCTGCAACTTTGCACCCAAAGTTGCCGTAGTGACGAAGGCTCTGTTGTTCTTGTTCTTCTTCTTCTTCCTCCTCTGCAGCGGTGGTCAGGGATGTCAGGAACTGTGCATGCAGTCATCACCGCTTGACAAGTTGAACTTACGAAGCTCGACGGGTATCGAATGAGATCATGGCCGTTGAAGGTGACGCGGCAAATGGCGAATATGGAAGAGATCAGTCCCAGGTAGAGCCACTCTTGGAGGAAGGCGGCCGTGTGGGCAGCATCAGCGACCTTGTCGTTGCTTTCGCCTTTGCCCTCAACATGGCAATCGAAATGGGCATCCCGCAAACTCGGCATGCTCCAGCCATGGCGCAATGGGAAATCGAGAAAGGCCTTGCAATCGGTCTCATCATGGAAACTCGGGGTTCCACCCAACCACGGCACGGCTATGGGTCGATAGGGATGCTCGGGCGAAGGTATGTGATCCATTCATTATTTCAATTCTTTTCTTGTTCTGGTAGTTGTTGGTTAGGTGCTGAGAGTAAGTAGGCACACCAGGCTTTTTTTCATGGCGTATCCTGTCCACATGCACAGTAATACTTGTACATGTACGTGGACAAGTAGGAGGTAAGAGCGAGAAGCTTTAGGCCATGATCTGATTGAATGAGGTGTTAAGCAGAGAGAGCACGGTCAGACCACCTACCGCCTCACGACTTACACGTACCACCACTATCACCACTACCGCCATCCCTCCTTCTAAGGTTGTCCTTCTCCGCATCCGCACACTGGGCAGAATTCGCTTTGTCCTTGTCCTTCTTGGCAATTTGAGGCGCAGGATTCTTTTCCTCGGAAGACCAGTGTTCCGCCGCTGGTACCAGCTGGCACCAGCTGGCATGGATTGGCTGGGCTATCAATAATGCGATGCCATTATTCGCTGCAGCCGCCCAACCCAACCTAACCCAAGTGGGAGTGGAGGGCAAGTGCGAAGTATTTTCTACTTCGAGTTATCCGAACTTTACTATATCCCGCAGCAATAAAGAATGGGACAATTAATACTGAGTACCCAAGTACTTTGTACGAGAAGAGGTCATCCAAAAAGGGAAAGGAGAACATCAAAAAAGGCTAAAATACCTGGATGGAAAGTCCCATATCATAATGGATGGGCAAAGAGAAGAAAGTAAAACAGAGGAGGAGGGGGGGAGACCGACCGACTATCAACTGCCGACTCAGCTGACCGGATCTGGAGCAAACAACTCACTCACTCAATTCAGAATATTATTGTGCTTGTACAGGTAGGCAATATGCTATGTACAAGTACTTGACAGGTATGTGGTGGCATGGGCTTGAATCCGAGTGGATCCGTTGACGTTATTGTATTGACATCCATGTTTTCTTGTCGCCGGATTCATCGAGTCATGAATTCATAAAACCCCCCGACTCGTTGAACTGCGTTGAACTTCGATTTGAACTCACCCGCCTCCCCCTCACCTCTCGCACCACGCACTCGATGATGATGGCATGACGAACGAACAGAGGCACAGCAGAGCAGATCCGATCATCAGCGAGACACGTCCGAACTATTGCGAACTTTGTGCGGAGCTAGCCAGAAGCTACTAGTGCCCATTTGGACTCTCGAGATGCCCAATGCGGAAGAGCGGAGCAGCGGAGCAGCGAACAAAGAACAGGTGAGTTTGCTAGAAGGAAGAAATCTCAGCTCCCGTTCTTCCCGAGCAAGAAAGAAACTTCGATTCTCCATATTGCATGATCCTCCCGTGCCCTCCTTGGCCCCTCCCTTCCCTTCCCTCCCCCCCCATCTCTCTTGTATCTTCCTTTTTGGGCTACTCACCTCCCCTCCTCCAAAGTCTGTACTTGTACTACTGGTGGCTCTCATGCTTCCCCAGTAGTTTACAAGCACATCCCTAACCTTGTTCGCCCAGCTTGCTACTCGGCGGAAAAGTCCAGCCGAACAGAAATAGCCCAGAAAAGCAAAGGCTATAGCCATGTAGGTTGACGCGGTTGGCTCCTCTGCCCTTCCATCCTCCCCTCCCTCCCCTCCCTCCCGTTGATGGGACTTTCACTGGTCTTTGCTGGGCGACAACCTTCTCGACCCCCCATGTGCCCTAAAGAGTGGCCCCGAGGAATCATATTCCCCCAGCTGGCCTGGTGCTGGCCCAACCTAATCTCGAATCTATCACTTCTCGACAACTTGACAAGCCACCCCTCCTCCCCCGGGGTGGTCCTGGATCAGGGTCCAGACGCTTGGTCGACCTGAGATCATGGCCCATGACACAACTGGGAGGGGGGGAGTCTTGGGCGCCCGAAAATCCTCTTTATCAAGAGCGTCGGGCTCGCCGCTCAGGAATAAGAATCCGGTACCTTTTTCCCACCCCAAGTTGTCCCTGCATTGAAAATCATCAACCGGCTGTAGACTAGTTCTACTCAAACACCACACCACTCCAGAGTCCAGCAGACAACAAACACCAAAACACAGCCCAATCACCCAGGCAATGGCTTACTATCCAGACCCCCTGTTCCTGGAACCGGGGTCACAGCAATTCCAGGATGAGACATACTTCACCAACTTTCAATCAGACAGTGAGGAACATGATCTGGTCGCAAAGAACCTCCAAGCATGGCCGATGCCTATGGAGACTCAGCCCATGCAGCCCAAAGCCTACGCCATGCAGTCGTATTCAAATGTGCCATATCTCAGCCCGTGCCTCGAACCATTTGACCCGGCCGCCGTGCACACCGTCGGCCCCGCCCAGCTGCAATTAAACAGTGGCGGTGACTTTTCCATGGATTACCAGCAGACTTGCCAGCTACCCGAAGAAGAGTTTGCCGCCTCGAGTGTCAAGGAAGAGTGCAGCAGCGACGTGTCGCCCTTGTCGTCACCCAGCCTGGTAGACTCCAAGACATGCAGCGCCAAAAAGCCACCTACGCGCGGTCGCGCCGCGCCAGCGCCTTCAGCGTCTCCCTCGCCGAAGAAAGGGAGACCTCGGAAGAAGCGCAACCCGTCCAGCTCGTCCAGTGAGGATGAGTCGGCCATTCTCAAGGCCAAGTTTGCCCATTCCGTCATCGAGCGGCGCTACCGTGACAATCTCAATGGCAAGATGATGCAGCTCCACCGCGTGCTCCTGGCCGCTGAGACTAGCCCAACGTCTCCCGCCGCGCACTTTAACGCCTCCCTCACCGCTGCGACGCCCTCGGGCAGGGTGCGCAAGTCCGACATCATGTCGCGGGCGATCAACTACATCCACCAGTCCGAGGTCGAGATCCGGCATTTGGATGACGAGATCAAGCGCCTGCAGGACCAGGTCGGCATTTTTCAGAAGCTCGTCAATTGCGACGACATGTCGCGGCTCAAGGACCTGGTGCGGCTCGGCGGCCAACAGCCATGACCAGTCACAGTCAGTGCTTTGCTCTTTTCTCGTCTCGTCCTGTTCCTCGTCTCTTGTCTCTCTATCTCGCAAACTTCATTCCCGTCTTGTATGGCTGGCTGTTGTGGAGAAAGACGTCGCGTCTACTCCGTCTCTTGTATGTATGAAAGGTGGACGGCCTTTTGAAAGTTGGCGTTTGGTTGTCGTCAATATCTCTCGGATGTATCGAAAATGGATGGGTTGGCTGGGGGCGATGTGTTTACCGCGGGCGAAGAATCAAGCTCACCTTTGTTGATCTGATCTGAACCTGACCAAGGCTCTGGCTTGTCTTTTCTCTGGTGTTTCGGTCTTGTGTTGTTTGTTGTTTGACACCCGGTGTACTGGTTTTGGAGGCTACCAGGGAAGGTATGGCAAGGGGCAAAAATGGAAAATGGTCCGGGTCCGAATCAGGCTGGGTTGGGAACAGGTTTCTCACCCGCCATGTTTGCCGGCTGGTTTGCTAAGGGGGCAGGTAGGCGCACGGTCACGGTCACGATCAGGGTCAGGTCATTATGTGTATATGCCTATTAGGGTACACTCACGCACACACACAGGAGATCATGAGGGATCACGAGTGATCATGGATCGTAATGACAGGGTAATAATGACGATGATGGCCAGGAGCCACAAGCCAGGACCCTCTTTTAGGAGAGCAAGTTAGTGAGACAGTGTGAGAGGGAAAAATACAATCATGTACATGTACAGGTTCATCACTAAAGGCCCAAGAAAGGCCCAGGTTGATATCAATGCTCAATACCCAATACCCAATACCAGGCAGTACCAGTACCAGTATCAGTATGTAATCATGATCTCTAGGTCAAATGCAATTGTGTAAAATATAACTGACTGCCTCTGGCCCTTGTCCTTTTCCTGTTACTCTCTCTCTCTCGTATACTATCATATACACACACACACACATTCAGTCGAGTTCCTACATATCTCACACTTGTGTGTACGTCACACGAAGAAAAACATAAAACATACATGTCATACGTCATAGGGACCATTATTTTAATACGGATACACAATCCAAGCACCGACCAGCGAAACCCACGCGTCAATACACACCGGGTCCTTGGACTTTGTATACTCGTATTCTTGTAGGTATGTATGTACTACGAGTGGGTAGGAAGGTAGATAGGCACTACGTATGTATACCTAGGGGTAGAATAGTCAGCCCCTCCCAAAGCCCAGGTTTGGGCACACTGAGCACAACACTTTTTTTCTCCTCTTCTCCTCTTCTCTCCAGTGTCCGAAAGTCATTCCAGCGCCCGCTCGCGTAGACGCCTTAGCTTTGTCACCCTGGTGGCGACAAAGAGCTCTCAGCTCCTTGTGTTCATGCGTAGCTAGCTAGCTAGCTACATATCTCTGGGCCCGATATGTTCGTGCGACTGCTTGGGTATCTCTGATGTCATGCCACGGGCCATGGCTGCTAATCGCAGCACCGGATCATATACGACAGACACTTCCCAGGTGTCCTGTCTGCCTTGGACTATTCTGTAGTCCTAGCGACGTGAGTCCTGTCCGGCATCGACCCTTGTCTGCCAGGTCTCTGAGATTGGGAAACCGCCCAGATTAGCAAGGGGTGGTGAGGGTTGTCTCCAATACTGAGACGCCTTTCTCTCCTCTCGGCGAGAAGAAGTAGGATTGGTCATTCTCCCTAAATTCAGCGGGAAACTGGTTCACGGACAAATCACGACGCCACGAGGGCAACACCATGGATCATTGCCGGTGAAGGCGTGCCAGGCCGGGCCAGGGGTGGGAAACACCGTGCCCACCCGTCAAAATCAGGCGGTGGCGATTGCAGCTGCGGTTGCGGCTGCGGCGACGTCGACGGTACTTTGTGCCTCCAGATCGGATCCATGTCCACATCGCCCATCTTCTCCCTCAGGATTTCGCGACGACGGGCAAGTTCGTCTTCGCCATGATCGTCACCCTCGTTCTCCTCGTCAAAGCTCGACACGCTCCCGAATTCGGTTTCGTCGTCGCTGCTCCAGTTAATGTCGTCCTCGCCAACGCTGGAAACCTCTTCGTCGTCGGAAAACGGGTTCCTCTCGCCTTCGGCGGAGGCGGCGGCGGCGTCGATTTCAATCGTCCTGACGATCACCGAGTCGGTTGGTGGTGGCACCGATCCTCCTTCCGACGGAGGAGAGGATGCCCTCGAACTATGCCTCAACAGCTCTGAAAACTCGTCGACGACTTCTCCGGGCGGGTCTTTTTCGGGCCCAAAGATGGCGTCCGCCACCTGGTCACAAGAAGCATCAGCGTCTGGCGTGGGGGCAAAGGCGTCGCTGCTGTCAGTGGGTGTGTCGCTCACGTCGTGTGATTCCATGTACTCGGCCGCTCTCTGATAGACGGAAAGGTGGCCGACCATTCTGGTGAGCATGGGCTCCATGTGCTCTGACTCCTGTTGCAGCTTCCACTGGGCCATCCAGAGGAGCTTGTAAGCCGTCTCGTCCATGAGTAGGGCCATTTGTGGTGAGGGTGAAGTGAAATGATGATGAGATTGAAGTTGTTATTGGTTGGGGGGGTTACCAAAATCTCAAAAAGGTAGATGTGGCGCTGGCTGGTCTTGTATGGATTTGATACTTGTTGATCTCGTAAGAAAGAGGTGAGGGTTCTTACAGGATTCAATAATGGATAAGTGTTGATGGGATGTGGTGTTTTTCGTATAGATGGTAGCTCGTGGGAACTTGGTTATGTTCTTTCATTGACTTGTCATGGAATTGTGTCCTTTCTCTTTTCTCTCCATGTAAGCAAGCACTCCCCAAGAAGAGGCCACGAGGCGTAGAAGTATTGCGCATTGTCCCCATAATACTCGACCTGTCAGTGGTCGGTCGGTCCGGGCGCAGTCCAAGTCAGTGTGTCGTGTTCAACAATCGTATGACAAACTTTCGAGTTTTTTGGTTTTTGGGGGGCTTCTAGTCAATTCCGAGGCACATGAAACCACGTTACGCGCGGCGAGGCAGTTAAGGCAGCGAAGGGCGACACATGCGGCTGTGCTTTGGTTCGGCCATTCGGGCGCGGGTCGGACCTGGGCACCGAATTGGCGACAGGGCTACGGAGGAGGAGGGATGACACACAAGGTTCATCCCTTCATGGTATAGAGGACTCGGCTCGTGGGTGGATACGAGTTACGGACGAGTGAGGTACCTTGGACATGGTTGTACCTAGCTAGTAGGATGTAGCGAGAAGCGAGTAGCGAGGATGGACGAGTACAATTAGAGAGACAGAAAGAAGAATAGAGAGAGAATTAGTCCCCAAATGATGAAAACAAGAAAAATAGTCACGCAACTCCGAAACCCGAAAGTCAAGCAAAGCGGACATGTCCAAGTCTTCCAGTCTCCCACCCCCGGCCTTCGCTCGCTCTTAGTCTTGGTGTTCGTAGATGCCATTCCTTTTCGAGCATTGCCATGGGATCATTTTCCAGTAGCCCACTGTAGTTGCAGTAGTTCTCAAAGAAACCCTCAGTCCACGTCCAACTTGGTACTTGTCACTCGCAGTCTCCGAGATCCAATGACATAGTTTGTCCTCGTACTTTATGTACTTGGTGACTTTTGGGATCTCGGGACTCTGGCTGACATCAAAGTATTATCAGCTGAGAGAGAGAAAATGAACGAATAGGTTGCTATTGCGCACAACTGGCTCAACCCTTTGGTTCTTTTGCGCCATATTTACTCCGTGTCCTTGTTACTCGTAAAGCATCTTTTTTTCGAGTCTCATTTCACATGTCACGTACCTTGGGACTTGGAAATCTGGATCATCCTCTTTCTCATTCGACCTTTGAAAAAAAAAAAACCTCCCGGGGTGAGTGCCGATCGGACATCCCACGTTGCTCTCCACGTATACTTTGTATATTGCCACCTTGCGTAGTCATCGCATGGCAATCTCATAAATGATACATATCATGGCACATACTCTATTTGTAACCCGTGAGAGATCACGTTAGGTAAATAAAGAGTCTCTCTGCAGGTACTATCTATGCTATGATACATCTATCAACACCTTGTAGAGTGACCACCTTGTTACCTGCACGGTACTCGTACAAAGTACACATGCCATGGCATGAGGTCATCAGCTCCAGATGAATCACGTCAATGGTAAAACTTGGCTCTCTCGACCTCTCTTTCGTCGTACTGGCTGATCACTCTGGGTCCAAGAAGAATAGGTGGTGTCAAGAGCACAAAGATTATCATTATTCCTCGACTTTTAGAGACTATCCAAATACATAGGCTCCATCACTGAATTGCTCAAAAGGGTATCATCGCGCTAGTCAATCTCGTTGAAAACATCTACTCCATTATTTCGTATACAAACTCCTCTTCTGGGTGTGCTGTGAGTAATAACACGCCATCACACCCATCATCAAAGCCACAGGAAATAGCGTCACAGAGGTGTTATTACAGTAAGTTCTTCCGTAATTGGTGATAACGAGTGTCTTTGGCCGCAATGGAGAGCATACTCTCGCATTCAATCTGGCCGACGCTTTTGGGGCTGGGCTAGACTTGGGTTTCAGCGGTGCTGCTGGTCCCGCTCGCTTTCCTGTGCACCATGTGCATGTGGTGCTCAGTCGTGGTGGATGTTGTCATCACCGCAAAGATGGTGCTGACCAGGAAGAAAAAGCCGGCAATGAAGGTGAAGGCTTCGGTCGTCTTCCAGCAGGCCTTGTATCCCTCACCGATCAATTCTTCCCATCCGACCCAGTTTTCGGGGCAATCCCACTCAATCAAGGCCCCAAATGCGGAGAAGAAGGCCAAGCTGAGGATGCAGTTGATCACCGCGGCGCAGACGGGGTACCAGTTGTAGGTCCAGATAAGAATGCTTCCGTACATGATGGCAATGCCAGCAAAGATCTCGGTGAAACATAGACGTGCGCCGGGGTATTTTTCGGTGTCCTGCCAGTGGGCGAGGAACCAGCTGACAATACCCAAAATGATCTACAGAGACAACGTCAAATGCATTAGCATGTGGTCTCGTCGACCCAGTCACCTCCTCAACCAACTCCTGGGAATGGAACCTGGGAAAAAAGGGAGGAACTGAAGAAACCACAGTCGCACCAACACTGTCAAATACCTAGGAGGTTACTTACCCCACCAAACAAGGCCTCAGCCTGGTACAAGAACCTCGAGACGTTGCGGATGACGACCTCGTTGGGTTTCGATATCTTCTCGAACCTCATCTTGTTGGTCAACTAACACTCAGATGGTGTTGTCGGATGCGTATGAGATAGCTTGTTCTTTGGTTTTGACAAAACAGACAATTCGGCTGTCGATTCGAGCTGTTGGTTATGGAGGCGACAAAGCGGGTTCGAGCTTCTCGCATGGTTTATATAACTGTCATCACATTATGTCGACCATATGCTGTCAAAGCAAAAGGTCGGAAGCCACATGAACACCAACCGCGACAGCCCTATCACACCATAGTAGTGAGAAGATAATGGTGCGACCATGGCTCCTTCGCGGAGAGGAGTCCCTAAAGGTCCAATAGCTGTACTCATTGTCGATATACTTGTTCACGTACAAGAAATGGCGGCGCTTGATTCAGAACGTGAGAATCACTCGCACAGAATGCCGTGCCCGCGAAATGCGTGAAGCCCTCGACTAGAAGATGCGGCCAAGGCAAGAGTATTGTCATCAGGTGAGGTGCATTTCTCTGCCGATATAGAGGTGAGTGGCAGGGTGGCGGGTCGCGGGCTTTTTCCGGCGTTTGGGTCTTGGACAGCGTCAATCATCTCATGATTGCCCAAAGCTTGTCCATGCGGGACCGCCCTGGGACATGTGCAGAGGTCCATTGGCTCCAACAGGTACCTTGCTTCTAGACGGCGCAGGATGGCGCAAAAGGATAACTTTATCGACAATGATGAGATCCAGGCTTCCCCATCTGATCAGATCTTTAAAACGTTGTAACATGGTCCCTGGGGAGTTTAGTGGTCACCCTGCAGGAAATCCGTCGACCACAGCATATCCAAGAGAATATCGTTCGTTTCAGCGCAGCTATCAACAGACATCATCGATAGGACAACCGTTGTCTCATTCTCCATGCTGCCACAGAGCCAGTACTCCATCTCACTCGCGCCCGCCCCCGCTGCTGGGCGGCGCAATGGCGAATTCAGTGTCGGCGGCGATATCTCCTATGCGACGAGGAAGAAGAAGATCCCGCGCACCAATCGCGCTTGTGATCTTTGCAGGATCAAAAAAGCCAAGGTTCGTCCATCTTTCCACTCACCTGGAAGAAAAGGTCTGATCAGCGATTGCAACAATAGTGCGATGGAGACACACCGTGCAAAAGCTGCACGCGAAGGGGAACCTCGTGTACATATACTCATGTACGGAGAAATTCCCGGCCGTACACGGTATTGGCGTAAGTTGACATAACCACACTCGATCAACCCTGTAACTGACTGGTGTCAAGGTATGCCGAAATGCTAGGACGACAGCAAGCCACTCTGATCGAGGCCGTCCATATCCTTCATCACCGTCTCAGGACAGGGGAGGCAACGGACGACCTTGGCGCTCAGTTCATGAAAGAGGACTCGAGTGTCAATGATATCCTGCATCATCTTGGGCTGACACCTCTCGAGGTTTATGAGGCCGACCCTGAACACGGCGAAACCGGTCCACAGTCGACGGTTTCACCGGTCAGCTCCCCTACAACCACTCCTGCCAGTGCTGAGGACAGAATCACACAGTCTCAGCTGGAATGGGGGGACTACCAGGTCCCATTGGAAACTCCTGACAAAGCGGCTTTTGTTGAGACTCCTGCTATGCGGTCGCAGGACCAGCCTTTCAGTGGTGTTGAGCCCCTGACCACGGATGATCCTTTCTCCTATGATTTGTGGGGGAATGACAGCGGGCTGGAGGCACAGAGCTTCCTTGTTCCCTCGCCATCGCCTCAGGACGCTTTTTCAGAAGCACAGTCTGATTGGAATTTTTCAGAGTCGTGCCCTCTTTCCTACCTTGCGCCTGCCGGGAAGTCAGGGCCTCACCAGAACGTTAGACTTGTATTTTAGTTGCTATTTTCTGCTGTGAATAACAGCTTCACTTCTAGCTGCAAGTGGGGGATGTGACTGATACGGCGTTGTGCTGGGTCTCGGAATAATTGAACTGAGGATAGACTGGCTGACTGGATGGACTGGCAAGTGGCTCTTTGTTCTTTTATCCGCGATGGAGTCGAAGGGGGAGTTAAAGCGGCAATGAATGCCAAGGCCGCGAACTGCGCTGCAAACTGCGCCTGTAACTCCGCAGCCTCATTGAACGCGGTTCAAATCCATTTTTTGTTGGACGCGACTTCTAGCATTTCCAGTATTTGTGTCTTGGTAGCTCCCGACCGACAGCCATAATGTCGCTGTTTGGCCAGTCCTCCTCTGCGCCAGGGACATCAGGTCCAGGTAGTCTGTTTGGTGGTGCCAGCTTGACTCCTACCACTGATGCCCAAGGGAAACGAAAGTCCATCTTTGACGGTTCAACCTCACAATCATCCCAACCCTTCTCTTTCCCAAGCCTCAACACCACAGCCCCAACTTCAAGCGCTGCTCCGTCTGGTGCACTGTTTAGTCTCGGGGGCCCTACAAAGACTTCTGCTCCTTTCTCCTTAGGCACAACAACAACAAAAACCACTGCTCCATCGACAAATCTGTTTGGAACGACAACAACTACTGCCCAGCAACCAGCACCAGCATCGACTTCCTTCTTCGGCGCCTCAAACACACAAGCACCCGCGAGCAATACGTCTTTTTTCGGCGGCGGAGGCGGCGGCGGTGGTGGTGGCTTCGCAGCCGCAACAAACACAACTGTGCCGCAGGCGACTCAACCAGCAGCTGCCCCTCCGCAAAACAATCGAGATGCCGCATATTTTAGCAGCCTCCTCGAACGCCAAAAGAAAAAGCCGAGACTGTGGGCTGATGGCACTGGCCGTCAGAATCAGTTACCCAGCCTTAGTATGGACTTGGGAGATCTGGCCAGACGCGCACAAGAGATCAGGCAACGCGGGGCGAAACAAACGGAGCCTCTACCAGACAGTCGAGCACATTATCTGTTGGCTGGCTCCGGGGTTGCCCCTGGTCAAGCTTATAAGGATTTTCAAGCATTAGGACCGGATGAATCTGCACCGGTGTCACGGATGGCGACGCAGGCTTTCGCCGATGAGTCCAGTGCCTACCTTCGAGACTTGAGAGTCAAAGGGCGGGAGGCGATGCTGAAGGAGAGTATGGAGCGCGTCTACCGTGAAGTCGATAGCTTCATCGAAGAGAGCTTGGGTATCGACTTTGAGGAACAAAAGGCCAGAATTATGGAACATCTCGGGTTGGCATCTCCCGAGGACAACGCGGGAGCCGGTGGTGGCTTTGGCAAAACCACTGGTCGGAGCAAGGAAGGGGCTTCTGAGACGTCTCGAGCTACACGAAGCGTGTTTGGTCGCACGGCAATGGAAAAATCCATCATTGGCACTCCAGGTTCCGGTGCTGGGACGACATCTTTCTTTAAAAGTGAAGGTGCGGCTCCTGTGCCGGCAGGGCCTCCCCGTTCGAGTTCACAGGTGCAGCGCGAGCTCAGGGCGAAGGAAAAGTCATTCATCAGTAAAGTGGAGGATCTCAATCAAGCTAGGGTGCGAGAAGAGTCGTACGCTCTTCTGCAAAATTTCGCCGAAACCGAAGAGCAAAACAAGGCAGACAGCCCCCGGCAAATAGTGGACGCTTATCAAGCTTTACGAGAAATTACCAAAGAAGGCCAGTCAACAGTTAGGGAACGACAATATGCTCAGGCATATCTGGACGAGACAACCTCGGCTCCGGCCACTCTCAAACTGAAGAAGCAGATCGTTGAGGGCTCTCGGACCTTCTTGGAAAAGGCATTCTGGCGAGAGCTTCGATCTTTGATTGAGAAGAATGCGAGAGAAGCGGCTTTGGGAGGACAGCCAAGTGTCATCAATATCGTGCGGGCTTACATCCGGTTGCGGGCTGCCCGACGAGATCTTGCCCCGGATGGAACTGAACTTCAACAACTGGGCGGCGAGAGCGGTGACTACTGCTGGGTCTTAATTTTCTACTTGCTGAGGTGCGGTTTTGTTAAAGAGGCGGCGGAGTATGTGAACAACGACCCTGCCTTCCAGTCTGTTGAGCGACGCTTCGTCTCATACTTGACGGCGTATGCAAACAACCCAGATCGGCGACTGGGCCGCAAATTGCAAGATATGATCGACAACGAATATCAGAACCGCACAAAGGTTGGTCCGAAGAACACGGTTGATCCTTACAGAATTGCGTGCTACAAGGTGATCGGAAGATGTGACTTGAGTTCAAGACATTTGGATGCTGTGGGACAGGGTGTCGAGGACTGGTTGTGGCTCCAGTTCAGCCTTGCGCGCGAGACTGAAATGTACGAGGAGATCTCTGGCGAGATCTTTGGACTTGAACAGATTTGTGAGACAGTCACCGAGATCGGGCAGAAACATTTCCAGAAAAATCAAGTTGAGGGTTCGAGTGGTTACGGCACCTTTTTCTTGATGCAGATCCTTGCAGGGATGTTTGAGCAGGCCGTGGACTACTTGCACAGCTTCAATCCTCTGAGCGCCGTGCACTTTGCCATTGCCCTGTCATATTACGGGTTGTTGAGGGTCTCAGACTTTTCGGTGGCTGGCAACGAGCTCTGTAAGTATTGTTCGTCTGATGTAACCCATTTGATGGTGCTGACCTACGACGCAGTGACGTTCTCAACGACGCAGCAACCCATGATCAACTTTGTACCGCTTGTGGCATATCATACAGGAACCTTTCGAACGGCACTTCCTGTGCCTGCGGTGGATTACCTTTCGATGCTTTGCCTCAACTCTGATCTACAGCCTGCAAGCTTGGGCCTGGTCCACATCAATGCCTGTCATGAGTGCTTGCGAGAACTCTGTCTTGAAACCCGTGAGTTTGCAAAGTTGTTGGGCGATATTCGTAGTGATGGCACGCGGATACCGGGTGCTATCGAGTTACGGGCCAGGTTGATTCACCTCGACACACGGGAAGAATTTTTGAGGTCAATCACCAGCCAGTCAGCTGCCATCGCGGATCAGCGCGGGCAAATCGCGGATGCAGTATTGCTTTATCATCTCTGCGAAGACTATGACAATGTCATTAGCGTCCTCAACCGAGCACTGGCCGATGCTGTGACGCTGGACCTGGGCGAGGCACCAATGCAGCTGCAACCTCTGAAACCGCGGCAGTCCAACGGTCAGAGCGAGCCATCCAGCAGCAACCAGGGAGGACCTCAGTCGTCATTGTCACTTACACAGTCCACGTCGTCTCCCTTCGAATTGGGCAAGAACATGATATCGTTGTACAACGAGAATGCCGCCTACTTCAACCGAATCTCCAGCGCGAACCGTGAGATTTGCGGGGTGCTCATCCGATTGCTTTCGGTGCGAGAAAACCTCGAAGCCAACCCACCTCGTTATATGACGGCGTTAGAGGAGCTCAATGACTTGGGCTTGTTGCCATTGCGGGCCAATGGATCCATTCCGACAATCAGAGCGGCTGCGACAGCCTTTAGCGCCCTCCCCCAAATCCTTGCTCGTTGCGCTGGAGTGAGTGTCGTCTGGGCGGTGCGGGCCATTGGGGGAGAACGAGACAATATCATCCGCAATGGCAGGTGGGAGGCAGGATATGGTGGAGATGCGGACGAAATGAAAGACCAACTCAGCAACATGGCCAAGGACCTGATGGTCTTTGCCGGGCTTGTCAAATACAAATTACCGGGTCGGGTCTATGACATGTTGACGCGAGCAGGCGCCGAGGTTGGAGGGTTTTGAAAGAGATATCCCCCACAGTCAATGGCGCTCGTATGGCACCAGATGCATCGTGATGGGTTCTGCTAGAAGGAATGAAAGGCATATTGTGGAGGCCAAAGAGCGCCGCAATCGACTTGGTCATTCATATGTATACGTGGGTGAGAAGGGAACGCGAATCGGACACTGAAAGGATCTACGAGGTACTGTTGGCGAGGCCGATGTCGGTGCCTGGCACCAGCTCCACTACTCCGTACTTAGCATGCAGCTAGATGATCTGATAATGATAATCAGCCCCAAGGGAGGATTCGTGATAGTCTTGGAATGGTCAGGTGCGAAGTCACCCGACTTTGTGTATGCTTCTTTCGGCATCTTGTAGAATTTTTTCGAAGCGGTGAAGTTGATGTGAAGAAGCACAATGTGACATCAGGTGTCTTTATGCTTCAAGGAGGAAAAACCTTGACCAAGGGTCGTTCACTATGCCAGGAATCAGGATGAAGGAGACCAGGATTATCCACAACTAAGTTCGACACTACCGAGGTATGTACAAGGAGGTACAAGTGTGTAGGCGACAGGGATGTGTACTTGGAGATCCAGTCAGGCTCAAATGGCTTTTGCTGGCCCAATGGTATCGACATATACAAACACGTACAAGTAGAGAGATTCTAGTTTACTTCTTGTGGACAGACAAGAAGGACATTTGATATTGAGACTCAAGGACAACCACTCTCTCCCAGATGGAAGGTATACAAGGACTGGAAAATATCCCGATGCGCCTCCGACCCGTGGATCGTGAAAAAACTGATACCCAACCATTCCACCACAAGTACAAGTATGGTGGAGTGATGATGCTACTGGCGCTAAGGGATTGGCCATTGAATATTTTCTCACGGGGAAAACAAAGCGCGAGTCGACTAAGTTTGCTCGATAGAGGCCTTATGTAGCTCTCTGTACAAGGTGCTCGTATACCCCCAAGTATATTGCGAAGGAGACTTGCTTGCTGGGCCATGGATCGAGATGAGCAAATACAAAGGTCACAGCTATACCGTGTGCCAGTCGCACTGTTCATACATACATGCTTGTAGGTATGTCCGTACTCTGTGAAGAAATCTACCGATCTAGGTAAACAGTCACTTGTAGGTGGAGGGTACATGCCTAAGTAGGTATCAACGATGGCGCCTCTCAAAAAGGCTAGTGTGCTGCTGATAGTGAGCCTGACACCGTCGCTAATGGGCCCTGTTGGGCACAACCAGACGTCGCGAGGTGCTCGGAGGTCATGTGCAACAGGCGATTGGGGCCACTTAGGCACCTACAAAGGGGCCACTAGGCCTCGCTTCAGGGGGGGTGTTCGGGCTCTTCCCGTCGTTCCCGTCCCTCCTTCGTACTTCGTACAGGCACTGACAAGGCAACTGACAGGCTCCCAAGACCACCTCGCAGTGGGTGGCAGGTAAAAAGCAGGCACAGATACGTAATCTTATCAGATTTGATTGCCGAATCACTTCTCCGAAGCTCGCCCTCCCTGGCAAGCCTGGCCAAAGGGAGCATGAGGGCAGCCAGTTAGACGGTTGTGGCCGTTCCCAGACGCACCACTTGTAGCCCACTTTCAACCTTGTGTCACCACCCTGCTCGCCTGGTGCAGCACCCTGTCCTAACTGCGGTGAGGTTTCTCCCACGTTCGTCTGTTTCTAGTCACCGTGTCGTGGCCACGTCTCGTCTGCCTTGCTAAACGCTGCTCACTACTCCTACTAGTCTAGCCATGACTTGGACCTAATATAATGCTATGCCCTCTGGGTTGGGTCAGGCTTTAGATCCTCCTCCTCCTCCCCACCTCTCGTCCACCACCAACCCTGCGCTCGAGCTCTCTACATTCTCTTCGCCCTCCTCTCCCCCTTCCCGTGCACTGCAAGATGCTGCTGGGTCAGCTGAGTTGGAGTCCCAATCTGAATCGGGTACTCCTCTTCGTCAGACGCTCGAACCTGTTGCCTCTCCGGTGACAGCACCCACCTCCCACACGATCCAGGGGCGCCGAGGGCTGGTTTCCCGTGCGTGGAATGCCATCATGTCTCGCGGCTTGCTCCTGATACGCTCTTCCCCGGCCGTCGGCACGGGGTCATATGGCACAGTCCAGTTGGTAAACGACAGGTCAGGCTCGGACCTGGAATCCGAAGATGAGGAGGATTCGCATCGCGAGAGTGTCTCGAGGAAGCGTCGTGGGAAGCGAGCTCGGTCCGCTCAGGATCTCCGGGACGGTCAGGGTCGTTCCTCAGATGAGCGACTACTCTACCAACAACGACGCAGCTCAGAATGGACGCATCGGAGATCCTCCTCTTCCGTCGCCAGTGAAGTCGGGATGGGCCTGGACGCCAAAGCATCCTTCGCCAACCCGGCGATGGCCGGGAGCAAGGCAGAGTCTTCCAACTCGAGTGCCCGCACTGCGAGTCTATCAGATGTCGATCAAGAATACATACCCTCTACAGAAGATCCTCCGGACAACTCTCCATATCCAGAGGTTCGAGCCTCAGTGCCGGCCACGGACAATACTGCTTTATCTATAAGCACCCCTCGAATGTGGACGCTGTCCTTGCTTTTTGCAATAGGCGGCTCAGCTACCAATCTTTTTTTCTCGTTGAGGTATCCGAGTGTCGCCATCACTCCGGTTATTGCTCTGGTACTAGTTCATCCCATGGGAAAGCTTTGGGATCACTTCCTCAAGCGTGCAGGTGACCAGGAACAGTTTTTCGTAAATGGCTCACTCCAGAAGGATGACATTCCAATGTTGCAAACGCGACTGCGACGCCTGCGGCTCTGGTTGGCTCAGGGCCGGTGGAACGAGAAGGAACACGCTTGCGTGTACATTAGCAGCAACGTCTCGTTCGGATTCGCCTTTGCGACCGATGTCATTGTCGAGCAGCACAAATTCTACAAGCAGGATGTTCCGATTCTGTATCAACTTTTATTAACCATTTCAACTCAAATCCTTGGCTATGCGTTCGCCGGACTGACCAGAAGGTACCTCGTCCGACCCGCTGCCATGATCTGGCCCGGTACCCTGATGTCAACGGCCATGTTCACTACAATGCACAAGGACGAAAACAAGCCGGCCAACGGATGGACCATTTCCCGTTACCGATTCTTCCTTTACGTCTGGGCTGCAGCGTTTGTGTGGTATTTCTTTCCAGGACTGCTGATGCCCGCGTTGAGTTACTTCAATGTCGTTACCTGGTTCGCACCCAAGAATGTAATCGTCTCGAACCTCTTTGGAGTGGCTTCGGGACTGGGACTCTTTCCCCTGACCTTCGATTGGGCTCAAATCGCCTACATTGGATCACCCTTGCTCACTCCCTGGTGGGCAGCTGCGAATGTTGTTGGCGGACTCATCCTAGTCATGTGGATTATCGCCCCGATACTTTACTACCGCAATGTCTTGTTCTCGGGATATCTGCCAATTCTCTCCTCGGCCGTCTTCGACAACACGGGCAAGCCCTACGACGTGAGCAAAATCCTGACGCCGAACTTTGTCTTCGACAAAGAAGCCTATGACAACTACTCCAAAGTATACCTTCCCATCACATATGTGCTCTCTTATGGGGTTCAATTCGCTGCTCTGACAGCGTTGCTCACCCATACAACCTGCTGGCATGGCAGGGACGTCTGGCGACAATCCCAACAAGCCTTCCAAGAAAGACAGGAAAAGAGCAGTGCAGGGTACCAACCTGTCCCAAGCTCTGCGGAGAATGGTCGATACGACCCGTCTCTGCGTAGGGTTGACAGTCAGTCTATTAAGGCTGGGGGCGAAGACGTCCACAACCGTCTCATGAAACGTTATCAAGATGTGCCAATGACATGGTACGCTCTGACATTCGTCACTATGCTGGGCGTCGGCATCTTCGTTGTCGAGTACTACCCGGTCCATCTCCCCTGGTACGGTCTTCTCATGGCTCTTGGTATCACTACCGTTCTCTTCATCCCCGTCGGTATCGTCATGGCTATCACGAACCAGCACAGCAGCCTCTATTTGATCTGCCAGTTGATCTGTGGAGTAGTCTTCCCTGGCCGTCCAGTCGCCAACATGGTTTTCGTGACCTATTGCTACATCTCTTCGGCACAAGGCATCAAGTTCTCTTCGGACCTGAAGCTGGGCCATTATATGAAGATTCCACCAAGACTGCTCTTCAAGGTCCAGATGGCGGCCACCTTGGTTTCGAGCTTGGTACAAATTACGGTTCTCAACTGGATGTTTATCAACATTCCCGGCATCTGCACGCCGGAGGCCATCAACGGATTCAACTGCCCCATTGCTCGTGTCCACTTCAACGGGAGCATTCTCTGGGGTGTTGTTGGACCACAGCGCTTCTTCGGTCCTGGTGCTCTCTACCGACACCTTGTCTGGGCTTTCCTCATCGGCTTCATCGCACCGATCCTAGTGTGGTTAGTGGGAAGGAAGAGCACGAAGAAGTCCGTTTGGCGCAGGATCAATCTACCCGTCCTCTTTGGCTCTCTGTCCTGGATCCCCCCTGCGACCGGCTTGAACTTTTCGGTGTGGGCTGTGGTATGCTTTCTGTTCAATGGACTTATGAGAAGGAGAGCCCCAGGCTGGTGGGGCAAATACACCATGACCATGTCCGCTGCACTCGACTCGGGACTGGCTTTTTCACTGCTCATTGTCTTCTTTGGCTTCGTATATCCAGGTTGGACTGAAGGATTCAAGTGGTGGGGTACAGAGGTCTACAAACAAGGGTGTGACTGGCGCGCGTGCCCATGGTTGAAGCTGGGTCCAGGAGAAAAATTCGGGCCATGATTGAGAAGAGGTCTAATGTCTTGGAGCAGAATGCTTCTGGACGATTACGAAAAACAATCCCTTTGACGATCCACCAAATCACACATTATGAGGACAGAAGGCAGTCTGGGAAAATCCAGACCAGCCAAGACGAGCTGAGTCGATATCCTGATTTGGCGGGAAATACCCAAGCTATATAGGATGCTGTATGGGATTGCCATGGCTTGGTTGGGGAAGGCCCTGCGAAGAAACACCACAGGTCATTCATTCCAGCACCATGATGCGCGAGAAGGACAGGGTGGAGATGCGACGTCGGTCACCGGTTCAAGTCCCCATCTCTTGTTTCCGCCTCTCTCTCCCCCTCTCTTGCACACAACACACAACACACGCACGCACGCACGTACGTACATATGAGGACAAAAGAAAATGACGGAGTATGGGTTGGGTGGGCAGGCTTGGGGAATAACCTACAAAACAGAAGGTTTCGCCCTGGAAGGGGGGGGGGATACTACAGGTCTGTCTGTCTCAGTGACATGAAGGGTTCGGGAGAGCGACGAGTGACGAAAACGAAGCGCTGTCATGTATTCTTCATCCTCTCTTTCCTCTCTCTTGGATTCAATCCACCGTGTGACTATCAAGCAAATCCGCGATAGACAAGGAAAGGTTGGCTTGCTTCTGAGGCCTGTCTGTTTGCCTGTTTGCTTAGCTCTTTGGCCCTTCGAATAGACTTGAACAAATAAAATGTGGAGCCGCTTCGTATTTGACCTTGGACGGGCATGCATGCGTGCCTTTTCTCTTCTCTCGAGACACGTCCTGTGTCCTGCGAGCTCTCTCTCCTTCTGTAGCCTCGGCCATGGCTGAAAAAAGAAAAGAAAGATGTGAAAAAAAAAGCCTTCATTTGCCCTTCCTGGCGACAAGCCTCTGCTCCCACCACGCCTTGATCCGCTGCACGTCAAAGCCCATGGCGACAAGTCTGGCCTCGTCACTGATGAACCACTCTTCCTGCTCGTCGCCGTCGCCTTCGGGATGTTGGTCGCGAATACCGCCAGCGGCACTCTCCAAAGAACCCTCGTGCTCGGCTCTCTGGCTCCCAGTCTTCGGAGGGTATTTGTTCAGAATCACATCCGCTTCGCCGTCCGCGGAACTCCTTCGCAGCCGGTGCATGACCAGGCCGCGGAAGAGCGCGACCGTGCCTACAGCGGGGAGGAATTTGTGCGCGTCCACAAACACAGACACGGTGACGCCGGACGTGCGGTGCGTGATGGATGGGTCGTGGATTTTGACGTGTCGCTTGGGCGGAAACGGCGTGTTGGGCCGGTGGATCAGCGAGGGGGATACCCAGGAAATCAGAGCGAGGACGGTGCACGAGTAGCTTTTCTGGTGGGGCAGGGCGAGGAGTGAAGCGAGGTTGTCGATTGGAGATATCGGCGCGAGATTGGTAGGTCGGGTCCTCGGGTCATCGCCTTGTGGAATGGGCGGAGCGGAGAAAGTGGTTGAACTGGCAATATCGGTGAGCTGGTGATGGGGACCGCTAAGGGGGTTGTGAGTGTTGACTGCGACAGTTTCGCGGACAGCTTGTTTCTCGTAATCATCCTCGTTATCTAGAAGTGAGTGAGTTGACGTGGACGGAGGAAGACGTTGGCTGTGAAGTTACCTTGTGTCTCTTCATGATTGCCTTCCCCTTGTGGCCGTGGTCGACTCACAGTAGCCTCCTCCATGGACGGCGGTTGCTGGATCTGGCGAAGTGCTTCCCTGCGCTGTTCAAGGCGCGACTGAGATACAAAGATAGTATCGAACCCGAGCTCGTCATCTGAATCGTCCTCTGACATGTTCCGAGATACCTTCTGTGTCGTCTTGGACGGCTTTGGTTTGCTCTGCGCGCTGCGAGAGCTAGGTGCTTGGTCATCGCGGTCGCGAATATCTCTCCTCTTAGATGCACGTCGCTCTGAACCAGCGGTCGGGTCTTCCTTTCGGGGATGTGGATTTTTGTGGAACATTTCGTCGTGCTCTTCCCTGAGGAATCCACCTTCAAGTTCAAGTCGGTCGTCTCCCTCAGATGTTTCAACAGTCTCTCTGTCTCGGCCAACCCATGCGCAGTCTCGGATCCCCAGATATACCACTCGACCTTTGCCAGTCAGTCGAGGTGCGCTCCTCACCTGGAATCTGCGCACTTCAATAAAGTCCCCCCGTTGTAGGTCCCGCAGCTCCTTCACTCTGAGGAGGGTGGGTGCTAAGACGGCCTGAATCTGGAGATGGCCATCCGAGGCTGCGAAGCGAAATGACCATGTGTCGGGGTCTCGGGCAGCAGAATCGTTGCCGTGTTCATCGCCGGTGACGAGGGTTTCTTCTCGTTCGTCGTCAGGGTCGTCGACTGTGTTTCTACGGCTACCCGCATGCGCTTTGCCAAATACGTGTTCGACTCGGAGGACCAGCGAGGGCGGGTGCACACAGGTGCGGAGGAGTTCTGCGAGGCATCTTTCTAACTTGGGCAGGGCGGTGCCACGAGGAGCAAGCATGCTCGAAGGCGGTCCTGCATTGTCGGAGGGCCTATCGTCGTTGTCGTGAATCTTTCTATGACGGCAGAAACGGTTACTCCGCAGGTCGTTTTCTGTAAATTGGTTACGCGACGCGTCCAACCACACGCGTTCAGGCGGGTTCGACGCTTACTAAGCCCTCATCTCTCTCCCCTTTGGGTGGCCTTGAGTGACCCTTTTCCTGACAGCCTCGCAGCTGTTTCTCTGAACTGTGTATGCTCTTGACAAGGGTACTCTTCTACCAGTAAAAGGCCCAATCTCGCAGCTTGTGAGACCATATCGAATATATCAGGGATGGACTGAATGTACTGAATCAATTATAGAACATCTGGCCTATGGAGAATATCCGTGGGCTGCACGACGGCAGATCTACGACGTTACACGAAACATCCCTGGCTCGCGCTGGAAGACTTCTCAACGCATCTTGTGCATATGCAGACCAGAAATGCACCTAGACAGCGCCTTCGGTAATGCGGGGTGTTCACCTCTACGAAAGGCGAGCCGCATATCTGGGGAGAAGCGAGTCTGGGGAAACTGCAGGGTCCCCTCACTCCGCTCCCGGAGGATGTTTTCCTCGTTTCGATCGTTGTAACCAATTCTCTTCCAGTGATATTAAACCCATAAGTTTTCCATTTAGGGGGATCTTCCGCTTCGAACATAATCAAACGAAATACGCCCCTCGCGCGTAGCACCGTTTCTGCTTCTATCTCTTCATTTGAAACAAACCGCACCGACAATGTCGCCAACCGAGGTCTACAGACCTGCATTTACAGATCCTCCTGGCACGAACCTCGCAGGCATCCCGGTCTCCAACCTCAAACTGTCCTCGCCATACGTGAGCTATGGCCTGCCATACCAGGAAGCGTGTGCCAAACACGTGCGCGAGACCTTTAACGCCTCGCGAGTGTACATTGTAGCGTCTGGGACCCTCTCGCGCGAGACCGACAGGCTGGACAGGCTGGTCAAGGCGATCGGCAGAGACAAGGTCGTCGGTATTAAAAAGGGTATGACACCGCATACGCCGTGGTCGGAGATATTGCAAATCACGGCCGAAGCGAGAGAGTCCAACGCCGACTGTCTTGTGACGTTGGGCGCTGGGAGTATCACCGATGGTGCGAAAATGGTGACACTTGTGTGTCTCTCTCTCGGATATCGCCCCCTGGGAAGTGTTTTGACTCAGAGTGCTAATCTAATATCCGTGTCCAGGCACTGGCAAATAATATCCGAACGGCAAAGGAGCTTGCCAGATATTCTTCAGAGAGCACCGACGTCCCTGCGACGGTGCATGAGCCGAAGGTGCCACTGATCACGATTCCGACAAGTCTCTCAGGTGGCGAGGTATTCAATAACCCCCTTTTACTTCTTGAATTGCCTCTGTCGAGCCCATGTGCTGATGACCCACAAAGTATTTCAGCCTGGGCGGCGGCACGGACGACTCTACCAAGCACAAGGTGGCGTTCCTGCATTCAGGCATGGGCGTGAACCTGATCATTCTCGACCCGGAGCTGTGCATGACGACGCCGCCGTATCACTGGCTCAGCACGGGCGTCAGGAGCCTCGATCACTGTGTCGAGGCGCTGTGCTCGCTCCAAGGCACAGAGACGTCCGATCGAAAGGCTGAGGAGGGCTTGAGGCTGCTGGTCCCGAGCCTGCTCAGATGCAAACAGGACCCCGAGGACCGCGAGGCCTGGCACAAGTGCCAGATGGCCGTGATCCTCGCGATGGACAACATCCGTGCCGGGGTGCCCATGGGCGGCAGCCACGCCATCGGACACCAGCTGGGCCCGCTGGGCGTCGCGCACGGCGTCACCAGCTGCATCCTCTGTCCCGCCGTCATGAAGTACAACATCAAACACGCGGCCGGAAACACGGCGATCATGGACCGCCAAGCCAAGGTCAGAAACATCCTCTGGTCCGAGCCGGTGGTCGCGGACCTTCTCGCGCAAAAGGGTCTTGGTCAGGACAGTGCTGACCTCGGCGATGTCCTCGACGTCATTATTCGCGCGTTGGGCCTTCCTAGGACGCTCACGGAGCTGGGGATCGACAGGGACGTGCTCCCCGGTCTGGCGAACCGCGCGTTGGCCGACTTTTGGTCCCCGACCAATCCGGTCCCGCTGGTCAAGGCCGAGCAGGTCCAAGAGATTCTCGAGGCTGTCATGTGAAATGCCCGCGAAGAGATAGAAAGAAGGAGACGCACAGAGAGAGAGAAGGTAGGTACTATGACGAAGAAGAGACCTACAAATTGACCAGACATGTCCTTTGAGCATAGGCAGCTAGTCAGTGATACGATCAAGATTCCCTACAAGCAATTGTGGTTATCACGTTTGTTTTTTGTTTGTTTTTTGTTTGTTTTTTGTCTGTTTTTTGTTTGTTTTTTTGTTGACTATCCCTGCTGCCATGATTTGGTCGTCTTCCCCTTGAAACCCTTCGAGTCGAGCTCAGCCATCTCCTCCCTGCTCAGTCGCCATCCCAGCGCCTGCATGTTATCGGTAGCCTGGCATTCCCTCCTGATCCCCACCACCGGGATCGCGCCCTTGCAGATGTTCCAGTTCATAGCCACGGCCGTGACGCTGACGTTGTACTTGGCGGCGAGCCGTCGCACAACTCGCAGAGCCGGCTCCAAATGCTCCATCTTGTAGCTGCTGAACCGGTACTCCTTTGCCTGTGGGTTTCCCTGAATGTGTTTGCCCGACAGACGACCCTGGGCGAGGGCCGAGTATGATTGAAACACGATGCCGTGTTGCTTGCATGCCTCGAGCATGCCTTCGATCTCGGGCATCCGTCGCAAGACCGAATACTCGCATTGGTTGGTCGCCAGAGGTATCCCGTACTCGGCCAGCGCGTGTTGCATGGCCAACATGTCCTCCACCGAGTAGTTCGCGACGCCCACCGTCTTGGTCATCCCCTCCTCCACGCACTTGGCCATGCCCTCGGCCGCTTGCTTGATGGAGCTGACGTGGACCGGCCCGTGCACCAGATAGCAGTCGACGTAGTCCAGGTTCATCCTCTCCAACGTCTTCTTCAGCTGCTTCACTGGTGCGTCGACCGGGTGAATGATGTTCATGTCCGCGTCCGCGACGTCGGGCAGCCACTTTGTCTGCACGATGATCTGTGAGCGGTCGACCCCGCAGCTCTGGTTGTTGACCAAATCTCCCAGAATCCGTTCACTCCTGCCGCTGCCGTACACTTGAGCCGTGTCGACGAAAGTCATACCTTTCTCGAGACACGTCTGCCACGCTTGCCGGAGAGAGGGCAGTTCGTCGTCGGACCAGTGGAAAGTGGACGTGTCACCCCACGACCATGCACCCCAGACGATCAAGGGGATTTGAACATCCCTCCCATCCTTGCCGCGCAGTGTGTACCGAGAATCCAGCCGAGGCGTGAAGTCATCCGGCAGAACATGTTTCAGCCCGTCGTAGGAGGCGGGCAGTGGTTCAGGTTTCGATGCATGGGACTCTGACACCGCAGACATGCCCGACGTGAGTCCGGCCTGCAGGATCTTGTGAGCCATCCTCACCGATCTCAAAAAGGTCTCTTGCAAATGCTTGGGAGGAGGGCTCTCGAGAACCTCACGGCGGATAGTGCACCCAGGTCCGTGTTCGCCGTGATCCCAGTGCACTCATTATAGGGAATAAAGGAAAGCACGGAATCTCTTGCAACAAATGTAAACGTCACAGCATTGGCGGCGAGGTTACTAAGTACCCAACTGTGCCAGCTATTAGATCGCATCACTCATCCGATTTCCCGATCCCAGCTGCTAAGGGGTGGCTGAGAAGAAAAAGTATAGCGAGCTGATTAGACTGCGATATCCGAAGTACTCGTTGGATACACAAGCCGTCTCTGCCGTCTCTGTCATGTGCCGGTAGAAAGTCGGCAGGTGCACCGACTCTCATGTCCAAGTGACACGGGTGCATCCATCGATCCGGTCCCACAATACCCCTGGATATGGGTCAGTCGCCGGAATTATAGCCAGTGCATCTGTTTGTGGGAAAGACTTCCATGCATTGAGCCGTCTTTTACGTCAGGCCTCGGGATGATCCACGTCAGGTCACATCGGGCTGCTTGGTCAAAAGCGTTCAAGGCTTGGGGCTCCGACACAGAAGAGCAGATTGCCTGAAAATGTCAGCTGTGCAACGTGAAAGCAATTCTCACCAACATCATCTGGAAGGACACCTAGGTAGAGCAGCTCGTCGCGAAAGATGTCGCATCTCCAGAGACTTACAATGTTCCTGTCAAGTGGATGTTTGAGCACTGAGGAGTTACTTGCTCGCTGACAATTCAAGGACAGAAGGCCTGCTCAGTCAATCTAGTGGATGTCAAGGTTCACAAAGCCCTTTTACGACGACTACCATAAGTGATCCAGATAAACGACAAGCCAAACGAGATTCAGAGTCACGAGACCACAAATGCCAAGGCACTAACCGGGTTCACCTTAGTAGCTAGCGTCGCCTGCGTCGGCTCCCTCCCGGGACTTTGAAACAATCGTGTTTCGCATTTACCAGCCTTCCCCATGTTCCTTCGGCTGGCGATAACGATATCGCTAACGCTTGCGCCCCTATCACCCGCGTCGTCGTGATAAAGCTGGGTGTTGGAACCTGGTCAGGAGTCGACTTGCGAGAAATGATAGGTCGATTCTCAGCGCAACTGTCCAAAGCGGCACACCGGAAGACGTTTCAAAAACCCATGTATATTCGTTAGAATGGTGGCAAGTGCCCTTGTTGCTCATGACTAGCTATACTAGACGCTCTCTCTCTCTGTCTCTCCGTTTGTACCTCTCCCAGCCCTCAATCCCCCTTTTGTTTTCTAGGCTTCGGACTGCAACTGAGCCTGCAGCTCCTTCCAAGTCGTGGCGACAATGGGACATCCAACGCCACTCCCGGGGCCTCCCCTGAAGTTCTGTAGGGTGATGATGCACGTCTGAAGACGGGTGAGCTGGTCTTGTGCAGAATTGCCTGTGCCAGGATTAGCGGGCTGGACTGCAGTAAGGAGGTGAGAGATTTTTACCAGATGGGAACGCCATCCCGGCTGCGACAGAGTCTTCGACGGCACTGGCGAAGGTGCTCAAGTCGGGTGGGCAGTTGCATCTGTTCGATGTCAGAACTTCGTCGTTGTTGAAGCAGATGTCAACTTACGGAATGTTCACTCCATTGTCACCGACGCAGTTCGCAGTCCCATCGGTTGCCTTGACACCTGGAGTAATGCCGAAGGGGGGGATGAGCGAGGTATCGACTGCGCCAGAGTTACCCCCTCCAGAAGATCCCCCATTACCTGCCGCGGTGGTAGCAGCAGCAGGCGGAGGAGGGGCAGCTGTGCCACCAGCTGGAGGAGCTGCAGAGGTTCTAGTGACGAAGGTGCTGGGGGCGTTGCCATCGCCGCCATGATTGAAGAAACCACCGTTGTCACCACCGCCGCCGCCACCGCCCCGTCCTCTTTGGGCAAGAACGGGAATAGCCGGGGATGCGGCGGCGAAGAGGTACACAAGTGCGAAGCGCATTGCTGGATGTATAGATGTTTGGGTATTGGTTCGTTGAGATCGGAGGAGCAAGAGGGTATGCGCTTCGGGCTAGCCGGGCTTTGAATTGCTTCAAGGAGTGTGTGAAAAGCGAGAGATGGTGTATATACTACCAGTAGTAACCGCAGAATGGAAAGAGGCACGACCTGCGTACAGAGAGAAAGAGAGAGACAGTAAGGATTGTGAGTGTCAACGAACGATTTTGCCCAGAGTCGAGAGGGGGGCGACATGATATGGGAATGTGACAGCAATATATATACATGTTTGCCCTGGACATGGAAAGCCACACGGATTGACAACAGGACTAGCACTGCGCCTAGATTGAGAAGTGATAGACGTAGTACTACGCAAAAAAAGCATGGCTATTCCTTTGCGCTCAGTCTCACAGTCGTCGTGATGCCGTTTTTGCAAATGGCATTTATTGGATGTTGAACGGATAAACCCCTGTGTTTGACACGGCGCAATAGGGGGACCCCCTTTTTCGCGTTTCACGTTTCGAAGATGCTGGTCTGCTGCCCATGATTGGTTGAGGATCGATCTGCACTTGACCCTGCATTCGGACATCCGTGAGGACTTGGAGAAGGGACCTGGAGTGAACAAACGCATCGCCGTGTCTTTTGTTGGTCGCCCTGGTGGCATTGGCTCTCGGACGAGGAAATAAACTTGGACGTGGCGCATACAGAGACTCGGAGGACCCCCAGGCAAGGCTGCCCCGTGTTTTGAAAGGCGCTTAGATAGAGCCCGTCCTTGGCACACGCTTCGATAACTTGCGATAAGACTTACCGAGAATGCGAAAAGATCTGGAAAGGCATACTCCCGTAACAAACCCACATATTCTGGGGGCAAGCGAAGGTGCTCTGTGCACAAAGTCAACTCAACTTGAACCTCGCGAGCCATCATAAATAAGTAAGTATTCAGTATTAGTAGGTACAACCACTCAACAGTAATCAAAACTTTGTCGAAGAGACATGTAGAGATGCCATCTCCTATTGAAGTGTCCAAGGAGATCAGCGGCCACGTTGCAAATTGCCATAGGAAAGAGAAATGGGACTCTAACAATTCAAATTGTCGAATTTCCCAGTCAATACTCCTGTAGGATGTTGCGAATTGAGTCAAATACGTCTAATGACCTCTTCAAATGACCGACGCGAATTCGCGCCCAACACTCGTAAACCAGATAGATCTCTATGCCAATAATAACAAAAGTTGAGTGCTCTCTCCGTCTCGTCGGTACTGCTTTCTCCCCATTGCTATCGATTCAAGCTGAAGCAAGTCTGACCCCTGCCTCAGGCCATAGGTTTAAGTAGTCAGGGGATTCAGATGAGCTGCAGCAGCAGTTAATACCAGCGACAGCAGATTACGAGCACTGTTAGCATGATCACTCGCTCACTCCTTACATTGAGCACAATACCGACAGTTGTCTTACCATACTCGTCTGTACGCGAATACTTAAGACACCACGAACACGTGCGCCCCAAAAGCCAGCTAGACCAGTTTGAGCGATTTCGGTGACGCGCTTCAAAGACCAGCATTCGTTCATTCGTCCTTGGAGAATCCGATCACCTCAATACTACTACTGCTGCACACTGTTGCTCTCACAGAAGCAGTCTGCATATGCGAACTCTCATCTTGATATAATGCAGTTGCTCCTGTACTCCGCAGCAACCAAGCTTTAGTCTTGTGCCTCTTGTACCTCGTACATTATACCTGCACAGTAGCACTCCTATAAGCCATACTGCAGTGTTTGAGAGTTCTCTATCAAGTACTGCTGAGTTTGCTTATGCTTGTATATTCCTCCTGAAAGATCAGGTCAAGATCTGATTTACTTTTGCAAGAGTCTCGTCGACACTGGACGCATGGTAAGATGTTACTAGCAGTGTCGGTGCTCAGCAGAGGGTTTCATCTGTGACCAGAGGCGTCGACCTTCCGTTCTGGGCTCACGCAGGTAGAATCACTTTCATCATAGACATGGAATTAGATACTAGTAGCTCAACAGTGTGAGGTACGAGATGAATACACCGCAGCACGAGCGAGGAGGCAAGAGGTACTCAGTACCTATGTGTTGTATCTACTGGTATCGGCTCTGGGTTGCGCCGCTCACTTTGTTTCTCGTGTATGCCTCGTCAACAACTTGAACTGCATGGCCGAGATGACTTGCTCATAACCCCTTCTCCGATAAACGGTGGGTGGACGATGCCTTTCACGAGGCACTCTTGATTCCTTTCGAGATTAGCGCGCTCAAACCTCGTCTTGTCCTTCTGGAGAGATGATATTGCTGCGCTCTACGCTATAAATACTCAGTCTACCCACCTACAGAGATGATCCCCATACCGAAAGTGCTTGCTGTATAAGTAGATACGGTTTTGATGCTGCTTTGATATGATACATATCGGATGTAGCATCAACACTGAGTATCTATGTTGTATGCAACTAAGTTGTGTTTTTCAAGGGCCCAATAAAGTCCAAAAGTACTAAGTACTATTGAATACTAGCCGTCAGGAAGGCAGGGCAGAAGTCCTTCTGATCTTTGTGCTGTTCATGTTCACTTTTCGTCATCATGGTAGGAGATAACCCTAGCAGCTACTGGAATACCTACTAGTAGTAGTAATGGCGGAACATTACACTATAGGCTCCGTAGCCTCGAGGAGTTCTTCTCTGTGTTGTGATAAGTAGTAGTAGTACTACTGTCCAAGTGCTCTTGTCCCGGGCTGGGATTTTGTTTCCTGGCCTCTCAAGAAGGCTTTCAACGTACTACTACCGCTACATAACTTGAGTAGTATACGAAGCCACCTTCAAGCTTATCTTCCATCCTGTTTGGCGTTACAGTTGATCTGGGCTGAGGTAGTCCCGAAGATGTTCTATTTGAACAATCTAGTCTGACTTGTATGTCGAGATACTACTACTGGAATTGACAACTGAAATTTTTATGTTCAACCACAGAAAAATGCCGATATCCACTTCACCATGGCTGGATCCATGTTGAAAATCCAAAGCTATATCTTTGTGCAGAGACTCGATCGAGCACTCATTCTTCAAACTCGAGGTCATATGCCAGTGTATCGTCGCAGAGCTCCTCCCTAAACTTGTGGACCCTATATTGCCAGTCAGCATGAGCGCAACAATACTAGTAGTGCTAGTGTTGGAATTCTCCAAGGTGAATATCCCAGGAGGCAAAAGCCTCGACGGAAATGGGGGAGACTCAGTGATGCCAACGTACTCCAGGTGAGCAGGGTGCTCAGCATAGACCTTTACATCCTCTGCCTTGTCCAGGATCGCGACTAGTCCGCAGTTGAATCCCTGACTCCTGTGCGCGGTCGATGCCAAAGGCGTATTCACCTCGAGCTTCCTCAGGCCTGGGATCTGGCCGACCATAGCTCTCGCTTGGACACCCCAGTTTGAGAGTTGGACGGGTGTTACCCCGGGTTTGAGTTTGAACAGGACTGGGCTTGGGTCAGCGGTGAATCTGTCTAGGGGGGCGACTGTAAGATGGAGAAGACAATGGGACAATCTTCCTTACCTATGTGATAGATAGGCATGGTTGCGGTTGGTCGTAGATGATTGAGACGTGGCAAGGAGGTCTGTAGGAGGGACTCTCTCTCAGTGATGACAGATATGGACGGGTTGAAGTCGCAATTGTGCTCGGGGGCATTCCCGATTCGATGGTCCATCGGCCGGTGGTTGATTCCCAACTTCTCCCGAGGGCCGCAGTTTCGCAGTTTCGCAGTTTCCCCTCATCTTGTCCGGCCGAAAAGCCACTAACCAGTTCCGGCTAGTCTATATCACCCAGGTTGTCCGATGATTGAAGCTTGTTTGCAAGAAATCCATGTTTGCACAACCACCATCCTCTCGTCGAGAAACTGCGAGCTCGCTCTTGGGCTTCGTCTGAACGGAATGCGGGAGTCCGACAGCTAGACTGTACAGTAAACCTGACCGCAACCTGGTTGGTCACACTAGTACTCGCTCGAGATGCGACCTCGAGGCCTATCCCAGGCCCCAGGGGCTCTTCAAGAAACGTGTAGCCATTGTAACATCCGCCGTTCAATGTGCTGGAAGGTGGAGATATCACAATCGAGATGTGGTCGATGGGATGGCCGAAGGAGGCAGCACCGCGAACTGGCAGTCGTCCAGAACGGGCAGGGCAAAATGTTCAGGTTGAGATAGGTCGAGGAGTCCATCTTTGATGCCGCAGGAGCAGGTAAATGTTTGAGATGCTGGCTTGAATCCTCTGTTGATCCATAATGGAGATCACAAACAAAGCTTTGACTTCACAGCAATCGATATTATCATCTGGCAGGCATATGTTTGACGTGAAATTACAGAGGCAGGTCTTTCAGGTCACAAAGTCTTCTTTCTGCCACACCCCTGCGCCTTTCACTGTGTTTTGGAATTACCAGACAAATCTGTCTTCTCAGTTGCCAGTCTATCACCTTCATAAACCTACCACCAAGGTCGATGGAAAGAAATGTCCACAACCAGCCCTAACGAGCCTTTGGGCTAGTTGATGGCATACAATATCGATCAACCACACGCAGTTGACCTCCTCAACACTACCATCGGCTCTCCCTGACCAAACTGTTACGATCACCTACGAGAATTTCATCGTCTATGGAGACCACGAATGCCAAACTGCTCCGTGCAGTCGTCAACCACGTAGTTCTTCCGCCCAATCTACCTGAAAAAGTCGACAACAACCTTGAAGAGATTAATCGGGATCTTCTGCTGCGCGTCCGGGATGCCTGCCTTGAGTTGAATACAGTTACCAAGGGCGAATTCCAGCAACAGTTGAGCCTCCTTCAAAGTTCACTGGATCATTGTCAAAACATCCACGCTTCGGTACATCTTGACAGCCTTCAACTTCAACGTGCATTCCGGAGACTGCAAAGCGGAGAAGTTCTCGTCATTCACATTAGCGAGCAGAACGCAGGACTCTTGGTTAGACATGGTAACAGGTAAGCAAGCTTGACCTCAAGAACGTTGCTTCAATTGCAGTCCTAACAAAGTCTTCAGTTCCTTGAAGGGCCATGTCGTTTTCGAAGCCTTTGAAGTTTCCGCAAAGTCCCAAAAGGTTCTCGAGTCCCTGAGCGCACTGCAATGGGACTTTCCCACCTCCGCCGCGGCTATACCGGCCGATATCTTCGCCGACGAAAGCTTCCAGCAAAACCTTGCCGAATTTCTGCAGAAAGCGAGTCTAGAAAGAGTCGATAGATTTGGAGCAGTCGTTTACAAAGCCAACTCACCGGCCCTTGAGACGCGGGATACAAACGACCCTGCCCTAGTCACTGGTCTATTGATCACGTTGCTGGAGGGGATGGGCCAGCTGACCACTACCTCTCCCATCCGCAAACGTGTCAGAGACGAAGTTTGCCGGAAAGACTCGGGCATCCCATGGAGAAGATCGCCGTTTTGGCTGCTTCTGCGGGTGGGCATCTTGCGTCTCCTGGAGCAAGCGACATGTCATTCGATCTCAAACGCCGTGTACAAAGCCCTGATGTGTGTCCTCCACGCCCAATTGTTGGGTCAGGTAGTCGGCTCTCAGGCTCCTGAACTCAGCCATCTCCTCCTGAGAAAGCTTGGTCGACGAGTAGCAAAATTGGAGAAGGATGGAGCTCTTGTTACAGCTTCAGAATCCAGGATATCAGACGCTTACAGTGTCCTTTTGGATAATCTTCGTCCTTTTTTCCGTGCCACGACAAAGCATGCGACATATCAACTCCAAAGCGTCTGGAACAGTCACAAGTCGAAAATTCGGCGTTGGATCGCTCAACTGAAGACACGACAGGCCAGACCGGAGCACATGAAGCTCAGCTTGACAAATAGCGCTCCTTATCTTGACCACCTGAATCAGCACCCACCTCTCAAGATCGCACACGGAGGGTCATATGCCATGCCGCCCACACTGCTGGAATTTCTTAAGAAGTACTCGGAGCTCACGGAGCTGGAGGAAGGAATCTTGACCCGAAACACTCCAGTCGTTGCCGCCAACCATAAGACGTGGGTAGATTCAAGCATACAGCTTGCAAAACAAATCGAAACTTACCTTGGCAAATCGATCGACTCATTCGAGGTGGGAACAGAAGATCGCAGTTGTATGATTCTAACGACAATGTGGCTATGGGTTGCGATGGACAATCTGCTATGTCGCTTCATGCCCGAGTTCTCAAGGTCCAACCCAGTCTTCGCCCCACAAATTCTTGACTGTCTACGGCTTTCCTCGTACCCTGACCTGCGTCGCGTCAAGCAGATCCAGACCTACCTTGCTCAGCGTCACTCGAGTGACACGAATACTGTCTCCTCGCGGACCGTCTTGGACCCTCCTATTTCAGGCTGTTTTGCCGATCTGTTCTACGAAAGTCTGCCCTCACGTTCCGAGATTCACCTACTGCATCAAAGTATTGAGCAGACAGAGCAGACACGAAAGCAGGAGAAAGAGATGGAATGGACAGAAAAAGATACGAATCATCGACAATTGATGAGAGAGATCTCCGCCGCAGTTTGCCAATTCACCTTTGTTGGCCCCCTGCTGATTCCAGAGCATGATGAGCACAAATGCAAGAAATGCATCTTGACGAAAGCAGCTGCCAAGCTTCGTATAGAAAGAATTGAAAAGCCAATGCCTCCAAACCGAGGTGAAGGAAGAGCTGTACTGCTGGAACTGCTCTGCCCGGCCGCTTATGCTGCATACCGCGAAGCTACGTGGGCTATCGTCGCCAGGCTTGCGCTTCCAAACATTGAACAAACAAAAAGTGAACCTCTCACCATGGTTGAAGGCTACTACGCCGAATTTCGCAGAGCACGGCGGCCGAGCGCTAGCAAGAAAGGACTCACTCTGGCCTCCCGAACGAAATCGTTCTTGCAGACGCACTACCGATTCGCCAACTTCCCCATTTCCTGGGAAAGAGTTACTGTCAACAATGGCCTAAGATTCGAGTACTACGATTGCACACGTAAAGTGTGGCTTGCCGAACATACACATCGGGTTACATTCAGCCACCACTGTATGATTCCTCTCCCTCGGCACAGCCCTTTTGCCAAAATCGCTTTCCCTCCCAGGATTTTACCTGAAAATGGTGAGAATAGATCCGCTAAAAATGCATGCGTTACTCGTCGGGGAGCTATTCCGAAAAACTTGAGTGCTGATGCCGATATTACATCTAACGAAATCCTCGCCGGGCTGCCTCGGTGCCCTCAGGCTCTCGGTTTTCCAGAATTCCTGGCCTTTCAAGGACTCATATGCGGCAACGGTCGTTTGTGGCAGGCGATTCTTGTTGAGCTAGGCTCCTCGAATCTCAACTTCAGCTCCGAGGCAGTCATGATTTTGACTAAATCATTAATTTGTCGAACCGGTCCTGTGAGCGAAGACACGGACCATGTGGCAAATGCTGTCTTTCGCGATGCTAGCTTTTGCAGAGCTCTGTTGAGCCAGACTGCACGACGTCTGCTGGCCATAAGCTCAAACCCGAGTGAGCATTACTGTATGGAAATCTTGATCAGCTTGATTCTGAAAGTGAATGCTGTCGGAGACAAGGGCTCGTGCGAACAAGCTTCACAGTTGCTTGAAGTGGCCAGAGGAATCACCATTCAGTGGATCAGGATGCTCCGTAAGGAGTTCTGTGACACAACGAACGACAATGCCTCCGCGCGAATCTCATATTTGATTCTGTGGGCTGCTTTGTTGTGCAGACGAACATTCTCCATATTCACCCAAGGACAGCCGATGAGCCTTCCACCGTCGACGATTGATGTCGTAGGGGTGCAAGACAATAACACAGTCCTCATTCCTCTACCAGCACTGACCTCACTCCTGGAAGCTTCCATCGCTCTACACGAAAATCAACCAGTTGATCCAGAGAAACTCCAACCCACGCTTCGCAGCACGTTGATTCGCGACATCAAAATGATTTTCCGTCTTCAGAATTGTCTGGAACGTTCGCTGGAGAAGTATCCCACCTCTTTGATCATCGCCGCAGTCCAAGCAAATGTGATGAGCCGTGAAGCTCTATCTATCCGATCGACGTCGTTCAGTTTTGTGGAGAATCCAGACGGGAAGTGGGCAAGCTTGCAGCTTCCAGGCAGTCGACGCACGGAACCGCAAGTCATCCAGTTTCACCTCGTTGCAGGAACGGTACTGCTAAACGGTAGGACCGTCGAAAAGGAGCTTCCGCACGAGATTCGCCGCTCGGCAGGACTATGCCGGCTTTTCCCACACCAAAAACTCATTGTCTGGCCCTCCGCTGCCCATGGAATGACCTACAAGGTTGGTTTTGACATCGAAGGCCACGAGGTCCACCTTGGATTTCGGCAGCATGTTCTCGTTGTCCGTGCTTGGACGAAAGATGCAGTACTCGAGTTCATACCTGACTACATTTTCACGAATGGAGCGTCCTCTGATATTCCCGCATCATTGATTGAAAATTGTGTGCATTGGCTCAACTTGGGTGAAAATGTTATCGAGGTCAGGAAGGAGCCACGGATATGGAGATCTATACCCTCGAACTGGAAAATCGACCTCCGTAGCTTCATCGCCAAACGCAGGGACTCGACACTGCTTGATCCAGGCAGTAACCTCGTTCATCACTTTGCGAGTATGTTCAAGGGGTTCGAGGATCCACGACACATCACGGTATTCCAGCCTCTTCGGGGTGCGATTCAGGTGGAGCTTCGTCGCTTCGAGCTCACTTTCTTTGTCAACATCGACGGCTTCTTGGAGTGCCAACAGTTTCGGGCGGAGATCGATGTGAACCAGGATGCGGGAACTTGGTATGGCCTTACCTCGAAGATCGTCCTCCGCGACGTCGATAACCGGAGACGCCGAAGTGTCATCGTGCCATTAGGATCTCCGACAGTGCAGCGTCGAGGAATCCATGTGAACGTCGAGATTCGAAACAGCGATCCTGTTTACGCTCGTTACTTCTTGGACGACGTACTGGGAAGGGTGACCTGTGCATCAGAACCTAGACTGTTTTACACCAAAGCGTTACTGCACGCGTACACCTCTTTCTGTCTTCCAGACCCGCTGACAGGTAGGACGGGGACTGAGGAGGCGTGCCATATTCTGCAGTCCGGGAGCTCTCAGCCGTATGGACCGCTCAATGATGCCAATAGACAGCTCCTCGATGCCATTGCGAAACTGGCTCCAGTGCGGCAATACTACCCGCCAGACCTCCGGAGGTTAGAGAAGGTGTTATGGAACGAAAATCTCACATGTTGCATACAGCATGACCAATATCGCTCGCTCGTTGCTGAGATCAACCAAAAGTCCGTACTACTTTCTCAGTTTGACTTGGACCACGATATCACCCCTGAGACCCAGGATTTGTCGGGAGCAATGGACAACGTGGACACAGAAGAATCCATTCCGCATCTTTCTAAGAGAAGTCAGGCTCGTCAAGGGCTTTATCGGCGGCCCCAGGCAGCGACGACCAGTCCTGGAGATGCTCCGGACCTGTCCTATGATCCACGTGGTTATCAAAACTACCAACAAAGCCAAGAGCATGTTTTCCAGGTTGCTCGTTTGATTCATACGTGGCCAGCCAAAGTGCCCTCTCCAACGTTGTTGTCGTTGATGTTTCAGAATTGGCGTTTTATTGGTGGTTATGGCGACGATTCTGTCAGATTTGAACCAGTGCGGCTGACGGAGTGCCTCGATGTTGATCTTGCCTCCTCTTGGGGCCAGTTGGTCAACTTTTATCGCATGGAAGGCCGCCCGGAAGCAAGGTACAAACTCATGTTTCTGACGGCCCTGATATGTTTCAGAGAAGAAATCAACATGAGGGCAGTCCAGACCCTTGTCGCCTTCGCAATCCTGGATGATCTCAAGAACATCGATTTACCGTCTTGGCCTTCGTACACGCAATTCCGCCCTGGGTTTCGTCCAAAGACTGACTATTTCCGACAACTGTTGGCCCTGTGTACGCGATCCTTCTCAGCGGTACATATAACATCACACACCCAGAAAGAGAGGAAGGCCGTCGATGCTGCAAGAAAAGAGCATGAGGCTAGAGCTCTGAAACAGCTCGATGCTCTCACAGAATTCGCGTGCCATCAGTGGCCGTGCCCTCAGCCGAACTTCGAAGGGTTTACAACGGAGGTCTTAGACTTGGCCACAGCTTCGGCATTGATTGCAAGGGAGTGGAGTGCCATGTTTCGAAACCACGAATTTGAAGAGCACATACAGCAAGTTCAGGATGTCTTGGATAAACATCGCTCGCCCCTACCTACAAGAAGGAAGATCCAAATCAATCACTCTTCATCACCATCTGCGCCACGAGGATTCCCATTGATATGCTCTCACTTACTCGAGAAGGAGGGGCCGAGGATGGCAAATCAGGATGCGGTGGTTCAGAATCCAGCTTACTGCACAAAGAGAACAGCCGTCAATCACTTCGGTCACGACATTCACGAGTTGAGACAGATTTTTCAACAAATGCCTACGTCAAAATCCTTTGTTAGGCATGAATACCTTCGCGGCCTGCTCAATTCGATATCAGCCCTCGGAAGCCATCGAGCAAGACCTGTCGAAGAAATCTCAAGGTTTGATATGAATCAGCTGGATCGATTTATCGCCGAGGCAGAGAATGCCGTGAGTTCGCGATTCGATATGCTAGTACAGGCTTTCCAGAGAGACGAGCCTGGAGCGACATGGCTACATGCAGTTGGGATCTGGCCTTTAACGACCTATGTATCTGTCCTCGAGACTCTGCGCAGCAACAGTTCCATTCCACTAACAGCATCAATGCGAGTCGCTGTTGTTGATTTTGGTGTTGCCATCACTCAGTTGCAGCGATTTCTTCGCATACAGGATGCATCTCTTCGCAGAAAGTCTCATCTTGATGAAGAATTGAAAAACCTGGGTCACTCGAATTGGAATCCGAACGAATATCCCGACTGGTTACTTCTAGAGATCGATACAAACACTCTCATCCGTCCCATTCAGGTCGAAGTCGCACTGGCCACCATATCGCCGGCGTCTGGATCAAACTCAGTACTACAACTAAACATGGGCCAGGGAAAGACGTCAACAATCATTCCTCTGGTAGCGTCTGTCTTAGCGAATGGCCAGTCACTGTGCAGAATTGTCGTTCCTAAGGCTCTGCTGTTACAGACTGCACAACTACTGCAACTACGACTGGGCGGACTCTTGGGGAGAGAACTACGCCATGTGCCGTTTTCCCGCCGCACTCCCTCCAATCCAGAAAATATTGAGGCGTATGGGGAGATCCACAAAGCCATTTTGAAAAGTTCCGGCGTTATCATAGCACTTCCAGAGCACATCATGTCTTTCATGCTCTCTGGTCAACAACGGCTGGTGGATGAGAAGACCCAGGAAGCCACCCAGATGATCAAAGTGCAAAAGTGGCTTACCAGGAAGAGCAGAGATGTATTCGATGAAAGCGATTTTACAATGGCAGTCAAGACGCAACTTATCTACCCATCCGGCCCGCAAATTACTGTCGATGGCGGAAACTATCGTTGGGAGGCAATAGAAGCCATCCTCAAGCTTGCCGAGTCACACTTGTATGTGCTGGAGCGATCGCATGAATCGAGTATTCAAGTGGTCCGTCGCGAGACTGGGGGGTTTCCGTTCACCTACTTCCTCCGGAATGACGTCCAAGACGCGCTGATACAGCGGATCGCGAATGATATCTGCAGTGGGCGAACACCACTGTTGAACGCAGAGAACTTCTCTTCGTCTCAGATAGAGGCCATAAGATCGTTCATCACAGAGGCAAGACCGCATCAAGCTGTGAATGCCTGTATCTCGGACATTTACAAGAGCAGCCAGACCGACGGTAGCATCATATATCTCCTTCGTGGCCTCCTTGTTCATCGGATCCTCATCCTCACGCTGAGCAGACGATGGAACGTCCAGTATGGTCTCCATCCCCTGCGAGATCCAGTGGCGGTCCCATATCTAGCCAAAGGTGTCCCGTCACATCTTGCTGAATGGGGTCACGTTGATGTGTCATTACTTTTTACTTGTCTCTCCTTCTACTACCAAGGACTATCTCCGCAGCAGCTAAAACAGAGCCTGGAGCAGATTCTAAAATCGGATGACCCGGCGAGGGAATATGAACAATGGACCCGAGACAGCACTAGACTGCCCGATCGACTTCGAGATTGGACGTCCATCAATATGGAAGACAGCCTCCAGCTATTGGAAATATGGCGCGGTATCTGCCACAACATTGCGGCTATCGACTATTTCCTCAACAACTTTGTGTTTCCGAAACACGCCAAGCAGTTCAAGGTCAAGCTCCAAGCCAGTGGATGGGATCTTCCTTTAGCTGGCAGCGGAACCAGCCTGACCACAGGCTTCAGTGGCACCAACGACAACCGCTTGTGTTTGCCGCTGACTATCAAACAGGACGACTTGGCAGAATTAGCGCATACCAACGCTGAGGTCTTGACTTATCTGTTACAAGACCGGAACCGGCAATACAGCCTTGCAGGCTGGAGAGATGTCTCCCACGGACGGAGCGTCTACCGAAGACTGAGCGAGCCTGACCTTTTAGGCAAGCTGTTTCACAAGAAAATCCGCATATTGATCGACTCTGGTGCAATCATCTTGGAGATGACCAACGCGACGCTGGCAAAGATGTGGCTTGATATCGATACAGAGGCAACAGCTGCCGTGTATTTTGACGAAAATAACAAAGCCACCGTCTTGTCTCGAAGTGGGCGACGGATTCCCTTACTGGCATCACCCTTTGCAGATGATCTGAGCGGCTGCCTCGTGTACCTAGACGAATCTCACACTCGAGGCACAGATATGAAGTTCCCGCCCGATGCTCGAGGGGCAGTGACGCTCAGTCTCGGTCAAACCAAAGACCACACCGTTCAAGCCGTCATGCGTCTTCGGCAATTGGCAACCACTCAATCGGTCACGTTTTTCGCACCCCCTGAGGTCCACCAGTCGATTTTGGACTTTCGTAACAAAGGAGAACACTGGCATCTCACCTCTCGTGATGTGGTGTGCTGGCTTCTAGAACAAACCTGTCAAGGCCTTGAAAACCTCCAACCACTCTATTATGCTCAAGGCCTCAACTACTGCCGGCGAACACAGGCGGAGCGTGACCACCCCCTATTTTTGACGCACCCAGCCGAGCGACTTGCCTACTTGAATGCTCTTCGGAGCTACGAACAACATTCTCTGCAAGCTCTTTACGAGCCACGTTCGGCGAAGCCCCGAAAACGTGTTCGGGATGAAAAGTTCGATGATAGTCTGACCAAGCACATCAAGCAGCTCGAACGACGACGGAGGGCCTTCCAGGACTCCGGAAATGCCGTTCATGCCTCAGCATTGCAGGAGGTTGAGCAGGAACGTGAAGTTGCCGTGGAAGTGGAAACGATCCGTGAAAGACAAAACCCGTTATACTTCCACCCTCAGACCTTTTCTGGACTCGCCGCAGAGATCAGACATTTTGTACAGACGGGGTCGTTAAGGGTTGATGACAAGGTCTGCGAAAGAGCATTCTCGTATATGGCTCGAACCGAGACGAGCCTGAAATACCCCGCCAGTCTCCCCGCGACCCCACAACTGCTTGTCTCTGCGGAATTCCGGCGTGCGGTCATAGTGCCTTCTGGCAGACCCAATGATGACTTCTTGGTAAGTACGTCGTATCCTTTCCTGTTCTTTACTGACTTCGATTCCAGCGCGACGTCCAGTATATTCTCTGGAGTCTGGCCACAGAGACAGCAATCCTCGTGAGCCCGGAAGAAGCAGAAATCTTGAATGACCTATGCCGAAATGCCCCGAAGAGGGTGGTACATCTTCTGACTTACGCGGCGCCTGTCACGCAGAAGATGCTTCAGTTCAACGACTTGAATTACTATGCCGTACCACCGCTCCCACTGGGCTGGTCCGCACCGACGTGGCTGAAGATCCAGGTTGGTATATTTGCCGGTCGCCTTTACTTTCCGTTCGAAGAACTCGAGCAGATCCGGTCCTTTTTGGGGCTGCAAGATAGTCAACTGATCCGCCCCCACAATGGACTGGATTCGGCAATTGATGAATCGCAGATTGATGATACTGGCACCTCCGATGACGACCAGCCACCTGCAAGTGAACTCCAACAGACGGCGAATGACACGGCAGAAACCCAGCAGGCACAGGCTGCGAAGATCGAAGCTACCAAGATGCTAATCTTCCTGCACGCATGGCTTGGGACCAAAAGTCGGGGTCAGGACTTTACTCACACTCCAATGGGATACATTTGTGCACGGAAACTATTGACAGAGGATCACCCATTCTTCCGGACGGGCGCCGACGAATGGGTCAGGACCAAAATCATTCACGGCATATCTGAGGACAGTTCGGACAATCAGGTTGGCACGCAGGATGGCGATCAGGATAATGCATCCGATTTGGAGGATGAAGAGTTGGATGAGCGGCAGAAACTGACCGAGGAAGAATTGAGACAATCGGAGGAGATGAATTCAGGACAAGACGAAGACATTACCGTCCCAGCGGTTGATGACGACAATCAGGAGGTTGCTGAGAGTGACGTTGCAGAGCTAATGTTTGATGATGACGATTGAGGACCAGCTTGGTGACTTGGGGATATGCTGGCTGGCAGAGAAGGTCTTCTCGGTTGTTCGAATGGCATTTGTCAGGTCGAACCATGGGATGTTGCCAAACATGCTGATTGACCAGGCGTGTCCCGAGGATGGATGGAAGAGTATGATTTGGAAACAGCCTGTGCTTTGCCTCGCCTCTCGAAGGTGTTTCAAGGTGTGTGTTGAGCTGGAGCTTAGAGTCTTGGATTGAGCTCAGCTTTGTCGATTCACACGAGTCTCACGAAAAGGATCAATGCCTCGATTTCGTGTATCAAAGAACCACAAGACAGAACAGAACAGAACAGCGTCGTGTGTTTGTGCCATGGAAAAAGGAATTTTTTTATCCCGTTTACAGATACCATAGATCCCTCGCGATGCTCTCGATGCATCCATGCCCCTGGTTCTCGTGGAGTATTCCACCGTAACTCGTAACTGTAGACCAATCTGTGACAATAATGGCCAATTGCATGGACTTTAAGCCTGTGAGAGACTTGAGGATGTGTTGTGTGTTTTGTGCTTGTATGTGTGTGTCTATCCACCTTGGGTATGTTTGTATGTTTGTATGTTTGTACGTATGTATGACGCGGAGTACATGATTCCCTATAGGGCTGTAAGGCTGTAAGGCTGCGTCAGACTATTGAATAGATGGTGCCTGATAGATGATGGATCCACCTGTGTCCTGTGTGTGTCCAAGATCCCAGACCTTGCAAACAGACAAACACCCAAACCAACAACAAATGGCCTGCATGTGCTCCGTTGGGCGTGGTTCTTGTTTGCTACGCTGCATCAACGCGGAAAGATAGCAAGGTAGTGAGTGGTGAGAGCTAGATGGGTGTTTTCGTGGCATTTTTGGCAGTTTGATGGCAACTGCGCAACTTGAGTACATGTCCACTGTATGTTTGTATGTTTGTGTGATACGTTTGTTCTCCAGCAGTAACCCATACAAGGCCCCAACCAAGACATTACGTAGTCATGTACAGAGATACAAAGAGAAAAGCCGGTGCAGGTGATTGATTGACTGGGAGGTGGTCGGCAAGGCTGCCTCGACCAAAGAAAAACCAGCTTGTCACCGTCACCGTCATCACCATCACCACCATCATCCCCTGAGTGCCAAGCGAAAAACGCCTCAGCTCAAAAGCTGCTTGTCGTGTTCTTGCACACATTCTCTCCCCAAACAGCTTCCTACACATCCCCTCAATACCGGCTGTTCGACACGGTCCGATTTTCTCCGGGAACCAAGAAAAGTGCAATGACGGTCAATCCGCCGTCACCTGGCCGATCTCGCGCAGGCAAAAAACGCCCCACGCCACATCTCAACGCGACATGTGAGCTCGTGGCACGCGTCCAGGTGTTGGCCAGGGAAGGCGATGTGGAGATAAATGGACATGAGCTTGACATTGCCACTGTAGTCGCCGTGTCGAGGTGCGTTGCTCCCAGCCTGGAAACCTGCGCAGACAGACACTTCTAACCACGGAGCTCCAGATTTGGCTGCAAGCCGTTCATCGAGCGAACTCCCGAGCTGCTGGAAAACATCGAAGCAGGACAAGACATTTTGTACGCTCACCTTGAAAGCGGTAGCAAGCTTTATGGTGAGCCCGGTGACGGTGGTTGCAATCACATTGACTCCTCCCCAGGCTGACAGGGCACCAAACACAGGCATCAACACCGGATTTGGAGGCAGTGCGGACCTTCGCACCAACGAGCTGCTCTCCCTCCAGCGAGCTCTGATCCAACATCAACAGTCGGCCGTCCTCACCCCAAGAGATCTCGGAGCACTGCATGATGGCCACGAAGAGACCAGCCCCCATTCCATGCCCTCAGCGTGGGTCCAGGGTGCCATGCTGGTACGGTGTAACACCAATATCCGCGGCCACTCGGCCATCAGCCTGCAGATTGCCGACACTCTTGTGGAGTTTGTCCGCAGAGATATGACACCCATAGTGCCTCTCAGGGGTTCAATCTCCGCATCTGGTGACCTCATGCCACTCTCATACATTGCGGGAGCCTTACAAGGGAATCCAGACACATTCGTCCGGACAGGGAAAGGCAAGGATTTCAAGGTGATGACCGCTCGAGAAGCATTCAAAGAGATCCAGCGCTTGAATCTGGACGATGAGGCGAAGCACGGCAAGCAGCTGGTCAATGGCAGGAGCATCGAATACTCGCCCATCGTCCTTGGACCGAAGGAAGGGCTGGCCTTGGTGAATGGGACTGCGCCTTCCGCTGCGGTGGCGTGTCTCGCGCTGTACGAGGCGAACCAGCTTGCAATCCTGTCACAGCTCATCACCTGCCTTTCGTCGGAAGCTTTGGCGGGAAATGCCGAGTGGACTCATCCATACATTGCAGACGTCCGTCCTCATGGCGGCCAGATTGAAGTCTCACGGAACCAGCGGTCTTTCTTTGAAGGATCCAGGCTCGTCGAGGGCCTCGACCACGCCAATCGGCACCAGGAAGGGATTGTGCAGGATCGCTATTCCACAAGAACCTCCTCTCAGTGGATCGGTCCATTGCTGGAAGACTTGCTTCATGCGTCTGAGCAATTGAAGGTCGAGCTGAACTCGACGACCGACAACCCGATTGTTGACCTCCAGGCACGCGAGGTCCACTGCGGCGGCAATTTCCAGGCCACGTCCGTGACGATGGTTGCTGAGAAGATCAGACTGTGTCTCCAGATGATCGGCAAGATGCTCTTCGCCCAGACGAGCGAGCTGATCAATCCCGCCTACAACAACGGCCTGCCACCAAACCTGGCCTCGGACGACCCCAGTCTCTCCTTTTTTGCGAAAGGCGTCGACATCAACATGGCCGCATATCAGTCAGAACTGGCCTTCCTGGCCAACCCAGTTAGTTCTCACGTGCAGTCGGCGGAAATGCACAACCAGGGGATCAACTCGCTCGCTCTGGTTTCGGCCCGCTATGCAATGCAGAGTGTTGAGATTGTCCACCTGATGTCAGCGTCGGCCATCTATGTTGGGCTTCAGGGCGTCGATCTCCGAACCATGCACACGACCTTCCTAGCGCAGTTCAAGGACGTTGCCGAGGCTACCATCCGCAAGACCTTTAGATGCTGGATGGCGGACAATGAGATGAAGCTACTCGCAAGCAACATATGGGCGTCTATCCGTAAGACATGGTATGCCACCGCCAGTAGCGACGCCGCAGATCGATGTGAGAAGGTCGCAAAGGCCACCGTGGAGCCGATCTTGAGCTGCCTGCACCAATTCGACCAGCACTACCGCGGCCAGGGATCTTGCCAGGAGCGATTTGCGCGCGAGCACAATGCCTGGTTGGAGGCGCTGCAGAAGGTCATGTACGACGCGTTCCTGCTCCACCGCGCCAGCTTCTTCAACCGTCCCAGGACGCCCGAGTATCTAGGCAAGGGCACCAAGATCCTGTACCACTTCGTGCGGGAGGAGTTGGGCGTGCCGTTCCACCGCGGCCACATCGAGGATCCTGTAATAAGGGATAGTCTGGACGGACGTCCTGTCAAGACGATCGGGTCGTGGATCTCTGTCATTTACGAGGCGCTGAGGGATGGGAGGCTGTACGATGTGGTGATGAAGACAACGCAGAAGGGGACCTCCGCCACAATTGCCACGGCGGATGGACCGAGGATGGACTTGTCATCAGGAAGGTAAGCGGTCGATTGCTACCCTGAGAGAGTAAGATACTCTTGTTGCGAGGATGTGAGCGTTTGGAGCTGCTGTGGCAGTAGGAAGAGGAGTATGTGTGGCATTGTCCATTGTCAGAAGAGAAACAAATGTAGTGTTTATGGTCGCTGTTTCAACACTAGCCAGCTAGATTATGTATAATAACAAGACAGAGAACGTGTTATGTGCCGTGTATCAAGGTGATATGGCAAGTACATATTACATACATACATGGCATCTGTTCAAGCACGACCCAGGTGCAAAGAACCTGACTCAGTCGGCACTGCGTCAGTCGCACAGACTGCTTTTTGTTCCTTGCGTCTGTTCATATGTGTCTATGTCCGTCTGTCTCTCTGACGACAAGCCTCCCTTCCCCTTTCTTTCCTTACCTTTTTTCCGTATTTTTGCACCCATATCCGTCCATCCTTGACCTCATGCCACGTACATTGCCTGGATCATATCATGTCATGTCATATTATTCCAGGCCATGCCATGCCATGCAATGCCATCCCATGCCATGCAATGCCATCCCATGCCATGCAATGCCATCCCATGCCATGCAATGCCATCCCATGCCATGTCGTGAATCCTCATTGCCGTTGCATTGTTCTCACGTCGATGTTCAGTGCAGTTCAGTGCAGTGCAGCGTAGTGCAGTGTTGTAGTGTAGCGTGACAGGGTCAGATCATCTAGCTCTTCCTCGCAGCCCCTAGCCGATGGCTTTTATATCCGGGTATCTTGAAGAACGAGCTTGTCCTCCTGGTCCTGGTCCTGGTAGTCGTAGTCATGGTCATGGTCGTGAGTGTGATGAAACATGTTCTTCTCTCCACCACCACCACTGCCACTACCACTGCCATCACTGCTACCGCTCTGCTGATCATCGCCGTGAAGACGAGTCAAGTTGATTCGGAAAGCAGTCAGCTCTACCACGTCATACCTTGTCCATCCATCCCCCCCTTCCTCCTCCTCCTGCTGCTGTTGCTGCTCCTCCTCTCCAGCCCCATCTGCTGCGTCTCGGCCCCAGAACACAATCTCATTCAGCGGTTTGCCCGCATACATGTGCGTATCGACGTCGCTGGTGCAGAAATCTTCCCATACATTGGTGTTGCTGGAGCTCGATGAGGAGGCCGGTGAGCTTCCGGAACGATCCAGAGTAAATGCGATGCGCCACAGTTCGCCCTTTTTGGCCGCTTGGTCCCGATAGAGCGACGTGGGGATCACTTGGAGACGGATGTCGTATTTGTCCGGAATATGAAACTGCGCGGGGAGGATCGCGAGCACGTCCGTGCCGTTGGACACCCACTGCGTGATCTCCAGGCCGTGGGAGTCCGAGTAGGACAGGCGCAGCGAGGAATTGATGGCGTTCTCGGGACCGGCGGTAAAAGCCCCCGTGTACCGGTGCTGGGCCTGGCGTCTGGCGAGGCGGTCCGCGGCACGGATCAAGGGCACCGTGACCAGCTCGACGACCTGGTCGAGAAAACTCTCGTCGCCGCCCGTGAAGATGGTGATGCCCAGCTCGTACTCGGGCACGAGCACGATCAGCGTGCGGTACCCCGGCAGCCCGCCGCCCTTGGTGAAGAAGCTGACCGTCCTCGCGGGGCTGCCCGGGATGATGTGGTCCGGGCGCAGGATCTCCCACGGCATGCCGTAGAACGACTTCAACCCGGGCGCGAACGACACGGGCACCAGCCAATTGACCTTGGCGTCGGCCACGTTGCCGTACTCCTTCAAAACGTGGCGCAGGAAAACCGACATGTCGCTCGAGGGGCAATACAGCCCGCCGGTCGGGTTCTGGACCCCCTCGTCGACGTCCCAGTACCACGCGTTGCCCTTGGGGAGGATGGCGACGGAATCTGGCGGTTTTCGGAACGACGTCGACGTCATTTCCAACGGGCGCAGGATCGCCGACTCGATGTACTCTTCGTAGCTGGTCCCCGTGACGTTGGCGAGGACCAGGCCCAGCAGCTCAAACGCGATGTTCGAATACGTCGACTTCTGGTTCGGCGCGAACACGGGCGGCTTGTCCGACATGTAGTCCAAAAGGTCCGCCGGCGTGCACGGCTTGTACTCGTTGTACTCGTCACACGTTGGGAGGCGTGACCATTCTGGCGCAGACGGAGGTAGCGGAGGCAGTCCGAGCACGGTTGGGTCGGGAAGGGCCTTTATCAGGTCGCTCTGCGCCCAGTCGCGCGGGATACCCGAGAACTGGCTCGCGAGCGACCTCAGGGTGATGTCCTCCCAGGGGATCGTCCCGCCGCTTTGGTGCGTGAGAGCTGGGATGTACTTGTCCACGGCGTCGTCGAGACTCAGGTTGCCCGCAGCATGTTGTTGCAGGATCCCCAACACCGTGAAGACCTTGGTGATGCTGGCAATGCGGTAGGCACTGCGGCCGTCGACGTGTTCAGCTCCCGGCCTCTCCGGGTCCTTGTCGGCGGCGGTGTGGAACGTGGACCACAGCGTCGAGTGGGGGGATGTCACCTCGATGGAGTAGGACGACGTGTTGAGGTCTGGGCTGGTGGCGAAAAGCGACGACAGAGACGCTTCGATGTGCTGAAATGCTTCGAGGAGCTCGGGTTGCGGGCTAGAGTATGTCGGTGGCGGGAAAACGGGGGTTTGTGAAAAGCACGCTGCGCCAATGAGGGAGATGAAGCTGAATGTCGTCAAGAGAATGGCCGTCCTGGAACGAGGAGCCATGTTGATATTTAAAATCGCTCTTGGGTGTCGCAAGAGATTGTTTGATGTGGCTTCAGGGAATAGTAGCTATACTGCGCAGTGAGCGAGTCTGTCGCTGGCCCAGAAGACTGTCGCATTCAGGAGAGAAATCCCACAAAGATCCCTTGGCCATGCACGATATATAATCTGTGGTCGGATTCAGGCAGCAGCTTTTCACGGTAAGAGAAACCACCATGAATAACAATTGGGGGAATCTAACAAAAAGAGGGGCTTCTCGGTTCGCAGCGAGTGGCTGTGGGAGAGAGCTTCGGAAAATGGCGGTGACTGGGGTTAGGGTGGGAGCCTTTTGAGGATGGAAGTCCGTGCTTTGAATAGTATCTGCCTGTATGCTTCATGTTAGAGACGGTGGAGGAAGAGATTCAAGGTCAGTTGGGTAGATTCTCAATGGCGAAACAAGGCTCAAATGCCAAGGTTCCTCCCCCACACAAGGCTGCAACCACAAGGCTGAGGATACGAGGCTGAGCCCACAAGGCTGAGCGGTATAAATCCACCTCAACCTATGGTCCCTTCTGCCAGTAGAACAAGCAACGACTGACAGAGAAATTCATCCCATGTGTCAGGTGATGGCTCTCGGCCACATGTCAATATCCACCAATTATATACGGAAATAACCTCAGCGCTATGTGATATATACCAACAACATTCTATCCACAAACAATCCTCCACAGGGATAAACAAAAGAAAGGTATCATAGCAAAATGACGCTAAATAGTGCACGGGGTATATTGTTCTTCCTTCTGTACAAACTCCAAGCACCACAGCGAGCGGGAGAAAATATTAGTGACCAGGATGATCATGTAAGAGAAATCGCCATGTCTCGTCCCAACCCTCAGCTTTTCGTTCTCGTTTCAAAACATTCTGTACTCTTCAACCTGTACCTCCTCCACATATCGGCACTCATATGTCTATGCAAGACGCATAGGATCAATAAATGACAGAGAAACCAAATGATCGACAGAAGGGGAATCGTCCGTGTGGCATGACCAACGGGCACATAGTCCTCCCATTACCCAAACCCTGGGTGCGAGGTGTTTCATTCAGTGAGCGGCTCATCCTCTCCAAGATGCTGGGTATTCTTCCCCTCCAACGGCGAAGCATCGTCATCCAGATCCTCTGTGAGATCCAGGTCTGCCTCGTGCTTGGTCTGAACCGGAGTCCGCGGCACGTCAATCTTCAGCTGTGAGGGTGGCGAAGAGTCCGACTGTAACTGTAGACTCTCAGGTCGCTTGTCTGCCTGCTTGCTCGAAAGTGCTCGGGGTTGCGAACTGTAGGCCCGAAGTGGGCGTGCTTCTGGTCCGCTTCCTTTGCGAGCTTGCACCGGGCCAGCAGCCGGGCTTCTCATGCTCGGTGGAAGCAAGATCGGTGTCTCGTTTGGTGTCTTCTGAGATGTACCTGGTGGTGTAATAATCCCCGACAAGAAACTTGCAGGGCTACCGACGGCAGATTTTGAGGGTGTCTGACTCCCTAGGTTGGTGGCTAGTTCAGATATGGCGCCGATTGACGTCTCACGAGCTCTTCGCCAGTTGCCCCATGCCGCTGCCGCCGCCAAGGGAAGTGCACGGGGTGACTGAGCATAGCTTGACAAGCTTGAGATTGACGGGAAGGAACTGGTCAACCCGCCTGCCCCAGCACGCTCTTTCAGTTGCTGTTCCATCTGCAGATTCGCCTTGAGCCTAATGGCGGCATCTCTGACTGCCTCTCGATCGAAGTCGGCTTTGGAAACAGTGTTGATAATATCCTCAAGGTCGTCGATCCTCACGCTCAAAAGTTCACGAAGCCAGCTGATTTCGGTGTCGCGCTCCTTGAGCTTGTTGGGAGCGTCCTTGTCCACAGCGGCAAGCTCAGTCTCCAGCTGCTCTATCTTTTGTTCGCGATTCTGCAACTGATCTTGTAACACCATGATCGACTCCCGAAGGGCTTGCGGCGAAATTCTGTCAGGTACATCCGACCCCTTCGCAAACGACATTGAAGCGGTTGCCGCGCGCTGTGGTGGCGATGCAACAACGGATGAAGCGGGCGTAGGCAGGTTGACTCCTTTGGCGGTCGCAGCTTCTACAGCAGCTCTTGCGGCGGACTTCGTTATTTCCAGTCTCTCCTCCAAATCCGTGACCTTACTCTCCAGGTGCTTCACCTTGTCCTCGCTCAGCCCGAGCCGCTCCTTGAATTGGTGTTCCAACCTCGTTCGAGTATCAAACGAATTATGCAGCTCTCTTGTGTGACGGTCGCGCAGTTCGTTGAGTTTCTTCTCGTGAACTTGGTGTTGGTCCTCCAGAGCAGTTTCTTTCTTGTCATTCGCTTCTCGAAGAGCCTCCTTGTGCCCCTCAATGGTCTCGGAGAGGAGTGCGTCATGTTTGGCCTTTTGTTCTTCGAGATCCAACTCAGCATGATCCAGACGGCCTTGTAATCGCGTAATCTGCGCGTTGGAGTCGGCCTGAATACTCTCAAGTTTAGTCAAGGCACTTTCCAATTCAGCCTTCAGTTTGGCTGTGGCTGTAGCCAGCTCTGCATCCTTGCTCTTCTTAACATGCTCCAATTCGCGATCTAGGTTGAAAGCTTTGGTATCCAGAGCCCTGTTCTCTTCCCGAAGCGAGGCCACCAACTCGTCAAGCCGCGAAATATTCAGCTGAGCCTGGTCTAGAACCGTCTTCATGTGCATGTTTTGCTTGTGTTCTTTGTCCAGGGTATCCAATTCAAGTTCAGCCTTCTCCCGATGCCGTCGCTCTTGCTCAAGTGCGTCTTGAAGGAGGGCAAGTTTGCTCTGCAGACCGTGTTCCTTGTTCCGCCAATCATGTTGTTCAGCGTGCAGGTCTTGCACAACTTGTGCGATCTGGGATTGCAGTCGCTCAACTTTGCTTCGAAGATTTTGTCGAGACTGTGTCTGATCTGCCAATTGATGATTAAGTTCTTGCAAGGTGCGCTTGAGCTCTTTGTTAGAGGCACGTTCCGTACGGATGTCTTCTCGCCACTGATCACTTGAGACGCGGTATTCCTCTAGCGTATGTTCGAGCGCGGTGTTTTTGAGAGTCAGTCCTTCAAGTTCGCGCTCAAGGTTTCTATACGAGTCCTTTTCCTCGACGAAAGCCTCCAGAGTGCGTTGAGCCTCTTCAGAGGATTCTCGATATTGTGCAGCTTCCTCCTCGGCAATGCGTAATCGTAGTTTCAGCTCGTTAATTTCCTCTTCTGCCGTCCGTCTGAGGCGAGCTTCCTCGGCAGCATGCTCCTGAGAGATCTTCAGCATCGTCTCGAGGCCGTCAATCTGGGGTTTGTATTTGATGTCGGCGGCCTCATGTTCCTGCTGAACCCTTGAGCCCCGGAGTCTCGGATGATGGGAAATTACGTCTTCCATGATTGTCTTTAGCTCGCTCTGGGTGTTCTGAGAGCCATTCTGCTGAGCGAGCTCTCTCATCTCCTGCAGGACGGCATTCATCTCTGTCAAGTCGATTGAAGGCTGTGGTAGAGCAGGAGGCTGATGTGCAGCCAATGCTTCGACGACAGCTGCGCGGATCAGGTCTTGTTTGCGCGAGCCCCTTCGGGCAGTTGGCGATCGAGTTCTGTAGGACGCGAAACCTTCATAGGCATCGTACTCATCCTCATCGTCAGCGTCCGAGTCCTTTTGACTGGCCGATAGACCTCGGTCATCACTCTTCTGACTCTGCTGTGTCGCCATCAGAGCTAGCGAATGCTGAATGGTCCTCAAAGTGCGTTCAAGGGGACCGAGACGGTTCTCAAGCAACCCATCCACCAAATCATTGACGTGGCCATCAAAGAACTGGGAACGAAGCTGGAGTTTCGCCGCCTCAGCCGCAGGTATCGTGTCACCCCAATCACTGACATCATCTCTGCCCGAGTTCAACTTGTGTACCCCAATGCCCAAGCCATATGATGGTGGGTACGAGGTGTCGCTTTGAGCAGCCTTGGTCTCCCGGTGTCTGGATGGGCTCGGGCTCGGAGCGTCGCTTCGGAAGTGGCTTCCCGGCCGCATGTCAACGAGCGGCGTCGACTGGACAGGTGTATCATTGCGCTCTACACCCAGTTCTGGATGGACTTCAAGGTGTTTCATAACAGCGTCAATTTCTTCAAAGGATGGCTCAGCGCGGTCTTCGTGCCGCAACAAGGATCCTATTCTGTCAAATCGTTCGGCTTCTGTGTCAGGCTCGGTATCAAAGTCCTTGGCGGGTTCCAAAATGTACTTTCGTCGTTGAGGAGGTTCGGAGTCGTCACCACCAGATTTCTCTTCGATGACCTCGACGACTTCGTCTTCAGTGCTCTTCTCCTCGAAAACTTCGACCGTGCTCTCTGCTTCATGTACTGATTCGTGATCCTTCTCAACATAGTGTGGGATATCTGTGGGAGGCGAAGAAAGACTAGCCTTGAGATCAGAAGGTGGACTTGATGTGTCTGCGTATTTGGAGTCTTCCAGCCCTTGCGTCTTCTGTGGCATCGCAAATGAGGAGGATGCCAGTGACCTTGTGACTCTCGGATTGAATTCGAAGGGTGTAGCTAGTGCCGAAAGTGACGACTTCTGTTTTCGAGTGCGCTCTACTGGCAGACTGGTTGGTTTGACAGGAGCTTCTGCTTCCTTCTTGAGGTTATCCGAAGACTCTGCTTCGGCAGTCTGCTCAGACTCTAGTATCTGATCAGTCTCGAGAGGCGGCCGAGCTTCACTGAACAAAGTAGCATCGCCTTGATTCGCGAAAGTAAACGCTGAGTCCGTCCCGCCTGCATCGCTAGTCCGTTCTTGAAGTTTGGGCGTGTCCGCAGCATCGGTCAGCTGTTTCTCATCTGCAGGGATATAAGCCCAACCGTCGAAATGTTTCTCGGGGATTTCTGGCTTGGGTCCGTTCGCATCGACATCATCTACGATCTCTGACAGGATCCTTCTGTGATGGAACGGTGCCGAATCCGCATAGACAGGACTTCGATCTCCGTCACTACCAGTCCTTCGCGCTCTCTTTTGCCGATCTATAGGCGGCATGGGCCGACCCGCATCGTCCAATAAGTTGTTTATATCTTCCTCTTGAGCGTCCTTTGACTTCGGACCAGCTGTTGGAATGCCCTTGCTTGTTCTCCTCATCGCCTTGGAGCCTGGGTCTATGACAACGTTGCCGAATATGCTGGTTGCGTGGTCCGCCGGTCCTTCACCAGCGGAAGTCACGCTATCTTGGAAGTTGGTACTAGGGGACTGAGAAGGATTGAATACCGGAGCCTCTACATTAAACGTCGCAGAGCTGAATGTGAAAGGGGTGTTTTTGGGTGCTTGAGCCGTGCGTGGAGTGAAAGCAGGGGCGTCGGCATTAAGATGTGACAAGGAAAACCTGCCTCGGGCCGCAGTTCTCTCGGGAGGAGGTGCTGCCTTCACTGTAGGCAGGCCGAGTGGTATTGAACTGGGTCCAGCAAACGAGAAATTGGAGCTTGAGAAGCCAGCTCGTGGATCGAATTCTTTGGCCTCCACATTGAACTTGGAACTCGTCGGAACGGCGCCAGGAGAAACCTTGGGTTCAGCTTTCGCTGCATCACTCAATGCTTGCCAGTTCACGAATGGATTCTTGTCGTCCATCAGCATGGGCGTAGCAGCTATGCTTGGGTTTGTCTCAATTTCTGATTTCTCATCTGCTGTGGTTATCGTCTCAGGCCGTCTCAATATTGGGGGCTCTTCGTTCAGAGACTCGTCCAAAGCTGAGTCCTTCCTCGAGGCCATGTCAACCTGGGTTGCGTCTTCATGCCCTCCCTCCCCTTTCTCGTGCAGAGCCGCTTCAGCTTCATCAATTTCCCTTTGCAACGCGATGCTGAGATTATGACGGTGGCTCTTGGGAGTAGGGTGTGCAATTTCAATTGGAGTCCGGGAGGGATCGCTGTACTGAGGTGTGTGCACCATACTCTCAATTCGCTGTGGCAGGGTTGGGCTCGGGGTATGTTGACTAGTCTTTTGCGGAATGGGAAAATATCCTCTTTGTTGCATTGGGTTCGGGCGCCCTGGTTCACCAGCAAAGCTGGCTGTTGCCGTGCGCATATGCATGGCCTGTTTTTGGGACAGGACTTCTCCCATATTGGGAAGAAGCAATGGGTGATTGGGGGAGAAACTGTTTTGCCGCGAGGAGAGTGGTTGAATGTTTGGTCGAGCGCCGTTGCTGAAGGAATTTGCATGAGATAGAGGAGCTTCCAATGGGGATGGGATTCGTCCATGGAAATTAGACTGAGCAATCGAAGGCTTGTACCCATGCATATTTTTCGGCAATGCATTGAATTGTGAAGAGCCGACAGATCCAGGCTGAGGACTGATCCCAGCAGACGACATTATCGATGGGGAGAAGGGATTGCTTGTAGCTCTAAGCGGGTTGCTTGCTGATGAAGAAGAGGGACCAATTGGAGGGGACGTCGCAAGCGCTTGATGACCTGAAGAGATGCGACTCATTGCAGGAGAGAAGGGTGACCGAGTTGATGGAGCAGCTTCAGAGTTACTCGGACTGACACCCAATGCTCGAAGCTTCTCCTCCTTGAGGTAGTTGACCCACGATTCCCATTCTGCCTGATTAGGGATGTGCACCTGGAATTCCCGCAGTTTTCGCTCCGCCTGAATATCTGTCGTGTCAGGGTACACCGGACGACTCTGGCCACTGCTCTCCCCCGAAGCCCCGGCAATCGGATCGTTTAGCCCGAAGCCATCCACTGAATACCCAGCCGCGATCCAACCATCTATCCGTTCTTTGACCTGTTGTGGCGTAAGCACAGGAGGCAGACCGGCCGCTTCTCGATCTGTGAGTGGCAGAGCGATGATACAAGCTTTGCCCTTCCAGATAACTTTTTTCTTAGGGCGCTGGAATGATTGCATCGAGGGGGGACGGGGTCGAACCGCTGTAGTTGGGCTCTCTGGAGGCTTCGCATCATCTGCCACCACCTGGGATGTCTGGCGAGGTAAAATTGGGAGTGGCTTTTCCACCGCTGGAGTATTCTCTGAATCGTGCTCAGCCATTTCGTGCTGTGCTGATGGCGAGAGCCGCATGCGGGGGCGTTCTGGCGCTATTGACAGCCTTCCGGAATCATGGAAGGTGTATGGAGTAATTGTAGCCAGGCTTTCGCTGCTTCTGTGTCGTACCGGTAGGCGGCCCACCGATTCGGCAGGCGATGCTCCCCAGCTATCGAGATATGCTACACGTGTTGGCGTGTTCTCCTCCTCTTCCACACCAGTCTCGGATCCGCTCTCTTCAGAGTCACTCAGCCAATTGGGTCTTTCGGAGCGTGGATTTCGCAATAGCTTTCTCGAACTCGGACGAGTTCTCCTGTGCAGGCGATGTAGAATATGCGACTCGAGGCTATCAACGTCGTCACTGGGGGTAGGGGTGATGGTTGGTCGACCAATCGAATTGCCGAAAGGGACAGCTGCTTCAATATTCAGGCGCTGACCGGTAGAATCGAAAGGCTGGGGGGTTCTTCGAGGGCTTGGAGTAGCATACGGTGAACCCCAAGCAGCTGCGTAGTAGGCACCGCTTCCGTCCCGCTGTCGAAGATAATCCGGGGATTGGCGATAGTCTGGAGGATCACGATCGCGGCGCAGGGTCGGCAACGGGGGTAGGGTGAAAGGAGAGATCCAATCGGGTTCTGAAGGAGTGGACGAAAGACTGTGTGCTTTCAGTGGATGGAACGAGACCTGAGAGTCAGGGTAAGGGTAGATGCCGATGCGGTGACTGGCAGAAGGGGTGCTCTCGAAGTGATTGAGCTCGTCGAGGTTCATGAACGGAGGTCTTGAGAGGTCGAGGCTAGTGGTCGCAAGACGAAGGAGGAGGAACTAAGTTCCAGGATCTCGAGCAGCGCAGTGTCGGGAGAGCAGGGACTGGAAGACACGCTCAACGCCATGGAAAAAAACACGATAGACGGTGAAAACGAACCAAGTTCAGTTGGGTGTTGGAAGTTGTCAAAATTAGAGAGCATGGTGAGGATCGAGATTGGGAAATCAGCCGGGGATTCGAGAAACGGTGCTCATTAGAGACGGTGACGCGACACGCTAAAGTGGATATTAGTGGACATGCTTTCGGTGCCTAAAGGGCCTTGATCTGCCGCCTAGTACCGCCCAAGTGCCTCTATTGCCTCTGCTGGCAACCCCTAATTGGCTGGGTCCCCGCTAATACACGGCGCCGTCCGCTGTCAAAACTGGAATCGCTCTAAGGGTCAGGGATCAGGGTCGCAGGGTGGATGCACGCCTCCCGAGGACGGACGCACCACTACGAGTAAATTCTCCGATAGACTACCATTAATTAGGGAGTAGACCACTGTGCGACCGTTTGATTCCCCTGAAGAGTAAGAATTTTATCTGTAGATTATACTCTTACTAGTATGTCATGCACGTGTGCCCTCAACTAAATAAAACTCACTTCCCACTCAAGCCACATTTCCCCAGATATGTTCAATCGCAATGATTTTACTTTGTTTTACCACGGCCAAATCGCGCCCCATGCTGGTCATTGTCGTAGGTCATTAAATCGTGATCAAATCCGGATGCTTCCAGTCTCGCAACTCGCTCTCAGACCTCCTGGGTGATTGGAACCATCTCCTCCAAAACGCCTTGCTGTTTGTAAATGGAACGCTTCAGAACGGAACCGCCTCCCTGTGAACTGAAAAATTCTTCCAGGCCGCATCCAACGCCGTGGTAGCCTCAAAAAGGATTTGCCGACTGTCGTAATCAACGTTCTTCCTGATCTCATGGAAGCGATTTGCCTCGGGTACCGGCTCTCCTGGAGACACGCCTTCCTCCTCCAGTTCGATGATTCTCTGGGCCAAGACGGCCATGATGGGCCCTTCCCAGACGCCCTCTTTACCGGCTCTCTTGAGTTGAGCCACTGCTCGCCGTCGGATCCCCCAGTCTCGACACTTGCAAGCCGTGAAGAAGAGAGGGTGTATAATGCCCAGCTCCATGGTGAACGGGGTGAGCTCATCTTCCAGGGGCATTGTTTCAGCCAAACTAAGAGCCGTCGTCACCTGCTCAACCTTGGATACCATATCCTCGAAGTCGTCCGTGAATGCGTCAAATGTGGTTTCGGGTCCACAATCCACGCACACCTTGAGCATCATAACTGCGGTCTTGATCTGCAGGCGGAGACCCAACAGGCTTTTGATGTCAGCACGGCCCAGCCTCGGACCCTGTATTGAGAAGAAGTTCTCTAGAGCTGCCATCCAGGCATCAAAGATATCAAGAGCCTCTTGCCGTCGAGTCTGCCACTCTACCGGCACAGCATCTTTCTTCCAATATCGGTACATGCGCGCATCGGATTTGACCAGTTGGTAGACCGACACAAGGAGGTTGTCCAGATGGTTGCGAACTTGACTCAAGGTGAGATTGGTCGGTAGTATTCGAGGGACTTGGCCAATCTGGGTCAACAAAGGTTCTGCTCGCTCCTTGGAAAACGTGCATGCTTGAATATCGTAGCGGGCAAATACCCGGAGTAGTTCGTCCAACTCATCTTGAGGAATCTCGCGAAAGGTCGGCCGTGAGCCGGACGATTGCTCTGGCGAATAGGGTGTAAGTGAGTTGTCATTATCCTGAGGGAGATTCATTTGTCTGATCAATTCTCTCATTCCTTGCTGATAGTGGATGACAGCAGCCATATTGTTGCGTCGAAGAACTTCGAAGCAGGCAAATAATATACTTGAAATGATGGCGAGCTTGGCGTTGGTGCTCGAGGGGGTGTTGAGTCTCTGGTTCAGGTCGCGCAACGCACCCCCGTATAGCTTCAAGGCGTGTCGGTAGCTCTGGTCGTCAATCAATTGGGGGCTGTATTTGCCACAGCGGTCCTGGTAATCCTCATGCAACGTCCCCAAGGCAATGATTGCGTTCCGGACCACTGGTTCCTCGTGACCCACTTTGAGTACGAGTTTTGTCCAGAACCCGGTTTCGGAACCTCCAGCGAATGCAGGCACCGTGCAGTACTGGAAGCGGTGGAAGATGCGACGTTCTTGAGTGTTGCCTTGAAATGGTTTGGAAATTGAGTTGGGTTGAAATAGATGTTGGAAAGACACCGGGCTCTGCTGTGGTGGCGACAAAGCGGTCGACGCTGAGCCGCTGGAGCTGTCTTTGGGAAACTCGTACCCATCGCATTTACGACCAGTGGAGGTACATCGCTTACCTATTGTGAGGTCAAGTGAGCACTAATCCGGACCACGGCGAGAGGATATGGCACGGGCCAGATGCGGAAGCAGGGAAAACTTACAACTGGGCTTTGTCTCATCACACTTTATGCGCCGTATCTGCTCGCATCAGATGAGTTAAAATGAAGTCAACCCATGATCTCATGTCAAGTACATGCGATGAGACCAGTAGGAGAGCGTGGCAAGAGGTAAGGAGGCGATTTTAGTCAGACACGGGTCGACGAGACGACTTTTCTGATCGTTCAGCTACCCACCGATGTGGCTGGGAAGTCAAACGAGCATTGAGCCGTCCATTTGTGGTGGAGGGAGGAATGTAATAGCGAGAGGGCAGGTCTGGGTTGGGTGGGGACAATGCCGTGGTAGGGGAAAACTCACCTTGCATGTTTTGCATCCCGTTCGTACTTTTGGTTTGCTAGCTCTTTTCCTTCGGGAGGCCAAGACATAGGAGGTACCGTTGGATGAGCCCTGTCGTTCACCCACTCTGCCAGGCATCGAGCCAGTGAGGGCGAGGACTAGGTCGGTATCAGGCTCTGCGTCAGGCACAGGCACATACTGTGGGACAAGCGAGTGGGAAGGGACATGAATAGCGAAGGAGCGAGCCTGGGGTTCTGGCCACATGGTGGGCGGCCGAAGTTGGAATAAAGGTGGCAAGCAAGGTAAAGTTGCGTCAAAAGTACGAGGGGTACCAGTCGCGGACTTTGCAGTCAGGTGGCCAACAGCAAGCGGCGGAGAAGTCCAAGCTCGCGAATGAGATCTGCGGCGGCCGAGATTGGTACAGTAGCGGATGGGCGCTGCAGTGGTTTCGGGGGGCGTGTGAGTGAGCGCGATATGCAGGTACCGTAGGGGGGTTGAATGATGATGATGATGGAGCAGGAACTGTTACGACGAAGGCAAGCTTGCGGAAATTATTGTACGTATATACCAATGAAGATGACCTGGAATTGCCGTCAACGTCTATGCCGAACTTTTGCAGGTCCTTTGTCGACGAGATAGCCGTGCCAGGTTGCTCCAGAGGACTTGAGGCCTCAGCTGTAGCAAAGAGTCTCGGGGGCCGGAATTCATCCACGCAATAAGAGCCAGCAGACGCACGATGGGCAGTCGCACAGGCAATGACGAACAAGCCCAACAGGCCTGGAAGGGCAATGAATTAGGCGGTGTCGCCGAAACTTGTCAGCGATCTGTGGGTGATCCCTAGGTACCAGGGAGGCGGCACAGTGTAGGGGGGGCCCGAAGGCCAACGAGAAAAGAATAAAAATAAGAATAATGGGCCGAGGCCAAAATGGTCGAGATGGGTGTCAAACGAGGTACGTGCGAATGAGTTTTGCAGGAGTTGGTGTGATGTGGTGCCTGCGCGGTTGAGGTTGGAAAGAGAAAAGACAAAAGGACCTTTTTTTTGGTGGGGAAAGGGAAGGCGGAAAGGCAGAGAGAAGCATGAGGAAGAAAAGAGAGGGGGAGACTTGACAGAGTCTCAGTTGGCCGCAGTCCAAGCTGCGGAGAGGCCGAACGGGACCTGTATTGCTTGATCCATTTTGATTGGCTGGCTCGTAACACTGGACCGCAGAAGTGCTCGCTCGGCACTGTACGAGTCGCCTCATAGGCCGTGCAGGACGGCTGTGCAGCCACAGTCCACCTCGTACCTACCTCGCTACCTTCTCTTCAAAGTGTGTTCTCGTACTCACACGGAGTCAGCCTCGACCGAACGCCGCCTCGTATTCAAACGTGCCGAGCCATCTACTCGCCTTCCTACGCACACAGGATTGAAAGAACATGCAGGCAATGTGCCCTCGTAGCGAGACTTCAGGAACCCAACGGTTGCCATTGGCCCAAGAAAAGGGGGATCTTGAGTCTAGACGAGGAGTATGCCATAAAGATCAGCTTGTCAAGATTTCCCATCGCATATGAGCGGGAAAATAGAGATCTTCGTACTGGGGTTGTTCCCGGTTATCTCTCAAGCAGAGCGAGGCCCATTCGTGAGTGGCCGACAGCACCATTTACGAGTACCCCTACCCTCAAAATCTCGCAATGGACAGACTCGTACGTGTAACATTATACGCGAGGCACAGAATTTCACTCTCAGATCCTCCTTGACAAGACATACGAAGTGTGCATGAAACATGACACGATGCTTCCGAGGCCCATGCTCATGTCAATTACGAGTAGATACATTGGGATTGGCCAAGGCACGTGCTCCATTTGCTTAGAGTCTAGATCAAGGCCCTTCCGATGACTAGAGGTGTTGGCAACTTGGCAATCCAAGGTTCACAACTCATCGTGCTGTCCCTGTTCCCTCCCGGCAGCATTCCAGGGTGCTCTTTTCCCGTGCAAAATCTCCAAGAGAAAGGCTTCTATACTGTCTGCCTCGATTCGTTTCGCCGCTGGATACGGAAATACTTGATCCTTCCAAGCGCTATACACGGTAAAACTCGGATAGTGGCCCCTGTGCAGCCCAAGGCCTGTGGTCATGTGGCCGTATTCGTCGCCGTCAATGGTGACGAAGTTGACATAGTCCTTGTACTGCTTTGCAATGGGGTGAAGCTTTCGACGGAAGAGAGCGCGATCGTTGTCGTCAGTGACGAATATATAGGCAAGCAGTTTATGGGACTGTGGAATTAGCACGCGACCTGCTTCAGATCAGGGCTGGTCAGGCTTACACTCATGTAGTTGATTTCGTTTCGGCGAGTCAGCTCATCTATGAGCGGCTTTCCTGCCTCAAGAACGAACTTTTCAATGACAGATTGGCTCACGGTGCCCGGCAGGATCTCTCGATCGCCAACGTCCGTCATGTAAGAAACAAGAGAGGGGAATGTGATCTTCTCCTTTTCTGCCAGTCTCTTGTCGTCCGAGATCCCAAAGACGAATTGGTCCTGGTACTTCTTTGCGATTCTTATGAATTTTGATCTCATGGAATGGTCCTCCTCCTTCACAAATGCCACAAACGTCACTCGATCTATCCCAGTTAATCTCGTGATATTTTTCAAATTCACCTCCGAGACCGCGGGAAGGGAGACACGCCGGACGAAGGGTACGATGGCGGACGCTTTGCGCGGACCTCTATATCGCACTGATTCATGGGGACCACGGAAAAGGCGTATGGCAGGATAAGAATGCACATTATGCGCGGCGCAGAGGGTCTGATTCACGGTACAGTCGATGCTGATGGCTGGATAAGTGAGGTGAGACTTCACCGCTGCCCACTCTGACGCGAGCGACTGGCAGGGAGCTGTCCACGGCTGAGAGCATGTCAGGAACGGCCTTCGGAAGCTTTACGTAGGGATAATGAATACCGCAACGAACGCTGTTAGCGTGAGGTCGTTCAAGTCGACAAGGGACTGGAATTCAACGTCGGACACATGCTGCCATTGTGCGTGCGCTGCAGCAGCCAAACCAGCAAGTATGACACGAGCAAAGAGGTGCATCTTCATGGCAGGAGGGAGCTGAAGGCACTCAAGAGGAATGAGAGATCATTTTGCCACGGCTCATGGTCTCTGGTGAGACAGGCCTGTAAGCTGCAATGGTGAAACAGTTCGGGTGAAGCAGACGCTTTAAGGGGTTGCAATGTTCGAGGAAGCAGGGAGCGCAATTGTGCCATCTTTAGAGAGCTGACTGCGTGCACGATGTTCACAGGTTTCTGTTGACTATTTGCGAGAGGTGGAAAGTGTTCACGCTGACGTTGGCTTTCAAGATGAAGATATTTGCAGGTTGTTATCTTATCGCCGGCCTGGTGTCAAGCGCCGCCCTTGTTGCCGCATTGGACAGCCAGGCACACCTCACTCCAGATTGCGCTCATCCGCACTATACCGTCCATCTCTTCTCTCGCGAACCGCTCGTCATCTACATTGCCGACTTCCTCACCTCCGTCGAGCGGGAGCACCTCCTTGAAGCGAGGTAGGTTACGTACTTCAATACTTTTCACCCTTCCTGTCTCCAGGCTCACCTTCATACACAGCGCCTCAGCCTTCACCGATTCCCAAACCGCTGACCAGGACGGTACGCAAACCCTTCGTAGCACTCGACGCTCCAAGTCGGCCACTGCTTCCCGTGACGCTGTAACACGATGTATCGAAGAACGGGCTCTGCTATTCCAGGGATATGACACGCCTCGGACACACCTTGAGCCGTTGCAATTAGTGCGCTATCATACCAACGAAACTTATGATCTTCATACGGACTGGTTCACGTCACCGGCGCAGACGACTCGATCGCACGGTGGGAATCGTCTGTCTTCGTTCTTTGCATATGTGAAAGCAAGTGCAGATATCTCTGGTGGAGGTACGACATTTCCACTTCTGGACGTGCCAAAGGACGAACGCTGGTGTGAATACATTGATTGCGATACGCCTTTTGATGAGGGTGTGACATTTCTTCCCATCCCTGGAAATGCAGTGTTTTGGGTAAATATGGTTGCGGGGAGGGGGGACCAAAGAGTCATCCACTCCGGGAGCGTTGTGACTAGCGGCGAGAAGGTTGGGTTGAATATCTGGACAAGAGAGGGACCCCTGAGCCCAAAATTCAGGGGTGATATCGATGAGGAGCAGGCTGATGAAGACGAGGACGAACCATAAAAGGAACGCTGCACAACGGTTGGGAGTTGACATGTAGATTACTTTGTTAACCACGCATAGCCGCCTGGCCTCATGTGGGATAGCAGTCCTGCTACCTGCACCTATAAGAGTAATCCGCTTGAGTTGGGTCTCATCACAGGGAAGACTACCACGGGTCTTTAGAGGTTACTTTTGCCAGCATGTGCTTTAGATATGTGTATAAATGGAAATGAGTACCGAGTACCTCGTACCTGGGGTGCTAGAATGGAGAAAAATCTCCATGACGTCAACTGCAAGCAGGGTAAATGTTGTTCCGGTAAAAGACGTTGAAACGCGACCGCGTTGTCGAAAGTGTCAGAGGTTGCAGATCGCAGATGTAAACATACTGTAGCAATAGTGAGAACAAGGGACATTGTTGTATTGTTAGTCGCCTCCCAAGCACACGAATAATATGGTAGGTACAAACATCCTGTCGCGCCACCTTTTGAGCAACAAAGTGCAATCCCTGTCACCACTTCCCTCCGTCACGCTTTGTCACCATTCTAACAAGAGAGAAGGCTTCCCTCCGTCGTCTTGCCAAAGACCATGCAGCATTGCGCACTGCACTACCTCCAAATTACCTCTTCCCAGATGCCGACCATGGTTCCGCCATTCAGGACGATCTTTCCCAGCTCGTCATCTGCATTACCGGCGCTGAGGGCACACCCTACGCCGAAGGATTATGGCGACTGCATCTCAAAATGCCCCACGACTACCCCAAAAGCCCTCCGAAAGCGACATTCCAGACACGAATATACCACCCCAACGTAGATCCGACGACAGGAGCGGTGTGCCTAGAGACGTTGAAAAGAGATTGGGATCCGAAGTTAACGCTGAAAGATATCTTGATCACGATATCGTGTTTATTGATTCAGCCCAATCCGGACTCTGCGTTAAATGCAGCCGCAGGCGCACAGATCCAAGAAGACTACGACACCTTTTCTACACAGGCGCGGTTGATGACTCGAATCCATGCACCCATTCCGAAGCATTTGTCAGATGCTGTCCAGGAGGCGAAGCGCCGAGGGGAGGAATCCGAGCAAGAACTGAAAGAAAAACGGTCATCCCGAGGAACATCGGCGGAGGACGACACGAAAGAGAATGCACCTGGTCTGTCCAGCGCAGTGACCAAAGACGCCACATCAGCGAGCAAAGAGAAACGGGCTCTCTCGGAAATCGCATTGATCGATGGGGATGATACGCAACAACGGTCTGAGGGGATTGAAGAACCAAAGCGAAAATCCCCCAAAACGACGCGAATGTCTACACCTGACCAGACCAGGGCGGTTCCCTCGAGCATCGCTAGCAACCATGGACCGCAACAAAAATCAGATGGAGAACCAGACCAAGTGGCACAAAACAAGGAAAACATGCACAGTGAGGAGCTGGCATCGAAACCAATGGCAACACGAAAGACCAACACAGGCGCAGGAAAGAAGAAGCTCCCGCGAGTTGGTATTCGGAGACTTTGAGGCGGGGACGGAAAAGGTGTCCAGGTTGTTCTAGATCTTCCTTGTGTTGGTCCAAGCGTTCAAGCGAATTCCATGAGTACTTGTTACAAGGAAGGCGGCGTGTCATATCATTGGAATGTCGACTAGGTTTGTCACTGGGCAGGCTGGGACGCCCACATTGCCACGGAGTTACGTGGAGCGGGAATTTCCAGGCAAACGGATAGGATATCCATGGTTCGGATGGAGTACCTCGTACAATGCGGTTGGTTGTAGATAAATGCAAACGTTTAGAGATACCCACCACAGAATGCCTAAGAATACCAGCTATCGACTTATTGTGAGGTGGACTCAGTGGTAGTGAGAGCCTTGGAGTTGTATACCTAATTCGTAGATTGTTTATTCACAGGATCTTTCACTCGACCTCCGTAACCCCTTCACGACCCTTCTTCCAGGGACACCCCTGAAAAGTCTTGTTGTGCCCTCCCTCGGTGCGACGTAAGGGATAGCGTGGCCAGGAGGAGACACATGAAACTCGGCAACCAGACCCCAGCCGTCACCCATTCAACGGGACTAACGGGACTAACGCCTCCAACCTCCAATTAAACAGCATCCAGCCACACACCTTGCCGTTTGCGGCTAGAAAGTACCCACTCGACTCGCGTTATCCTGCACGTCATTGGCATCTTTCGTTCTGCAAACAAAGAATAGTCCGGTGCCCCGCCAACATTTTTTTCCCAATTCTAGCCTCCACCACAGAACAAATGGGAAGGCCATAGGGGGGGTTGGTTGGTGTATATGGCGGTTGCGGCGAAGGGGGAATGTATATAGAGTCCCTGAGAACATGCCGCTGCAAACGGTTGCTTTATTCTCCTTCACCTACCTCATCCACATTCAATCCAAGTTCAAACCTGTCTGCTTCTCACACCATCCATCTACGAGCAACAGTATATCGTCTATTCAGTCTCAAAGAGAATCTCCAAACATCAGTGCCTCTACTCCCAGCTGAGAACGACAGCGCCTACCAGAACTTTCATCAACAACAGCGGTCAGAATGTATGCTTCGCAGACTACCCTTTCATCACTCTCCCTCGCCGTGGCTATTTTCCTCCAAGTAGCACGCGCAGACATCACCATGGCAGCCGTGTCCGAGATATCAGACGGCCAGCCGCAGGGCCCTGTTGCCTCGACGAGTTGGCCCAGCGAGTCGTCGTCCGCCTGGTCCCCTAGCACCACCGCAGAAGATTCATCATTGTCCACGTCGTCCTACGAAAACCCCTTCACCATCTACACGTCAATGACCAATTCTTTGGGAGTCATCACGGGTATGCCGCCAGTTGTGACATCCCAACCCACGCAGCCCGCCGTCGTCACCAGCCAACCAGCTTCGCCCACGCTGCCCACCTACTCGGGATTCTGGTACGGCAACAGCTCCAGCACCAGCTCGACCGCCATCATCACGTCGAGTCCCACGACTCTTGCGACCAGCACGGTTGCCGAGAGCTCGTCAGATAATGGCGCTGGCACCACCTCGTCAGGGACTGCCGTGGCCACGTTCGCCCAAGTCACCGGCGCTGCAGTGACGAACAAAGTCGCAGGCGCCGGTATCGCCTTACTTGTCGCTGCTTTCGGATTCTCCTTGCTGTGAAACCCGGCAGGTTCTGGATCTGGATTTCAACCGAAGCTTATAAAATTGTTCTTTCGACATCACGAGGAAACTAATTCTCTCATTTACAGCGAAGCATTTCATCACACCAAGAGGTTTTTTATATGCATAACGAGCGCAGGCGAGACGAAGATTATTTGAATGGTTTCGGAACACTTGGCGTCGAATCTGCCATTGAATGAATGGTACGGATCTAATGAGGATATATGACGGTGAACAGGACTTGCAGCGACTTGGGAATTGGGATTGTATCAAAACACGTATCATGACGGGGAAAGTGCTCTGGCGCTTGTCAAGCCGGACCAAACAGTGTTTTGGTCGGCGCGAAATCACTACTAGATAGAGTAGATTGTGCCCCGTTAGAGAGGCTCACAAATCGCATGAATCAAAAAGTAATATCGAACCGAGTTTGCTCTACAGTTTCCTCTCCCAGATGTTTTTGCCGATTGTATTCTCCACTTGGGATCTAGGTTTCGTACTGATTCGTCTAGTGTTGTCCTTGCAAAGTAGACCAGATCCCCATAAGCACATGGTTGGTTTCCTCCGAGTGTCATGGCCTGGCCGTCAGCTACACAACCTGGATTAAGGACCCTTTGTGCGCCGTCGTCCAGCCTACCTATGGATCATGGTTCCCCAAGGCCAACGAAACGCCGTCTGATAGGTCGCATTTGAGTGGTTCGTAGCAGAATCATAGCGGCTGGGCGGCAACTGCGTGAGGACTGCGTTGGGTGTTGAAGATCAGAACTGCCCAAGAATTATCCGATCGTCGCAGATAGCTTTAGAAGTATCGGACCATCCTCAAAGCTTGAAGGTATACATCGTGGACTAGTATATTCCAAGCTCCGCCTCTTCGAGTAGCCTTAGTTGCGCGACGGCTGAGATTTCTCTTTGTAGAGCAGGAAGTTTGTTATTGGCGAATATATTGTGAATCGAGCATCTCTCAACTCTTGACTCCAGCGCCCTGCTGCTTCACCCACTCGGCAAACGCCCTCCTCTGTGCCCTGATATCCATAAAGCCCACCCTCTCCTCCAGTCCCCGGAACGGGTTTGCCAATCCGCCTTCCCGCTCAATCTGCCCGGCCCATGCGCTCCAGCTGACGGGTTTCAGTGGGTCGGAGCCCAGAACAAGGCCGAAGCACGCCAAAAAGACTGATACCAGGGTCTCGAGCTTGATGTCCAGAGGGAGAGCGGCGTTCTTGTGCAGTTTTGTGGAGAGTGTCGAAAATTCGTGAGCGGAGTAGGCTCTGCAACATCCCCGTCAGTGCTGTGACCTTGGAGGGGGTTGGGTTAGTGGTATACATACGCATGAAACAGTGACAAAAGCCCAAAGAGGACTAAAAGGCGCGAGATTACCGCCATGTTGGAACAGCCTGGTTGTTGCAGTGGTCCCAAAAGTGCTGTTTGCTGTTGCGATGAAGTTGGTGCTGGCCTGTTCGGATAAACTGCGGAACTAATGTCACGCTAGTGCTACAATAGGAATCATCCTTGGCCGCTTTTATCTTTCCAGCCTTCCAATCCTCATCTTTATGCATCTTCTTTCCTTTTGGCATCTACTGCGCATGTATCTGTCCGAGATTACCATGGCACTCTTAACCGACAGGCTGCCTCTCAGTTCAAGGCCCTTTCAGCTTCTAGGAGGACATCTCAGTGCCAACGTACGTGGTGATGGCGTGCTCGTGGTCGAGGAGCCACTCTGGTCGCGGACTTGGCCGATTCAGTCATTATCTCCCCCTTTTCAATTGAGCGCCAACACCATTACCAGTCATCACCCAGTATCTGCGAGTTAAGGTGACGTTGAAATAGCATACTCCCTTTAGGTTCCTTTCCGAGATATTGAGCAATCCCTTGCTGGCCCCCTGTTCAGAATGCTGCAGTCCATAACGAGATTCTCGAATGATGCCCGTAAGCGACCGTTTTCCCTGGCATCCTCCCTCACGCGAGCCTCCAAATCTCCAAGGCAAAGCAAATCTGCTTGCTTGCGATAACGCCAAGTCGTTAACAAGACAGTGGAGCTGACACGTAATGATTTGTGATATAAAAGTTGGCGTTGAGAAGAGCCTCAAGTTTTTACAGTCAACTTCACAGATCGCAGCAACGGTCGGCTATCTGTCACCGGACGAGGCTGCCCTGTGGCTCACAGCCAAGAATCAATTCGCGCTGGGTGAGAAACTTCTACCCGAGTCACCCATATCATATATTCCCCTCCTGAACGAGCTCATATTGCTCTCCCAGCGGTTGGTAACTGACAAAGTGGGTCTCTAGCACGCCGATTTCTCCGTCTCTTCAAATGGATCGACTGCTGGAATGCGGCGTATGCCCAGTATCAATCCTTTCCTTCGAGCAAGACGACGAAAGATCAACCAGCAAAGCCATTGCAGCCATCGATCGCGCAAAGCGGCGTTCATTCTCTCCTCATTGTCTCAAAATGGTCCTTGCTCGGCATGTACCTGTTCATAGAGATGTTTACCATTGTACGCATTCCAACAAGCCACTATTAAACCTTTAGCCCCCGGCGTAGCGCGCACTGACTGAGGGCCTTCAACCCGATCAACAACAACTAGGTTGATGCAGTCCTCGACACCTGGAGACCTTGGGCGGTAACCGCCCAAACTGAAGCGTTGAAATTCTGGTTCTACGCACTGTCGGCGTCCATTGCCCTGAGCCTCTACGAACTCTTGTTTGTCTACCCGGACTCTGCATCATCGAAGAACAACCAATCAACCAATCAAAAGAAGGAGGAGAAGACCTCGACCGTCGTCGAAAAGACTAGCCGCAAGGGTGCGGTCGACGAATCCGACGAACCGGAGCAGTCGAAACCAAGGAATCCCCTAACCGCGAAACGCAACGCTATCTTTCGGCAACTGGTCATCGACACCTGTGATTTGCTGATCCCAGCTGCAGCGGTGGGATGGCTCCCACTCGACCCTGTCACGGTCGGCGCTGCAGGCTCGGTTAGTGCCCTGCTCGGCGGGTCGGATGTCTGGTATCGCGTCAATGCATGACTAGGAGAGAGTTGCCCTATAAGGACACTGAGGGGGTTTTCTTCTCGGCTGTCGTCGTCTCGTTCTTTGCGGGGAACGAAGATCTTGAGATTTAGAGGCCCTGCGCCCAGTCCAGTCCCTGAACAGGGGGGGAAGAGGAGATTGACAAGGCTGCACCACCACCACCACCACCACCCAGCTTTATATCTTGCGATTTTTGGAAGAGGCCATAACTCTCTCACCGTGGCGGCGATTCACGGCCAGAGGGACTCAATTGGCCTGTGATCAGAGTGCATGACTCGCACATCCTGGTCTGCCTCTTATGGTCACCACACTCGCCTCATTCGATGCACACACCTACAGCAGGATCCTGCCCTTTACGTACCTTTACACATCCTCATTCTTCCCCCGCCTAGATTCTCACAGTATTCGTGAAGATTGAGATTTTCAGCGCAGATCATTTGGGAATGTTTTATTATTTTATCTTTCTTCTTTCAAGCATGCGAGCTATATAGGCTCGGGACTCATCTACACATCATGTCGTGCGTGCATGCCCTGCATACAGTGCGGGCTCTCGAAACCATTATCTATCCAAGGTCATCAATCAATCCAAATTGGCATAGTAACTCTCGTCCTGGTTCAAGAGATAAAAGGCATCAGGCTCGGGCTGGCCAAAGCCGCCGTGCCAGACCGGGCTGGGCAGGCTCACCAAGCCACCGCCCTCCTGCGGGGTGTCTGCGAAGATGTGCTCGAACGTCTTGGCCCACTGGACGCGGTTGTTTAGCCCTTCGAGACCCCACAGCTCCTGCAAAAAGTGCAGGATCGACGAGTGCGTGTAGGCCGAGTTCTCGGCGTAAGTGGTCCCCTGGTCGTGGATGAGCGTGTTGGGCGGGATCCACGGCGAGATGGCAAAGGCCGGCACGCGCACACCCAGCCGCGTGAAGTCGTACGTGACGTTGTGCCCGTCAGACATGCCTGAGAAGGTGATGCCGTCGGCAGGCGCCGGCACGCCCACGGGAGGAGGGACGTGGTCGGCGAATCCTCCGTGCTCGTCGAAGTTTCTGCCTCAAAGTTAGCATTCTTCGAGGACAAAGGGAAAGCGGAAGGCGACGTAAAGACACCGGCCATCCAAAAGAATAAACGGAGCCCAGTCACCGGTACGGGGGATTTTAGTTGGTTGATAAACTTACATGATCAGCAGCCTGTTTTATCATTGAGATTCAAGTTAGTCACGGCACCTTGTGGAACCAAGCGAGGAGGGAGGGAGGAGCTCCTTACAAATTATCCCAGTACGAAGAGTTGCGCAGCGCGTCGTAGAGATGCTTGATCATCATCTCTCCCGCGGCCATATTGCTGGTCGGGTGCATGGAATCGATGGTGCAGCACTCTGGGTTGATGTAGGAGAACTGGGGGAGCTCGTTGTTCTCAAGGTCCTTGTAAAACTGGTCGGCGTGCACGAGGCGATCCATGGCGTTGTCCTGGACCCATTTGTACATGTGCGCGTCGATGATGTCGGTCTCGTAGTAGTTCTTCCACGAAATGTTCTTGTTCGATAGGGCCTCGAAAATGGACGGCGTGCAGCTGGTGCCCGTGGTATTGCTGAACCAGCCGGCGGCCTGGTCGGTGTTGTCCACGTAACCGCAGGTGGAACCTGAGGTTGCGAATTGTCGATTAGGGTTAGTCGGGCCCGGGTGCTCGGCGAAGTAGGTGTCCCAGAATGCATAGTTTTGGGCCAAGGTCGAGAGAGTGGTGGCCATTTTGGGGTCATAGGCCTTGATCACAAACGAGGAATCTCCCGGCGTTGCGTTGTACTTTTCAGACTGTCTCTCGATGAAGCCTGACATGTCCGGGATGTCGTCCGCCGTTGGCTGCCATTTGCGGTAGATCTCGTAGCTGGTGCCCGCAAAGTTGTGGTCGGGGTCCTTCAGGGGCACTTCAGCCTCGTACTTGCCAGCACAGATCAGCAGGGGCTCATCCCACACGGTCCAGTTCGGGTTGGTGAACTCGTTGCAGTAATTGATGTTGCGCAGGTTGTCAATATCGTTGAAGTCCCAGAATCCGGCGATGTTGTCGAACGAGTGGTTCTCCATCATCAGGTAGACGACGTGGGTGATCTTCGAGCTCAGCCCTTGCCATATTGAGGCTTGTCGGCTGACTGGGAGAGCGGCAGTTGAGGAGATGAGCGCAGAAGCACCCAGCAAAGAGAGTAGGGCTGCCATTTCGAAGTAACGGGCTGCTTTCTGTTGTTTGCGCTTGACCGGTTTCAAGGGACGAAGCAGGCAGCGCGTTCAGCTTTATGCCTTCTGCACACCTCATGCCTTGAACACGCAAACTTGTCCTGGACGGCGTCTCTCCGAACAGTTTTCAACCGCTGCGGTGCGCACAAGATGCCGTGATTTCCTATCTCAAGTGCCGTTCGAAGATTGATAGCCAATGCCGGTGTATCGTTATCAACACGTTGCTTTCGCATGGGGACAACGCTCCACGACCGGCATGTCACCTTCCGAGAACGGGATAATAGGCTCATCAGAGTTTTGAGGACATGTAGTCTGTGTCTTTTCCAGGTGGATAACGAGCTTCGGCAAGGTGCTAGGGTGTTGCATTGACTGCCCGAAGCTGGAATACAAGAAAGCTGCCATCGAGATAGCCTCGTCAAGTGGAGACCGTGGAGACTCATGAACCCAGCGGGGCGGAACGTGCATTAGCCTAAGCCTTGAACCCACCGTGCCCGCATATGCTAGAGACCATCCAAGCTTTGACCTGCCGGGCAAAGCAAGCTTCGGGGAGCTTGTCTGACATTGGCGTGCTGGAATGACCCCGAAGGCTCCAATCATATTGCTTTCTTTGCAGCTGACAAGGCACGTTGCTCACGAGCTCGAGTGGCCAGGGCAATGCGATCGTCATGTTGCATAAGAGCCACCAGGGCCATGTTCCTGAGCTGCTTCCATTCTGTTCCTTCCACCACGCTAAAAGCTATGGCCCATGAAATTTTGTTTTGTTGCTGCTGTGCACGTTGCCCGTCGACAGGCGTTCAAGTCCTAGCGATTCCGTTGCGTTGACACTAGGAAACCTTCAGCTTCGTTCCCATGTCGAGAATTCGACTTGATTCTGCTTCAGGAAGGTAGGAAATGGAAGGCAAGTGCGTTGCCGCGTGGCTTCAGCTTGTTGACTGTGTTACATCCGGACCATGGCCCATTACCCTTCAAGGTAAACCCAGTAAGGCGCGTGGGATGTTGAGGAATGTCTATAGCTCGAATACACCCAGCCTCCCTCCTCTGCGTGAATTCCCCTCGAGCTTTGGTCATTCCCTCTTGCTTTTCCTCTTGCTCTGCACAGCTACTGAGGACATACAACTTGTCATTTTGACTGCAGAAAGGCTTGCCCTCCTGAGGATCCACGCTCATCGACGGTTTCGTACAAGATGTCGATCGACAGCTTCGAAGACACTAATGCCATGGCTGCTATGCTCAAAGCAATGATGAGACGGTCATACACAGCGGTGCCCGTCGACACGGAGAAAGCTGCCATGCTGAGACAAACATCCCGTCTCAGCAAAGGCGACGATGCCATCGACACAAGCAGCGAGACCTCTGCAGAGACGATGTGTGAGAGACCTTCATTCACATCAGAAAGAGAGCGCAGCCCTGTCAATGCGAGAATAGTCTCGGATGCTATCATCGGCCTGTCAGATGGCTTGACGGTACCCTTCGCCCTCACGGCCGGGCTCTCGGCCCTGGGTGACACAAAGGTTGTTGTCTTTGGTGGTCTCGCTGAGCTTATTGCCGGAGCAATTTCAATGGGCTTGGGTGGCTACCTGGGTGCAAAGAGTGAAGAGGCAGCATACAAGGCCACATACCGGTCGACACGAACCCAAGTGCTCCAATCGAGCGGCAACCTGTCGTCAGAGATCACGTCCATATTCGCGCCCTACCATCTCTCGCCGTCTCTCCTCAAGGACTTTACCCATCAGCTCATCACCTCCAACAGTCCCGACGCGGTGGTGGACTTCCTCATGCACTTCCAACACAACACGCCCGAGCCTGCGCCCAGTCGTGCGGTGGTGTGTGCCCTCACAATCGCGCTGGGATATTTCATTGGTGGTTTTGTGCCACTCCTCCCATACTTCTTCACCAGCAATGTCACGGAGGGGCTGATCTGGAGCATCAGCGTGATGATTGTCGCATTGTTTGCTTTTGGCTACGTCAAGACCGGGTTCGTCGAGGGTTGGCGAGGTTGGAGGTGTGTGAAGTGCAACCTCGGTGGTGCGGGGCAGATGGTGGTGATTGGCGGTGCAGCAGCCGGTTGTGCCATGGGGGTTGTTCGGCTGTTCAACTCGCTGCAGTAGTGAAAGTTTTGAGTAGTGCGAGAGACTAGTCGTGGTGCTGGTGTTAGCTTGCGATGGGAGGATTTCCAGAAAACCGCGTTTGCGGGTTGTTATCTTTGGGAGAAGGAACTCTCCGGTTGGATGGTGGAAGGAGTTGCTGTTTTGGGGAATGTAGCCAATCAGATGGTCGAAGCGCGGCACTGTATCGCAACTGCCTGACTACCTCGGGATTTAGTGCCAGTACCTACATATCCCTACAGTAGGCGACCAGGATGCAGCTCTTTCAATGTGGGTATGTAGCTTGGGTTTGCTCCATCAACGGCTACGAGGGGTACCAGGGGTATGTACTCGGTACAAGTACAGAATCCCGAACCCTGGCCCATCCGGCGGACAAATGATTATGAGCCATTTACAAACGTCCAGCTTGCCAGTCGCTACTCGGGATCCCACACTATTTCACTCGCTTCGAGCTGGAAGGTCCGAGCTATCGGGGTGTGATGACCACGAAATTGCGGCCTTCTCGGCACAGAGTCCCGATCCGATGCGGTCTGCCTGTACGTGTGGATTCAGCGGGAGGAACTTGAAAAAAAAAATTTGTCGAGGGAGTGAGTTTTCTTCCTTCCTGTGGGATGTCTTCAGTAGTGAGTAAGGCGGAGGCGCGTTCGGAGTCAGCAGCAATGGTGCTCCGTCGACCACAAAGCATGGAACATTAAGGATCGCGAACTGGGACCAATTAAACTGGAGAAAAGAATATTTAGAGAGATCACGTTTGCGTATTGACTGCTTGTACTCGTAGCTATCTATCCATTTCCGACTCGTGCCCCCACTCGAGAAAGAGGGCCCCCCCCCACTCATATACTCTCATACTCTCATAGCCACCATCTCCCTACGGCGGGCTCGTCGTTCCCGCTCAAACTCTCGGCGGCACATCGTTCCCAGTCAAGGCATCATAGGGATACGGGTTGGTGTAGTTCATGGTAGCGGCCCTGCCCTTGATAGTGCTGACCACGGATTTCAAGACACCCTTGCCGTGCGCGCATGTGGAGGCGTTGGTCGGGACCGGCCAGGTATTGACGTACTGGGCGTCAGACACGGGGCCCGGGTACGACGAGTTGAAGAACAGGCCCTTGGTGTTGACGTTGGCGTTCTTGTACCCGGTCTTGTTGGCCACGAGCTCGAAGACGTTGGCGTGGCAGTCCCATCGGCCGAGGGACGGGAGACCCCAGTTCTGGGACACCGAGGCAATCGTCGAGTAGTGGTTGTAAAAGGTGTCGTCCGTGGTGCCCTTCAGGTGCTCGGGGACGGCACCACCGACAAGGATGGAGAAGATCTTGTTCTGGATCCCGTACGACTCGTTCTCATCGAAGGTCAGGAGCACCAACGTGTCGTTCATAAAGTACTCGTCCGCCAACAGCGGGTTCATGAAGTTGCGCAACCATTGGGAAGAAAACGTGATGTTGGTGTCGTGGGCGTCGTTGGTCATGTTCGGGGTGATGAAAGCCCATTGGGGCAGAGCCTTGTTCGCGAGGTCGTCCTGGAAGCCATCGAACCCCTTGATCAACGCTCGTCGCGTGGCATTGTTCGTGACCGACTTGTACAGGATCAAAGGATCGTGCTTGCGGACGTAGTCGTTGGCGAAAGTGACCTGGTTGGAGTAATTGAAACCCTGGAAGCCAGGGAAGGGGATGTCTTCCTGATACTCGCCCCAACTGATTCCCTTGGTGTCAAGCAGGTCGGCGACCGTGGCAACGTCTTCTGGGATCTGGTTGAAATCATCGTTGTCCATACCGAAGGTGTCACCACCAGCGGCAGCACAGTAGTTGGGCTCCGAGGGGTGAGTGACGGCGAAGTAGTTGGTCAAGGTGATGCCTTGCGACGCAAGGAACTTCTGGTTCGGGTCACCAGCAGCCGCTGAGTAGTCTATGTTCTCCAACCATATCTGGTAGAAGCGGTTGAAGGCGATGCCCTTGACATTGCTCACGGGTGACAGACTGGTAGCAGTGGCCGCGGACTGCTCAATCTGGGTGAGCGAGGGCTCGATAGTCGAGACGGCGGGTCGGGATTGGAAAGGAGAAGCGGATGCCAAAGCACCGGCAGCCACGAGCAAAGCGAGAGAGTTCATGGTGATGAAAGAGCCTTTGAGGTGTGTTTCCAAGAATGCTCGCAAGGATGCCGAGTCTGGCAGAAGCAAGGGAACAGCATCATGGGCAACGAGCTCTTTTATGGTTTACCCACTGCCCAAGGTAGAAGAAAACAGATCTACGATGTCACCGCCCGAACTTGTTGCTGGGGTGCTGAGAGCTCCCATTGCAGCTGGACCACAACTGAGTGCACGCACTCTCTCGCAGCGTATCTTTCGAGCAGGGTTTTGGGCCATCGCATGCTTGACGTTACCATTCCTGGATACGAGAGATGTCGTGAAAAAGCATGTCGTGAGGGGCCAGCTACCCACCGAGCCAAAGCTTCTGGTGGAGTAATGTTTAGGTACCTAGTAGTCCGTCTGTCTGTTTACTAGAACGCCTTGTCGAAGCTTAAGGACAGAGTGGATCCTTAATTGGGGTTGGTACAACGTTGCCAATCCGCGCTAGTGATGCTAAGCAATGAGCGCCAAGGCAACAGGCCAACCAATTCTGAGGTTCAAGCACGTGCCGTTCAACTTTACTTCTTTCTTCCAACGACAACCTCATGATTTGGACCTTGAACCTCATGCAAGGTTCGAGCAGGGGCAGGCTGCTTAGAAACGTGTTCCTTCTGATAGGATGGAGATCACGGAGGACAGAGGCTTGCCGGAGGATGACCGCTTCTCGCTACTGGCAACGTCTGCACGGCGTCCTCAACATGCATCAATGTCACTTTGAGCGAAGGCGACCCAACAATAGCCTTGCCATTTGTGCTGGTATCCATGCGAGCTGGCATGGCAGCCTACGCCCATCTGGGCAACCATACCAGTGATTGCGAAGAGGATGCGAGCACCTCAGACGGCTAGACTGGTGTACTGCCCACTATCATCCCAGCATTTTGTCTCTCTTGCCACGACGGGAACGGGTAAGAGAGATTTTGATTGCAAACCTGAAAAGATGCCCCGCCGGTGAGATTAAACTCCTGTGTGTACTTTTACAAGTCATTCGACACCATTCCATTGTCGACTGCGTGTGTTCCAGATCGATCGTTCTGTCAGGAAAAATACCTCAAGATATGTCTGCAGAGCAAAAGAGCACTCAAGGGCAGAATGCCACTCCATATTTCGGTGCGGGAGTGCCGTCAAGTGGGAAAGATACTGGCGTGCATTCGAAAGGCTCTCGAAGAACAACATACCTCGTTTTCTCCGTGGTCGTTGTAGTGGTTGTACTGGGACTGGCGCTAGGGCTGGGTCTTGGACTGGGACTAAATCATTCTAACAAGGGTCAATCGAAAAGCACCGCTGGTGCTCCCTCGTCGTCAAACAGCTCGTCGCCCACCGAGGACTCACATGCATCTCTACTGGTTCCTCCATGGAGATCAAATGTTGAAGACTACACCCTCGACATGGCAGGCTGGGACTTCAATGCATCGCCGACCACACGCGAATACAATTTCACCATTGATGAGATCGAGCTGTCGCCGGATGGTGTCTTCCGTGAGGTCATCGCCATCAATGGTCGTATCCCAGGCCCGCTGATTCGTGCTAATGTGGGCGATCGGATTCTCGTCCATGTTCAAAACAATCTCCGGAACGGGACTGCCTTTCACTGGCATGGGCTTTACCAGAATGGTACAAACTGGATGGACGGTACGTCCGGAATAACGCAATGCCCTATTCCACCGGGGGCAAGTTTCACTTATAACTTTACCGTGGAAAACCAGTTCGGAACTTATTGGTATCACACCCACTATTCGACCACGAATGGAGATGGACCAGTCGGACCACTAATTATACATTCACCAGATGAGCTCAAACTGCAAAAGCTCTATGACGTGGACCAGGTTATGCTTATCCAAGACTGGTACCATGACTATAGCCAGGCCCTTTTGCCCGACTACCTCTCAAGCGGCAATGAGAATAGTGAGCCCGTGCCTGACAATGGCTTGATTCAGGGTACCAACTATTTCAACTGTTCAACACTCGACTCCGATAGTGGCTATGTCTGCGAGCAAAACTCGACACGTGCGGTGTTTACGGTTGAGCACGGCAAACGTTATCGGTATCGGCTGATCAACACGGGAGCTTTCGCGACATTCGAATTCTCAATAGACAACCATGCCCTCTCCGTTATTGAAGCGGATGGAATCGCGACAGAGCCTCTTTCTGTGCACCGACTCGACATTGCTGTGGCGCAGAGATACTCAATCGTCGTCAACGCCAATCAGACGGCAGGATCGAACTACTGGATTCGAGCCCAGATGAACACGTTCTGCTTCGGAACCAATCCGATCCTCGACCCTAATGTTATGGCATTGATAACGTATACCAATAGCACAGACGTGCCAGTCAATTCGACAGACTGGAAGGATGCGATGGATGTTGAATGCGTCGGTCTGAACTCGTCATTGTTGACGCCGCTCTTCGAATCAGAAGCACCACCAGCCAGTATAATGTACGCCATCGCGGCAAATTTCCAGATTGGAGACTATGCCCTGGATCGTGCCTTTATCAATGGGACCTCCTGGGTGATGGCCGATGTGCCCACATTGAACCAAGCCGTAGCTGGCCTCCAGGCGGGCAATGCCTCATTTACGACCTCTGGAGTCAGCTCAGCATTCAGTGCCAGTCAATATGTCATTGACATTCCCGATTACGCTGTGGTGGATCTTTTGATCACCAACTACGACGAAGGAGCCCATCCTTTCCATCTCCACGGTCATACCTTTTGGGTTCTTGCCTCGTCTCCGGATCAGTACTTCGACTGGTCAACCTATGATAGCTTGAATCGGACACTTTCGAATGTCATGCGACGAGACACGCTCATGGTTGACGCATACGGCTGGGCGCTCATCCGATTTGTTGCAGACAACCCCGGACTTTGGGCCTTACATTGCCATATCAGTTGGCATATGGAGGCGGGTCTCCTGATGCAATTCCAGGCCAGGAGCGACATTATGAGGACATGGACTCTACCTTCGGACGTGTTGGGGCTCTGTGCAGCCTGATGGATTGATGATGACATGGTTGTAGACGGACTTGACAGATATTTCCCACTACCAGTTGCAATCGAAATGTGTCTGTCAGTGTGTTGTTTCGCAGCCTTAAGTCTCCCCTGCTTCCCCCTATTGCCAGTAGTCAGTGCATGTAGTCTTGGCGCCAAGATCGTACGCACCCGCATTGAGGCGCAGCGCGGCGTAAGGCGGCAGTAGCCACGTTCCTGGAATGGAATAGTTCAGGAACAACGGCTCCAGGCGCGTCAATTCAAGGGGATCGAGTCCCAAACTTCTGGGGAAGAACCCGTGTTTGCGCTTCAGCTCATTGCCCATTGCTCGTCTTCCTTTTCCTCGTCATTCACAGTCTTTGTATTGCAAACATTGCCTTTTCCAGTCACTCTTTCCGGCCATTCTGTCTCTCGTTGGAGTCCTTCTTTTCCACCTTTCTCAAGCCTGATTCTCACGTTCCCCCGAGATTCGATCTCCGAACCCCCATCGTCTGCTCAGGGACCACCATTTCAACATGCAACTCCGCGATGTGCTTTCCACAGTTTTAGCTACGGCACCGCTGGCAGTGTCGGCAGCTGGGACCCTAGGCTTCGCCGTGGGAAATACCAACCCAGATGGCACCTGCAAAACGCAGTCCGACTTCGAAGCCGACTTCAAGGCTATCCTGAGCAACACCGATGCTCAGATCGTCCGGACCTATTCCTCGTCCGATCAGTTTGGCAACCCGTGCAAGACGCCCTCCCAAGTTCTTCCCGCGGCCAAGTCTGCAGGCATAAAGGTGTTGTTGGGCATGTGGTGAGTGGTATTCTGGGCGCAGGTTGATGGAAACTCAGGGCTAATGGACATGATTCAATATTAGGCCTGATGGAGGTGCCTATGACAGGGAGAAGGCAGCGATTGACGAGGCCGATCCCACCTCTTTTGGTGATACGCTGTACGGCATCACAATCGGTTCGGAGGGCATGTATCGCGGCACCTACAACGCCGATGATCTTCTAGGCTGGATTGCCGATATGCAAAAGTCCTATCCGGACACCCAACTCGGGAGTGCAGACAGCTGGAACTGTTGGAATAATGGGACCATGGACTCCATCATCAAGAGCGGTATTCAGCTAATGTGAGAGCTACCTACCTCTGCGTGTAACGGGACCGGTGCTGACCAAGAACAGTCTGGCCAATGGCTTTTCCTACTGGCAATACCAAGATATCTCCAACGCAACAAAGACCTACTTTGATGACATGGCCCAGGCGCTCGGTCACGTCCAGGAAGTCACCGGCAGCCTGGACAAGATCCATTTTATGAATGGCGGTAAGAACAATTCTTTGAAACTGGTGAAAAGCACGGAACATTTCTGACAGATATCACAAGAAACCGGCTGGCCTGGCACCGGAGGCACGGATGCTGGCGCGGCAAAGGCCGGCGACGACAACATGAAAACGTACTGGCAGTCTGCCGTGTGTGGGCTTCTGGACTGGGGCATTGACTTGTTCTGGTTCGAAGCATTTGACGAGCCCGGCAAGGCTGACGCGATTGGCGACGACGGACAAACTGCAAGCGAGCAACACTGGGGATCTTTCACATCTGACCGAAAGCCCAAGTTCGACATGCACTGCTAGAGCGGCCTTCCCGGGGTTTATCGGTCCACCTGTTGACAGCCTCTTCTTTCTTTTTGGCATATAGGTCTCCAGGTTGGAGGAGGAATCTAACTCGTCAGGTGTCGCGAAAAGGGGCCACATCTGTTGTTGAATTGGGTAATCTGAGCCAGAATCAACAAAATGGGGAAGACACTTCTCTTGCCAATGAGGAGCAGTCGAATCTGGTGGTGTCTGTCTGTCTTCTGTCTATCTGTCTGTCTATCTTCGTCCGAGCGAAAAGAAAAGGCAAAAAGCTGTCTTTCACACCGAATGAGAACAGGCTTGATCGATAAGAAAAAGCATTCTATTGGCGGCTCAAGTGCGCACACCAGCGTTTTGCGCCAGAGAGTATTGTAGGGAACGCTCAGAAGCTCGAGCGCGCAACGGAGCGGACGGTGCGTCGTCTGGTCCTAGCCACTTGACTAATACAGTACTACCGACATTTCAAGAGCCAACGTCCATGGGCCGAAGTGCGTGGTCGCGCCTGTTCAAAGCAGCTAGCTTGCAGAAAAACGACACCCGTCCCTCTGTGTCCTGTCACTCCCTCGTCCTCCTACATTCATGGATGGACTCACTTCGCAGGCCCATTGATCCAGGATTTTCAAGCCAAGAGTTCTCATTCATCCGGGGTGCAGTACTCCGTACTGTGACTCGCAAAGGTCATGGCCGAAATCAAATCGCAACGGTTCCCCCTACTTTCCACACAAATAAGTGGGTGGAGGGCATGGTTGACCATTCGATTCTAGGCTAGGCTAGGCTAGGCTCGTGAGACATGGAATGGTAATACATTGCAATGTAATACGGTAGACGAGAAAAAGATCAAGATTCAAGATTCAAGATTCAAGATTCAAGATCATTCGAGGTCGAGGCCGTGAGTTTGTAAACACCAAGCAATCGACATTGCAGACCCTCGCGTGCCTTTTGTACCTTGAGCATATCTACAAAGGTACTGTAGGTACGGGTACCACCACGAACCTGGTACATACATAGGTAAAAGTGGGTAAGGTAAGCTAAGGTACCTGGTACCTGGTACGTACGGTAGTACATAACGAGTTTGTCCAACCCCGGCCCAGCAAAACGTTGCGTGTACATTCGTGCATGTTGTTCCAGAACTCACACATGTCCAAGACTCGTCCTCGTGCGTTGTTTGGTTTTTCTTTGTCCAAGAAAATGGGTTTCACGGCCCTGCTTTTATGGCAGGAAGAACGTCTTGTGTCGACCGGCCTTTTCCTATCCGGCTTGATCGGCCCTCCTCCCTTCCTGTACCAGGTCGACCCTCTTGACCGGGTGCAATAGCATTCCCGGCAGGCACATCCTGCCCTCGCCTGCGAGCTCAAACTGTTCTCCGCCGTCGTTGTGGAACTTCATTCCCAACCATCGATGCCAGAGCACTTCCGGAAAGCCGGCATTGTAATACCACGTCGTCCCTCGGAAGTTGTGTTCGCGCTCGCCAAATACCGAAGTGCGGGCGCCACCTGTGGCACCGTTGCGCCCTCCGTTGAAGACCGAAGCGAGGTAGTTGGTGGGCCATTTGCGGTCGACATACTCTGGATGAGGCACGTAGACTGCTTTCAAGCCGTGCTGCAACGCACATGAGGCGGGCCACATTTCCGAGAACATGGTGTGTTTCTTGAGCGCCGTTTCCTTGTGCATGGTCAACAGCAATCGACGCGAGAGACGAGATGCTGTAATAATGGCAGTACGCCGGGGGGGTCGGCCACGCGTGATATTATAACCCGTGGTATCGTCCGTAAGAAGCCACGTCGTGCCGTCGGGATCGAACAGTGGGTTGAACACGATCAGGTCTGCGTCTTCGCCGACGCCCCACGTGTATTTATCTTTGTCAAAGGAGGTCGGTGGAGTTGGGTCACTATCCATGGCGACGTCATCATCGAGCGGTCGTTCAGGACCCCAGATTGGTTTGTCTCCTTGTTGTTTCATTGCTCCTGCAGGACTGTGCTTCGAGCTCGGGTCATTGGGATCCTTGTTGGCGTGGTTCAGGCTGCTCCACAGGTTGGCGACGCTGTTTGTGCCATGTTCCGTCTGAATGCGAACCATTTGGCTAAAGTCTTCCCATTCACCGTGTTCCGAGGGGACATAGAACCGGCTGTTTCTCTCCCAGAGAAGTTTGCGGGGTTGTTGTTTGGCCCATTTCGTGATACTGTCGAAGAAATGGTACCAGTGGTGTGTGGTCCGAATGTCCATCTCCCAATTCCAGAAGAAATCGTACTCGGGATGTTGATAGGCAAAGTACTGCATTGGCATAAAGGTACTGCGGTACACCCCGTGAACAGGCAAGCCGCGCATGTTTGTCTCTTCCAGACCGCCGTACATGAGCTCCATTTGCTTCTCGGTCCAAAGAGTGCCCATGCCACGGAATTCTTCGGGCAACGAGTCTCGAAGAACACGCTCGTAGGTCTCATCGTCGGAAAAGATAGGCACGTCGTTGGATTTGACTTGGACCAGGAAATGCACCACATATTCTCCACCGCTTAGCATATTCAGTTCTGAGATGAGGGATCGGAGGTAGATCTTGTCTTCAGGTGTGTATGGATAGTCCCACCAGGTACGGATCACGACCGCTGTACGGGGAAGTCTTTCTGATCCGGACTTGGGTTTCTTTGGCACGTCACTCGGCTTTGGCGGCATTGCCTCAACGTCAACCACCTCATCTCTCTTGTTGTAGACTGTGCCGACGGGCATCACTCGAAACGTGTCGATTCGCGGCTTCTCTGGGAGGTCCTTGAAGCGGTGATTGTTTGCCAGAACACATCGTTGCTGAGCGTCGGCCCATTGAACGGTTCTCCAATCCACCTCGGGGGCTTCCTGCCATACCAAATCAGCACCCTCTCTTTCGCCTTCCTGTTGGGCACCGCTCCCGCCCCGGTTGATGCTGTATCCAAGGCCGTACGGACCTAGCCGACCAAATCGATCGTAGCAGATGTCGTCCCTGAGTCCAAGGAGCTTGGCCGAACCCATGACCATATCCGGAAACCCTCGTGGGATGCCCTCATAGATGCGCACGCGCGGTATCTCGACGGTGTTCTCGGCATCCAGGTAACAATCTACCTTGTCACCGTATTTGGCAATGTATTCTGGTGAAGAATAACTGGGATATGGGTCGAATCTCTTGCTAGATGGAATCGCTCTCTTTCTCCTCTCCTTCCCCGTCGGGGCTTCCTCTGCCGGCAGATCCTCGACCGCCTCCTCAGTGATATTCAATTTCTCCCATTCCACCTCGTCCTCTTTCCTGGGGTATTCAGGCACGTTACTCGCGACTGGAACCAACGATCGTATTCCGCTGTAATATCTTTGCAGAAATGGGAATTCTTCCCACGGAGGAGGCCTCGGCTTGATCTCTTTTTGTTCAATCGCCTCTTGCACCTCCTGTTCAGCGACATAACTCATTCTGACCAGCGAAAACATGAAGATGAGGAGGGTGAGGGCGACACCGAGGCAGAGATACCGCATGATTGATCGAGGCATTCTGCCGAGATAGGCAGGGGAAGAGGATCGATTGGAACTGTAGGCTTTGTTGATGAGCATGGGTCTGTAGGAGGCAGAGGTGGCCCGAGAGGATGCGAGCGAGGGGTTTCCGTCTTCGTCGTCAAACATGTCGTTGCTATCGTCTTCGCTGCCGTGAGGGTGACGGTTCAGGAACCCTTCCTTCTCGACATCTGATTCTCCCCGACCCCGTATGCGTGACATGGAGGTTGTGTTGTCTATGCCTAATGAAGAAGTGCGCGGCCATCCCATTGTTTTCGCGAACTCGTTGCCCCAGGCCGCAGCCTCGGCGCATCGTCGTCTTGGACACGCTCTGTCGCAAGACCGGCAGAAAAGCGCTGACTGCGCGAGCGCACAGGTGTGAAACCCCTTTCCCGGCGCGCGGCGGAATCGTTCAACGACGGTTCTGTCGGGTGCAAGACTGAGTTCCGGGGGTTGTGAGGTTGTCGCGTCTTCAGGAGTTTCCGGGACGTATATCCGGGGTCTTTCTTGTCCGAGCTTGTGAATAAGGTACACGCATGCGGGTAAAGCAACGAGGTTATATAACCAAAATTACTAGTGTATATACATAAAAGCAATGAGTCTGAGGTGTTTGTAGAGGTACAGAGACTCTTGAATGAGAGAGGGAGAGGCACCAAACTTGGACCTGCCAGTTGTGCCCAGAGTTTGGCTGGCTGGGCAAAAAGTCCCTTATCGTTGTCCCGGTTTTAATCGCCCGTCAACATTCAGGCCCACAACGACGCCCCCAAATCCGGGAAAGCGGCAACGAAACACCCATCGAAACGGCGGGTGGGAGCCACATGACTGCGGAGTAGGAGGGTAGAGAATCAAGTAAAAGGGGGGCGCGCCCAGGACGACCAGTGGACCACTGTGCAGCTAGCTGGTAGAGGATACATAGAATTCATTGCCTAGGGTAAAGGAAAGGAGCGGTCTCATTCACAGCGTCGCTTCAGTTTCTCTATCGAAACACATTCAAATTGGTGCTCATTGTATTGTTTGAGTTGCTTGTCCCCTCTTCCCACCTCTCTCCCAGAGCATCAGACAGGTCGCTGCAGACGCATGCCTAGGAGTCATTGCCACTTGGTGGCAATCCTTCGACACCCTTGCCCAAGTCTTCCTTCAACGCCTTGCCTCCGACCTCCAAGCTCTTGCAGTCCTGCAACACAAAGATCATGCGTGACCACTCCGTCTCGCTGGTATTCTTCCAGGCGTGCATCGTGGCTCTCTGCACAGCGACATCTCCTCTTTGCATCAATCTTCTCTCGCCGCTGTCCAGGATCATCTCGATCGTCCCCTCAAGGACAATGCCGTAGTCGAGACTCTGAGTTCGGTGCATGATACATTCGTAGCCCGGCGCCATGTCGACAACCCGGCAGACTGTGCCGTTGGTGTTGACGAGCCCGAGTTTGCCGCTGGCGACGACTTCGTCGTGCGTCTTGAGGTCACGGTCGTTGTTGAGGTCTGGGGGAAACTCTGAGGTTGTGTACACCACGTTGAAGCCCATGAGCTTGTCGTCAAAGACAGTCCAATTGCCGGGTCTGCTGTCCTGAACGATGGCTTTGCCGGTGTTGCCATCGTGACCGGTGATGTGAGTGGTCAGGCCAGGCAGATTGTTGGGGATTTGGGTCGGGTTGGGCGGACGAGAGGAAGACATTTTGACTGAGGTGGACGATACAGGTAGCTTGGTGTAGATGGATCGTGAGGTGTGGTATGATGTCGTGTGTGGTGTGTTGTGTGAGAGATTTCAGAGCGGACTGAAAACTAGACAAAGAAGTCGTGGTGAGGCGAGGTAGTTACAAGGAAGAGGCTGCTGTCACTGTCACTATCACTTTCCGTCACGGACCAAAAAGGAAACAGCGAGTATCTTTCACAGTCTGACTTGTCTTCTGAGTCTATAGTTGTCCAGGAATCGACACTGACCTGGGACAAGCTGGTCTATACCGAGTACAACCAATTCAATTACAATACCCCGCTTCTAAACGGGGCCAGAGTGTATCCTCCTCCTTCACACCCCGCAAAGGAGAAACTACATGCATAAACCCGTTTTTAGCCATCCATCATGAAACATCGAATCTGCTCTACCCCAATATAGGCTTGTCGACACATCGTCTAGATCATCACAGAACCATCTTGAATGACGGATCTCGGTCATCACCGTACCCAATGTATTTGTCGTATTTGCCGTTCGCCTTGTCGCGATTGATCTTTGCGCAATATAGGACATTGCACAATATCCTATCGGTCAATTGTTAGAAAGGGAACACATTTGACCAATATCAGAAGCACATCTTGGAGGACTTACGCGAACCATGCATAGACCAGCAGTCCCAGGATGATGGTGTGCGATTTGTGGTATTGAGGAGCTTGCGTGGAAGGATAGATGAAGGCTATTCTCAGACATCAGCGACAAACATTCTGGTTCAACGACGGACAAAGATCAGCACTCACCGCTGACAAAACCACCGGCGTTTGCGATAGCGAGCTGCATGCCACTTGTCGTGGCACGTTTGTAGTGTCCGGCTGAATTGTTGGAGTTCCATACTAGAACAGGAGGAACGCTGGCATACAATCCTGTGGCCATCAAGAATGTCATGCCATACTTCGTGTGGTTGTCGTGCTCGTCCACATTGGCGATAACCGCATATCCGATGATGGCCAGCGGCAAGCTGAAGAGCATCGCAACACCTCGCAGTTTGAAGCGATCCGAGGCAAGGGCGACAACCACTGTGATAACAGCTGCAACAGCATAAGGAATAACGGACCACAACTGGGCCTCGTTCGCCGTGTAGCCCAGACCTTTGATAATGGTTGGCAGGAACAGCCCAAATGAGTACAGGCCGGAAAGAATCGAGAAGTAGGCCGTTGCGGTCAGCCACAGTTGGACATTGAAAACTCCCCGTCGGACTTCTGACCATCGGAACCTCTCTACTCCTTCTGCATTGTGGCCGTCGGGTAAGTGTGCAGAGGTGTCGTTCCGTAACCTCCTCTTGCCGAGTTCGCGCTCCTCAGGCTTGAGAAACCAGGCTGTTGATACGCTGTTTGGGAGAAGGAAATATGCAATCACTCCAGCTGCAAAGGTCAAAAGACCCTCGATAATCATGATCCAGCGCCATCTGTCAAACATTTCTCGTTAGTATGACCCCCAGGGCAGTTGGAGAGGAGGCTACTCACCCAGCATCCACAGCGCTGCCAGTAGGGCCGATGGCAGAAAGACCACGTGCCAAAAGACCTCCAAAGGCTCCAGCAAGAGATGCGCTGGTATAGAACAGTCCAATGCGAAGGGCCAACTCGCCTCTGGTGTACATTCCTGATAGATAGAGCACCATGCCTGTGACCAGAGGATTAGAATCAATCATGGACTCTTTCGTCTTCCCGTCGATTCGGGAGAAAGATGGCGAAAGGCTGAATGCATACCTGGCAGTAATCCTCCCTCTGCAAGACCCAGGAATGCTCGCACAGCCAAAAATCCACCATAGTTTCGAATGAAACCTAGACACATGCCAATGATACCCCACGCAGCGGTGAGAAAAGCCAGCCATAGTCTCGGGCTGAACTTCTTGAGAACCAGATTGCTGGGCAGTTCGGCAGCAATATAAAAAGCGAAAAAGATGGCGAGGCCGTTTGCATATTGACCATTGGTGAGACCTGCATCCTTTTCGAGACCAAGGATCTTTGCATTCCCCACATTTGTACGGTCGAGAAAGGAGCAGAGGAAGAGCAAGGCGAGCACGGGGAGAATTCTGCATGGTGCGATATGTTAAGCACAACACGTCGCGCCTCAAGACGGGGCGGGAATTTCTAGAGAAAGAGAACGCATACCTTGTGTCAAGCTTCCAGAGAAGCTTCCGCGTCAAGGCTTTGGTATGAGCGTCGTCACCAAAAGCGGACAGTGAGCCCGCCTTCTCTACCGGAACCACTTGGCTGGATGTCTCGAACTCATTCTGAGTGTCCTCTGGCTTCTCGACCACCGGGTCTCTTGCGACCTTTTCTTCGGCCATGGTCAGTGGGGGCTTGTTGGGGCTTTTGCCACTTAAAGGCCTTGATAGAGAATGTCCGTTGCGTGGCAAGAGGCACCTTTGACGGTGTAGGGTTGATTCACTTGGACACACACAACAATGGACTTGTATTTCCAAGGCCAGAGGATATAAGCTGTTTCGAGGGTGGACTGAGAGGACAAAGGGTCAAGATCAGGTTGTCATCCAAGGGACATGTGTCATTCTTATAGAATCCAAAGAAATAAGTGAGATACTGGGGCCCCTGGCCGTTGATTCTTACCCCGTGGGTTGTAAAGTCCTCTTTGATGGGGACCCTATCCCGCCTGCTATGATTGAGTGATGGACGTTGTGGCCCCAAATTTAGCGATGGCTAACAGTATTGTTGGGCGGTCGCACGACACCAAGCAGTGGCCAAGCACTGGAGAATGTTACGCTCTTGTTGGCAGAGACCAATCAAGGAAGGGGTCGTGGCGCAAGCGAGGGAGGGCGGCACCCGGTCAATGGCCGTACAGAAACTCAGGAGGGGAAACGAACGACCACAGCAACACAGTCAAGCCTTTGCGGCGATAAGTGAACAAGCAGGATTAGGTAGGATCAGTCATGTGAAAGGCGTCGTTTGATAGGAAAGGAAGTAGAAGAATGGCCGAAGGCGCAGGCGCAGACGGAGATGGGCCGGATGAGGCCGGAGTCTGTGGCCGAGGTCCAAGTGCCAAGATGCCGCCATTCCTCTTCGGGCTAATTTCTGGGCGCCGGGACTCGGTTCGGTGCTTCTTTTTACCGATAAATCCCCTTTGTCTCAACATCAAGAATCTGTATCACGACGTCGTTTCATCAATAAGCTCAACAAATTGATCACTTTCTCAAACGGGCTTTCTTTTGGAGGTGCGGGCCATCAATAATATTATCGCCGGAGCTCATAGCGTCTTACAGAATCTCCACGAGCTAAGCCCAGCCTTGCATCGTGAGGCTCCACCAATCAGAGTTCATCGGCAGACAGTCGTTACATGAGTGATAACAGCGCTGGCAAGGCAGCGGGAACTCGGTCGCCACAGGGACCACGACATCAAGATTGTAAGTAGAGAGAAGTCCAGACTCTCTTGTCTCTCACCCTCTCCTCTTTTAATCCACTGGACGCCTTACAATGGAAATTGCTCCTGATGGTACCCAACTGACACTTACACAACAATCCTCCCAGCCCAACGTCCAGTCCAGATAAGAAGAGCAAAGAAGAGCCCGTCTCGGTCACGGTCAGACGACATGTCGAAACTCTCGGAGCCGTTGAAGCACCTCATCAACGCCGCGCACGCCCTGCCTGGCCAGCTCAAGGCGCCGCCGACGATCCGGTCGACCTATGCTCAAATAGCCGCCAGCGCGAGAGACCGAGGCGTCGGTATCCCCGCGTGGGTCACCATCTCGACCGCGGCGACGATGACGATGAACTCGCCGTCGTCAATGGTGGAGCTGTACCACCTGACGCAGACGCTCCCGTCGGCGCCGTCGCCCACGGCCACAGCGGGGCTGATGCGCGAGGTCGGACTCAAGTGCATCTCGTTCAACGGCATCCCGCGCTCGATCAACTGCCTGGGTGCGTTCCGCGAAGGCATGCCCAAGGACGTGTTCGACAAGATCCCGCCGCCGGTGTCGCGCCAGCTGACGGCCCAGAACATCGACGAGTCCATGGCCCGTGGCCGCCGCCTGTGGAACTCGGTCTACTATCCGTTTGAGGAGAAACTCCTGGCCAAGCTGGCCCAGTCGCATCCCAACCTGCCCGTCCACATCCTCTCGGGACACTACTCGAACCTGCTGGCGGACCCGCCGTCCGACGCACCCCTCCAGGTCGGGAGAGTGCTGACGTCGCTCACCGGCATCGCCTGTCTTCGCGCCCAGACCGGCGTCGCACCCCAAGTGGTGAGCCACCTCTTCGGCCTGCGCAAGGCGTACCAGGACGGCACGGCCGAGAAGGAAATCGAGGGCGGCGAGTGGCTGGCCACGGACGAGGGCAACCAGTGGATCCTGCACTGCATCGACGAGCTCGTCCGGGCATTGAGTCAAGGCCGCGGCACGACGTTTGCGCCAGGCATGGGCGGCGAGGAAATCCCGAAAGCCAAGTTATAAGACTTTGTCGTCCCCGGCTGATCATGCATGGCGTCGAAAAAAAAAAATAGAGATCCACAAGAGAAGAAAAGCGCTGTAGCTACGTACGTAGATATGTGTCTTGAAATGAGAAAAAGTTTCATCCAATCTAGTCTATCCATGACACCAGCACGAAAACTTCTAGATGTTTTCGACAGTGCTTGTCCAGGTCATGTCACATGATATGAGGGGGCAAAAAAAGGCACGGAACTGGACTTGGGAGGCCAGTCTCAATCACATACACCGAAACAAGTGGCAGCTGACGTGTCGCGTGTGAAGAAGGGTCGAAATGAAATGTAAGAACGTAACGTGACTTTGTAAATAATCAGTTTTATTGTAATATAGACAAGTCTTTCAACATTTGCTGTTCCAGCTCGCCAGCCCAGTAACGCATATATATATATTCATGAGGCACGTTTTATAAAGATCAGTCCCGACTCCGGATTCTCGTACTCACAACGAGGGTTTCGGAGTTGCTTCCAGAAAAAAAGGGGAAAATCATTCCATCGACTTGACCTCGTCCGCGACGGCAAACCGTGCGTCCGTCTTGGCCTTGACATCCTCCACCGAGACACCAGGAGCCAGCTCCGTGAGGGTCAAGGTGCCCTTGACGCGGTCGACCTGGAAGACGCAGAGGTCGGTGATGATGGTGCTGACGACCCTGGCTCCGGTGAGGGGCAAGGCGCAGTTCTCGACGATCTTGGATTTGCCGTACTTGTCCAGGTGGTCGGTGGCGACGACGATCTTGGTCTGGTTGGGGTTCGAGACGAGGTCCATGGCGCCGCCCATGCCTTTGAACACTTTGCCCGGGATCATGTAGTTGGCCAGGTCGCCCGCCGCTGAGACCTGCAGGGCGCCCAGTATCGAGACGTCGACGTGGCCGCCGCGGATCATGCCGAAGCTCTCGCAACTGTCAAACGTCGACGCTCCGGGGACGAGGGTGACTGTTTCTTTGCCTGCGTTGATGATGTCCGGGTCGACTTCGTCCTCGGTTGGGTAAGGTCCCATCCCCAGGATGCCGTTCTCGGACTGGATCCATACTTTGACATCGCGCGGGAGGAATGAAGGTGCTAACGTAGGCATTCCCACACCCAAGTTGACGTACATGCCGTGCTTGAGTTCCTTTGCAGCACGGCGGGCGATGCGGTTTCGCCGAGCCAGGGCTTCTGACTTGTCGCTCGTCACAGATGAGTCGGAGGAATTACCTGCCCCGTCGCCAGCAGGACGAGTCCTTTTGTTTTCGATTTTCTTCTCCACGGTAGCGGGCACGATGCGGTCCACGTAGATACCAGGGACGTGGATGTCGTTGGGGTCCAAGGAGCCTAGAGGCACAATATTCTCGGCTTCGACAATTGTCAATCTGGCAGCCTTGGCCATGATGACGCCAAAGGCCTTGGTCGTGTATCTTGCCCGTTCGTCAGCACCGAGTTGTCTTGGGTCTGTGGGCAGTATTTGTGCCACCAGAAACATACCTGAATTGACAATTTCCAGCCTCGTCAACTTTCCATGCGCGGATGATGGCAACATCGCCGGTCAACGCAGTCTCCATAACATAGGTTCTACCGTTGAAGATCCTTGTCTCGCGTGGCTTTCCCGCTTCCAGCACGCTCGGTTTCTTCGTCTCTGGGTCAGCGGGTCCTAATCTTGTGGGGATTTCGCCGGTTTGGATGAAGGTGTCTAGACAGAGGTTAACAGGCTTTACAACGCAACAGGGTCCATAACCGGGAATACTACTCACGGACACCGGTTGGCGTGTAAAATGCCGGAATACCACTTGCCCCAGCACGCATCCGCTCCGCAAGTGTCCCTTGAGGACATAGCTCGATGGCAATGTTGCCGCTGAGATATTTCTGCTCGAGCTTCTTGTTATTCCCCAAATAGGAGAGAATACAACGCGTGATTTGACCCGATTGCGTCAGGGGTGAAAGACCACCGGCGCCTGCTGCACCGGCGTTATTAGACACAGCCGTGAGATTGTTTAGTGACTCGACGCCGCGCTTGTGCATTGCTGTTATGATGGTTTCTGCCGTCCCACAGAGGCCGAACCCAGCACTAAATATCACCGAGCCGGACTTGATGTCTGCCACAGCCTCGTCGGCGTCCTTAAATAGCTTCGACCTCGTTCGATCGATAACAGGTTGGTCATCGCTACTTACTGATTGCGATGAAGATGCTGCTTGAAGGTTCCTTGTCCTGGAAGATGTAAAATGTCGAATATCTTGCCGACTCGAGATGATCCTTGGTCCGACCCGTGATTGGCTAAAGACAAGGGGTTTGCGAGACACCGTTTTACAGGCATATGCTGCTGTCTTGGACCCATTCAGGGCTCTGATGTCGTTGAGACACAGGAGCAGAGTACGCCTTGCTGCGACTGCCATCTTTCCTGTTTGCTTTTTTCCTTCTCACTTGTTGTGGTCGATATGGTTGGGCTTGACCAACAATATATGCCCGTTACCAATCCGGGTTCCAGGAATGGAACAACGATTCTTCGAGGCTATGACCGGGACAGCCAGGAGCAGAGCAGCGACATCGGCTAACAGCGCGGGTACAGTCGGCAGCGTGTCGCTCAATTCGGCAAAACTTCAGTTGGAAGAACTCCACGTGACGAGACGTAATCTCGGTGGTATTTTTGATGCCGAAGTTTGCGGGCGAAACTCAGGTGGATGTGTGCGGTTAGCGGAACGGATGGAGAAAATTCCCCGACGAGAATGGTCGCGGCGTTCCGTATCTGGGGACGAACAGCGCGCAGGGGGTGGAAGTTCCCTGGGATAAGCGATGTTGTCATACACAAAACAGCGCAGGATGGTTGGACTGTCGAACTCCAGTGTATATTGGTGTGTAACCTCCCGAATTTATATGCGCGTCTGGAAGACAGGTCAGACTTCCGAATGATAATCATCAAGCCGACTTAAGCCATTTTTCCAGGGAACCTCACGCCCTGTCGTTGTCACACAGAGAGAGAGGCGTGCCAGCCAATCCCATTAGCAGGTTTTGCGAACAAAACAACGGATTATGGCCAAATCGAAGCAAAAGGGGCAACCCTTCTGGCTTGGGTAATTGTTGAGACCTCTTTTCGGCCGGATCCGGCTGCTGACACACTCGACACAGAGGAGCTGCTGCGTCGATGGCCGCATGTTTCAGTATGGAAATCCAACTCATTCCGCTTGTAGGAGAGACCACAAGGAGACTGACGAGTACTTTTAGCACACCCGCTTGATCAGACGAAATAGTAGGTCGAATGGCTGTGTGAAGGGCCACCAAGTGCTGAAGACAGCCATAGCAGAATGCAAGTCATGTCGACAAGGCAAAACATGCTGCGGACGATGATCCGGTTCGCAAGCAGAGATGGTAAGTCATCACAGAGACACTTGACCGTGACAAACAACTCATCCAATCCACAGGCATTTCCTCGTTGTGGTGGGGAATCTCGGCCTCGATGCTTCGCCAATCCACATATTCAACCGCAAGATTCGGCCTGTATAATTACTTTGCAGGTATCGCCAGAGAACGAACCGGCCAGAGACGATTACCGAGCTCGTGGGAGATTGTCTGCGCGGGTGCTGCGGGTGGTTTGGCCGGACTCATCGGAAATCCCACAGAGGTCCGCAGCTCGTATTACGTGATTCGTGGAGTCGCTGATGTTGGTATAGGTCGCCCTGGTGAGGATGTGCGCGGATGGAGCAAGATCGCCAGGTCAACGATTCGGATATAACCACGCAATTGACGCCATTGTGAGGATTGGCCGTGAAGAGGGACTGCGGACCTTCAGCAGAGGACTGGGGCCTAATGTCGTCCGAAGTGTCATAATGAGTAAGTCTCGGATATGCCATGTCGGATCTTGTTGCTAAACAGGTGCAGATGTTTCTCAGATAGCAACGTACGGCACTCGCTTCCTCATCGGTCTTATGCGTCTTGATGCTCATATTCGTGCAGGTATTCTGCCGCAAAGCGCCAACTCCTTTCAAACCCTTCCTTGGGCCTCAAAGATGGCATCTTCACACATTTCCTCGCTTCATTACTTGCGGGCACGGTCGCAACAACTGCTTGCGCCCCTGCCGATGTGTTGAAGAGTCGGATCCAGAATGCGGTGGCCGTTGATGGCGCGAAACCAGTAAGGCATACCTTCAGAGGCCTGACGGAGCTAACAAACCCCAAACAGAGTGTAAGGAAGATTGTCGCCGAATCTTTACGCAACGAGGGGCCTGGCTTTCTGGTGCGAGGCTGGACTCCTGCTTGGCTGAGGCTCGCGTAAGGCATTAACAAGATTTCTGTGCTGGCTCAAGTCCTAACATTCAGCAGGCCGAACACAGTTCTTACTTTCGTCTTCATCGAGCAGCTGCAGAAATTGGTAAACCTGTCAAGGGATATGAAGTCAGTCGAGACCGTTCCCGATGTAGTGCCCACGCGGGTGGCAACCCAGAAGATTTAATGTTGTGACCACGCTGAACACGGGCTCCAATTCACACCAAGACCTACGGCCACAGGTGTGGCCGCTCATGTGACGTTGGGCCAGTCTAACCAGTCGAAGAACATAGTCTCGTCAAGTTGGAACAAGTCCTGCGAAGTACTAGCGTTGTTGATGGCTTCGAGGATCTGGTCGTCCGTCATGTCAAACACATACGGCTCCAGTGGAATATTGGGCGCAGGAATTGAAGCTGTCCGTGAGGGATTGTGCTTAGGATGCTGATCTTGTTGATGATGTTGCTCCTCTGAAGGGCCCGAGACAAAGCCCTGGTTGTCTTCGGGAGGACTGAGGACTGAGCTCTGCATGATTCGCCGGATGTGCCTCGCGAAAAGGACGGATAGACCCTTGCGGTGCCTTGGGGAGCTGCCAATCCTCTCCAAAACTTGGGCTGTCTCTTCAATCAGGGTTCTCGCATTCGGGGCTAGCATGGCTCGATTGCCCTGACTTGTGGTTCCGAGGGCGAGAGCGAAAGTTGCCGCGAAAGAGACCATGATGACGGTGTTGTTCGGCATCGATTTGAGTCGATTCTCTCCCTGGACCGCTGCACGCATGACATTCATGGCTGATGCAAGGCCCGCGGCACGAAAGAATTGTTTCACGTCATTCGAGGCAGTCGGGTGGTTAACGACGTTACAGTATGTGGAAAGTTTGGTGTGAGAAACAAGGATCTCGACGTAGGGAGGCAATTGACCTGCAAGACATGGTTATTACGTGGAGGACTGAAGGTGGTCTGCATTGCTTACCGTCGCCTTGGGTGATTTGACGTGACCAAACTGCATACCACTGTTCAAAGAAACGGTCGATTTTGTCTTTCAGGCTATCAAGCCGTCAGTACAGGCGATATATCCCAAGGGATTCTGGGCTTCCAACAGCCCCGCTGAGAGGGTCAACTCACAATCTCACGGCCGCTGAGCCACCATTGACACCTTGACTACCATCACAAAATTCGCGGACACTCGTGATGAGGCCAACCTTGGTGGCGTCAGCAGACGTCAGAGGAAATGTCAGGAGGCGCGGCATACCAAGTCTCGCCTCAAAACAGCTGCTGAGATGACACTGCCATCCCATCGATCAGCGATGTCAGAAATGTGCCACGTGTCACAGCTGTCCACCAGTGGCCCGATTGGAACAGCATATGGCCTTCCCCTTGCAAGGCAGATGCTGCAGGCACGTGTCAGCTGGTAGTTTCGCGTATTTCGTATGATGTGCCTACCCTCGATCAAGAACGAACAATGCAAGCCATACTCGCTCACGGGTCCTCAACAAACGTCGGCCCAAGGTGGAAGTCGGATCGACGTGCGGGAAACCATCTAATTGCAAAGCCTTTGCGGAATCGATACACTCGGCCTTGGCTACCCGGTCGAGGAAGCCCGCGGGACGGATGGTGGGGGAAGGGACCACAATCTTGTTCAAAGAGAGGTCCAAGGCCAGGCTTAGCGCCATCGAGAGATACGCGCAGGTCTCATCATCCGCCCAGTGTTTCGCAGGCGTCATCCAAGGAATGTTGACCATGAAAGCCAACACAATCTCCACTGATCTATGTCTCTTGAAGATCACAGTTTGTGCGAGATTGTTTCGGTGGTTGGAGAGTCGCTTCGATAATGCCTCCGCCTTGGGGAGGAATAGCGCAGAAGCGGCTAGAATGGAGGTGAACAGAAAAGCTGACCTCGATCGCACAAATGACGCTGTGTGGAGGGTAGGGTCAAGGCCCCATCTTGTATGCGATAGTCGTTCGTAGAAGTAGGCAAACAGCGAGTCGGCTTCATCCTGTGTCACAAGCCCCAGGTCGATCGGGTCAAGATCGGGAGAATTATCCAGCCTAGGCATGAGGGACCCAAAAAACTGCTGTAATTCGACATCGCCAAGGTTTGCGTCATTTGTTCCTGGTTGCGACGCAACACCGGCGGGAGATGTGGACATCACGGTCGAAGGTGAATGGCCCGGCAGCACAGAGGCCATGGCAAGCAATTGCAGGGGATTTTCAGCATTGTTGAGTGCGAGTTCATCGGGTTTCTCGCCATGGTCCGTAGCAGGTGCCTCGTTACTATTGCTGTCGTCTGCGGCGCCATTATTCTCGCTTGGAACCAGACTTGTGCGTGGCGGGAGGAAAGATCGTGGAAGGTTTGTTGGGGTGTGCGAACTCGCCCTCCTCTGTAGTGCAGTGTCGGTCTGAGGGGCCCCGATTAACTGTCGAAGGTCGGCTTCAACCTCGGAGGAGAGCCCAGTCGATCCATCCTTGGTTCGCTTCAGCGCTTGTTCGACCTGATAGATTGCCTTTTCCAACCCTGTTCTCTTGCTGATAAAACGCGGTTTTCAGCGCCGCGTTCCTATCCAGAGCTCGGAAAAACTCACTTCTTGACCCCTTTATACCGCCCAACATGGTACTCTGGCGTGACACATTGCAGACCTGCCTGCTGGCACTTCCGACACACCGGGGCATTGGCATCGCGCGTACATTTCACCTTGCTCCGGCGACATTCCAGACATGCAGCCTGCTTTGCTTGCGCCGAAGCAGACGTGACATCTTGATTTGCAGACGAACTAGAACTCATGCCTTGGCGCGGGACATTATTCGCAATTCAATGCAAGAAATAGAAAAAGATTCGAGCTTGAAGACTCCGATCGGGGGTTGTCTCGGGTAAAGACGCGCACTCCACGCCCCGTACGCCAGGCCTTGCGCCGGCCAAAAATGACAAATAATAACACAGATCCGATGCAAGAATCTCTGGCTCAGGTCAACCCAGAAGTATCAACCCCAAAAGTGATGCACTAAAGTCGGATTTGATGAATGACGAGAACGGGGGTTTTGTTGGGTTTGTCGTTGGAGACGACCTTATTTTAGGGTTTGGACCTGGAGTCTTGGCCCCCTATACAAGGAGCAAGAAGATTGGACTTGAGAGACATGATTGGCCAGGAGTCACGAGGCTGCAAGGCTGAATCTCTTGCGCCCAGGTATTGCACTGCGATGCGAATGACAACGTGCGCCAGCTCGCAATGTGATATGACCTTGGCGGCTGGTTGGTCGAAGCCAATGATATCTACTCAAGAGTGATTTTGGGATCGAGCCACAGCCATGTCGATTGGCACCTCGCGTGGCTGGAACCTGCAGCTGGCTTGCAATGGTTGCAGAGATGTAGCCTGCTTTAAGTTTCTCGTCAGGGGTTGATCGTCTAATGTCCGCTGCCCTGTGCCCGAAGCGGGATGCGACTAAACGGGGCGCCACAACAGTGAAGTCGCGAAAAATCGGTGCCATCTTGGCACCATCTTTACTGATCTCCGCGCGACGTCGGTTCTCCAGGCTATCTCGGTCTTAGCCCGTCCGGTCCTGAGGTATGCTCCAGACACGACCCACTGGACAGTCGAAAGTAATGCTCTCCTGAAAGAGACGAGTGCGCGTTGACATTATACTGTTTGATATTCTCAAGCTATCGTGGCTATCGATATATAGTTTTGGAAGGAACTTGAACCAAGTTTGTGCCGCTTCAGCTGACCTTGGTCGTGTTGCAGAAACAAGTGTAATAAGACCGTCTACATAGAGCGTCGAGCAGTTTCTTTTTGGTTCGTATATATGGAAACTGGGTTCCAAGGAAACATCGGACGGTGGGGAGACGGGGTTCCACAGAATCGCCCATCATAATTCCGGCGCCGGCCGACCAAATCGGGAAATTGCGCGCCAGGGCGAAGCAAGATAAAATCCTGTCAGGTTCATCGCCTGCTGTCGCTCAACCTCCTCTCAATCCTTTCTCGCGTCTCGAAAAAAGAAAAGGTCAGAGTCACCTGACACATACCCTTCACTCAGCTGGCTATCCTCTCTTACTCCCCAGTCGAGAACATGGCGCAACCTCAACCAGTAACGATCATGGCGTTGGTGCGGAGAAAAGCTTCCATGACCCCGGAAGAGTATAGCCGTCACTGGCGAGAAGTGCACGCGCCCATAGTTTCCCCTTGGCTTGCGAAGCATGGGGTCCTCAAATATCGACAGGTCAGCCTCTCGACCTGGAACACGATCCCCAGTAGCTCACCCACGTTGAACAGGTCCACATTAGCCCCGATTCAAACAAGATTATGAATGGCAACGCCCACGGGGGGAATGCCCACGGGGGGACTTTGAAAGTCATTGACAAAGATCTTGGATTCGATGGAATTTTAGAAGTCCAGGTTCCGTCTTGGGAAAGTTTCAGGAAAGCGCTGGAAGATCCTTACTACGTGGAAGTGGTCCGGCCAGATGAGCAGAACTTCTTCGACGAAAAGCAAATGGTCTGGTCTCTCGGTTCAGAGTATATCGGAGTGGACGGGGGTAAAGTACTCGTAGGAGTCGAAGTATGAGTTAAGCCGTCGGCGACGGCCATCACTCAAGGAAACTATGTGAGTAACAGCAGATAGTCCAATATCGAATAGTTGGGAACGATATTGCTGGTCCAACACCTGTTGTTATCCCCCGAGATCGAATCGCAATCCAAGGCTTCATGCGATAAGAAGAGTAACACTTATTCGGACACACCCGTGGGACTGGTGACGGAATCTACCGCACAATTCATTTTCGAGGCGATACCTCGAAGAACCCACAAGCAACTCTGTACGAAGTCTGGGGTAAGTGGATCGTCTCCCCTGACATTTGGCGTCCAAGGGTGGCGCTAACAAAAGGAAAAGGGACAGTGCACCTTGGATCAAAGCAACGCAAGCTGAGACGATTGAACAACGACATATAGTAGTGATCAAACACAGAGAGGCTCCTGAGCATGCCGCTCCCGAGCGTCCTCTGAGATAGTGCTTCCATTCAGCTGGCTCTCTATAATGGAATGCCGGCGTGAGACTGCACTAGTCCTGCTAGGCCTGAGCCTTGTCGAGCTCCTCTCTCTTCTTGTTATCCTCGTCTTTCATCCTCAAATGTTCGCCAGCGTCTTGACTGCAGGTGAAATCGGCCATTTGGGTGGCAATATTGGCCGGGAACGAGACATGTTCCTGGATCCACCTCCAGACACCATCTCTCTTTTTCAGCAGGCCAGTGTATCGAAATTTAAAGTCAAACTTATGACCGTCGGTGCTGACGCCGTAGTAATGCTTTACATGCGTATTAGCAGGTCCATGCGACAGACATCACAGACGGGGAGCAAACCTGTTCCATGTTGCAGAATCCGAAATCGGGAGCAGTGGCAATGATTTCCATGTCCTTGTAGCCGATGTGAGACTTGGCGAAGTACGCTCAAGGGAGAGTTCAGCACGTCAAAGCCTATAATCGAGAAGCTCTCACTCACGTCCAATGTGGTAAAAATGTTCGACGAAGCGACCGCCTTAGACTGTTAGTCAGGCGAACACAAGGTCAAGCTAGCTACAGCATCAGAGAGCATACGTGGAATCAGGCCCATCAAGTCATAGTACAAGACTTGTGCCCCGTCGTAGAACTCGGCCCCTTCCTCGGGGTTGGTCGCAAAGCGATGGTCGTTGAACTCCATCCATCTTACGTAGTGCTCGAAAATTTCTTCTTCCTCCTTCCTGAGCTCCGGCTTGTGATAGGCACTGAGTGGGAACGGTAAAGTTGAGTGCAAGTTGTCGAGGGTCGTCAAATCACCCTTGGAGCGGCCCGAGGCCGCACGAATTAGACCTCAAACCTATCTCGGGCACAGGGCTGGTACCAGGTAATGCCACTCCGAGCGGCCCTTCTTGCTTTTGACAACGTCCGACATTTCGTCTTCGAGAGTCTGGCCGTTCTCTGTTGACCTAAGATGGGATGATACCGAAGGCGGGTGTGTTGTTGCTTTTTGAACAAACACAATTCCCAATGCCTGACACGATAAATGGGAGCCCAGAGCTCGGACATAACTGTGCACGATCGTCCGAGTAAAAATAATCTGTTCCGGGGGGTTGGCGTCCGATTGGGGATCTCGGGATTTACATCCGGATCGCGAATCCTAGGGTTTACTTTGGACCTTGGTTCGCGGGGGACTGTGAGGTTCACACGATGTCTTCAAAGGCGCTTTCGTCTTTATTTCAACCACTGAGACCGCTGCTCAGACAAAAACTTCGAGCTGGAGAAGAAGGGTGGCTAAACAGGTTAGAGTGAGGTAATAGCTCGTTTGTGGGGGCGCCTTAACCCAATTTGGCCGGTTGCTGTTGTTCCGGAGTCCGGCCTAAAATATCCAATTCAGGCTCTCTCCGGGCCGAGAGCAGCGGAAATGCGGGCCGAGTAGGTTACGAGTGGTCACGCTGTGGGTGATTCCTGGAATTAGCCAAAGGATCTACATCTTACACTAGGCAGAGCAACGATGAGAGTCTCTGCTACGGTCACGTCTCGGGTCAGGCTGGCAGAGCCTCCGTCAACCGAAGATTATGTCGCTCAGATAGGAATGTCCGCCGACTCCTGCGCGGGAGAAAGTCGTAATACTATTGGCTAAGTGCGATTAGGGTGGATCTGATTGGTCATCCCAAGTATTAGTAGCTTTATATTCCTACACTCGGACTAGCGTGTCAATGTGACTAGTGAAGCTGCCCTGTGCAACAACCAGCTGACCTCAGAGGGTCCCCGCAAACTGATGCAAAAGGCAGGGTTTCTCCGCATATTTCCAAGTAGCTCTATCTGGAGCGACATTCCAAGGAATTTTCACAGCCTCGCCGCGGTCGTCAGAGCCTCGGCCACCAGCGAAAGGCTCTTACATTCCCCACCGAAGTTCCAATTGGCAGTCGCTTGAATCTGGACGTTGTGCAATGTGCCATCCCCGAATGCTCCTACCATTGCGCTGGACAGATTGCGAATCTGGCCCGGCTTGCAGTCTCCAGGGCTAGAGAGTCGATGAACAGGAGCGGCAAGGTGGTACCAGGCCCAGATAGGAACAGGGGTCGATCCCGTCGAGATGGCTCTGACAATAGCGTAAGTTCTCTCTGGATCGCTAAGGTACTTGTCCCCTCAGGACCTTACGGACGCGCGAAACGTGGATCTGGGCGATCGAGGCGACCTCGAGGAATGGGAGACGTTGCTTGGATGGCCTGACGAGGACTCTCTGCGCGTTGACATGGATCCCGCGTAGCATCATCATTCTAGGACTGTGGCTTCCCCCTTTGTGTCACCTACGCCGTGCATGGAAATCATGCTTAACGTGCTTGTTAGTTAACAAGATAGATACCAAGATAGCTAGCTAGCTACTGGGCTTGTACAATACAGTCGATGTGGTTGAGGTCTAAGCAGTCAAGGCCCTTTGGGAGTTGCAATACACCGCTGAAGAATCCTTGAACAGTGGCCCCTCCCCTTCTTTCCCGGCGCGGAGCAAGTTCAGCACCTTCCTTGAGGACTCTGGCTAGAGACCACTGCGTCGACAGGGTCAGCCTTTGTCATCCACCTACCTACAAATGCTAACGCGCGGCGAGCTCCCTCCCAAATTCTCACGCCCCGTAGGTACATACCTAGAGACAGAAGTCCATGCCTGTTTGTGCCGCGCAACACGAACGCTACTTACTACTGCTGACCCAGCTGCGTCTGCAGTTGTCCCGTAGATGAGCCAGAAGCTTGTCTCGCACAAGCTTTGGCGCACGTCTGACTGTTGGGGGGGGGGCATAAGACGAGGCTCGTGACCAGAGGCGAGGCGAGGCGAGTCAAAATACCCACACAAACGCGAGGGTTGGATGAGAGAGATCCGAGAGGCATCCTGAGGGAAGGCAGAAGAGCAGAGCAGAGTCCCGCCCCCCCCCCCCCCCCCCCCAGAAGGCTGACTTTGGATCGAAATATGAGATCGAAATGGTCGTCCTGGTCTGGTCTGATCTGATGTGGTCCACCTCCTTTTCGGGACCGAAAAACAGAATGGGCATTCCCGAAGGCGGTTTAGCGTGCCTGAAGGGGAGCGGGTTGCGTCGATCCAAGTAGCGCAAAGCGCCGAGTATCTCGTACAACAGATACAGGTCCGAAGGTGTGGCAAAAGGTCCCACTACTGGCCAGAAAGCGAATGCCTTCAATTCAAAGAAAGCGACGTACGAGGAACTAGTGGTAGTATCACAGCACCGGTAGGTAGGTGTCTTTTTGCATGAAAAACCTCCAGGTCATTAGCGAATCCCGTAGGTATACTGATCCTGCGCGACTACTATCAATGCGATACTGATTGTCACTGTCACTGTCACTGTCCCATGAGACTGTGAGAATCCCGAGTCGTAGTGGATTGTGGATTAGCGAGCAACAATACTACGTACCTATTTATCGTTACTTCTGCACCGCGTTACCGCAATAGACTCTGATATAGCCCCGTACGAGTACGTCATACTCCTCTACCACAAGCCATGTACAAGACAAGTACGACGCTGTACAAAAAGGCTTGTTCAAATGTAGGTAACCTGCAGTGTGTGGCCCACAGCTGTTTTGATATCCCCTCTGCCAAGTTGTGGGCTCTGACATCGGGGGTCTGTAGGTAGGTAGGTACTGTAGATACGGTCTATAACGAAACGGGTACTGACGACGCCCACCTAGGAAAACGATGGGATACCTGTGCAGGTAGTGGTAGGCAGAGTGGTACGAGAGGTACATACATAGACAACTGCTTCTCACGCCGCTGGAATACGACTCAAAACAAGCTTTTCACGTTTCGGATCCGAGGTATCTTTGAACGCCGCATGGCGGCCCACTCTATGTGAGTACATATACCGAGTTAGGTACGCGACGGCTTACATCTCGGGATATACACACATACGACACTGATCTCACGGGTTGTCAGCTCCCCAGCCAGCCAGCCAGCCAGCCTACCCATCAACTGCGCGAGCGGCTCGAGGGGTCGCGTCCTAAGACCGATAGATCCACCAACAAACTGACCGGGCATGGTGTCCCATAACTTGCCGCAAACAAAACAAAACAAAACAAAACAGCCTCGTCCTTTTCAGTCAAGATTGCCCATCAAATTTTAAAGATTTGCGTTACCCGGTAAAGGCTCTCAGTACATGAGGGGAGCATGCAGAATGCGGCCTCGGGTTTTCTCCAATATAGATTGCGACCATGGTGGAAATCGTGGCCCGTAGCCGAGATGTTCTGATGCGTCCCTTCCGCCGCTGTTTGATCTTCTCCAAGGTATGAAGTGTCCGGGGGGGGGGGGGGGGGGGGGCGGCGTACGTAGGAGGTGGAAAAGGAATGCTGACGGGCCGTTAGGGCGAAAAAGCTGCACCAAAAAATCACGGGAAGGGCCTCCTCGTAAGGCTGGATTTCCCAGCCGCTGAATGATTACCATGGCACTCCACACTCTCTCTCACCGTCACCCGTCTGAGATGCTCGTCGACGTTGAAAATTGCTCAAGGCGCATATTACGTACAAGTCAAGAAGGGCATGTGCCCCGGAAAAACCCGCCGTTGGCGCTTCCCTTGCTCCAAAAGGACTGGAAACCCTCCCCAAGCACAAGGCGTTTCGAGCATCGAGCATCGTGCTACCGCGATCACGAAGTACCACTACCAGGACGATGTACCACTACTCACACCACCTGCTCAGCTGAGGTCGACGAGGATCTGCTGCCGAAAAGAACATGCGACCAGGCGAACCAAGGGTATTCGTTGTCGCTCGCCCTCTGATGCGACACCCAATCAAGAAGAGACAAGGACCCGAAACGAAGCTTGTCCCCCCGGACCAGGCACGAGGTACGTGTACTCAGCGGCCCCGCTTTCTGGGAGGGAGGGATGGAGGGACAAGTGCACATGGGTGACTAATGTTGAATAAGAATAAGTGCGTCGTCTGAAGAGTCCAATCGTATACCCAAGCTTCTACTGAAGGAGGGAAGGGAGAAAACCCACATCTCGTCAAGATCCAAGTCCAATCGCCATCTCGCTCCCCCTGACACCCCTACCCTTTTACCCTTTCAAGGCAGTAAACTGTTGCCACCAACTACCCTGTTGAGGTAAAGCCCAATATCGACTTCGAAACGAACCGGAGCACGGCCCCATGCGGCAGGTGTCCGAGGGAAGTATTTTGCCCTATACTCGGCATTCCAAACGTGATTCGGGATCTTTTTTTATGAAGCCCCCAACGTCTTTGTAAACTTGATATCCATTCCAAAGAGGATACAGGCAACAAAACATACCTTTGGCCCCCCCTGGCCCCTTTGGAGACCCGGGAGCATTTACCCAAGCTTTATGGAGCAAAAGGTTTTCGTCCCGCTATTGGTGGTCCTACAAGTAACCGAGTGGCCTTCTCCGTAAAGGTATCCAGGCCTGGCGTCGTCGTCGATACGCTAGCCGGCGCTCTCCACAGTTGCAGGTGGATCTATCTGCTCGCGATCGCCCGATCTCACATATAAGGGCCATCAATTACCCAGTGGCTTGCGCCTCTCTCTCACACACACCCACAGCGCCGTGCGAGATACATCCCTCCGCAGGGGTTCCTCGGGTGTACTGCCTGGATTCTGTTTACCAACGACGGGAAGAATGGAGAATCGGAAGGACGGTGGTTGTCATGTGTGCGACTCGGATGGACAGGGCATTAATCCCCTCTCGATGCCGCGCAATCTCATCCACTCCTTCTCGTTTTCAGCCCTGGGGAGTCCTAATTGAGACCGGTATTTTGGAATGTTCAAGGACAAGGTGCAAGGAAAAGTGAGCCTGGTTGTGGTGTTGTTGTTGTTGCTGCTCCGGGCACAGTACCGGCAGAATGATGATCTTCAGCATGACCAAGCCCGAGAAGTTCGTCCCGTCTTGCCCTTCCTTCATGACCGCATGCCACCACGTATGTCGTCCCTAGCACACACGGAGAGGCACGTATGAAACGGACGACGACATTGTGCGGCCAATGTGAGGTAGATCTCGCCGTGGCCATGCCTGAGGGTAAAATCCATGTCGACACAAGTGGCTCTTTCGAAAAGGACGTGATAGTAATGGATGAGAAAATGTGTGTATCTTCCGACCCACATTTCAAAGCCTTGCAGGCCTGCTTCATCGCGATATAGCTGCTTCTTGTGACTGCACATGGTGATACTGTTCAACATTTGTCCCTAACTCTTGTATCTTCGTGCGCATTCAAGAACGCCACACCCGTCCTAGCAGTCTGTTTCCGCAGGACAGGCTTATCCTGACGCGGAATGCTCGCAGAGGAACCCGGCCCGTTTTTTTCTTTCTTTTTTTTTCCATGAGCAGGGAGCAAGTCGCCGGGAACCATACTGCATGCCCGCCAAAGCATATTTCGCAACGCGACGCTGTATTCCGGACACCTCCAGTTCGATTTCCCTCGATTCCCGCTTTTTCGTAGGTTCTAGCAAGAAGAAAACGGCTCAAACGCTTTTTTGTCGTCAAGCATAACCAAACCCTCGTCCCGGGGTTCTGGTTGCACTCTCGGCGACATACCCATGTGGAAAATTGAGAGACAGACCTTGGTAATGTAGTATCGGAAAACGTCTCAGACATGCCTCCCTTTCTTTCCCTCACCTACCTACCTACCTACCTCGCTACCAACGACGTAGACGATCTTTCTCCTTCCTAGTTTGCCAGTTTGCCAGCCCAGAGCCAAGAGTCTAGCTCAGAACCCGGAGGTTTACCGACTGACCAAAGCGTGCACGCAGGCTTGCGCGGCGGGGCGTCACGGTTGGAGTAGTACTCGGTAGTAAAGAAACGTCAAGGCGGTAGGAAAAAGGCTTGGGGGCTTGAGCTTGACCTTGAAGCTTGGACTTGGACCCCGAGCGCTTGAGTGCCTGAGCCCCGAGACCCCGAGCCCCCGAGGCTGGGCGGTCGGCAAATAGTTCTATTCCCGGGAATTTTTTTTTGGTTTGCGAGCGAGCGACAAGGAAGGATTCGTAGCGCCACTGACTCACTCATTCACTCACCCACCCACTCACTCACCTCACTTGTTTCGAGCCACGCACACGGGGCACGCGAGATTAAAATTCGACTTACTGTGCAAGTCACAAACAACTTGGCAAGCTTGGCAGATGAGATGGAAAAGAAAAGAAGGGGCTGAAGGACGCGCAGCCTGACTACGAACGAGTACAGGTAACAAACTAACTGGAAATGGAGTCTGCACAAACTTCTGCCAAGGACATGGTAAACAGCGAAGCGAAACCATCGGACACTCTACTGGACCTCGTTCGTACCCAGGCATTAATCGAACACGGGGTCCTCATACTCGGTTCATATGTCGCAAGACGTCACGGCTGTAGCTGGTCAGGGGAGCAGGGGGCCTTTGGTGGATGATTTTCTACGTCCTACTACGCCCGTAGCTTGTGTGAGCGCTTGGTTAGGTGGCCGCTGTGTAACTGGGATGCAGGGGGTCCTACCCATTATTATCGGTGGAGCATGCCTTACATGCCCAAAGATCTCGAGGATACCCGTACAGAGTATTCAGGCAGTCTTCTGGAAAAAACTTGGAACCCTTGACTGGTGCCGGCGAAGTCGGAAGGATTCCGATCTTCCTCAGGGGGGGCGTCAGCGGGCCCTCCCCCCAGGGAGAAGGTAGAGATGGCCTGAGAATTGACGAGTTTGAGGAGTGATAGACATCATGCTGCATGGACCGGGATCGAACCAGAGTAAGCGATTCATCTGGGGATCGACGATCTGGTCGATGAACAGGAAGTAATACTGTGGCGTGTGTAGTGCATGCTCTTCCGTCTCTCTCAGAAGGCCAACACTTCGCGGGTCCCGGAATCTGGTGGATATATCCCAGACGCGGCCGCCCTATCCACCGACTTTCTGGCAACCCGCAAAAGAAGGAAAAGACCTGATTCGCACGACGGGAGGGCTATGGCATTGACAGGCTTTCCCATACAAGTATACTGAGGGATCATTTGTTGACAGCCCCTTTGGGGGTCAGACCACCTCTTCTCCAGAGCGCTGCCGGCCGGAGGTTACCACTCATCAAGAGGGGGGAGGAAAACAAGAATGAGGGGCGGCCGCGTAAATGGACAACAAGTCGAAGATCTGTCACCAGTGTCGGTCCTATTGGCTGTACTCCCTGCAGCCGAATCTTTGACTTGTCCAAAAAGGAATTTTACCCAAGTAGCCGCAGGAAGCCAAGGTTATTTGGAAAAATAAATGCCATCTCTTTGTTGGATCCTTTTTCCACAGGGTTCTGAGGAACCCTCGTCCCTGCCCTTGAACCCATCCCCCGGGTAGTAAATTAGTGCACCTGTCTAAAGAGGTTTAGTTTCATGTCACTTTGCCCACGATTGGCATAGCCTGGCCAAGGAGACCAGGGCATGCAGGAGTCTCGAACAGTCCAAGACCCCTCGCTAGCCGCCGGATGCGAAGACCCTCATTGACCAGGGAGGCCAGGGAGGACCGAGAGAGTTGGGATCCCTGGGTGGAGTACGACTTCCTAAAGGGTCCATAGTCGATCTACCAGATGGGGGGCTCAAGTCGCGCACTACTGCTCGGGTGCTCCTCCAGCTCCTCAAACACGTAGGTGCTCTGACATTTAACACACCGTATTGGGACCCCCTTCGCAATCTTCCCACGGGCAGTGATTGCCTTTACAAATGGATCTCGTCTGAAGAAAGCGGGACCAGTACCTTCCGGATTGCGTCTTTCGTTGAGCAGGACGCGGGAGTTGAGCGAACTGTTACTCAGGACTCGGGGACTCGGTTGACCCCAGGAGACGCCATATCCCTGTAAGAGTATATCTCGTATGAGTAGAAGTGGGAGTACGAGGTAGCCCTAGGAAAATGATACCCTCATGTGCCCTCATGGACCAGGGACCTTGAGCTGGGGGATGATTGGGCGCTTCGATGTGTCTCCATTTTGCGTAACGGTAGCCCAGGAAGCGAGAGGGCTTATGTAACGATGCTGCGCTGCCCTGGCACCTGGCAAGCTCTGGTAGCCCCCATGACTGTGGTGGCCCTTCCCTTGCTTCTTGTAGCGGTTGGTATTCTGGTAATTAGAAAATAAAAAAAAATAAAAAAATTACCGTGTCCTTGACGAGTAAGAAGCCTGGAAGAAAGAGCAGTCAGGGGATTGTTGGAGAATACTCCCCTCCCCTCCCGGTCTCCCTCCTTCCCTTGTCCGTGTATGGTATTCGTCTTTGTCCACTGCTCCCTTGTTTGTTGTAAGAAGCAGGCAACCCTCGCTTGAGGGGCTCAGCCCACGTCACTGGCAAAGAAAACAAATGCGATGATTCAGCCCGTTGTCGTCTGAATGCCCCTCCAAGACTTTTTCCAAGCTTTTTGGGCCCTGTTTCTTTACTAGGGGAGGAGAGGGTGAAGGGAAGGAAGCCAAGCCGGGCACCCGAGAAATCCTTCCTTCGCTCCCTCGTCAGCCCAAAGTATAGTTAAGTATAGTTGAGCTGGAAGGGATTTGCAGCAATAATCAATCCCGCCCTTCTTTTTTTTTTTTTTCAACCCACCCTCTCTCCCGCTTTCATTCGGAGCCTTTCCCTTTCTGGGTAGTTCGCGTACGAGGTCTGATTGGTTCATGTCTCTGAAATAGTCGCCTTGCTTGGCGGATCCAATGTCTACCAAGTTTGTCCGTAGGTAACCTCTGTAGTAATGATGCGGGAGGACTGGTAGATCGACGCCATGACTCTTGAGACGTTTTGAACCACACAAAGGGGGAAACGAAGAGAACATGGCCGAAACACTATGACTTCGGAGGAGATGGAATGAGGTAGGTGACTCGTACGAGGTACAGGGCATCCTCTTCAGTAACACTCGGCGCTCTCTGGCTCGAAAAGGCAACAGGGGGTTTGTCACCGCGTGTAGATTGTGATTGGTCTGTCTGAAGTCAAGAGTCGGCGCAGAATGCAGCCCATGTTTGAGCTTCTCCTCTTCCGGGTTCTAACCCAGTCCCTCGTCCCTTCCTCGTACTCCTCCCCACGTGGACAATCAACAATTGAAAAGGAAGTTGCCAAGATGCTCCCGAAATGGAATAGCTCCAAACAAGGGGACCCTCCTTCGCTGGCAAGTCACTGGCGCGTCTGGCACCCATCTGGCAGCTGGCAAGGTGGTTATGTAACTTATGTAAGTGTCGGAGTTTCTTACTCAGAAGGACCTGCTGAGCTCATTACCTCATGTTGTACCAACGGCTCCAAGGCACCAACCACCCAGGGTTTCCAAGGAGGGGTCGATCATTCTTTGCTTTGTACTCGGTATTTTCTCTGTCTCTCTCCCCCCCAAAGGCGATTTGGGAGAGTGGCCCACTTCCTAGCACGGTTTGGCCTGAAATTTGAGAGCCTGGACCTGGTGCCGAACAAGAACATTGAGCGACACCACCACAGCAGTCACTATGGCATTGCCAGACATGGCGATTGACCCGGTGTTGAACCGGTGCAGTATCAGCAGACTCGGAGCAAGACTCGTAATTTTGAGTGGCTTGTTACATCTTTGGGGAGGAATGAGTGCGTGAAAACGTGAAGAGGTAGTCCGCTGGGAGATGAAAGGAAAATAGATACGGTTGGTTGGACTTCCCTTTGGCGTGAGCCAAGTCGAGGAGAAAATAGTTTTCTATCCAATTCTGTTCGATCGAGGCTGCTCATGCCAGTTGCGCCTGTTGTCGTCACTCAATATTATGGGCCTTGTAGACTCAAGAAGACAATTTCAAGAGTAAAGTCCCTTTTAGGACAAATTCCTCCCCCCCTGAATCTGCTCTCCCATAGATGCAAACATCCACACACACACATTTCGTAAGTTTCAGGATCCAACAACATAGAATGCACAAGTTGCCTCTCGCTCAAATGCACATTTGGTCATCCAGTGAACATTAAATGCCCCCAAACTCCGCATTCCCCATCATCCGTTCAACGCCCTCCGACCCTTCCCGTGTCGTCCCAGCCTTGCGCTATGCTGTCCAGAAAAATCACTCATACGTTATCAGCCCGTGGTGGGTGATAACCCTACGAGTTGCGCCGGCTGGGCATGGAGTGCGACAGCCGAGGAGTACTCTGGGGGCTCAGCGCATCGGCGTTGAAAAATGGCACCAGATCAAACTCTTGGGGCGACTGGCAAAGCGAGCCACAGAGGCTGGGCAAGCCCGACTGGAGTTGGGTGATTTCGCTGTTCAGTTGCTCGATTTGCGCCTTGAGACGCGCAACTTCCTCGGTCTGCTGCGAGTACGATCGGGAGAGCATCTGATGTTTTTGCTGCCACTGGGTGATTTGCTCCTCCAGCTCCTTCTGGTGACGCTCTTTGCGTTCCCGGTACGCTCGCTGTGAAGAACGGTTTTGTTCTCGTCTCCTCTGTGGACTTGGTCAGCCGGCACGTTTCGGCAGGAATTTCGGGGACGTAGTTTGTCAAGCTTACCTCGATCTTGTCGGGAATGGAGCTCTTCACTTGAGCGACCACACTGCTGCTCGTCGGGGAGACACGTCGCTCCGGCGTTGATCTGTAAGAGCTGTCGGAGCCCGAAGACGACATGCTGTCAAAGGAATTGTCGAGTGTGGCATAGAAGTCGGCCGCCCGTTGCAACAGATCATTGTAGTGGCTGACCATATTCCGGGGGGACTGGACGCCGGCATAGTCCCATTGAAATGAAGTGTCGATGGGAGAGAAGTTGGCGGATTGCTGGGCCCAGCCGTTGGCAGAGCGGTAGTCGGTCATGGTGATGGTGATACGTTGTTCGATGATACAATGAAGTAGGATGTGCTAGATGGTTTCACCAAAGTTTTGTTTGTCTTGGTCGTGTGAAGTTGAATTGATCAGAATGTGGGTTGAAGAGGAGAGGGGCAGTTGAGGCAAAATGGTGGGGGGCAAGGGCATTTCTTATACAAGGCCTTCGAGCACGAGGCTGGCGTGGGTAGGAGAGGGTAGAGGGTGGTCTGCTAAACTGCTAACATAGTAACCTTGGTTGTGTGGTTTCAAGGACGCCCAGCACCGCCCAATGCCGCCCACTCGGAGCATGGCATTTGCTTTGGTCCTGGCGTCTCGGTCAGACCCTGGTCCTGGCCGCGAGATGGAGAAGTCGGGGCTATACCTTTCTCAGAAGGCGCATTAATCCTGCAGACCCCTGCTAGCTTGCTATCTCACTGTGCAGCAAGACCCAGTTGTCCCTTCATCAGTCAGCCAGAACCTTTATGCAACCTTAGTTGTCGCCTTTCCCAATGAGGCAGAAAGTGGCTTGCACTAACTCGACGCTAGGTACACATCATCCAAGGAGCTCCGCACTGCTCAAGGATTGGTGTCTCGGTAGGAGGTTGGTGGGTTGGGTGGGTTTGGGCGGGTGATGGGTAGGGTTGAGGGATGCTGTAATCCCCAGGTATGCAGGTAGGTATGGGCTCACCAGGGCTGTTTTCAAGGTTATTACGGTGGAGGAGAGGGGTGGATTTTGGAGCCCTAGGCATTGTGACGGGAGAGAGAATCAACACCTCCAAGGTAGGATGCGCTGTGGACATTGTGGACATTGTCATGAAGATTGTGTGGGCATGACGGGTTTGGTGGATGGTCATGGCGGGATTTGTTGAGGTCAGGCACAGGGCGGGCGAGGACGACGAGTTTGGGAGGAGGAGCATCTACCGAGTACCTCGTACAGTACGGAGTACGTAACAACGGAGTATCGCCAGTACCACCAGTACCACCAGTACTGGACTGAGTGCCTACGTACTCGGTACAAGTAGTCCCTATCTAGATACCCTAGGCATACCGGAGGAAAGAGTCGCTCTGGAGAAGGGGCACCCAGACACCTAGAGCGCACCCACCCAGCCGGGCCAGCTCTGCCCAGGTAGCGAAAATACCCGTCGCCTACAAGTAGGTCCTCCGTACGCCTACCCGTTCTTAGGCGGCGCCCTGCTCGATGACATAGTGGCCCCGGAGCTTCCCACAACCCTACAAGTCTTGCGAGTTCATGACTGATCCACTACTGCCATTGCAAATTGGTATCTCTGGCCTCTGCTCAATTTTACTACAACGACGAGACCTTGTCAAACAAAGCAAGCAAAAGCCTGGAACGCCGCTGTAGAGCTATGTATGGCATATTCATCAAAACATCTTCTGCATATATGTAGGCTTAAAATAGCCCTTCGCATGAGGTTCTTAGCAGCAGAGGCATGACAGTGGAATGATTACCTGGCCAACTGGCTCAGAGTACGACCATGCCCATGTAGGTACTCATCAGGAACCTGGAAGCGTAGAGTGTCCCCTGGCTCGTATCTGCGGTTCTTATTGGGAGCCATCGCTAAATATAACAATATAGGCATGCTCCATGACTGGGAAGGTAATGCCGTGAACAACGCCATTCCAACGACTCGAATATCCTGTCACGAGTATCAGTAAACCTCCCTCGTGCAGACAACACTAATGAGGACAGTTGCTGCCAACAACCTCGCTCTGCGCAGGTCCAGAGCAAGCAAAGGAGCAAAGGCCCCCCCAAGAGAGGAACGCCTCTTCGTACTGCGCATGGAAACTAATCAAGGAATATAAGCTTAAGCTCGAGACTTGTCCACAGGCTCGTCAATCGACATGGTGGCATGCGAGTGGACCGGCTGCTGCTTGCATGGCCGCTGCGCAGGAGTAGCAGGGCTGATACGACCAGGACCAACAATGCCAATCCGGTCGAATGGGCTATCTCCCCCAGGCTCAGAGTTCTCGGCGTGAATGAAACCCTCTCGATAAAGAAGTCGCAGACTCACAGCAGACAGTTGCAATGGCTGGCTAGCAATCATTTCCTGAGGTGGACATGAGTGAAGAATACTGGATCTGAGCTGGTCGGGTCGCACCGCTTGAACATGAAGCCAGGACACGGCGCGAACCTGACTCGGGTAATTATTCAGAACGTGATCTGCCTTCTGGAAGCAGGTCGATCCCATGCAGCCTTGGCGATTGCCGCTTAGTTAGCCTGCCGCGGATGGAAGCGACGCCTCCAGGCACTGAGACACTGACCAGTGCGTCGCACTCCCTAGGCGGGAGGCTGTGGACATATCCCATTGTATTGGACCCCTGGCCGTCGCGGCATCCAGGTGTCTAGCACATGGTGATTGAGATAGTTACCTAGCTGTGCACCATTGCTTTTCCCAAGCAGTTGGATATCGGCTGCATGAGGACACAGCCAGGACGATCTGGACCTTACTTCCGAGATCTCGTCGCCACTGCTGCGACACTGAAGTGACGACTGGACCTTCTGGAATGTGAGTCCTCCGTTGGCTTCCAGAGGCAATAGTGGACTGTGGAGGAGCTTGGCTCATTGGGCCAGAGCACCCCCGGTATGCACCTAGACTTGCTTCGTGGAACATTAGGCAGTACTGCTTGCAGCGGACCACCAAACCCATCAGATGGAGTGACTAATCTGCCCTTGGCTCAGTGTCGTATTCCTTTTAAGGGTCTCGTCGACAAGGGCTTGTCCGTTGAGGATGGTGCCCACAGAGTCCGGATACCGGCAGAAATCCTCCGGCTTGGTTCCAACGGCCAAGACAGAAGACATCATAGCAGATGTTCTCTATTGTCGAAAGGGTCCAACGCCCGCCCATTCGGATCTTCCCTGCAGCTTGACTTGGGTGCAGGTCATGGGAGACATGTTGTCGCATGGAAACACACACACATCTTGTAGGGTTTCCACACCTATCTTCTGGTGACGGGCTAGATGATACTCCATAGGCGAAAGTGCGACCTTCGACGTCATGGCAGGGCCAGGTATGTTTTGCAAAATTTGCAGAAGGACATTGTGGACAGTTCCAGGAGCACCGATTTGGGAACAAAATACTTGATTGGTCGCTTGTCACTCAACCAGACTGGCACAGGGTATGGAATATGGCTGGGTAGCTGACGTTATCAATGTCCATGCAGCTGTAATCAATGTTTCCAACTTGCGGTGTATGAGACAGTACCTGGGGAGGTATTGCACCGGCAGAGATCAGTGTGACGGTTTCGATACCGAGAGTCTCTCTGTAGTGATGCGAAACACTGGAGAAATTGCTTCAGCGTCGTCAAGTCTCGCTCCGCTCGCCCCTAGTGAATGAATCACACCACTCAGAGGACGAAATTCCTCAGACCCTGGCTTCCCCACAGTCATGAATTAGCTCGGTAGGAGTATACAAGAGGGTGGCGATACCGCCGCCGCGACCTGGGTCAGGAAAGCTGGGATAGAAACAGGCATGATTTCAGCCAGGGAGGCCTGAGGCTCTCACAGGAGGGTCATGCGCCAGCTGTGATAGTGGGTCACCCCACGTGTTTACGTGTTGTTCTTTGATTCCAGAAGAATTCCAAGCTCGATCAGTGATTGGCGATATAACTACCTACCAGATTGGGTTGGCATTCACCTTTGCTACGCCTTCCCACCTTGTCCAGCCTCGCCGGAAATCCTCGGAAACAACGCTTCAACCATTGACGTCATCAAGCTTCGGCTTTGTGTCCTATTTCGGTCTGGTCTGGGCTAAATGATTGTTGGTAGGATAGGAGGGCCTTGGTGGGCACAACTGCCGACCCTGTAGTTGAAGCGAATTCGGAATCCTGCCATATAGTAGTGGGAAGACGAAGATGGTGTGTGGGAGATAGTTTGACTGAGTAACCGACCACCAAGCACCGAAGACATTGCAGGAATTGTGCCAGACAGATACGGTAAGTCTGCCGAGCTGAAATGTGGCGGTGTGCCAAGGAGTGGCTAGAGATATTTTGTGGCGTCAGCTGCGCCCTGCTGATCGACCAGGCCCTCCAGCCTACGAGGCTACACAGCAAATGTGAGCATGTAATAAGCTCAGGAGAACAAATATTTCCCAATGGCGTCGGACCAGTACGAACTATCGTCGTGAATCAATGTTTTGTTTCATCAGAGGATTTGTTGAAAGCAGAATGACTCTGAGCTTGACTATATGCGCAGCCGAGGACTCGGGTCGCTCACCGTCACTTTGGCGCCCGTGGGTGCCGACAGCTGCCAGTCCCGCACCTCGCAGACAGCACATCATCATCGCAAACACCAGCGGATGTTGACAACGTCCTATTCACCTTTTTCTTCATAGCAGGATTCGAGTCATATTTTTTTATGCCTCAAATTGTCCTTTCCCAGCCACCTGGCAAGCTATCTAATTTCGCTACCGGTCTCAAGTTGTGTGTTGTGTCAAATATCCAGGTGGCAGGGTGAGGGGAGGCTGGTACCTTCACCACGCACCAGCACCCAAAATACCCTCACGCTTCTGCCCAACGCTAACAATCTTCTTCAATTCTTTCCTACTCTCATACTCTAATTCCTGTATATTGCTGTTCTCTGAAAAGTCAAAAGGTGTTCGCAGGACCGTTAGGCGGCTGGCCAGCGAAGTATTAGTTGACACCCCAACCTCGACCCTCTCTACACCGACAAGAACATACACCCAATGCGAAGATAACAACCAGACACACATTTGTACCTACCTGAAGCAACGACACATACGCTCGACTCTGTCTCGCAGTCATGCGACTCCACGAGGCGGTTCCGTCACTGAGCTCGCTCCTCCTCACCGCCCTACTCTCGCGACCTGTCATTGCAGGGCTCTTGCCCGATTTCCTACAGAGCTTTGAAGATTTTCAAGATATCGAGAAGAGATGCGATAACCCATGTGGCTACTACGGGCAGTTGTGCTGCGAAACTGGCCAAGTCTGCTACACTGATTCCAACAACGAGGCCCAGTGCGGCGCTGGCAGCGCTACCACAACCGCTGCGGGACAATGGGAATACACCACTGTAACATTTGTGCAGACAGATCTCAAGACCGTCACCTCAACCTACAGCTCGTATGTGCCCGTCAGCACCATCAGCTGTTCATACTCTCTGGGAGAAACTCCCTGCGGCAACGTTTGCTGTTTGTCAGGACAATTCTGCCAGGCTCCAGGAAGCTGTGCAGCTGTGGGCGGGGGAAGTTCTGGGTACTATAGCAGCCTCTATACCGTGACCACGGTTATTACCAACACCGCCAGTGCCCCGCTCCGACCGACCAGCAATACTCTCGTCACCGTCACGAGTGTCGGAAGTGCTACTACCACTGCACCTTTCCAAACGCCTGTCGGAACGGACGGCAGCATCATTGTTGGACCGACGGCCTCCAGCTCTGGTGGTGGATTGAGTGGCGGCGCAATTGCCGGCATTGTGATTGGTGTCATCGCTGGCATCTTCCTCCTCATCTTGTTCTGCGCCTGCTGCATTTTCAAGGGACTGATTGACGGACTATTGGCCATTTTCGGTCTCGGACCACGACGAAGACGTACCGAAGAAGAAGTATACGTTGAACGACACTCACACAGGGATGGAAGAGGCCGGAGAACCTGGTTCGGCACGAAACCGGGGAGATCCGAAGTCGTGGAAGAGAAGAAGAGGAGAAGTGGATGGGGCACAGCAGGCTGGATGGCTGCAGGATTAGGGGCTCTGGCCCTGTGGCTGGGCCTGAAGAGGAGGAATCGACGTGACGACAAGAGCAGCTCTGGATATGGGAGCTCCTACTTTTCCGACTACACGGTATCAAGTAAGTCCAACTGAGGCCCGGCTTCTGTCCCACACATTTTGCTGACATTGTCCACAGGTAGTGAGAGCTCCTCAGACCGGAGGACGAGACGAAGCAGCAGATCGAGGTCGAGACGATGAAATGTATGATGATACCAGAACCCAAAAGTTCTGGCTTTACGCAGCTATTGAGATCACTGGATATAGTTTGATTAATGAAGGAAAGGGGATACATACTATACCTATTGTGCATTGCATTGAGCAGGCTCTGGTGAAAATTGACAATTACTGGTTCATATTATTGAACTGATCTTGACTTGCGTACCTTTTTCGTAGGCTCTGTTCCTGACTCACGTCTTTCTCATGTGCAGAGTTTCGGCAAGAAATCAAATGTCCGGGACAGTCGCGACCGCAGGCAGATTTTGTAATGTCTCGATTTCATTGGTGGAACAACGATATCATTGACTGAGAAGATTCGGATAAAAAAAGCGAAACAGAGCCTGTAGACCAGCCATGAGAGGACCTGTTATGAAGGGAGGTGAGGCTGGTTGATTGAGGGAACGTAGTATGTAGGTAAGCATGTACTCGGTACAAGGACAATTGATCAATTGAAAGGGTTTCCGGAGACCTCGCCGTTGGTCGTCTCACCCCAAGGCCGGGGTCTTAACTAAGCTGCCAAGCTTCTAAGCCTTGGGTGAGCCTAGTGTGCCTAGGAGTTTGTGGCCCCCGGCGACCTAGGCACCTGGGTAGGTATGTACGAGTACGGCGAGCCACAGACAATTGGGCCCACGGTTAAGCTCGTGATCCCTTTCGAGTTTTCTGCGGACTGCAAAGTAGGGGGCCGATTTCATTATTTCGTTCCCGCTCCCCGCTCTGCACTTTGCTGCATCGAATCCCTTTCATTGTCGAGTTTCAGTCTCTATACTTCCGATCTTAGTCACTCACATTGTCCTCGAATCTGCTCGGTGACTTGGACTGCGGTCTCCGTCACCGTCGTTTGATTTCCGACATTTTTACTACCTCACCCTTTCGACCTGAAGAATGACTTTAGCCTGACCCTAACTCGACCCTCTGACCACCATGCTTCAGACACAGCATCTTTACTCGCATCAGCAACAATACAACCAGCATGACCAATCCTCCTGGCAGCACAACGGTCCGCAACAGAGTCATCAAGCCCTGAGCCACGGACAGCAACAGGCGCAGGCTCAGGCCGCCGCCGCTGCTGCCGCCGCGGCTCAGCAGCAACACTACTCCCGACTCGCGGTCAATCCCAACCACAACTCTTCACATGCGCAAAACACAAACCGCCAGGCTACGGCCGACAACGCGCAGAATGCTATGGGCCCGTCCCTGACATCGATGAACGAACAGGCAACGCCGGGCATGGATCAGCAACTGTCAGAAGAGAATCGCAAGGTGTTACAATGGGTGGCGGAATTGATGGATCCCAATAGAAGAGAAGGAGCTCTGATGGAACTGAGCAAGAAACGGGAGCAGGTTCCAGAGCTCGCGTTGGTCCTCTGGCACAGCTTCGGCGTCATGACCAGTCTACTCCAGGAGATCATCTCAGTATATCCGCTGCTGAACCCAAGTCAGCTCACTGCGGCGGCTAGCAACCGTGTGTGCAACGCCTTGGCCTTGCTTCAATGCGTGGCAAGCCACAACGAAACCAGGGGCCTGTTTCTGAACGGTAAGCAGTTCACCGGCCTCGGAATGCGAATTCAATGCTAACTTTGGCCGTCAGCGCACATTCCACTCTTTCTCTATCCGTTCCTCAATACTACATCCAAATCAAGACCGTTCGAATATTTACGGCTCACGTCACTTGGTGTCATTGGCGCCCTAGTCAAGAATGAACCCTCATCCGGCGTCTCAATGAATCCGGCAGGCACACCAGCAGCCCACGGGAACACCAACAACTCTTCCCCTACAATCACGTTTCTGTTGACCACAGAGATAATCCCCCTCTGCCTGCGCATCATGGAGACGGGCAGCGAACTATCCAAAACCGTGGCCATCTTCATCGTCCAGAAGATTTTGCTTGATGACACAGGGTTAGGATATATCTGTGCCACCTATGAGAGGTTCTATGCGGTCGGCACCGTTCTGAGCAACATGGTTATTGGGTTGGTCGAAACCCAGACTGTACGGCTCTTGAAACACGTGGTTAGATGCTTCCTAAGGTGAGTTTTCAGTCGCACGGTGTGGTATTCAGCGCTTGTTTCTGACCCAAACCCTAGGCTTAGTGACAACAACCGAGCCCGCCAAGCGCTGCGACAGTGCCTGCCTGAGCCACTTCGTGATGCGACGTTTTCCAATGTCCTCCGCGACGATGCCGCCACCAAGCGATGCCTGGCCCAACTCCTCATCAACCTGAGCGACACTGTTACCGATACGCAAAATGAGCAATTTGAATGATATCAGGACTTCGGCGTAACCGCGGGCTCTACATCGGATTTGCTGTGCGAAGATCACCGGTGGTCAAACGATACCCTTTATCCGAATGACGAGTTTCTCAATCTTTTTTTCCAGCATTGCGACCGCAACGTCGGCGACAGACTGGTAACAAGCATGACACAGGAAAGTTTTGGAGTCGTTCCTTTTTGTTGTTGGCAACACAAGCATCAACATCACCAAGCATAGAAATTATACCCAATGGCCTCGGCGAGGAAGACGTGACAGGCGCACTGTTTTCCATTAATTGAACGAAGACATGATCAATGCACAAAGGCGTGGCTTGATGCCCGAAGACTGTAACAAGAGCCAGGAACTCCTCGGTTGAGGTCACTGGGCCTGATGGCTGCCATGGATGGGATTGCAACGAGGGAAAAGTGGTTTGTGCCAGCGCGTTTCTTGCCTTGTTTTGGGAGGTCACCATCTCTTCGACTTTTCTTCGGCACCGGGATATAACCAAGCTCTACAAAACATCGTGACCTGTACATGAATTGGAGTGGCATGGACGAGGACGTGGCTGTCGAGGGAACGGGGTCTCTTTGGATTACACAAAACTCACAGGCTTCTTCCATCTTTGAGCCAGGATTTGATCGTGGGATGAGATGAACCACATGAATTCCATTCTTTCTTTTCTTCCCCGAGCACAGTCTGCGACGCCTTTCTGTTCCTGCAAATAGTTACCTTTACAGAACCCAGATGTATTCCATAGCATAGTACAATGACATTGATCTTTTTCTGACATGAGCATATATGGAGAGACGGCCTTTGGTGAAGCTGCTGCTCCTCTCCGCCCGATTGTCTTGAGCCTTTCTACCGCGTCTTTCTCACTGCTCCACCTAATCCGACGTACTAACGTCACCACTACTACCACTACCACCATCATGGCGCGCTTCTCCAGGCAACCATCAAGACGGCAATCTCTTATCCCTCTTCTAGATCGCAACACAAACAGACCTTCTCCCCGAACGATCGACGTCATTTGCGGCATTTGATCTACCAATTGTCGGCGAAAGCCCTTTTAGACCAGATCCGTAGCGAGTACCTCCCCTTCTAGATTGCCGCGGCTTGCCTTCTTCAAAGGCTGCAATTTCCAGAGATCTCTCCAACACCATACACCTCATCGACTCGCAGTTGCAAACGATGTCCGCTCCCATCAAGATCCTCGGGAAGCCCGTCGGGCCAATAGGCTATGGTTTGATGGGGTTGACTTGGCGACACAATGCACAACCGGCGAGCGACAGCTTCAAGGCAATGGAGACGGCGCTGTCGCAGGGCGCGAATTTCTGGAATGGCGGTGAACTGTACGGGACCCCGGAGCGGCACTCCTGCCACTTACTTCACGAGTACTTCAAACTACATCCGGAAGACGCGGACAAGGTCGTGCTCAGCATCAAAGGCGGCCTTGTCCCGGGCGGGCTGAAGCCCGACGGATCGGCCCAAAACGTGCGGCGCAGCGTGGAAGACTGCCTCAAGGTCCTCGATGGCACAAAGAGCATTGACATCTTCGAGTGCGCTCGGCTCGACGCGAACACGCCACTTGAAGAGACCATCGGCACCCTGGCGCAGCTCGTCAAGGAGGGGAAAATAGGTGGCATTGGTCTTTCTGAGGTCAAGGCGAGCACCATCGAGCGGGCACACGCCATCCACCCGATCGCGGCCGTCGAGGTTGAAGTGTCGCTCTGGACGACGGACATTCTGCGCAACGGCGTCGCCGCCACCTGCGCGAAACTAAACATCCCCATCGTCGCGTACAGCCCCCTCAGCCGCGGCGCGTTGGCGGGCGAGACCATCCGCAAGCACGCCGACATTCCCGAGGGCGATCTCCGCAAGTTCATGCCGCGGTTCCAGGACGACGTGCTCGAGTACAACAACCAGATCGTGGACGAGGTGCAGAAGCTCGCCGACAAAAAGGGTGTGACCAAGGCCCAGATCGCCATCGCCTGGGTCCGCCGCCTCAGCGGCCGCACCGTCACCACGGAAAACGGCGAGCAGATCACACTGGGCACCATCATCCCCATCCCCGGCGCCACCAAGCCGGAGCGCGTCGTCGAGAACACCACGGTCGTGGATCTCTCCGACGACGAGATGAAGGAGATTGCGGAAATCCTGAAGAAGAATCCCGTCAAGGGCGACCGGTACCCGCCGCAAGGGATGGCTCACCTCAATATGTAAGGGGGTTTTAGAAGACGTTCTTCGAACGAGAATGGATATTCTGTTGTTCCCATCTCCAAAGGTAGGATGATGCCCAAAGACGGGCTATCGGGGTTGGCTGGTGAGCGTATAAGTATATCAGGTACGTTGGTGAATTGAGCTCTCTACTCAACACATGCCCTGGTTGCGCATTCTCTACTCACGCGTAAGCCGGTTGCGCATTTTGTGAGGTATGTATCTATGTATTTATTTGGCCAGTGTCCAGGCTACCACAAATCAAGAACATTCCAGAGCAAAGAAAGCATCGAGAAGAGAGGCACAAAGCAAATCAACTCAGTCTTATTTCTTCCCTGGACCATTTTCTCGTGTCTCCTCATGACAGAGTGAGGAATCACTCATTGCTTTGTGCAACTTTCGTCGCCTTGTCTATAATCACTGTTACTGCTATGTGACACCGGTCTACTCGACTGGTTGGGGCGCAGGTCTTTTGTTCCCTGCCGTCAATAAGCCAAATACCCTTGCTGGGTGCTTGCCACAATACTTCTGCTTCTGTACGCTCGCAGTCGGCTTTACCGTGCATCCACATCAACGAAACCATATGCATGTTTCCGCGACTCTGTCCCCAGCTGTCCTTCTCATTGGGCTAAGCGTTATATCTCCTAATGAGCACATAGTCAGACAGCGGCGGGATTGGCCTCTGGCGGGATTTGATGGAGCAGGTTGAAATACCAAAGGCGCCTGCTGCAACCTGATCAGGATGGCCTGATTGTCGCTGTTTCGAGCCTGTCTCTGGTACCCCCCATCAAGACAAGGGCGAGCTGGTCAAGGTCGATATTGAAACCGCGACAACCCTACTCCCTCCATCGGAGAGCCCAATTACCTTTGGCAAAACTGGGTTCTACCACCGAACCGTTCATCAAGGCTTCACATTTTCGTCGCAGTTGAGGAGACGATCGATCCCCCGTCGTGCTCCCATCCCTACCTGACACGGCCTTCTTCCCTTTAGCCTGCTGTGTAGGAGCATCCGACTGTGAGGAGAAATCCACATCAAAGCCGAACACGACCCCACGCCTTGCTGCTCGACGGACCATTTCGCGTTCTTCGGCGCGTTGCTGCCCCTCCAGTCTCTTTTCGTACTCCTCAGGTGTTTCAGAGTGACGTTCGGCCCAGCCTTTCTCTCCCCCAATACTTCCGTTGACGTCGGACTCTAGCTGGGGCGGGCGAACCTGCAGACGAGTTCGTTGACGACCAGCCTCTACTCGAGATACATCCTGATCGGAGGAAGCGTCGTGATCATCAACCATGTCCACACTTTTCCATTCACCGTCGTCCTGCAGCGCACGGCTCGCACGATTCTTCTTGCGCCCAAACGTTTTCGTGGGATCATGTCTCGTGCCGAAAACGGCCTCTTCGATCTCATCACACGTCACGATGACCCGTCGGTCTCCTTTCGTCACCTTGGCTCGAGCGGCGGTCTTCTCGATCCCGGATCCGTCCTCCGCGTTCAACAGAGCCACGATCGCCCTCTCCACCTTCTTGTCCGCGGGACCTGGCTTCCGACTTCGACATCGGTCGGAGCAGTATTTGATCGTGTTTGGGCCTTTCTGTAGCTGCTTGCGGGTGCCTTGGCACTGTCAGAGGTTAAGGTTCTTGTGATCTATTTGGGGACCGCGGAGTTGCGCTGACTTATGACTCTACCGCACGTGCGGCAGTACGGGACGTTTTCTCCCTGAGTGAGATAGAATGGTGGTGGGACTGCCGCATGCTTGCCCGGCCTTGACCAGGAGTCCATCCAGCTCATTTTGCTCACACAACGCGTCAAATGTCGGTGGATGAGACGGTAGAAAAGCATATAAACCAATCCAATAGATAGAGGAAACAACAGCAATCTGAAAAGAGAACTCAACAATGAAGTTGGCTGTGGCAAGAGAAGGACTCTGAAGTATCGATGATATTGACGACGTCACTGTCCAATGACGAAGGAGGTGGGGCAGGAGCTAATCCTAAAGAGTCAATGGTATCGGAATATAGCACTATACCAAATTAGTCATAGCGCAGACCTCGCCTGGCTTACAAGGCAGACATGACATGAAATGAATTCTCAGTCTTGAAATCTAAGTAATACTCTATGCTCTTTAATAGTCAATAACTCTCCCGCGCTATTCACCATGCCACAGCCGGTGTAAGATCACCTCCCTGGGGTTAACAAGGACGACAACATGCGGACGAGATGGCGAGTTACCAAGATTCCCTCAACTTGACCATAGTCCCTTACGGGGTAAACGTCCGTCAAGCTCATAAGAAGTCCCGTGCGGGCTGCTATACATGCAAGCTCCGGCATGTCAAGTGCGGAGAAGAGAAGCCTCGATGCTCCAACTGCGTGTCCAAGGGAAAAGACTGTCAATACCCAGCGTCCATTAAAAGACGGATCAAGAAGCAAGATAAAGCCAGGGGTATCAAGCGTGTATCGCCAGAGCCGACGACCGAAATATCCATGGTTTCCGCATCATTCACCCTGCACGACTTGCGGTTATTCCACCATTTTCTCTGCTTCGCGTACCCGCCTCTGCCTCTAACCAAGAAGTCGGTTTGGACGCAAGACATACCTCAACTCAGTCTTCACTCAGAGCATCTGATGAATGCTTTATTGGCTCTGGCTGCCTCGCATATGGAAACGTTGACCGGCGTCGATCATGATAAGTGCACTGCACTGTTGCACAAGGGCCGTGCAATCTCTGGACTCAAGGATGAATTCGCCAAATCCCATCACTCGGCAACCGAGTATGATGTGATGCTGGCAACTTGCTACGCTTTGGCCTTTCAGTCTGCGCTTCTGCCTGGATCGGCGGTCGACTTTACAACCTTCATACGAGGCTGTGCTCTCATTACACGTCGTATTCAAGCTGAAGGGCAACAGTCGGTCTTCGACTTTTCGCGCAATTTGAATCGAGGACCAATCCGACGCACAGTCTTACTCAGAATCGGTGCCGCAAGTCGGATTTCTGGCTCTCGTTTTCGGCTGCTGATAAAGAAGGGGATGGCATCACTTCTTGCCGTTCATGAGTCTGTTGAACACGCAGGGACTGGCCATAATCTCTTTCAAGCCCTGAGCTCGACCTTTGCCGGGTTTCAAGTGTCGTTGGCGAAAGGATATAACCGTTTTCTCAGCTACTACGCTGTTTGGTTCAAACTTGCTGAAGCTAAAGATATCTTCGCCCCGGATGCAGTAAGAGAGGCGGCGTTCTTACTCTGGGCTTTCTTTATCGGTATCCAGCTACTGATCGCTATGCTCGTGGTTGATATGACCAACGGTGGAATGAATAGGGACCGTGCAGCAGGATTCGACCGTTCACTTGGTGTTTCAAAGATGATTAGAATGACTGAATGGCTTTGCGCAATCGAAACAACTACACCGACTCACATGAGGGAACACCTTACCTGGCCCAGGCTGGTCTCGAGCCAGGTACTCTTGGGACTGCAAATGACGACGGTGTCGAAGGCCTCCGTCGATCTCAAGGTAAACGCCCTTCGCGATCTGGATTTACGCTCTCACATTGCGTTGGGAGAACTTCTGGAGCTGTCTGCAAGTCTGGCCAACTGGACTGAAGACCTTCTGGCATCACAAAGTGGCGATGAAGACAGCAGCGGTGAAACGGAAGGGTGGCGGAGAGCACAGACTCAGTTGGCCTTTGGGATTCTAGATCAGGGCGGGCAGGACACGCCGACCGACAGACGTGGCCCTGGGATGGTAACTACACCCTCCAGCACTCCTTCCCCCCGCCAATATCCCGGGAGACGCTGACCAGTGCAAATCAATAGGGTGAGACACGGCTGCTGCTAGTCTAACGAATGGAGTGGCAAACCATCTTCAGGAGCTGGTAGGAGCTGGGCAGGAGGTGGCGCTTTCCTGGTCTGACCTATACATCTACCAGCATTAGAGTCTGGGCTCGATCGCCTGATGCTGTGCAGAACACTCTCTTCGACATGCGCTCAAACTCAGTCTAGATCCTGTGGCGAGTGAGAAGCGACACCTGACGCAGGGCCTAGGCCAAGCTAGGGAGAAATGAGGTTCAGACATCCAGGTTGCTCGCTTCGTTGAGGGTCATCGGCGGCTCCCCGGCCCCCATCCACCAGATAGAGTACCAGGACGAGATTGCCCAGCCCGATGCAAGTCTCGAGTCAGGAAAAACAGAAAGCAAGCAATGCAGATCAGAAGAGCCACCACGAAGGTCAGAAAGTCTGGGCGGCTGGATCCAATTGATGGCAGTTGTGTCGCCTGTATACCTGCTCAGACCGGTTGGCACGACACGAACTCTGAGGCGAATCCCGCTGTGGAATTCGATCACGGGCGGTGTTGTCCAACCTAAATTTCTCTGCAAGTCACGGAGAGACCAGAGCATGGCTCAATGCGTCAAGATCAGCATCAGATTGATGGGCTTGGATTTACCATTAAAGGCCAAGCGGCGTGGCGGAACCACATTCCAAATCGCCCGAAGAGCCACGCTCTCTGTGGAGTCAACTATTCCATGGGTTGGGTATAGGGCAGGTATTCAGTCGACCACTCAGACAACCGGGGAGGGGTTGAACGTTGGTGTGATGGGCTTGTTGTATTGCCACACTAAGATGAGGAGGCAATTGACATGGCGGCAGAGTCGACGGGGAACCGAGCAGCTCCCTAACTCGAGATTCTCGCAAATCAGTAAACTAAACACCGCCAACAGACCCTCAGACCTGGATTCGCAACGGCGAAGTCAATGCGGTAACTGGAATTCTTGCTTTCTTGCTTCCGGTAGCGTGGCTAAAAAGCGCAACGAGGGGGTGCTGGCCATTGAGGGTTTCGAAACGAGTCTATGCGATGGCGCTCCCTTCGCCGGCGTTCAGGGTCAGAATCAACCTCTCGAGACGGGCGTGACCAGCCAGTAGAAGAGGAGGTTACAGACCTCATCACGACGCAAGGCTGAAGTACAAGACTCCAATCTTAACAAGCCACGCAGCTTGGATTCCGAGGATCAGCCAGTGCCAAGTTGTGGTTTCGAGGACTTGCGATTTTCAGTGCTCAGCAGACATGGAGCTGGGGTTCTGTAACCACGGTACAGAGAAGAAGGTTTCTATAAGCAGCAGGTAGGCCAAGGAGTGTTCCGTTCTCCGTCACTGTACTCGGTAATGAGACCAGCCAGGAGTGGCCCGAAGTTCAACCTTGCAGCAGCAGGTCAAAGAAGAGGGAGACTCATGACAGCTCTGGCGTCGACCGTGGGCATGGCCATGGACAAATGTGGAAAACACTGAAAAGCCCCAAGAGCTTCCATGCTATAATCAACAACGCCACAAGGAAGAACTTGGCGACGGCACCGTTCGTGTTCGCCCCATGGATTCCACGGGAACAGCTGGCAGTTTTGCTCTACCGCTTAATATTCGGCAGGACAACGCGATGGCACTCGTTCGCTTCTTGGTGGTCCGTTCTAATCTCACGCCAATGACAACGCGAAGGGTGTCGACTGAAGATGATGAAGGTCCGAGGGGAAAACTTCTTTCGACCGTGGCGCCGCTAGAGCCTGGAGGAACAAAGGGTCAGCCTTCTAGACTGGCATTCGTCTCACCTTCAATGCAACCCTGACGAATGGCCGTGGACAGCCAAGATCGCCAACTCCGCCAGGTCAGGAAGCGAGAGAGGCCCATGACCTGCCCGCTTGATCCTCGGGCGCGAAACTCCTGGTGTTATTCGCCCGGACAAGCCAACTACAATCTGGCGAATGCGAGGCTCTGAAGGTTCGTCTTCGGCCCGCTGAACCCATCTCGCTCTGCAACACTGGGCTTCTAACCAAACCAGACAGAAGCTCCAGCTCTAGCTATCAGGCTATCGGTATACAAAGAATCGAATTGGAGGGTCTCACTGACGATTTAATCAGCGACAAGTTGGTCCAAGTGACCTGCATTGAAGTTCCGAACACCCTGCGAAGTCTGGGACCCCCGTCTGGATACTCCGCAAGCAATCGAGGAAACCTAACGCCCCCCCGGATTCAAGGCGGCTAGGAGTCTTAGGCATGAGCGTCTCCCCTTTTAGCATCGTGGTGGCAATCAATCGGCCTCTTAGGTTTCCCCTCCTTCATCGGCTTCATGTCGGGAGGCTTTTCTTCCTACCCCAGGTTGCCCAGGGTAGATACGACCTGATGGTCTGACCATCCCGCATACACCATCAACCACACCAGGCTAGGAACGGTGGACTGTGAAGCTCCGCTGCAATATGGTAACATGTCTTGGTGGATATAGAGATTAAATAACCCTTCATCTCCCCGTCCACTTCGTCTCACCATCACAACTCTCACTCTGGAGACACAATTCCTTTCTTTGACAATCTTCCTTTCAGGATTTTTCCAGACTACAGGATGGCTTCTCCAGAGAAGATCTCTGATCCTACGGCGCAGACCGTTGAGCGCATTGGCTCAATCGACAAGAGCAAAGATGTGAGCCTTCCTACTCACCGAACATACCATGGCCTCCTCTCTCCCATCATAGAACGAAAGACTAACCATCTACCTTGTGTCGCAGGTCGTCGCGGTCAAGGAAGTCAGAGGCAGCGAGGCCTTCAACGAGGCTTTGATCCAGGAAGATGTGCCAATGTTGCACCCGCGCACTCTGCAGCTGTTCGCCTGCCTGCTCATTGGCTTCTTCTGCCAGACGATGAACGGCTACGACACGATGTTGTTCGGTGGACTGCTCAACAACAAGGAATACTTCCTCAAGCACTTCCATGGGGAGAACAAGGGTATCTGGGCAGGTCTCATCACCTCCATGTACCAGATCGGTGGTGTCTCTGCCTTGCCTTTTGTCGGGCCCTGCATTGATCAGTGGGGACGCCGCGTGGGCATGTTTATTGGCAGCATCCTCATCATCGTCGGCACCGTTGTGCAGGGCTTGACTTCTGCCAATGCCTCCGAGGGCCAGATGATGGGCGGTCGATTCGTCCTGGGATTTGGCGTCACCATCGCCGCGGCAGCCGGCCCCATCTGGATTGTGGAAACGGCCCATCCCAAGTATCGTGGTATCATTACTGGTCTCTGCAACACCACCTGGCTCGCTGGCTCGATCTTGTCCTCTGGGGCAACCCGAGGTGGTCTCAACATCAAAGGCAACAACTCTTGGCTCATCCCCATCTGGCTGCAGATGGTCTTCCCGGGCTTCATTGCCATTTTCGCCTTCTTCCTACCCGAGTCTCCCCGGTGGGTGTATGCCAGCGGAAAGCGCCAGAAGGCCCATGACATCCTCACCAAGTGGCACGGCTATGGCAATCCCGATTCCGCCTGGGTCAGACTCCAGCTCACTGAGTATGAAGAGTATCTCGAGTTGGACGGCTCCGTGAGTCTTTTCTTCCCTTCATCTCGGCTCTCAGATCTTGCGGCAAAGCTGACGGATTGACTTTTCCAGGACAAACGCTGGTGGGACTACCGTGCGCTCTTCAACAAGAAGTCGAGCCTCTACCGCACCGCGGTCGCTTGCTGGTTCTCTGCATTCACACAATGTAAGGACACTCGCCTCCGTCTACCTTTGCTGGTCCACTGACACGTATCTCCAAACTAGGGTGCGGTAACGGCCCTCTTTCGTACTTCATGTCGGCCGTCCTCGACACGGCCGGCGTCAACACCTCGATCGGCAAGGCCAACGTGCAGCTCGGCTACAGCGTCGAGCAGTTCTGCTTCGCCGTCTTCGGCGCGCATTTCGTCGAGCGATTCGGCCGCCGCAAGATGATGCTGGCCGGGTTCTTCGGCGTGTCTGTGATCTGGGTCTGCATGACGGCCTCGGCGGGCACGCTGGCCAACTCGCTCGTGTCGGGCTCGGTGGACGACAGCGACGCCGTCTTTAGCAACAAGACGGCCGGCAACGCCGTGCTGGCCTTCATCTTCATCTTCGGCGCGTGGTACTCGTTCAACATCACACCCTTGCAGGCCCTGTACCCGGTCGAGGTCTTCAGCTTTGAGATCCGCGCCAAGGGTATGGCCTTCCAGTCCTTCTTCGTCAACGCCGCCGGTCTGATCAACCAATTCGCCTGGCCCGTGGCGATCAAGGAGATCCAGTGGAAGACGTACATTATTTTTGTGGTTTGGACCTTTGTCCAGGGAGTGCTTGCTTATTTCTTCTTCCCTGAGACGAAGAAGCGCACGGTGAGTCGAGACACATGCTCCATTCGCTCTTTTTGC